ATGATGCCTGCTGTATGTAAGAAATTGATCCTGTATAGAGCCCTCAGAGTCTATAACCAGCATGCCTTGCCTATATATTCATGCTCCAGAAAAGAGAACCTCTGTGGACAATTGCAAAGTGACTCCAAATATGAATAGGTTGTTGTCTCTGAAACACATTTGATATGACCTGTATAGACCATGCACATAGTCCACACAGCATGAGTGTGTCTGGAATGTGCACAGCACTGCTATGAATGGGGAAATATTGTCATAACAAACCTGTGTTGACTTCCCACAACTGAATGACCATGTATTGAGGTTCCCTCTACTTTGAATATGCTTAGGGATATTTCACAGATCTCCTAGAACATTATCCGATTTTCTGGCACTTTTTTGAGCCCCAAACGAGTCAGTTTTGCTGCAGAAACAGTGTACACTTACATCACTTACTAAGCGCTCAAATAAGCGCCCATTGCCGAAGCAGTGTCGTTGACAGGCCAGAATTCCGGCCTGTTGATGACTCCGGTCACTCAAAAGGGATTTTGGAACATTCCCATTGGCTGGGATGCTGACAAACATTCCCTTTTAAAGTAATTCTTCAATCTCAGCTCTTCATGCCGAATTTTTTGATGGCTACTAACTGAGCTCTTGCTAGAGCCCCATTAAATGCGCAAAAATACCCAAATAAATACCCAAATATTCCATGGGATGCTTCAGGATACTGATGGGGGTGTCCAGATTAGGTATCTTTGAGAGTACTGACCATGATAAGTGGTACTGAGGCATATGAGCAGATCTTGGTAAGCATGTTTACTAGAGAGCTCCACAGGTATGAGGAGAGTCTTTGAAGCAGACATGAAAACCTGCCATATATGGTTAGTCTCCTGCCCATTTTAGGAAGTTGACCATTGATGGCCTCTGCAGTACTGAATAATAGCAGGAAAATCAGAGAGAAATCCAGGAGTACTATACATTCATATTGTGCTCACTATTGAGGCTCATATGTGGCAAAAAACCTATGATAGTGCAGAGTTTCCCATGCATGGCCTGATATAAGCCACTCTTTCAGTGAGTCTTTGTATGTCTTGTAACCACCAGTATCACCTGGAATTGTCAGGAACTGGCAACTCCAAACAGGATCCTAAGCTGTTGTGTTTAGTTCAACAGCTCAACAGGCCCTGAACATGCAGGCTGCCAAACTTTGGAGCAGAGTTTGAATGCCAGCCATAAACTCATCAGTGACACTGTATTTGCTGTGCTGTGGCCTCCAAAAATGAAAAAAGCTGATTGGGTATATTCTCAGTTACATATATGCTGTGTTATAGAGTCTGTACATAGTATGCCTTCCCATACTTCCATATAAATATAGCACCATCCAACAAAGAACAATAAAAAGCACATGCCTCACACTCATTCTTTGACATTGTTTGTGTTTCCTGTGATGCTTACCAATTACCTATGAATTGTGTGAATACTATGTAGTAGCTGACCTGGAAAGTTTGAATTAGTTGTTGAGTCTGGGCTCAGAAAATGCAGACAAAACAAGGAAATGTTATGTATGATTCCCACCTTGTACTACTTGCTGTAACTAGTAATTGGCTTCTCAGCCCCTTATGTGGACCATGATCACTCAACAGTGAATACCTGCAGCACAAAGGTACCATTCAATGCTGGAAACACTCATAACATTGACTTTGCTTTGCATGTCCCTTGTATAATGGCATAGCCATCACAAATATGGGTTCCAGAATTTGTTCACACTGTACTGTGCACTTGCTACTCTTACTAGAGAACTGTATACACTACCAGTGTCATGAGGTGAGCAACTAGACATGCAGACTTACCATACATCCCAGCCCTTCATAGTTGCTGCAGTGCTGGAGAAATGGTGGAGAATGAGATGACATCAACTCTATTCTCTCATGTGATGATTGCTTGGAGCATATCGTTGAACCTCTACCATCATATTATAGGCTGATGGGTTACCAGGTCCTATTGTTCAAGTTATGCAATGAGCCTTGGGTGATATAATTGGCAGCTCTGGGCTTGTTCATATGGGCAGGGAATGATTGTACCATGTATTGATGATGTCTATTTGTACAATGTCTACTGTCACTCAGACTTCCACTAGGCAACCAGCAACAGACCATGATTATAGTGGACTTCTAGGCAAATATCTGACTGTCCTTTTCTAGATCTCTAGTCAATAATAAGTGACTTTGGATTACTCTCATTGGGAGCAACATTTCCCTTCACATGTTATCATAAAATGTCAGCTACTCATGCTGGATTCTTTGATGATATATGGAAAGTCACACAATAACACCATAGACCCAGGAGTGAACACATGTGCCATTTTAACAGTGTTGTATATATCATGGGAGGGTCCAAGAAGCAGGCATTATTACACATGGTGCATTGTGGTAATATCTGGTGGAGTACCTGCCATTCCAAATACACAGTAGAGAATCTGTGTATATTGAGAGGGTGGTTGAACAAGAGCAATATGGTGGTGAATCATGCATGCATACAAAAGAAGTAAGTGTCAGCCAGCAGATGAAACCAAAAGTTATCTCACAGAGGTTGAAAACCTTTGTGTTCATTGGACTTATGACTGGATACCATGACCGTTGAGCAGGCATTACTGGATTACTGAGCAAAGGCAATAATGATTCCATGTGCAAGTCTCAGTGTAAGTATGTGCTCTTCACAGACAGTTTCCTATGAATATAGCATTGACACACAACACATGGTGGCTTACTTGCTCAATTGTAATATTGCTCATGATGGAGCACTGAAATCAACAATGTAGATAACCAGGATGCATAGAGTATTTGGGCTGTCAGGCAGCAACTAGACAGTGAAAATGGGAAATAATGAATTCTTCACACCTCAATGTGTCTAAACCAATGGGATTGTACTGCCAGCTATGGCCCTCTCCCCAGAAAGTAGTGTGGGTGTACCCATGGGTGTCTGAGGGCATACCCATACCCATACCCACATGGGTTGCATACCCATGGCATGAGTATGGGTTTTGCATGGGTATCATGGGTACCCTTGGGTATGGGTACTATCATGAGTAGATCTATGTGCAGTTCATGGTACTTATACTTGCTGGGGAGTGGGCCATGTATGGCAATACGGTCCCAGTTGTGTTGTCTGTGTCTTTTATTTTCTGATTCATCAAATTATCACTTCAATCTCACTTATCAATGATTATATGTATTATGTATTGATACATACTAGTCTGTGAGACTAACTTCTGTGCTTGACTAGACCAAGTAGTTGTCAAGCTTTAACAATAATACTAACCTTGCACAAGCCAAATGTTATTCATCAGGGAGTATCATAGTAGTAACAGAGATGTTTACATTCATATGGCTCAGCTCATCATCCTCAATGTGGTAACACAAAGCCTGAGTCCTAAGTGTCCTAGACAATCCAGAACCTTTCCAAAAAATTGTATTGATTCTAGGTAGCTATGCCAATATTGCTATACAGCCATTACCCAATGATATGTGCAGTTGCACAGTTGTTCTTGCCTAACTGTAGCTAAGCTGTCCTGTTATACCATGTCTGGGATATAATGTACTGTCTTAAACACTGAACAATGATACCACCTCAAACTGGCAGATTTTCTATTATGTAATCTGTGTAGAGCATGCTGATGAATGAATAATGATAATTATTAGAGTTCATTGTACCATTTGAGCTGGGTAGGGAGTCATATACTTCCCTACAAATTGTTACTATACTGGCCTAGACCTTCCCAATGTCAAAGTCTGTTCAGGTTAAGTTTGGTACATTCATGATCCTTGTTCCTGAATTTTAGCTCATGCTGTGGAAAAACAGTAAGTCACATGGTCAAGATACAGTATACTGGAATTGTCATCTGTATTCCTCCTCATCACTTGTCCCAACATCATTCCATAGCATGTCACTGTCACTACAGACATATGTAACAAGTTACTAGCACTGGCAACAATCTGCTAAATGGATTAGGTGAGCACATCATGTTTGTGCCTCACAATTTATATGGTGTACGATCTATAGCAAAAATAAAACCACCCACATAATACTAGACTCCATACTTATCACAGTTTGCACTCACCACCCACATAATTATTCATGCCGCCACCCACATCATTTCATTGTTTGCGCCACCACCCACATCATTGTTTGCACCGCCACCCACATAATTGTTTAGTATCTACTCCAGCATTGAACTATATTCAGTTGTTAACATCTGCTTCCATCCCTTCTCCATACTCCTCCACTGCCTGTTCCTGAGTGATCATCTGCGCCTTGTACTTCCGCCAGGTTGATGCAAGTCATGTGCTGCTGATGAAGCTCAAGCCCTGCTGGAAGAAGGGTCATATCATCACCTCTCTTGATGTAATACTCTCCCCAGCCCCAGCTATCCCCCTCAGCTCCTGATCCCATTGCCCCGCGGTGATCCATGTGGGGAAACCCATTTGCTGTGAGCCACTCCTCATAGTTGCCAAGCACCTCGACTGGGAGTAGGGCGCACATCTTGCTGAAGCTCAGCGCAAATGCCAAGCAAACATCAAGCTCGTGCCTTTGCAGAAATTGCTCACTGCACTTTGGTCCCTTGACATTGCACGCCCAATCCAATGTCACTCCATTGCGGGACCCTGCACAATAGCCAGACAGGACAAGCTTGCCTGGATCCTCTTTTTAATGAGGGTTATGAGCCTGCTGTGACTGAGGAAAATCTAGGATTAATGGCTCACCCGGATATCGCGCTTCAGCATACAATCTTTGGTAATTGTCTTGTTGACTCATTCGTGAATCTGAGGATCCTTGCAGAAATCCCAGACAACAACTAGAACGAGGTCACCAGTTTTTTGTCGTGCACCATCACACCCTCATCTGCTGGAATGATGAGCTTGAGGTTGCGCTCATCAAGAATATGCATCAGCAGGCACTCGCTGTGCTTCTGTGAGTGCGTGTTAGCTGTTTTTGTGCTTGGAGGTCCTGCATTACCTGCTCACCCCTCATGTATCTGCCAGCGGCTCTTTCTCAACCCAGTGTCTCCAGCCCTCTTGGCTCTCCTTATTCTCGCAAATCCAATGGTCCTTCAGCGGGTATTCTGAGCCAGTCTCAAGCTTTTTGAGTGCATGCAGCTTGGTCATTGCCTCAAGGGCCTGTACTTTAGTGGCCTCGGTGGGCTCCTTGAGCCCAAGCTTCTCAGTCACTTGCTTTCACAGTTTGCGGAGCGACATGACCTTTGCCTCCCAGTGCTCCAATGCCCTCTGGAGTGGTGCTGGGAGCTTTTCATGAGTGGGCCCAGAAGACTGCCACATGAACTCCGAGAGCGGTGCACTGGCACTAAGTTCTGCAGGACCACCTTGTGTCTGCTTGACAAGTTCCTCTTCTAGCTTAGTTCGATGTGCAGGGTCCCATGATAGCTCAACCAAGCGAAAAGTGGGTGTTTGCACAAATTGCATGCAGAACACAAGAAATGCCTCCTTGCGAGCAGTGGCCTGAGTGGGGGACACTTTACTGTGCAGCATGATCGCAAAGCTGAGAAAAAGCTTCGGTAAGTGCATACAACAAGCATCCATGTGGCACACCTAAGCAGAGAGAGAGCAAAGACCTACTGCGAGTCTGCAGGTAGGCGAGGACTCAGAGGTGCGAGGTGAGGTGCGAGCAGAGGCATGGGAAAATTGCCAGCCAAGCGCGCTGCGGGTCTCAGTGGATTCTCACTCCCACCTTGCTTGCACCCCACCAAAGCCACAGGAGCTCTGCTGCTTTGTTCGACTTCTACTACGCCTCTCGACTCTCCCGCACCCTCGCTTTTCGTCGCACCCTTGCTGCCTGCCCACGCACCCTTACCTTGTCCTCGCACCCAGCCCCTCACCTGCTCTCACACCCTCGCGAAGTTGCCTGCCACGTGCAATGCTCATGTGCAGTCAGCTGCAGCATCGAGTCTGCCTGCAGTGGTCTGGGGCATTGCTCTGCCCCCCTGGGGCAAGTGACGACCTTGCACTGCAGCTGACTCTCGCCAATGTGCTGCACCCAACAGCCACGCGGCTGCCTGGAGTCGCACCCCCATCTTGGTGCTCCCAGAGCGCGCCGGCCGACCTTGCAGCTCCTTCGCCCTCGCCCTCTAGCTAGTGGTGCAGAGCACGGGTACACGCGCGGGTGTCCCGAGGTGTACCCGTACCCGTACCCGGGCGGGTACGGACCCATGACAGTGGGTACGGGTTACGATCCCTGAGGTACAAAGGTATCGTTCTTATGATGGACCACCATGAAACACCTTAGTGATTTCTCCAGAATGGCAGTTTGTTCCCACAGTGCATGTGACTTGCAGCCACCCCGATAAGCAGAGATAAGTAACTGTTAGTATGGGCTGCTTATCTGAGTCTGAAATTTCAGACTCCCAGATGACACGTTGCACCAAGAGACACAAACAAATGCAGTGGTTAAGCACTGTGTTATGAATATGAGGCCCATGAATAGCCTTAGCAGTTCCCCCAATAAGGAAACTGGTGAACATATCATGTGACTGGCAGCTGGTGCTGGAAGCACTCACACACTGTAGGGGCTATATAGTCTCAGCTAGTAACAAATCATAGTATACATAGTATGCTCATCTGATAGCCCTTCATTCAGAGAGTATACAGAAATTCTATTGAGTATATACAGTGGCTGACTAACCCAGGAAATGCAAAATAAAAAAATGCACATGTGCCTCTGCAGATTCAAAGTGATTGTTTATGACTCAAATATGTTCTATGTGTACACTGCAATGTATATGTGTGGTTTAGACACTGTGGACTGCTCAGTAGCTTCTATAATATAGGTAAGAAGGACTATAATGGGTAATCTGAGCATCTTTTACCATATTATGACCCCTGTATACAATGTAATGGTGACCAATGCTGCTCAAAGCCATCATACACTTGTCTTTGATGCATCTCTATATTGTATAGATTTGGGGCATTTTTATGAACCCTACATGTCCCTGTTTGTGTTGGATTCTTCTTTGGGAAGGTCAGATACTCCATATGGCAATTATCCAGCCACTGGTTTCTCTTGCACATACACACAGACTAGGTATACATATATGCATCTTTTCTTACACTATCATCCTATGGGGATGTCCACTACATGAGTAGTTCCTAGAGTGAAGTAGCAGGCTTATATAAATAAGATCACTGGTGCCACAGCAACCATCTTACCAGGTTATTGAGAATGCCATCGTATCTGATGTCAAAATCATGTCATAGACAGCTTAAATCATATTACCTGGGCCATTTCCAATATTCTCTCATTTTTCCACTTTTTCCTGGGTCTAAACAAGCCCATTTAAGTGCAGTAACAGTCCGCTCTTACATCGCTTACTAAGCGCCTGATAAGCGCCCAGATGCCGTTCGGAGGTGCATCTGTGCGGAAATTTGGCATGGTTGCACCTCCGAACGGCACGAGAGGGATGCCGGGCCACTCTGATTGGTGCACCAAGCCCCTTTCTGCCCTAATCAGGCAGGCTGCCGAGGTTATGGGCTGAGTTTGAATCTCAGCCACAGGCTCATTGGTGGCACTGTATCTCCTGCAGTGTGACCTCGATAAAATGCGGAAAATCCCCAAAATATTCTCTAGGATAGGTATGATGTCATAGAGTATATATAGCGGCTGTGTCTTGCCCATCAACTGCAGTGGTTATGGCACAATTCACACAACAAAAAAACACACATGTGCCTCTGTGCATGTCAGTGCATTTCTTTTCAGCTTCAAAGTGACTCTTTTGATGCCTGCAGACTGCCCATAGATTGTGTATGTCATTATGACATTTGAAACTTGCCATAAAGGGTAGCTAACCTTCCCCAAATGGTAATTTTCATGCAGCTGCTCAGTCTGGGCTCAGAAAATGCAGATAAAACCAGGACATATTCTGGGCAATTGGACTCACTTGTACTACCTGCTGTATGTAAGACATTAATGCAGTATAGCACCCCCAGAGGCTATGACTAGTATGACTTGCCTCAGACAACAGAAAAACACACATACCTCTGTAGACATGATTTAGTGGCATTTGACTGCAATACAATGACTGAAGTATGATCAACTGGTTTAGAGATAGTAAGCTCACCCAATTGACCTTCATTCAGATAGTTTCCTGAGAGAAGTGGTTGAATGAGGAGCAAAATGCTAATATAAAAAACAGCAGTGACTCTGTGAATATGAATTTGTTCTGTTGGATCTGAAACACATGCCATATAACTTGTATTCCCATGTACATTGCTTCCAACACATTGATGTCTCTGGAACATGCACAGCAGTGCTATGAATGGAGAAGTATTGTCATAACATGCATATGTTAGTGTCCCAGTAATGAATGACCATATATGGAGGTCTTCTCTACTTGTCAATATGCTTAGAGATGCTCCAAAGATCTCCTGGAATATTATCCGATTTTCCTGCACTTTTCTGAGCCCAAAACAAGCCAGTTTTGCTGCAGTAACAGTGTGCACTTACATCGCTTACTAAGCGCTCAGTTAGGCGCCCACTGCCGAAGCAGAGTCGTCGACAGGCCGGAATTCCGGCCTGTCGACGACTCCGGTCACTCAAAAGGGATTTTGGAGCACTCTCATTGGCTGAAATGCTGACAAATATTCCCTTTTAAAATAATATTTCAGTCTCAGCTCTTCATGCCGAGTTTTTTGATGGCTTCAAGCAGCACTAACAGGCCCCAGGCGACTCCCCTAGGACCTTGTCAGATCGTAGCATTTTTTTGGCTGGGATTTCGGGCCGGACCTTGTCGTGGATAGCATTTTTTGGGGCGGCGGATAGGCTTAAGCACCCGGAACCTTGTCACAGATAGCATTTCGATCGCGTGATCTTGGTCGCACCACACCTCCGTTGGTCTTGGCTTCCATGGCGATACTGACCACCAGCGACCACGGTACGTTCGAATATGGTTAGTCTCCAGTACGCGCCACCCCTGGGCCACCGTGTTCAAGCCACAAAGTGGCCATAGTATTTAGCGAGTGTAGCGACAATAGTATGTTTGTTTTCTTGTCTTCACTCCCTGCCCCTTTCTCGACATGGAGGATGTTCTGTCCGACTACGGGACGCAATGGATTCGCAACATCCAGCTCATTAAACAAGATTTGGAGCCTTTGCTGCCAACACGAACACAGAAGATCACCAGAACAACAATCAACGCATACACAGCTTTCCTCCAGGATCAGTCCTTCCTCGAGAAGGATTTCTGTTTCTTCTCCTCGGTAATCCCCGCAATCGTCACAAGCACAGCCTCTGAGGATGCTAAGGGAAGGTCAATTGAGGGCCATTTAATCGCAGCGGTATGTTTCCATGTCTGCGATGTTCAGATTTCGGGAACTGTGCTTACGGATTCACAAGGGCGGGCGAGATACAATCCGCAATCGACCTCGCTGGGCGATACCTCTGTGCGGTGGTGAACCAGCACACTGGGTACTCAGCTGGGTAGACTTCTCGACGTCGCGCTACGGTCTTTACAATAGCATGCCTCAAATACGGTCGAGAGCATGGGCAGAACCAGTGAGTGTCATTTGGATGAAGTGGCTAGTACACTCACTGATGCCACTACGATTTAGCTTTTCATTCTCACATGTGAATACGTCCTACGCTACGTTGATACACCTCGCCCAAACTGGCGTGGTGAAGGGTGGAAATTCGTTGAGATTGCGCCACTGCCACTGCGGCAGCAAGTTGATACATGGTCTTGTGGCCTGTTCGTCTTGCTTGCTATACAGGAATTTGCGTCGCCAGGATCTGATGTGTATGCCGAGGGAAGGGAGGTCATAGAGGTCGTCAAACAGGCTGTGATGAAGGAGCTGCTTTCATTGCCGTACGTGATTGACTACAACTACTGATGATCCTGACTAATGTGCATTCTGTAGTGTGTTTCAGTACCAAAAACGTCGTCATGCTGAGCTGCTCGACGCTACCTCTGATTCCCTCACTCCACAAGAGCCAGGCACCGAGCGTGATACAGTTTCACCAGATCCAAAACAGCGCAAGGTGTCTCTGAGCCCAGCTTCAATCTCGGGCTCCGCTTCTCGTTCTGCGACATCCGGATCAGTGAATGGAGGCCCGGCAAGTGAGGCTCCGACTGCAACAACCACCAATAAGCAGACAATCACGCGAGACCGAGGTGCTGAGAGCGAGACATATGACACCGATGATGACAAGAAAACCTCGCGGCGAGCATCAGCAGTGTCATCCAAGTCTCATGGGCCTAAACAATCAGAAACACAGCGACGGACGAAACTGGAGCAAGATGAATGGTCACTGACCATTGAGGCACATCACATTCTATGCCGAGGATGTCAAAAGTGGTATAAGCTGCATTCGACGCGAACCTACGCCAATACAAACTAGAAACAGCACAAGCAAAATTGTCCTCAAATCACTGGGCAGCAAGTCGTGCGCGTCGGCCATAGTAGTAAGAAAACAAATTATGATCTAGTATGTACACAGCAGTGTACTCAGGTCCGAGCAATTTTACTAAACAGCTATCGAACAGGCTACCAATGTGCGCCGCATCACTAGCTTCCTTGGAACTGGATCTGGAGACCACAACTCGACACCGTCGCCAAGCTCAACGTCGGAGACAGGCCCCCGGGTCACGGTTGAGCTGAAATGTAAGACGGTTGCAGCGGTATGTGTCCGAAATTAGATGTGAGGTACTAGCATGAGACTCACCAACATATGCAGACACAATCAATTGCCCACTTCTTTGCTGCATCGAAGGCACAGTCTTCACGTGCCGGGTCTTCCGAATCATCCAGTACTGTCGCAAATGGGCCCGTCGATCACGCATCACCGCCGCCCTCTGAGCCCCACGATGTCCCATGTCAGCACCTGAAAGGACCACAGTACACCTACTACATCGAGACGACACAGACAAGATCGCTCGGAGGTGTCAGCATAGAACGCCACGCGATCGAGGCACGGAAGCTGTTCCCATACAAGAAGCTGCCTGCCATGAAAGGAGCCCCTGCCCCGAGTCTCATCAAAATAGAGATCCCGCCAGACGGCAATGCAGAGATCTCAGAGCCGAAGTGGACATCTGCCGAACACCGCCAACTAGATGATGTTCTGCAGTCATTCGCGCGATGGATTGTTGATTTTGGCGCACATGCAATCCGCGCAACTCAATGCCAACTGCATACAACGAACCAATCGGGAGTCTGTGACGCCTGTGAGCAGTTGCGGCACGATACTGGTCTTCAACAATCTCTGCAGCGTGTAAGTCCATTAGCAGTCCATATGCAAGGGTCTGGAATGATACTAACTCAGAGCTCGTTGATGCAGAAAGAACATGAACGGAAGCTGCCCGAGGACATTCATCAGGTGAAACATGTCGCCCGTGAAACACATGCACACTCAAACCTGAGGGCACCCGACGTTCGTGAGCTCCACTGACAAATGAAGGACCCGCTCTTGTACGCGCTATGGACGCGCATGAAGGATAATGATCTGTTCCGCTGCTACCTCGAGCTGTATCAGTATGCAAGGGCAGGTAAGCTCATCAAACACGAGATGAACGAGAGCATTTGCAAGGTCTTGAGCGACAAAGTGCGTCGAGAGGACTCGGAAAATCCAAAGCTCAAGCATGGAATACGCTACACTGAGCCGTACCTGCAATTCAGTTTCATGATGCGCGGCCGTGGGCAGTTCTCGGCGCAGAACTACGTGATTCTCGGTGAACACATACCCCTGCCTAATCCGCGCACAATTCGGTGAGTACATTGATGCTCAGTATACACGTCACATGGAATTGAATACTGTCATGCCAGGGCTCTTGTGTCGAAATCAGACGACTGTTTACAAAACCCCGATCTTCATTACGAGAACATTTCCCGTGTCAAGTGATTCCTGGACGTGTATGAGTATTCAGGGCCTGTTGCAGTGTCTGGCGACTGTACGAAGGTGCGCCAACGCGTGACCTACTCCTCAGACTTCGGAGGGCATATTCTTGGCTCGACTCTGGCACTGGATGACTGCATAGTGAAAGAAGCCGCAGATATTGATCGCGTTATGGAGTGTATTTGTGACGAGCAGGCCTATGCGAAACAGACACGGGCCATCCTGATCAAGGTACGTTGTCTCTGTGTCCGACTACTTGTGCTTGCAGCTCACATTACCGAAAGGTTCCCCAACCTCAAATACCACCATTTATCATCGCACTTCTACCGACAACTGGAAAAGATGACACCAAACTTATCCATGGATATCACTGCAGAATCCTAGAGATGGCAGCTCAGGTATCCCTTCCAATCATTACATTCGCCGCTGATGGAGCTGCGTCCGAGCTGAATGCCCAAGTCATGATGGACAATAAAGTGTCTTCCCTCCCTCCTGTGATGTATCAATATCCAGCATTTGGAATCATGCTCAAGGCCCCTGTGTTCAAGGTAACTGGCCCTGTGGTCTCAGTCTCGGATCCTGAACACGCGAGGAAGACCGCCAGGAATCAGCTGCAACACGGGACACATATGGCTAGCTTGGGGCGAGGCTACTTGGTGTACCGTACTCTCATCGCGCTTAATGAGGTCCCTAACTCGGGCCTGGTGTTGAGTGACGTGCAGAACGTCGACAAACAAGACGACAGTGCGGCACATCGATTGTTCCACACAGAGGCCCTCAAGGCCACAACATACAAGGGTGAAGATGCGCAAACAAACATTGAGGAAGACTTTCTCGGCCTACATGTGTTCCTTTCAGTTTTCGGTACGTCTATCATCATGCCTTGGAGCCGATCTAATTTTTGTTATACTGATAGGTCTGCTATTTGACTCATGGCTCAATCGACGGATGACTGCGCGCGATCGTGTTCTGTCTGCCCTGCGAGCTAGATTCTTCCTGCACATCTGGTGGACCCATATTAAGTCGCTCTCCACATTCTACCCCGATCTGTACTCCACACAACGGTCATTCATATCCGCGGCTAGCTTCAAGATCCTGAACCGGCTCTGCGACACCCTCGTTCTTCTGGTTCTCATCTATGCCGAGTACTACCCAAATGAAGCCTTTTGCCCTTGGCTCCTAGGGACCAACCTTCTCGAGCATTTCTTCGGGACGGCACGATCTCTGGTCCCCAATTTCAGCTATCCCGAGCTGCTCAAGCTAGTCAAACTCGCACGGAAGAGCACCGGTGCAACAAAGGAATGTACTGCTCGTTCTGGGTATATCCTTGACTACGACGACTCTCCTCTCACGGCAGACGAACTTGTGCGAGCCCGTGTTAAGCTTACTAGACCAGACCTTAAAAAGCTCGTTGAGCTTGCGGCCAGCGAGGCTAAGGCCATTTCCTCGAAGATCCTGCGAATGCGCGTGCCACGCAGCCCTTGGGAACTCGCGCCTATCAATGCTCCGACCTCTCGAAAGAAGAACAGATCAACGAAGGATGATACCGATGACATCGACACTACCGACAGCGACTCGGACCTTTCAGACGAGGACTTCGATGAGTCGTCTGATGACGACTCCAATGCCGGTGAAGATAACTCGGACACCCTCCAGGATGGGTCAATTTCCGAGCGCACAGAAATTGCCGCTGCTGAAGTTGGACGCCTTGTGGCGCTATCTGAAGACCTCGAAGCGACAAGGGAGGAGATCGAGAGTCTTCAAGTTCCCTCTGGAGCACGGCTGAATCAACCACTCGGTGCTGCCAGTGCCAAGGACGTCAAACCCTTGACAAAGACAGGCACCATGCACCGCCTGAACGCCAGACACGACCCAAAAGATGAACAATCAGAAACTGGCACAGCAGGCCCTATCCTGCAAAGCGAGTTCGTCGGAAGTACTACGGGCGATGTCTCCATTGCGTCATTACTCGCTCTCCGCACCCGACATCAAGAAGGGACCAAAGTTCGTTCTCAACGCATTGTCCAGATTGACTCGAAGTTTCACGCTCGGGAAAAGACCAATGCAACTCATGAGCCAAGTACATGGGATGGCGCGACTCCAGCAGTGAGTCAGATGGCCGGTACTCTCTCGGGCGCGCGTGCGGCAAAGGAATCCGTAGTACTGGACAGTGAATGGGCCCTTAAGAAGTACAATGACTCGGAGATGGCAGAGACCACCAAGACGGTTGTCAAAACATTGCCCTCGTCGACGTCAAAAGGAATGAGTACTAGTAAGAAGGCCATTGGTGTGACTATGAAAGAGGCAACACATCGAGTGCGTGTTCTTCAGCAGCTACAAGGTGCAACACCTCGAGCTATCTCCACACGCACTATGTGCTGGACCGAAGTTCTCAAGGGGGTATCGTGCAAGGTGCCCTTGACAGGTATGTGCTCATAACTCCAGTATGGGCTGTCCATCTAATGTCTGGTGTGCAACAGTCGTACCGAATGTCCTCGGCCGGAATATTAGCACTGCAAATCCTTTGCAGATCGGCTCTACTGTCCTAATGAAGAACAAAAGTGGTCGAATCTATGTTGGCGATGTGCTAGACATACTGAAGAAAGTTAGCAATTGTTACGCCTCAGTTACCGAGTCTACCGATGGCAAAGGTGTCACCAATCTCTCGCTCACTGTTTATCTCGAGTGTAATGCGAGTGAAATTGAGGTATGATGTTCCTCTACTATCTCTACATCTGAAAATACTCACATGCTCTGCGAAGCCTGATGATGATGATGACTACTACGAAGACGAAGATGCTGATCAACCGTCGCCTCCCCCTGTGTTCTTGTGCAAAGACCAACGGTGCGGTCAAGAGGGCTATTTGCACACTCATGCTCGCATGCAGGACCTTGTCTATCACTTTGGACTCAGTATGTTGGTCGGTCCACCAACACACAAGCAACTGCGTCGAGAAGCAGAGCTACAATGGCGCCATCTGAATACAGCCGCAGTCCGGAGCATCTTGAAGGACGGCGACTCGGGGAAGTCGGCGCCAGCAAAGAAGTAAGCAAGTAACTGAGTAGTCAAGTTTAGTATTTGTTATTCTTTACTGTAGTACATGCTACTCTACGTTATGACATACCTATTTGCAATACTGCATGCATACCAGCATACGCGAGGATGATAGTACGTGCACGGACTCGCACGGTGGGCTCGGGGAGGGTAACAGAACACGTGACATAACGCGTATGACACTGTTACATAAGTGTTACGACGTGACGAACCTTGTCGGATATAGGATTTCTGAGGGCTGAAAAATAGGATTTTTTTGGCCAATTCGGAGGTTCCGACCCGACAAGGTCCTTGGGGAGTTGCCCGGGGCCTGCACTAACTGAGAGCCCCATTAAATGCAGAAAAATCCCAAAATATTGCTTCTCCATGGGATGCCCCTTGGGTACTGACAGGGGTGCCCAGAATAGGTGTTCTTGTTGTTTTTCACAGAGTACGGACCTTGGCAAGTGATACTGGGGATATAGGCAAATCTTGGTGTGTATATGATGCTTGTACTAGACAGTTCTTACATGTATGAGAGTGGGGGATATTGAACATACAAAACCACCATATATGGTTAGTCCCCTGCCTATTTGGGAAGTTGGCCATGCATGGCTCATAAGTCCATTGTAGTTCTGCACTGTTGCTTAGTAAGCAATGCAAGTCTACATTATTTCCAGAGCAACCATGGCTCCCTCTGAGCCCCATCAGGAAGAAATCACAGCATACACTGCAATATGAGTGCTAGTAGACATTGCACAAACAGACACCATTGTCAATACATTCTATATGAACAAGTCAAGAACTGCCTACTCTATCTCCACATACCAAGGGCCATTGCATGAGAATAGGATGATGGTAGTGCGTACAGAGGTTAGATATGCTCCAGGAAAAAATCATATGAGGAATTAACAACTAAGCATAGCACCATCATACTGTATAATTGGCACTGCTTCATAGACATGCTTATACTGGACTGGTACAATAGAGCTGCTGACATCAGGCTATATGCATGATCTCTGCATTAGCAAATCTGAGATGTACTGTCTGTCATGCATGAGCCTACAACAGTCAGCACAATATGAAGTCATGGGATTGTCTGATTTTATCTTATTTCCTACTATTTATCTAGCATTGCAGAGACCATCAAAGACTTTGATATACTATGTGTGGTAATGTGGTGGCCCCACTTCATGACATTGCTAGCCTATTGATTTTCTAGCAACAGTAGTAAATGCACAACACAACTTGTACAATGTCTTTGTATCACTTTCTAGGAGCAGTACAGTGTGAAAAAGCTCTGTGAACCTGTAATATTTTCACATGTGACACAGAGTCAATATTATGAACATACTCAGCATTAACTGTGGCCTTTGTGCCACAGGTGTTCACCATTTTCTGCATATGCCATTGCCTGCCCAAGGGTTTACACATTTTGGAAGGTCAGTTACCAGATATGGCATGTTTCAGGTCTCATATAGCCACACAATTCACAGGAAGTGGTAAGCATCACAGGAAGCATAAACAATGTGATAGAACCAGTGTGTACAGAGGCATATGTATTTGCTTTTGCTTTGTGAATGGTGCCATATTTATATGAATCTATGGGAAGGCATAATATGTACTGCCTCTCTGACATCATATACATGACTGGGAATATTACCAATTGTTTTTGAATTTTTGGGAGACCATAGCACAGCAAATACAGTGTCACTAATGAGCTTGTGGCTTGCATTCAAACTCAGCCCAACAGCTTGGCAGTCTGCATTTTTGGGGCCCATTGAACAGTTGAACTAAACAGAACAGCCTAGGATCCTCTCTGGAGTTGCCAGTCCCTGAGAATTCCAGGTGATAGTGGTGCTTACAAGATGGACCAAGATCACTGAAAGAGTGGCTTGTATCAGGCTATGCATGGGTCACTCTGCATTATCATATGTTTTCTGCCATATGGGAGCCTCAACAGTCAACTTAATATGAATCCATAGTACCATCTGATTTTGTTCTGGTTTTTCTGCTATTTATCCAGTCCTGCAGAGGCCATGCATGGCCAACTTCCCAAATAGGCAGGGGACTAACCATATATGGCGGTTTTGTATGTTCAATATCCCCCACTCTCATACATGTAAGAACTGTCTAGTACAAGCATCATATACACACCAAGATTTGCCTATATCCCCCAGTATCACTTGCCAAGGTCCGTACTCTGTGAAAAACAACAAGAACACCTATTCTGGGCACCCCTGTCAGTACCCAAGGGGCATCCCATGGAGAAGCAATATTTTGGGATTTTTCTGCATTTAATGGGGCTCTCAGTTAGTGCTGCTTGAAGCCATCAAAAAACTCGGCATGAAGAGCTGAGACTGAAATATTATTTTAAAAGGGAATATTTGTCAGCATTTCAGCCAATGAGAGTGCTCCAAAATCCCTTTTGAGTGACCGGAGTCGTCGACAGGCCGGAATTCCGGCCTGTCGACGACTCTGCTTCGGCAGTGGGCGCCTAACTGAGCGCTTAGTAAGCGATGTAAGTGCACACTGTTACTGCAGCAAAACTGGCTTGTTTTGGGCTCAGAAAAGTGCAGGAAAATCGGATAATATTCCAGGAGATCTTTGGAGCATCTCTAAGCATATTGACAAGTAGAGAAGACCTCCATATATGGTCATTCATTACTGGGACACTAACATATGCATGTTATGACAATACTTCTCCATTCATAGCACTGCTGTGCATGTTCCAGAGACATCAATGTGTTGGAAGCAATGTACATGGGAATACAAGTTATATGGCATGTGTTTCAGATCCAACAGAACAAATTCATATTCACAGAGTCACTGCTGTTTTTTATATTAGCATTTTGCTCCTCATTCAACCACTTCTCTCAGGAAACTATCTGAATGAAGGTCAATTGGGTGAGCTTACTATCTCTAAACCAGTTGATCATACTTCAGTCATTGTATTGCAGTCAAATGCCACTAAATCATGTCTACAGAGGTATGTGTGTTTTTCTGTTGTCTGAGGCAAGTCATACTAGTCATAGCCTCTGGGGGTGCTATACTGCATTAATGTCTTACATACAGCAGGTAGTACAAGTGAGTCCAATTGCCCAGAATATGTCCTGGTTTTATCTGCATTTTCTGAGCCCAGACTGAGCAGCTGCATGAAAATTACCATTTGGGGAAGGTTAGCTACCCTTTATGGCAAGTTTCAAATGTCATAATGACATACACAATCTATGGGCAGTCTGCAGGCATCAAAAGAGTCACTTTGAAGCTGAAAAGAAATGCACTGACATGCACAGAGGCACATGTGTGTTTTTTTGTTGTGTGAATTGTGCCATAACCACTGCAGTTGATGGGCAAGACACAGCCGCTATATATACTCTATGACATCATACCTATCCTAGAGAATATTTTGGGGATTTTCCGCATTTTATCGAGGTCACACTGCAGGAGATACAGTGCCACCAATGAGCCTGTGGCTGAGATTCAAACTCAGCCCATAACCTCGGCAGCCTGCCTGATTAGGGCAGAAAGGGGCTTGGTGCACCAATCAGAGTGGCCCGGCATCCCTCTCGTGCCGTTCGGAGGTGCAACCATGCCAAATTTCCGCACAGATGCACCTCCGAACGGCATCTGGGCGCTTATCAGGCGCTTAGTAAGCGATGTAAGAGCGGACTGTTACTGCACTTAAATGGGCTTGTTTAGACCCAGGAAAAAGTGGAAAAATGAGAGAATATTGGAAATGGCCCAGGTAATATGATTTAAGCTGTCTATGACATGATTTTGACATCAGATACGATGGCATTCTCAATAACCTGGTAAGATGGTTGCTGTGGCACCAGTGATCTTATTTATATAAGCCTGCTACTTCACTCTAGGAACTACTCATGTAGTGGACATCCCCATAGGATGATAGTGTAAGAAAAGATGCATATATGTATACCTAGTCTGTGTGTATGTGCAAGAGAAACCAGTGGCTGGATAATTGCCATATGGAGTATCTGACCTTCCCAAAGAAGAATCCAACACAAACAGGGACATGTAGGGTTCATAAAAATGCCCCAAATCTATACAATATAGAGATGCATCAAAGACAAGTGTATGATGGCTTTGAGCAGCATTGGTCACCATTACATTGTATACAGGGGTCATAATATGGTAAAAGATGCTCAGATTACCCATTATAGTCCTTCTTACCTATATTATAGAAGCTACTGAGCAGTCCACAGTGTCTAAACCACACATATACATTGCAGTGTACACATAGAACATATTTGAGTCATAAACAATCACTTTGAATCTGCAGAGGCACATGTGCATTTTTTTATTTTGCATTTCCTGGGTTAGTCAGCCACTGTATATACTCAATAGAATTTCTGTATACTCTCTGAATGAAGGGCTATCAGATGAGCATACTATGTATACTATGATTTGTTACTAGCTGAGACTATATAGCCCCTACAGTGTGTGAGTGCTTCCAGCAACAGCTGCCAGTCACATGATATGTTCACCAGTTTCCTTATTGGGGGAACTGCTAAGGCTATTCATGGGCCTCATATTCATAACACAGTGCTTAACCACTGCATTTGTTTGTGTCTCTTGGTGCAACGTGTCATCTGGGAGTCTGAAATTTCAGACTCAGATAAGCAGCCCATACTAACAGTTACTTATCTCTGCTTATCGGGGTGGCTGCAAGTCACATGCACTGTGGGAACAAACTGCCATTCTGGAGGAATCACTAAGGTGTTTCATGGTGGTCCATCATAAGAACGATACCTTTCAATGTACCTCAGGGATTGTAAAGCTGGCTGGTCCAGCCTCATTGCCATCACAGTGCATGTCTACCTGGAGTTTGTAGATGGTGGCCCTGCCAAGCCAGTGCCCAGGATCACTTTTAAACCAGACCCAGGCATCAAAGGCAGTCTTGAACTGGTCATAGACATCAGGCCACAGTCCCTTGAACATCTTGGCCACAATAGCTGTCATTGTTGTGCTCTGGTTGAAGTAGACTTGAGTTGCTGAGGTGGCTGAAGCAGTGCACCTGGTGTCAGAAGAGGGTGTCATTGGCTGAACCTTACAATTGAGAAGATACTCCCCAAGTATAATGTAATGTATAAGCACATCACCTTATACACATGGCCCTGTTGATGCCAGCAATGAACTAGGTGGTGAACACCCCTTCTCTCCTTTTTCTCCCCCTTCCTGTCATCCAAATTGGATGCCACATGAGATAAATGTCTTCTTTGTCATGATCTGCTATGTGATGTATATCTGTCTTTGGCCCAATAGGATGCAACTTGGAGCTGAGAAACTGCAGAACTTGTTGGTAGTTGTTGAGAAACTGAGGCTACTGCAGAACTTGTTGGTAGTTATTGAGGAACTGAGGCTATTAGTGGTTATACATGAGTGTGGTGCCTCAACAAAGCAGTGTCATACACTCACCGGAATACCATCAAATTTGGATTTGAAGGTCACACCATCTGCTAGGCCTGAAACATTGTGCTGGCTATACAGAGGCTGCACTTGGGGTGCACAAGGCATTAGGCTGGTGCCAGTGTACTCCACGTGAATAGTTCTTCTGTCAACCAAGCTAGCAACATCTCTCCCATGACCTGTCCAGTACCATGGCTGGTGACAAGCCTACTCTGATGTTGGAGCAGCTACCATCTGTGGACCAAATCACTGGCAAAAGGAAGCAACATAGAGGGGTGGAGTCTTCTGCTAAGTGGAAGCAACACCACAAAGAAAAGGTGAACAGTGAGCAAGGAAAGCCAACAGCTGTCACATCTGCAGCACAGGGTGGTAACTGAAGGAACCAGCTACTATGATGTCCTTCAATCTCAAGATGGGAGTCAACATCACAAAGAGTGGGTGGCAGGGTAAATCAGTTACAAAGCTGTCTCAGGAGGACATTGTGGCTTGCTGGTGCAGTGGCCATATCCACAAAGAAGTCAGCAAATTTTTGCAACTGCCATTCTTGGGAACAGGGTCAGTGTATTGCATAGCAATTCTGGGTCTCAATCTGATAACAGCCACAGCCCACAAGCTGCTTTGAAGGTTGTTGATGTTCACGATCAGCTCTTCTTCTATCAGTGTTTCCCTGTGCCTTTTCTGAATGAAGAGAATTTCCTTTATATCCACAACACTGATATTGGAGGCCCATACCAGCAAAGCTGAGAGATTGCCTGTCTCATAAGGCATTGGAGGCAATCTGCATTGGTAGGTGATTGCTCAGATTTTGCTGATCAGCTTAGGTTGACTTCTTGTCACAGCACATGTTGTTAACAAACTGGCAGATGGACAATGGGGCCAAAGTGGATGCAGGTTTGATTTATAAACCTTTTGTTGAACTGAAGTCAGTGTCAGGTTTAATGTAATGTTCCAGCTAACTGTGTGATGTAGTTGATTGATTGAAAGCACCCTCAAGGCTGTCTTTCCAAGAGTCCACAAAATATTCCACAAGTCAGCTGCATGGCATGTAATTCACAGTGAGATGTCCCCAATGTTTGGAGGCTACTGGAACCTTTGTCTCAATGGAATCTGTTAGGACCTGGGGCTATGTCTGTAGTATAAGCTTACTATACTATACCTTTGGTAAAGTCTTGTAAGTCTCCAGCAATCAGAAGTTAGATAGGAGAATGTTACTACTTTGTTACAGAGGAGTAGTAATGAAGTGTTATCTGGTGTGTAGATTGCGAGTCTCCTGGGTTGGAACAAGACTGGGAGGGATCGAGGGTGTCAGTAGAAACGAGTCACAACAGGCAGGGGCTGTTGGCAAGTGGAGAGGAAGGGGATGTGTTGATACATCTCCGGAGGGGATATATGTTGAGCAGACTTGGTCACACGTAGTGGACCGCGCTCTAACTTACCTGCTTGAAGGTTGGATACTTGAGGCACACAAGTTACTTCGTGGTGAAGGAACTGAAGAGAGAGCTATGCTACTGGTGGGTCTTATATACATCTGGAAGACGCTGACTAATACTACTGTATAGTCCATTCCCACGCATGACTTGCTCTATGCGGTAAGTGCGGATCCAGCACGTGCGGTGCGATCCGGCCCGTGGAACCCGGCGGCCCGGTGGGCGCTTATACAGTTCAACACTCCCCCTTGCTAAGTATGTCCCTGACATACGAAGCATCTCCTGGCGCCATGGGCTGCTGTCCGTGGTTGCTCTAGGACTCTTCATCGTAGAATTGAAGTCCGAGCATGCCCCTGAACTTCTGGAACTTGACGCGGCCCAAGTTCTTGGTGAAAAGGTCTGCCGGATTGTCATCAGTGCCAATGAAGAAGACTTCGACTTGTCGTTCTTCAATTAGCTCCCTGATATAATGATAGTGTATGTCGATGTGTTTCGACCGCCTCTCAGTTACAGGGTTGGAGCCGATGAATATCGCTCCCTGATTGTCCGAGCAGATAGGTAGTGGGCCAAGTGGATATCCAATCTCCGTGAGGAGCATCTTAATCCATACGACTTGGCAGCTGCAGTCGCTGAGCGACATGTATTCAGCCTCAGTTGAAGACAGTGCTACTGTCTTTTGCCGTCGAGACAGCCAACTGAACACTCCACCGGCTAACTTCATAAAGTAGCCACTCTGAGACCTCCGCATCTCCGGGTCGTTAGCCCAGTTGGAGTCTGTGCACGCCAAGACACCTTGTCCAGTCTTGCCGCTGTATACAAGCGCATAGGACTTGGTTCCAATTAGATAGCGGCAGATATACAGCACTTTATCCAAGTGGTCCTGTGATGGGTTCGCAGCATGTTGCGCGAGTTTTGTCACAGCAAAACAGATGTCAGGGCGAGTTCCAAGCATAATATATAGCAAGGAGCCAATGACAGTCTGGTACCAACTTCGAAGTGCAGGGTCAACCGTGCCAGTGTAAGGCTCAGGTTTGTAGCCTGCAGGGAGTGGAGTAGGCGCAGATTTAGCATTCTGCATGCCACAGCGCTCAAGCACTTTCTCAAGGTAGGCAGTTTGGTCAAGATGAATCTCATTGCCTTTCCGAGTAATGCTCATTCGCAGAAACTCCTTGACGTCGCCAAGGTCGCGACACTCCCACTTCTTCATGAAGCGGTTCTTAAGAGCGGCCACTAGGGCCTTGTCTTTTCCGCAGAAAAGGGCATCATCCACATAGACGATGATGAGGACGAACCTCCCATCTTTTGTCTTGTAGATGAAGATTCCGGCATCGGATACAAGGCGTACACAGCCAAGTTCCTTGAGGGACTCATTGAGGGTGCGCCACCACGCAAGCCCTGCCTGTTTAAGTCCATAGAGAGCACGCAGTAGCCGGAGGACTCTGTGCTCTTGGCCTGGGACTTTAAAGCCGTCAGGCTGCTCCATGTAAATCTCCTCGTTGAGTTTACCATAACGCATTACGGACATTGAGTCCGGAGATGTGCATGCCCTCGAGCGCAGCTAGCGCAAGTATTAGGCGCACGGTCTCAAAGCGTACGACGGGAGAGAAGACCTGATCATAGTCAAGGCCTTCAATCTGGGAGTAGCCTTTTGCGACTAGTCTAGCCTTTTTACGACCGTCAGTTTTGACGTCGAAGACCCAGCGGTTTTTGGTAACCCTTCGTCCCTTAGGACGGTCTACCAACTCATAGACGTTGCGCTTGCGTAGGGCCTCTAACTCCTCGTGACACGCTAGTATCCACTTCTCTTGCTCTTCTTTGGGTAGCTTGAGAATATCGCGGTATGTCCATTCACGTGGATTGGACGTTGGAGAATCATGTTCAACAGATGGTATTGCGCATGAAAGCAGCATGTTGACCATTCCTACTCCCCCTTCCCGGCATAGTCGTGCCATGAGTAACTCCTCGACTTCTTCGTCTGAGCCCGAGGCAGATCCAGAAGGTTGGTCTGGCTGTGGTTCTGGCGCGCTAGGTCCGGGAACCTGTTGCTGCGACCCTGATTGAGGGTTAGGGCGGGCGCTACCCGACCCTTCTCCGACAATCTTTTTCCACTGCCCCTTCTTTTCAATCTCTTTGTACTGATCTATGGGATTGCGATTTTCACCGTAGACGTTCCCTGGGCGAGTTACATGCTTCCGCTGACGACCTGATTTCCGCTGCCCTTGAGGCGCAGGAATTCCCGAAGGTTGTGGCGGTGGAACTGGACTGGGCGCCTTTGGCTGCTCCTGAGCATCGTCAAGCTCATCGTCCGTTCCCTTTGGAAGGTGGTAGGGATGAGAGATATCCTCATCGTCTGAATCCTCCTGAGAAGTGGGTTTTGGCGTGCTTTGCAGCCTAGTATTACCCCGCCGCTTCATGCTGGGGCATTTTGGGAACATACTCTCGTCGAACAACGCATGTGACGACGTATAGAGTACATTATTTGGTGCACGCATGAACAAGTCACCGTGACCTCCGGGGGCGACACCGAGGTATGTCATTAACTCTGACTTTCTAGACAGAGTGTTATTGCGCACGTCCTTGGGGATAAAGATGTATGCGCTGCACCCGAATACTCGTAGGTGCCTAATGGCAGGAGCCTCACTGTTCAACATCTCATATGGTGTCAGCCATTTGAGGCGACGAGATGGTGTCCTGTTGTACACATGGACAGCGTGGTTCACCGCAAATTCCCACCAGGATTCAGGTAAACACGCTTCAAGGCGCATAGCCTGAGCTTTGTCCATTATTGTCCTGTTGAGTCGCTCAGCTCTGCCATTCTCCTGAGGAGTGTGCGGCGAGCTTTGCAAGATCTTGATGCCCTCGTCTTTCAGCATCTTGTCAAATGCGTCAGACTTGTATTCTCCCCCAGCATCCAACATCCATCCTTTAACTTCCTTGCCATATTGGGTTTTAACCATGGCGAGGAATTGCCGCGTAGACGAGATCACAGCACTTTTGGTGCGCAGATTCACAGTCCAGGCGTGGAACGTGTAGTCGTCATAGTACAGTATGTAGTACCTGTACTTATGGTAGGAGTCAAGCGGGAACGACTTCACATCGCTGTGAATGAGCTCGAAAGGTTCTGTCGCTCGCTTTGTGGATGGCGGGAAAGCCTTGTTGGGCATTTTCCCTTCTGCACATCCTGGGCACACAGGATCCTCCGTAGGGAACTCAACCCTGAGAGGGAAACCGTCGGTGTGTTTTTCAGCCTTCTGAAGAACATCCTTTGAGGGATGCCCAAAACGGCGGTGCATAGTTTCATAGTCTACCGTGAAGACCGTATTGTGGATACTTTGCGCGTCTTCCCCAGAAGACGCAGCATAAATCCCAAAGATAGAGCCACCTGGGTTCAGTGGTTTAAACATGTATAGTGGATCCCGCGATCCCGGCTCATAGAGGTCAATGTGCTGCGAACCACCGCGCACAGTCATGCCTTCTTTGAGGAAAGTCCCCATGGACAACAACCGTTGATGCAGACCTTGGAAATAATAGACGGGATATAGACGAGTTGTAATCATCTCACCGTCTCCACCCAAGAAATTGATGAAGACGGTCCCGCGCTTTGTGCAGCGGGCCGTGCCGTTCGCGGTCTGCACCAGGATGGGTTCGCTGAGATCCTCAACTTCAGCGAAGTCACTCATCCGGTTGGTAAAGTGCATTGAAGCACCAGAGTCCAACATCCAAGTTGGGTCTCTGTCAGGGTAGGCTTCATTGCCACCCTCTAGGACATCCTCAATCTTCATTTTTCCCTTACACTTGGAGCACGCTGCAAACTCTCGCGCGTGACGACAGTGTATATATTTGTGTAATGAACTACCGATACATTCATTCATTACACGCGACTTAGATGATACTCTACTACATGCGGCTGTGGGTAGCGCATTGTCAGTAGGTCGCATGGGAATTGAAGATGAGGGTACTGACCTGGCGTCCTCGTCCAGATCAATCCCGGCGGCCATCGTGATGTCCTCGTCGACGTTCTCGCCGACGTCCTCGTCGTCCGACCCCCAATCAAGGGGTTCCTGGGTCTCGGCCCAGGTGCCGTCGTCGTACGAGTTGTAACCCGTGTTCACCTCGTCGATCCTCTCGGCCATGTTGTTGTTGTCGTCGTCAGAGAGACGAGGGTGCTTGGATGCATGCGACTCTGCGTCAGAGAGGTAATCCTCGATCTGCACGGAGTTGTCGACAATTTGTGTGAGCGTTTTGAGGCGCTCAACCGTAGGAGACACGTTGACCTGCTCGGCCAACTCGAGGGCGTGTTGCAGCCATCGCTGGCAGTTGCACATGGGGCGCTTCTGCACAGGCGCACGTGTTTCGACGGTGCGGACTTTGCTGCCCGAAGGCGCGATGTCTACGACGTGGGACGTAGACTAAGACAGACCTGCCACTGACGCCTGCGAGGCGATGTGGGCATGGTCGTGACCGTGGTTGCCGCCGTCCTTCTGGGCACGGGTCTTCTTGCCGCTGCGTTTACCGCGCTGCTTGCCCTTGCCCTTGTCGGCCTTCTCGCCGCTGCCGCTGCCGCCATCATGGCGCTGCTGCTGCTGCTGGAAGCTCGGCTCGCCTTGCTTTTGCTTGACGGCCGAGATCTTCTTCGTGTCATGCGAAGAAGACACCTTCTTGCCCGAGCCTTGCTCAAAGGCGAGGTTGGCGGCGTGCTGGACATCCGAGATCTTGAGCTTCTTGACATCCGTCGTTTGCAGCATGACCTGCACAATGTTGTCATACTGCGACGGTAAAGCATTCAGGGCCATCCATCATGGCCAGAAGCGCGTCGGGGATCTTGAGCTGGTTATCTTCGAGCTTTTCGCAAGCATCAATGATTTTGGCGAGGAAAGGAGCGGCATCAGGAAAAACCGGTTTTACTTGCCAAGCTACAAGGCAAGTCAAAAGAACTTGGTTTACTTGGCAAAGACGCTCACCGCTTGGAATGTGCTGCAAAGGCAGCATTGGTCTTGAGATACTTGGACAAACTATAGCCTGCTTGATTAACCATCCTGTCAAGAGTTTATTAGCTGACCGGCAAGCAAAATTTGGCCAGTCAATTTTCTTTAATCTCTGAAGTGTTTCATTGATCATTCATAGATAGTTGGGTTTCTATTTGTACGCTTAATTTCAAGCTATCTATTGCCGTAAACATAGTACTTCTACTAGTAGTATGAGTGTACTCTGTGAACTCAGGGTTTTCATGTCCAGAACCAATGGAACCAGCGACGACTCGTCTGGACGTATATCGTTCAAATTAACTCGGAGGCTGTCCAACACTCTACCCAGCCTCCATCCAGCCACACTTGATGTCCACCCTCCATCCTTCGTGGGCAATGGCTACCCGTCAGCGCACAGACGGGACACGTCGGTGAGTCCTCTGCCCAGCTGAGTGGTAGTATTGTGTACTGTTCTGTTAGATCAGCCAGTCGCATGTAGTAGTGTATCTGCCAGTGGATCGACAACTCACCGAACAGATGACCATGATGTTCTGGAGGTGCCACGGTCCTTAGGAGACTCTGCTGTGAGTGTTCCCCACAGAGTTCAGCGACAACGTGTGCGCGGCAACTAATCGGACATGGGATTCTGGACGTGCAACAGTCTCAGGCTCTGTGAGCACGAGCCACACCTCCCAAGCAGTCCAGAGCGCTCGCCGCATCCACACTCTGTGCGCCCGTTGACGCATGCCGTCTGTTCAGTATCCGTACACCGCGACGCCCGACGTCCATCCACGTTGCGGCGGGTTGATCATAACAGCGCGTGAGTTTGGCCGGGCAACCGCTAGCCCTGCAGGTGAGTACGGCAACCGCCTATCCGGCCCCCCGTAATTGGCTCAGCAAATTCACGTTCGCAGGGAAACAGACGTACATGATCCCGGCGATGTGAGGTTCAGCGCCGGTGACGTCGGCAAGTATGTAGGCGAAGTTGGTCCATGGGCTTGGTCGTAGAATGGTGACGTTGCGTAGGGCGAGGTGCGCACACCACCATATGGCAACGGTGGGACATATGGAGACGTCGGCGAATACTTGAGTCCTGGCCCTTCGCCTTCTTCGTCGCCGAGGTGCGGTCAGTCGAGATGGTGTCGGATATTGACGGCGAGCCCTCGACCGGCCCGTTTGCTTCTGCATCGGCAGCAGCACAACGGCGGCGACGGACTCTTGCTCGATGGCGTGGGGCCATCCCGTGGGTGCTGTGTGAGGCGATGCGGCTGTTCGCGTTGACAATACCTGGTGGCGTCGACGGCGATGCAGACAATGCCGGGCTCGTCGAAGTCGAGTAAGACTGCTCGGGCGTGTCGGGCGTGTCAGGGCTCGTGGGCGGACTCGGATACACCGTGCTGGCGTCGACAGGCATGGGGTGGGCTTCGGTGGCGACAGGACGTGCGGCGAAGCTCAGGGTGGTGGTCGACGTGGGGCCGTATGGCGTCGTCCACGGTACTGGTGTCGGCGCAGGCGAGGGGAGCACGTACGTTGGGTATGGCCCGTGGCCCTTGGAGTCCGTCCGAACATTCGCCTCGAACTCCTTCGGCGCTGCTGGCTCGATGTTGAGTTGCCACTCGAGGTACAAACACATCTCTCGCACCATTCAGCCATCACGTCCCCCTCCTCGTCCTGCACACCTTCGAATCCAGCCTCAGTCGATCCCTTCGCACCATTAACAACACCCGCTTCCCCGGTGCGATGGGCATCCGCGACCGCAACGGAGCAACCCCGCACGGCCTCGCCGCGTATGTTCTTGAAGAACATGGCGTCGCCCGTGCTCTCGATGAACTTGCGCTGCGTGAAGCTCCACCAGAGCGCGTAGAGTGTCGGCTGGCGGCGTCCGCATCAGACTCTGGTGACCTGAATGCTGCGGAATGAGTGGACAAGGGCGTGGAGCTCGAGGGCCATGCAGTATATGAATATAACAGAGGTGGCACGGGTCGTTACCGGGCGTGCGGTAGTTCCGCAGAGCACGTACCCACCTGTAGGCTGTCCTCATGAACGGTTCCGAGAGTGGTCGAGGAACATAGGCACGAAGAGGGCGACAGAGGCACAGGCGAGTGGACGCATGGCGGGGACGTAGACTTGTCGAGCAAGGACAGGGGCACGTCCCCCGATCGTCCCTTCGCCGTGGCTCGTCCATGCGCTAGTCGGAGTGTCCTCCGGGAGTCTCGCTGTGCGCGTCGACATGTCCTGCAGAACGGGTCAGTGGGCGCGAGACACACCGTCCGTCTGCACATCTTGCGTGGCCTCATCTACGCTTACCAGGAGACCTATCCGTCGGGCTTACACATATGTACGAGGGTGCGCGTGAAGGAGAGTGCAAATGAACATGTAGATTCTGGACGTACTCAATATTATGAAATCCTATGCTTCGCTCACTGGCTAGGCAACCATCCCCGCCTGCGACTCGTCGACCTCCCTGCAACAGGATGAGCCGACCGCCGACCATCCCCTTTGCCCTCCGTCTCGGATGCCCTCTGTCCCGCCTTCCCTCGGGTTCTCAACTGCATGTTGTGCTTCGAGTCCGTTGCCTGGTGCGTGGTTTCTTTCTTGCACCGTTTGCTGGTACCGGGGACCACGACTTCTGCCCGAGCGGCGTGTTTCACAGCTGTAGACTGTCGAGTATTTGAAATGAGTCCATGATAATAATAAAATTGAAGGGACTCACTTTGGGCACCGTGCTGCTAGGTGCGCTCTCATCTTCGCTGTCCGAGGAGACCAAGTCGATGACGACCGGACCTGGCGCACTTCGCTGGGTTGTGGGCAGAGGGATATTTGTGTAGTCTTTGGTGTTCTTATAGCCGCAAAAGACAAGGCCGTCTTCTTCCAGTGCGGTTCTATGGAACTTGCTCTTCTTGACGTTGACGCGTTGGAAGCCGATATATTGAATGTCGTCGTCCGCAGCCTGAGGCTGGGCGTGGTTTGCTGACATATCTTCTAGTGTAGATGATATAGGAAAATTAGAGATTATAATGAGCGGAAGTGACGCACCGGCGATGGAGGTTGAGGTTGTCCTCGAGCAGGACACGGAGTTTGCGGTAAGAACTCGAAGCTCGGCTTGAAAGTCGATCACGATCGACAGCCCGAAGGCCGAGCCTCAGCGCTTTCCTTCTCGGGAGTCCCTCCACTTCCACTTACTCTATGCTGCTTTGCTTTTCGCTCTCGTACGCGCATCGCCGGAAACTGAGGTTGAAATGATGGAGAAGGATGCGGAGAAGGATAATAGAGCAGGTAAGTGTATCTTTGCGACGTTATAAGGGCTCTCGACGCCATGGACAACCTCGACTCACGCCTTGCCCGCTACACCTACCGCCGCCGCCGCTTTCCTTCTCACTCTCGTACGCGCATTGCCGGAAACCGTGGTTGACATGATGGAGGAGGATGCGGAGAAGGATACTGGAGCAAGTAAGTACATCTTTGCTACAATATAAGGGCTCTCCTCGACTCACGCCTTGCCCACTACACCTACCGCTGCCGCCGCCTACCGCCGCTTTCCCTCTCACTTCTCGTACGCTCATCGCTGGAAACCGTGGTTGAGACGATGGAGGACGATGTGGAGAAGGATACTAAAGCATGTAAGTACATCTTCGCGACATGTAGAAAATTCCTCGGCACCGTAGACGACCTTAACTCACGCCTCGCCCAGAAGCCAGTACATAGCGCGGCCGGGTTCCCTCAACACACACGCCGCGCACTGCGCCTCTTGGCTGGCTACTCTACTGGCCATCTGTCTACCGCTTGCCCTGGCTGCCCATCCGCATGCCCACTCGCCCGCACGCTCATTCGCCCGCACGCTCATACGCCCGCACGCCCGCTCACCCTCTCACTCGCCCGCTCGACCGCTCGACCGCTCGCTGGCCCGCTTGCCTGCATGCTAACGTACGCTCACTCATCCGGCTACTAGGTAGTCCTACATACATACACGTTTGCTAGCAAAGATTGATGGTGAGCTCCAGTCGCGTTGTAGTCTACTAGTCTACAACATTTGTATATCTTGCTTCAATAGAATGAAATATACTTCGTTTCATAGCTAGCGTTACCTGAGTCGCAGGGCGATGTGTGATCCTTAGCGTCAAGACGCTGAATTGCTCAAAATATGTACAGGTATGTTAGAGTACAAGCGGCTACCATAGAGTCTGATATGCGTACTTAGTGGCCCAGTTGTTCAATAAAAATCTATGCGCTTTGTCGAGTACGTTGTGATGACTCCAGTCATTGGGAACGTTGGGCTGTGAGTTCGTACGAGTGGGGATAGGGAAATGAGGAATCAACTGACACGACTGCCGTATCATCCGTAACGGTACTACATCTCCAGGCGGTGTGCCGTCCGTTCGAAGGGGCATCTTCCGTACGTCGTACATCATGTGTACAGGGTCGGCAGCGGCAGGAAGTTTCGCGTACCATTCAACGTACGCCAGGGGCCCTTGCTGGGCCCATTCTTCTGGGGCCGGCATTTCTGATACGGTACCATGTTCGTAGATTTTCTCGGGCAGCCTAAATATCGTTTTGACTCGCCCTATGCGAGTCCCTGGTGAAAGACTGGATTAGAGAGCGTAAGTCAAAAAGGGTTGTTGACATACCTTGCAGACCAGTGGCCTCTGCCTCTTCGCCTCGCAATACGACAACCGTATCAAATCTTGCGGGTTCTGACCCACAAGATGGCTTCGCCTTGACCGCGTCGCGGTCCAGGTTGTCATCTGTGAGGGGGAGTGTGGTGAATTTGAAACCGTGAAAGATGTCGAGGCGGGAGAAGGGGAGATAGGAGCCGGCCTTCTCAGCCTCGCCGGCGGTAAGGGGGCGACCAAGCTTCAACGAGAAGATGTGTTGATTCAAAGCTCTTGCGAACCCGGGAGCTTGATGCTTGTCCGCAATGGACGCAATTGATTGCTGCGAGACGGATGGGTGTTTTGGCAGTGTTAGCCCGGCTTGAGGATGGTGCGACTGCGCTCCGGTAACATCAGGGGATGCGTTTGGCTCGATGCGCTCTTCGTGAAGTCTCTGGCGAAGCATCTCGTACATGGCGACCTTCTCCTGACGTTCGAGCCACTTGGTCATTTGAGGCCGCTCGTCGCGATGGTTGGACGCTCGCCAGGCCTTCTTTGCGCAGTCAATGTGCAGGCGTTCGAAAAGTTCCGTGTTGTAATTATCAGTCGTGCCCAGATTACGAATACAGTCGATGTAATGGTGGAGGGAGTGAAATTTCGGTATGTTGAGGTGTTCCCGTATGCCGAGAGTCTTCAGAATCGCCTTGTGCTTGTGGTAAGTCATTAGTGCGTCCTCCAGGTAGGACAGCGTAGTGTCGTCGTGCGTTGAGTACTGGGCAATGTAGATGAAGTCGAGGAGAGCTCGGAACGTGATGATGACGGCGTGAGGCAGGCGTCCGACAAGGCATCCGAGCAGGATGCGTGCTATGTCTTTGCGTTCGCCACCAGACACTTGAGACAGGGTGGAAATTCCATTCTTGAAATGGCGCGTGCCGTATGCAGGCGGTAGGCAGCGAATTCGTTGGTCGAGTTCGGATTCGTCCATTAGTTCGCTGCACCAATCTATAACGTGTTTGAAGACACCTTGATACAATTGATGCAGTACGTCTGGCGTGATGCAGCTGTGGATATCTGTGTAAGGTAAGTCCTTCCAGAACGGGTCGACAACGTAGCCGGAGATATTGTTCTCCTTGCATGTGTTGTAGAACGCGGATGACCCCTTCTTGTCCCGGGATTTTGCCTTCCGCAGGACGTCCAGGGTCATGATTTGACGGCGCGGTGTCTTCGCTGTGTCGTCCCCAAGGGCGGGCTCCGGGCACTGGCAGATGCAGCAAGTGCCGTACTTGGTGCAGGTCACCAGGCACTGCTCCGGGTAGTCAGCAACATAGGACGCTAGCACTGGATGAACACGCCGAATTTTCCCGTCTCCCCCTGTAACATCAATTCCCTCCTTCCCGGCCTCGATGAGCGGCGCGAGGATGATCTTGACGGAGGCGTGGAAGAGTTGGTGGACGAGCGCGCGATGCTTGCGCTCACTGAGGCCCGTAGAGTCGACCTTGTCGACTGAGAGGTAGCCGATGAGGATACAGGCGTGCTCTGAAGGCTTCCGACGCAGAGCCTTCGGGATGTTGCCGAGGGTCATGTAGACCGGGTAGGCGGACTTGTTGCCGGAAAACTGGGTAAGTTGTGTTTTATCGGTCGAAATGATGACCGGGGCTAGGGCTGCGCCGTCAGGTAGAAGACTCTGAATGTAAGAAAGTAATGAGTAGGGCATAGAAACTAGCAACAACCCTGGACGCCTCACCTGCACTGCATTCCACCACCTTCCTGTCCACATTTCGGTATATATACGGTTCTTACGGCTCGTGTTGGAGAAGATTCGTCGTGGGCGATACACGATGCGGTCCGCGTGCGCAGGGTTTCCAAGGAGAGCTTTGATAGCAGCTATGATATCACGAAACTGCACTAGATGAGTTTCTCCCGGTCGGTCCTTGAACGTCAGCCATTGCTCCATCCACGGCGATCTCTCCGGTATGGAATCGACCTTTTGGAGGAGCGAGCGCATATTGTGGTAAGAAAGTCCTAGTTTCTCTCGTACCTATGTTTTGAATTAGACAGCTGAGGGGTGTTCTGAACCACAGAAAACTCACGTTGGGTATGTTGAGGAACCGGTCAACGGCACCTTGACTGATGCCCTCTTTGACGCACCACGAAGCCACCTCCCAGTCCATCTCGGTGTCAAAAGGTTCCCACAAAGAACGATTGTCTACAGCAGAATGTAAGCTTGTCATTTCTGTAACAAGATGTGTGGTCACGTACCTTCCCGGTCGCCGCAGTCAGCATCTTGGTCATTCTGTTTCGCGAAGTGCCTCTTCCATGCATCCATCATAGTACGTCCCTCTCCGACAACACGTCCTGCAGTCTTGTCGACGTCCTCAACTCGTGTGTCTTCGTCGTCATCAAGTTGTATCGCGGATTGTCGAATCCGACTGCCGGAAGACGATGCTTCGCAAGGCGGATTGCAGCCTGAGGAACTGGGAACTGGTAATGGCACGAACATCAAATCCTCTTCTTCGTCGCTACTCTCAGCATCTTCGTGTCCTGGCTGCGAATCAGAACCCGTTGACGATCCTTCACCTCTGTCGCTGGGCAGGTTCATCACGGCAGCGGGAGTTGCGGGTCTTGTTTCCCTTTAAAACATTCAGCTATTGTAGGCGTATACCGCAGACTGAATACGTACATAGCACTTCGATTTATACCGCTATTTCTCTTCTCCGACGGCGGTTCGTCCTCAGCAACATCTGCAAAGACTGCCTTCAACTTGCCCTTCTTATACCACGCACATTTGCGACTTGCAGACTGATGAGCCATCAGACCCTGCATGGTATCAAACTCCTCGTCACAAGCCCGACATGTTTGAGCCAGCAGGTCTTCCAAGCACCGACGTTTCTTGGCCATGGTCTTCTTCATCTTCGTGCGGTAAGTACATGATGTAAGGGACCGAACACCAGTCTGACGCGTTGATTTAACACTCACCTACTTCGCCCAATTGTGAACGCAATGCAGATACAGTAGGTAGAAGAAAACGGTGGTCAACAAATTAAACAAGCCCTTCCGGAGGCAAATTTTGGTGACGTGCCAGCCGCCCAAGATCCTCAGGGCTTGCTTACGTCCTTGGACACATACAGCGCTTACAGGGTTGTTCAAAGACCAGCGCAAGACTGTTTAATCAGTACGAATGGTTTCGCGGTACGTCACTTGTTCTGTACATTTTCACCGTATTCTGACACGCCTTTTCCTACCGCCTTAGCCTCGTTCAGGTGAGTTTCTTCTTCAGCAGAACTCTGCCAGGGTGACGGCCTAGCGTTTCAGCCGGCGTTCAGCGCGGTCTACGTGAGACCTCATGGCAGCGCTCTGCCTTGGATCTCATTCCTGGGTCATGAAGGTGAGTGCCGTTTAGTTCTTCTCTAGTGGCACTCATACGCACTGTTCTCGTACGGAACTTTTGCCGTTTGGTAGGCTGATTTTGATGGCTTGCCTCATTTGGACGGGCGAACGGCCTGTTCGATCGGCCGTATAAGGCAAGTGTCGCATACAGCCCACCTGTTGGCCGGCCGAGGCCAAACACCGTCACAGAGAGGGCTCGTCTGCCATGCCGCCGCATGCAACCCCGTGGCGTCTGCCTTGAGTCTGTAGCATCTGCGTCGAGTTCGGGTTGGTACGTATGCGAAGTTCTAACTTTGAACAGGGCTGTGAGAGACTCGTCGAAGAAGTTTAATATCCCGGGGCCAGAGAGGGCTGGAGGCGCGTCGCCCGGTATCAATGGATGATGCCTTATGTTCCGGTTCGTCCCTTACATAATAACGTTCTGTCTTCGACCGACATTCTATCTCATCGTCCTCTAATCGTCCCCTCCTCATATCCTCATGGCGTCCTCGCAGTACACCCGCTTGCACTCCCCCCGTATCGCGTCCCCAAGCGGAGACGACGATTTGGGACGCACTGAGCACTACGTTGACCCCGCCGCCCAGAAGTCACCCCTCCGAGTCGAGACCCGCGCAACAGCGGAGAGATCATTCAGTGCATACCCCGACGGTACGTGGCTATGTTGTCAGCGCAGGACACTATGCAACCGCTAACCATTCAGTTCAGTAGCGCCTCTATCATCTTCGCCGCCGTCCCCTGGCGGGCACACGTTTTCTTCCCCCCTTCTCCATCCCGCACGCCAGGTCCAGCACCGTGATACGGACATCCCCGACATAGATCACCACCTTCAAGGACCCTCGAACGAAGGGGACTCGCGCAGGCACTACGTCGCAGACGTAATTCTTTGCTGGCCCCTGGCTGAACAGGTCTTCGGACCGTTGCTGCAAGAGCCCGACTTCCCTGTCTTGTTTGGTAAGCATATGGTGAGCAGCCCGTGTTTCGTTCGTTAGTCACCCCAGCTCAACTCATTATTTGCGCAGATTCGCCACAACGTCAGCGAGGCACTCTGGACGGACATTTGCTCATACGTCGACAACAACCTGGAAATACTCAAATATTTCTCGTGAGTCCTGCTGGCTCGTCCTATCATGTTCTCACCTAAACGTTTCGCGCAGATTCTACTACAATCCCTCCCAGCAATCTCTCACTGTCATGGCGCCTCTGGCGCTCCATGAGCTGGTCACTGCCGCCATCCTCAAGGCGGCACAAGACGGTCGTATCGACGTCGACGACAACCAAACCCTAATCATTGATCACAGCCGCGCGATCAAAGACGCCGTGTCCCGCCACCAACCAGACGGTATCGTGTGCGTCAAATACAGCGTCGTCGTCAAGCCCGCCGAGGGAAATCAACCACCGCGGAAGATCCTCAAAACGGATGACGTTATTGTCGTCCAGATCGGGGATGCGGAGAGGATCGACCACATGCTCGATCAGGTGAGTGAGACCCCCGCGTGCATTCAGCTGGAACTAACGTTGCGTAGACGCAAAAGGGAATGGTCGAGGCGGGGCCTGTGCTATTCATTGCCGTGAAGATAACAGAGCATAAGTACATCGAACCGGAAGATCCTCAGCCCGACGACGACGGCTTTATTCCGGGTGCCGGAGCCGCCAACGACATCATATGCACCGGGTACAAGCGCAATGGCCGGGTGCTAATCGGACGCCTCAGGGCGACCTTCTTCGCGTTTCTTGCTTCGGACTTGCCACGAGTGCGTGAAGTGCGCGCGAAGATGAAAAACACGAACGATTGGCTCGTCTGGGTTGAAGAGAACCTGGCGACTGTGAGTACTGTTCCTGTTCGTGTAGAGTTAGTGCGGCGCTGACCGCATATTTTTGCCAGCCGGTGTTGCTCGACTACAACGGCAAGAACCTGATGCCCGCCGAGGATCAGGTCGCAAACGAGGCTAACGATATCGACGATGTCAAGCTCATCTTAGACGACGACCGGGTGCGTCGAGCGAAAGATGCCGGGGTTGAACGTTGGGCAAAAGGTATTCGTATGGCACGGGCCAGGGCCTATGCCCAGCGTGGCCGCTGCTGGATAGAGGAGGCACTGGCGGCTGGCCATCGCAGCGACGCGGATGCCCTCATAGCCCGTCTGCAGCAGCCGCGGAATATCGCAGTACCCCCTGTGGCTGACCCGATACCGGCCATCATCGAAGGGATTCGTGACGGCGCCCTAACCAAAGTACGCGACGAACTCAATGACCATGCATACCGTCTGGCCACGGAAATGGCGCCTGAAGTGCCCGAAGATGAAACAGGCGCGTTAGAGAACACGTACGAGTACTACAACAACGTCGCCCTGTCTATTAAGCGGGTCCTGCCGCGGGATGACGACGATGCATCGTCTGATGCTGGTGCCACCTCCGAGGACATGCAGCGCGTCCACGATTTCAACAAGAGGCGTCGTCTCTTGACGCCCCCGCCGCGTGAGCGGGAAGAGGTCGTACCGGATCCATCCCAGACAGAGGACGACATCGCCTATGTCAATTACCACGTCCCGGACGTCGACACCGATCCCTCCCCCACATATACGACCCGCGCGGCCCCTATCGATATTTCTACCAGGCGTACCTCGCATCGGCAGGCCGGCGGGCGGGTTCGCGATTCTTCGTGATTTCCGCACGGACATGATATGTTGCCGTCGCGCTGTACCGGTACCGTATTGGCTCGCATTGATCTGTCTACACACTACCGTATCTTGTCTCCATGCCCCCGTCTGCCTCTATGTATGTCACGTACACTTACTCAAGTACTATCTATGAAGTTATTAACGCCTTGCAACACATCACGTCACATGATGCGCCCGCCCGCCGATGCACCCGCCCGTACGCCAATTAACCCGGGATAATACCGTAACCTCAGGCTGTTACTCCACTGTGGCCATGCAGACATTTCTCTCTGAAGAAGAACGTTCAAGTTTAGTACCCTTACTGACACACACGCCGAACCTCAGCGGCGTTTTAGTTGCCTTGCTGGCAAGGTTAGAAGCCGACTCTCTGAACGGTACGATTTTCTTCATGTTGCTGACTGACAGTGTTATGTGCTAAGATCACACAGAACTGGTAACACCGCCCGTGCATCAATCCGGGGATGACTGCGGTCCCGAAGTATACTGCGATAACACCACAAGTACGTATTTTGTGATGTGCGTTATGATCCAATTGACGGTATTGGCATTGGAAGACGCCGGAGACAGGGGAACATCTCACAAAGCTATGTCCCATACACGCCAAACAAGGTCCCAGGCTCAACAACAAATGGACAGCCCTCAAGGAGAATCATCACAAGGTGAGCTTTACAAGACATCCCGTGCGCCGGATGGTCTAACATTCTTACAATTCTGTCAAACAGGAATAACATCTGGCGCGGCGTACTCTGAGACTCCTGGTCCCGGTCCCCACCGCTCTACGCGGTCGCGCAATCGGACCATCCGAACCCCATACGCCCGCGAAGATGTTGGTCCGCCTCTGCGACTCGAAGCCGCACCCAGGCCAGAGGTTCAAAATGCACTACTGCCTTGCCCGCGTGGGGGATTCAACTTCTGCGCTACGCAGGCTGCGCCGACGCAACTATTATGGGATACCGATCCGCTGCCCGCCCGTCACATGCGTCCAAGGCGACAGTAACCCAATTCTTTGCTGATCTCGTTGGTAATCTTACAGAAGCGGCTGTTCTAGAATACGGTGAGAACGTGCTACGTGTAACCGAGTCACTTCGAGTCAGCCGCGGTGCGGATGGATCGTTGAACGTGCTCACTGAACGATGTGCCGAGGCATTTCATGATAGCGCAGCCTCAGACTTTACGGTGATGGTGAAACTCATTCAATTTGCGTGCAAGACTAGCAGGTATGCGCAGATTGCTCCTGAGGCTGCGCACTTGGTGTCATGATAATAAACTAACCCGTTGCTTGTTAGCCTTCGTCGACCCAGTCCCAAACTCACTCTCAAAGAGATCAGGGAAACTCACTTGCAAGCGGCCGCCAAGCGAACAGTGTCACAAAGAACGTTTGAAAAGTGGAATGCCATGGGCAGTAAATTTGCGCGGGTGGCCGGTGGTGGTAAGCTCAGTGTAATGTCCGTCAATCCAGGTTGAGAATGACGTGCCTGCACAGGTACCGTTTATGTATTGGTTCTCATCGTCATGAGGAACCTCAGAGCGAGGTTAGGCTCAATGGACGGTCACACGGCCTGTTATATAGCCAATATGTTGAGATGGCCGGACGGTAAGTCAACACTATGATGTTGTCGCCGTACTCATCAGAGGCCTAGATACTCCGCCTGGTCTTGGGGTAAAAAACATGATTGTCCCTGCCATAGCGCTGCTACAAAAGCACTTCCCGCTTCCATTGCAAGACTTGTTTACGGTGTCCTCCCTGCTCCCGGACGGGGAGGCGAACAACGTGGTCTGCGGAAATCTCGAAATCTCAGACATATTTTTTGATTCGTTTGTGTACAAGTCAGTCGCGCATCTTGCTCTTCTATGGCGTTCTCCCCAGCTCACAACCTCGCGTCGTAGCTCGTTCAAGCTAGTTCCCCGTTGTTCCAGCACCTGGGATACGTGTTACAGGGCACACACACTCCAGACAGCCCTGGCCATCGAACCTGAGATTGCGTCCCCTTCGCCGCGGGCCATCCGCGAGACGAATGATCATCCATCTCTACTTTCTTCTCCCTTATCGCCACTCACGCCTCTGTCATCTCTCCGATCGCCATCACTCCCACTAATGCTGCGCGGGTCCGTGTCGCCGCACTCTGTTGCTTTGGATTTACCGCAGATCATTGCCACCTCGCTGAATAACAAGGCAATCCAAACCTCGTACGACCCGCAACATCCTGACAACAAACGTTGTCCCGCGCCCCGTGAACGTGACCGAGAGAATAACATTGTCTGGACGGAGCAGGAGCGATCAAGGGCCAGTAAAGCAACGATGCCGACAAGTATCCACGATCTTCTGACAGAGGTACGTTGATATTCACATGAAAGTCTTCGGTAATAGGCCCCTGATTGCGTTATCATTGGCACAGATTGAAGCAATGTATGCCTCAGGCAAGAGAGTCACCGCAGATTCATATGTTCGAGTGCCGGTCCATCTCATAGAGTGAGTTCTAATGACATGATCAACCAGCGCCGCATAGCTAACACTAGATATTCAACGCAGGGACAACCTTACGATTCGCGGTCAGGGTAACTCGCTCATTGCCAGTATCTGCACCTCCATGCCCGAAGTGATGCGAAGCAATCTGGTCGAACGTCTCATCACATGCTTCGAATCCGACCCGTTCGAGACGGTGGACGCCAAATCCCGCGATGTAAGGAGAACCTTTCAGGTCATCCATTTTGCTTGGTACAACAGGCATTGTACTCAGGTTCGTACGTCCCTGTACATGTGCAGTTGTTAAAGCTTACAGGGGCTGATCCGTAGGGCCATGATGCACCTCAAGACATAGCGCCGTCCTTGATGAGTCGGAAGGGTTGCTCTAGAACGAACCACGAACAATTTATCCCGTACACGTCGAAGCCTATGGAAGAGCATCGACGTATCTACGAGGCTGTCAAGACAATCCTCGGAGAGATGTTCGAATGGCTGGCCGACAAGGTAACGTTCTCCTGAGCATTCTCAATCAGAGTAACTGTCTAACAAAGCTGGCCATAGCTTCAAGACATCTTGCCGAATGAATACGAACGTCTAGAAGCTACCGCATCCATTTTACCAGACAACAACGCGTCCGCCGTCCATCCGTTTGTTGCTTTGGCAGTCAACCTCAACGTCGTCACTCGAGCACATAGGGACGCCCAGGATGACAGGGTATGCCTTGTTCTGCCTATTGGAGATTTCAATGGCGGGGAATTGTGTATCGTTGAAGCAGGTCTTGTAATTCCCCTGCGTCACGCAGATTTCATCGTTTTTCCCTCTTGCGAGTTTACTCATTTCAATCTGCATTACACGGGACGAAGAGCCTCCGTTGTTCTACATACGGATAGAGAAATGTCCAAGTGGACCTCGAATAGTCGTAACGGCTGGGTCGAACACAGTCATTTTGTGTAGACATGTAGAATAATCTACTCTACAAGATCTACTCTACAAGAGGTGTTCATATTCGTACGCGGGACAAAGGGGCGTGCTGATTGGCTGGACGCCAGAGACAAATGCCCGACCGGTGCCCGATGCGCATTCCGCTGCTCAGTGCTTCCTCCTAACCTCCTCCCTCTGCCGCCACCAGCCTCTCCGTCTCACATTATCGCTGACGGCTCTCGAGCTTGGGATCGGGCGCGGCAACGGCTTTGCCAATCACCATCAACAGCCATGGAACGCGACGACGTGCAGCACGACTCGCCAATGCTCTGCGAGCAGACACGGCCGGTGAACGGACTGCAGGCACAGGTGGACAACCACGGAGGAGGGTGGGAATGCGGTCAGGGAGGATGCGGCGGACAGAAGTGTGCGGATGGTGGGCACTGGGGATGGGCGAGGGCGAGGAACTGGCGGGCATGACGTGCGGCAACACAAACAGCCCGGGCACAACAGGTACGACAACCGCGAGCATCCAAGGCCGGTTCCCTGCGTGCAGACACGGCCGACGAACGGACGGCGTGCGCGAGAGCGAAGGAAGGGCATCGGGGAAAGGTGAGTGCAGACGCAAGTGAATGAGCGTGCTGACCAAAGTCACAGGGCGCGGCGACGTGAAGCACGACGCGCACGTCGACCGCGAGCGCACCGGGCGAATGCACGGCACCGCAAACGCGACCGACAAGCGAACCGCCCGTGTATGAGCGCAGAACGCGGGAGGGCGAGTTGACAGTGGGCCCACGGCAACGCGCAGCACAACCTAGCTGACCGCTAGCACGCAGGGCGGAGGTACCATGTGCAAGCGCAGCCGACGAGCGGACCACGGGCGCGAGTATAGCGGCGAGCAGGGAGGAGGACGGGTGGAGGTCGAGTGCGGAAGGGAGCGAGTGCGGACCCGAGGGAGCGGATGGTGGGGAAGGACTGCCCAGCACACACGGCCAACCGACGAGCAGACCCCACGCACTGGACAACAGACCGGCGACGGCGATGTTGGGCAGGCTGGCGCGCGCGCGACACACACCGACCGCGAGCGTGGCGGGCGTATGCCCAACACGCAGACACGGCTGATGAACGCGCACGCACGCACGCGGACGAGCGGACACGCGAGTGTGCAGACAACCGGTCGGGTGAGCGGGCACACAACCCGACGACGACACATGCACGGCGACTGCGAGCTCACAGGGCAGATGTCCAGCACGCAAGCCCCGCCGACGAAGGGACCGCGCGCGTGCGAGCGAAGGGCAGGGCCGGGGCGTGCGCATCACACCGACTGCGAGCGCATAGCCAGTGCCTGCATGCCAACCCAGCCGACGAGGGCGTGGAGGGTCCGGGCACAGCAGCGAGCAGGCGGGAGCACGTGAGGAGCGAAGACGGAGGACAGGGAGGACGGTGGGTGCAGGCAACAAGCCCAACCCGCGCAGGTACCGCCGAGGTAAGTCAACCAGCAGTCCACCGCCAACACCGGCGGTGAACCCGGGCAGGGTATGGGTACGCAGATCGCAGGTCGCGGGTGTGGGATGCGCCCTGCGCACTCGCGGTACTACTCGCATCCAATCTGGCCCCGTTCACTAACACTAGCCATAGTTTGCATAACAGATGACTCGATCGTAAATGTGCTATAGAATCTGTACTTACATCAGCTGACAATACTATTGCAAGCAGAAAATGATCAATGAGACCACGAAGCCGACTCCCGAAGGGAGGCAGCTGAGCGGCCTTTGCATACAGCGTATACTAAGTATACGGTATGTATCTTCGCGCACAGCATTGCTGACCAGCAATCATCAATAGATTCCCGTCCGTAGCGGAGCCAAGGCTTTTGCTAGTCCCGTATATATGCATTGTGTCGAGCATACCACACTTACCAGAAGCATATAGCCGTCTTGGGGCGCTCGGGATTGTACGCAGTCACATGGCCAAATCCTGCCTCGCCCGCGCTACCATGGCCGCCGACTGAGGACTTCCGGAAGCGCAGGCTGTTGGGGTGCAGTCTCACGGCGCAGTTGAAGCCCTACTTATCTGATGACTGTCTCAGCCGGCCGGTATTTTTTTCTTGTTTCTCTTGCTTGTAGCTCGCATCTTTGGTTTCAGCTCTCATCTGGCCTGTCAACATGAACACCCGTACTCGCTCGACCGCTCGCCAGCAGCGTACAGACGACGGTACCACCGCCGCCGCTGCCAAGAAGAAAGTGACCAAGACATCTCAAGCTCCTCGGAAGGCGCCTGCTTCTAAGTCCCCGCCCAAGCCGGGCAAGAAGCGTGGGCGAGTCACCGACGATGAGGGCGAAGATGTTGACGAGGGTCGCTTCAGCAAGAAGGACGAACAGCTTTTGAAGCAGCTAGAGCTCAAAAAACGCCAGTCCGAGAAGCAGAAGGAGGCGAAGCGTCGCTCAAGTGGGTCTTACCGTTGTACATGTCATTCAAACTGCTGAAATTTTTGTATTGTTGTTGATGCTAGGGATACAGAAGACGGCTACCACGATGACCCTTGAAGAGCAAGAGAGCGATGAAGATGCGCAGGAGGACCAACCTAAGCGCAAGAAATCGAGGAACATTGTGCCATCGGAGGACGATGAAGACCGGAGTGCTACGGACGGAAAGGTGGAGGGCGACGCAGCGGCGACCGAGGACGAGGAGAATGAGTCCGCGGAGGAGGATGAGCTGGAGCGAACCCCGCCGCAAGCTCAAGGCTCACGCACCGGTATGTCCTGACTCGGAGTTCCTACACCTGCTACTCAATTGCAATGCTAGGCGGACCTGGGCGAGATGTCAAGGGTAAAGGCAAGGCGATGCCGCAAGACCAGGATGTCGACATGCGGGAGGGGGCGCACGATGAGCGGATGAGCGCACCGCTCCTGTCAGATGAAGAGGAACAGGGCATCGCCCACCGTCTAGGTTCTGCGACGACTGCCAAGGCCCCTTCCAAGACGAAGACTAATCGTCACAAGCGCACGCAGGGCAAGACCGTTGGTGGCGGTGACAAGGATGCTTCGGCATCAGACGCGTCCAGTGGCCGCCGGGGAGACAAAGCTAAGACTGTGCGTCGTATGGCGGCCGATGAGATCACATCGCCGACGAGGAAGGTGGGTAACTACCCACAAACATCAAATAGATTACTCGTTGCATGACGTGCAACCTGGGACGTCTGACATACACGCAGAGCACTCGCCATCGAACCAATAAATTAAATTCTAGCGAGAGAAAGGACAAGGTACCGGCGTGGCTGGCTACGTCCGTCTCAGAGGACGATGCGGCTCGCAGCGACCATGGCGACAGGGCCGTTGATTCGGGAGGGGACGGAGGAGATGAGTCGGAAGGCGGGGGTGATGATGTCGTGGTAGGTACACTCACCTATGCGCACAGCACTAACTGCACAAGTCACAGCTTGTCAAGGCGCAGAAGGGCAAGGCAAGGCAAACCAAACCTAAGGCTGCCGGGGCAGCTCGCACACGAGGTCGAGCGCAGATGAGAGACCTGCCTGACGAAGTCAGGTCCATCGTTACCAAAGCTCACTCATACCTCCGCCTCAGGATTGCTCTCGAGCACGCTTGGACGTGGGAGAAGATGACAAACAGCACCCTTTTACCGGAGAAATACGTGCTCATCAAGAGGGCGGTCAACGACGTTCGAGAACTATGCGACGACGACGGGAAGCCTCTCATGCACTTCGCCCTTGGGTTCAAGAAGCTGAACGGCGATGGCAATGATGTCCTGAGAGTGAATGTCTTCGATGTGGTACGTCGGTCATAGATTCACGTCCTGTTAGCTAAGTCAATTTCACAGGTGTGGACCGCCGCGTCGCAGCTGCGCAACGAGTTGAAGAACAAGGCGAAGGTCGTTGTCGAGGATGCTTATGGCTTAAATCATTTGTCAGGTCCCAGGAAGGTCTCCGCCGCTTCATTCCTTCTAAAGGGCAACGTGCAAGGTAAACATACGATGCCGAATTTTATCTTCAACAACATCAGCATAGTTTGGACGGGCGATGATGTGGATGTGAAGGTGAGCGTATATACTCTCAACGCTAATGTTATTATCAGCCTCATGTAAGATAGGCTAGTCGTGTCAATCGCAAGCAACCTTTCCAGCACAAGGCGATCTTCCAGCTCATAGCGGCACAATGGTTCTACGCCGGCCAACGCGACTCGGTGATCAAAGAATCACAAGGAAGGTTTGCAGAGGTACCAGACAATCTTCTGGCACTGGTCTGCAATGCGGTAAGTCAAGTCGCATGATGATGGTCTACGATACAAAGCGCATATAGAACACTGATATCACCGCAAAACTACAGATTGAAATGGGGTTAGCGGATGTCGCCACGGGGACGCAGCAGTTCACGAACAGAGTGTACGCACCCAAGTGAGTGCAGTACGCCATATGTTGTAGAACTACTGATTGGCGTTTCTGCAGGTGGGTGAACATCATCGGTGTCCTCCGGGACATGAAGGACAAGGCGCCGAATGCCTACGTGGCATTGAGGCACTATGTCTGGGCTAACGTCTCGTAAGTGTGGGTAGTCTGTCTGCTCAGCAATGCTAACATCTACTCAGGGAACTTATTCGTAAGGATGAAGAGGCTGGGAAGAAGGGAGCCCTTACATTGGGCGTTGGCGATGAGGCTGACGACGAAGAGTTCGTCGCGTGGGATGACATTGAGGTTGTCGATCTGACCGCTGAACATTCCGGCGAGGCGTCTTCGTCGGCAACGCGAGGTATGTGGTATGGCTGTATATTTGGATTAAAGCGGCATTCATGACTAACTATCAGGCATTATTGACGGTGGAAACAATGGCATGGTTGACGGTCCCGGCGAACGTGAGTCGCAACACTACGTATATTTTTTACCCCAGTAATAATGCCGTTGCCAGCAAGCGTGACCGGAAAGTGAGCAAGGCAGCACATATACCTCCATTGCGCACAACGACCAAGGTAAGTCCTCAAGGCACCTCCAGTTATCAAACGGACTGATGTCCCACAGACTTACTCTATTGCAATCCTGACGCGTAACATCTGCCACAAGTTCGGTTTGCTACATGCGCCGTATCTAGTCCTCCTATCTCTCGTTGTCGGATACCCTCGTGTCACATGTATTATATACCGCGCGATCATCATCTGTGTACGTGCCAAGAATGCTATGTGTGATTTGTAACCAAATGTACAATTTGCCAATTGTGCACGAATTGTTGGGAAAGCAATATAACCCTTACACGTCTTGGCCAAGTCCTGATGCTACTATAATATGCCACAAGACGAATCATGCTTGAATGGTCAGACAAGCTGTTTGGGGTCCTCAAGCACATGGGCAACGTAACATATTATAATGCTTAGCCAAGATATAGAGGTTTAGCCCAAGCAGCATTCCGCCGGAACTTGTCTTGCCAAGCAAACAGGGGTCTCCAAGACAATAATGGTCTTGTATGGCTTGACAAGCAAAGCCTGTTTTTCCTGATGGGGGTGCTGATCAGCAGGAACGCGCACAGTTGTCGCAGTCCTGAAGGACGCGTAGAGGTTGGCAGCGTTCTGCTTGCTGTACATCGTGGACAGCATGTCCCAGAGATCCTTTGCTGTTTCGTTGTCCTTTACGATCTGGATGATCGAGGGGCTGAGGCGCAGGCGGATCATGCCTTGCGCCTTCTCGTCCGATTGGGTCCAAATGAAGACCTCCGAACGGTTCTTGCCGTCCTCGGCGAGTGTTGGACACCCTCCGAGAGCCTGTCCGATCATGAACCAGACTTCCTGGCTCTGGAGGTAGGACTTCATGGCCTCCGACCACTTGGCGTAGTTGGAGCCATCGAGAACGGGGACCATGTTGAGGAGAGCGTTGGACATGTTGTGTTAGTTGAGTGAAACGGGGGAACATTTAAAAAGCTGCTTGACGAAGGCAACGTCAGCGCTCTGTCACACAACGGACTGCAGCCAAAAGGCGCTGTCCACACACATGGACTCAGTGTCCTCATGGGGTTTAGCAGCAACGTGAGTCGCGCTTGAGACTTGCAGTGTTTCCGCGCATAGTCTCCCCCTGGCTTCAAGCCCGTGAGGGCGATGCCGCAGGTAAGCCAGTGCGCACCGAGTCGCAGCCATTAAGGCGCAGTACTCAGGCGTCGACCGAGGCTCATAACCTGTTGAGCAGACTTGGTCACACGTAGTGGACCGCGCTCTAACTTACCTGCTTGAAGGTTGGATACTTGAGGCACACAAGTTACTTCATGGTGAAGGAACTGAAGAGAGAGCTACGCTACTGGTGGGTCTTATATACATCTGGAAGACACTGACTAATACTACTGTATAGTCCATTCCCACGCATGACTTGCTCTATGCAGTAAGTGTGGATCCAGCACGTGCGGTGCGATCTGGCCCGTGGAACCTGGCGGCCCGGTGGGCACCTATACGGTTCAACAATATATGAGCTCAGATACTTGCAGGGATGTTGTAGAACTGATGGAGGAGCTGTGGACTTGTCGTGCAACACAGGGCACTCAGTGTGAATGCAGTGAGACTCGTTGAAACACAAAGAAACACAGTGAAGCCAGAGGGAGATGTGGTGCTTGTTGAAGGTGAATGCAGTAAGACACAGAAACACAGTGGAGAACACAGGAAACACAGTGGAACTTGCTGTCTACTCCTAGGTGGTAGGTAGGTAGGTAGTTGCTCCCCCCGTCTGATCCCCAGCTCACCCCCTTATGTTCCCTCCGACTCACTCTCCCACGCCCCTGCCTTGCTGGCACCTTTCTCCATCCTCTCCCACTCCCTCCAGTTCCTCTCCAGCTCTCCCCCAGTCCCCATTTTCCCCGCTGATTCCCCTCCTCTCCTCCTTCCATGCCATGTCATCCTCCATGCCTCTTAATCCACTCACCACTGTCCACATCCACCAACACTTCCTCCTGCTGGAAGTGCTTCAACACAAATGGGCTGCCAAGCTGTGCCTCAATATGTCCTCTTCTGGGGCCTGGCTCATATGGGGTCATGGTGTCCACTGGCTTCTGGTACACTTGCCTCCACTCTTCCTGTTTGCCACCTGACCTTCATGTCAGTGTATGCTCTTCAATTTGTTCTCCCTGGCCACAGCCCATGGTGATGTGTCCCTTCGGATGTGTCCCCTTGCAGTGTTCCCTCTGTGGCTTCTCTTCTTGCCTACGTTGATGCCATGTTCAAGGGCATCCCCTCCAATATTGACACTGGCGCCGCCCTGTACCCTGCCACTATCACTGACATGGTCCCCCCACAGAGTCCATGCTGACCCGTCCAGCAGACAGCCTCACCCACCGTCTCCTCCTCAATCCATAGACCCTCCCCTCTGCCTATCTTCCCTCCAGCTTGCTTCCGACAACTGCAACTCCCTGCATGCTTGCATGGGCGCATTGATGAGTGAGCAGCAGTCCTTAGCAATGTCGGGTTACAATTGTAGTCCGTGAGATCTATGACTTGGGTTGTTCCATCTGCCTGATCACCTAACTGGAAGGTGCGTTCGGGGACACTGCCAGAAGGAATGTTGATCCGGAGGAGAGTATGGTGTTGGCTGCAGTGCACCTCAGAGCAGATTCCAAAGGCCTAAGTCAAGCTCTGTAAAGTCTTGGGGACTTAGAGCTCGACGAGGTGGATTGTCTACGGTGTGTGTTACGTAAGGCGACCATAACTGTACAGGAGAAACAGCCACAAAGTTGAAATCAATGAAGCAGTGAAAAATCGGATGAGTGCAGGGGTTCAAATCCCTGAAGATGCAAACATTATAGAAAATGGTAGACTGAAGGGAATGACATCGGAAAAAGTACAGTAGGCACGGTATAGTGATGGCATCCATGTAGAATAAAGGAGAACACACCAGGACACATTCCACGACTTGGACAGGGCAATGGAGCTCAGAATAATTCGCAGAAATGCAGAATAAATTCCGAGCTCAACAGTTACTCACGCAGTCTGGAGCTGAATGCCCTGCTCCATAAATGATGCAACAAGATCATCTGCCCTGATGCTTGGATGGTTGGGAACATCATATTTCCTGATCACATTGGATCAGTTTAACATATGACTAGATTGGTGATAGACTCACTTCAGGGGCCACATGTTCTTGTATGTGTCCTTGAGCCAACCGTTGATCTTGCTTCTGTCCAGTTGCAGACAGGGCCTAAGTTACCAGTAAAACTGACATTAGTACAAAATCTCAGTAATGCAAAGATAGATGCTAACTTGTTGCCCTCGGGTGGCTGACACTTGTACTCTGGACCTGCATAACTTGTGGACCATTAATATGTTGATTATGGGTAATGATAAGAGACCTTACACAGCACCCGCAATGGGTGAAACATCATGTTTGTTACTGTGTACTTATTAGTAAGTATCTGGATGCAATATAGGAATGGAACCTACACAACATCCTTGCCCTTCTTCTTCTTCAATGAGCTCTTTGCCTCAGATACTTCTACAACTGGTTCAAGACTGTATAAAGCAAGTCAACAAACATCTTATAAAATTTTTATGTTTTCTTTTTACCTCTGCTTCCCGATGTACATGTCACTACTGTATAGAGTATCACAGTACTAAGGTGCAGGTTCATAAGAGCTACTGTACATACCTGCTGCTGGATTTCCTGTCAAGGAACACATTCTCCTCAGCATCAGAAATAATGGCATCCTGCTTTGCCTTGCCCTTGCCCTTGGCACTAAAAGTACAATGTCAATCGTATGCATAAGTGAATATATATATATACCCACACTGTCCCTCGAGGCTTCTTTGTTGGGGAGGCACTACTCATAGTATGATTGGATCAGCAAATGAATGACCAGAGAAATAATTCACATACGTCAGACTGTCATCATCGCCTGGGCTTGGATGCTCATCGCTTAACCCACAGTTAGTACATATGACACTGCACAATATTTCTAGGTATTTACCGCTTCTTGTGAGACCTGCCCTTGCTGCATATTAATGTGTCAGCACAACATATACACAACAGTACTTGAAACAACAAACTTAGGGGATGGAGTGGCTGGGGTCTCTGGTGGCCCGGAAGGGTTGCGTCTGTAGTGACATCAGCAATGAATATGTAGACTGTGTGACTGCACAAACCACTTGACAGGGCTCTGTGGAGTTAAGCCAATCAGGTCATTGTCCCAGTCAGGGCTTGACAACAATGTCAGTCCACACAGACAATATTCACAGCCAACACAAGGTACCTGGACTGAGACAGTTCCCTGCATAATGCATGGTAAGGACTATGAAAACATATTAATAACAAAAATGCCTTACAACACAGATGGTTTCCTTGTGAGCTTTCCACGGGGCTTCTTAGCTGATTTAGGAACCCTGGTAATTACTTAGTACATTTAATGACTCATGAACCATGCATAAGACTCACTCAACAACCACTACCTCGTCATCCGTATCCTCCTCTATGTCCTCAACAGCCTCAACACTCTCCTCCTCACTATCATTGGTGACATCACCCTCCTCAGCATCACTCTCCTGATCATCACTACCAGCAGCCTCATCATCAATCAGAGACACAGCCTTCTTAGCAGCCTGAGCTCTGTAAGCAATCTGAATAAGTGATCTTCATGATATACACATAATATACGTACTTCTTGCCAGAGCCGACAAGCTTGAATTGTCTAGTGATATCCAATATTAGTTTAACATTATTATACTGCATACAGCATTGACATACATGGGCTGATCAGACTCCGTACCACTCATCTGCTTATCATTTGATGTAGCAGTTGCAGGGCGAAGAGCATGCTTAGCAGTAGAATTAGAATTATATTAGATTAGAACAGCAACAGTATACCAATTTAACGCACCGTTTGGCAACTACAGGCTTAGTCTCTGTTACAGAAGACTTTGTCTTGACAGCAGGTCCAGATGCCTGCGTGGCCTGGTACAGCTGCAATAGGGAATGATAAATCAATACCAACACACATAATAGTGTAGTAACATACGCAGACATTGCAAGGCAAGGGTGAGAGGTGTTTGACAGAGCAATTGGGATGCACGGGGAATCAAGGTGCAGATTGTCTGCCTATATATGCTGGACCCATCCACCTTATCATATGATTAATCAGCTTTTGATCCATCAATCAGATGCTTGGCATCACCGCAGCATGTGAAAATGGGATATGTCTCATGAGAGCTGCTCATTCTGATAATCTTCTCCTCGAAGTGCTCCGTGAGGACGATGGTGAACCACTACACAATGATTAGATAAGTATGGGTTCGGACAATGCATGACGTACATCCTCTATTGATGACACTGTCTTACTTGCATGATACAGATCTCTCGCATGATACAGATCTCTCGCATGATACAGATCTCCAACTTGCACATTGCTGTGCATATAGATGAATGTCACAACATGGACATTTGGTATGCTGCAGACAACATGTCATACATAATGTGGTCCTGAGTAGATAGAACTACATACATCATGATACCTGCACACAACTTTTCTGCTGTGAATTGCTGTGTCTCTGTCTGTCTTGAAGTTGAATGGGATGTCGAAGTACTGAAGGTTCCCCTTTGTGTTCTAGAAGTAGCTGTTGAGGTTCATATGGAACAGATCAGGAATACTGGCTTCCTTGGTGAGTGATTTCAGATGGAATGATAAGATCACCACTGGAGCAGTGGAGCAGAATGCGTGCTGAGGAGTCTCCCCAGCAAGTTCTTCCTTTCTCATTTCATACAATATGTTCCCTTTTTCCCTCAGGCTCTCATTCTTCATGCCAAGGAGGAGTGTTGAGGTTGTGTTGTGCAATCTCAATCCCTAGCCACCAGGCATGTGACATACTGCAAGGCATGGTTGGTCTCTTCATCTTCCTCCCCTCTTCTCTTTCCTCAGTTGAGTGTTCTGTGACTGAGGTGAGATTCCTGCTTACAATACTGCCTGTAATTGAGACTGATATAGTGTACAGAGTCTGACTGACTTCTAGGTACTATACACTCAACATATCATGGAAATGGACAATGTATATCCCCGACTCCGACCGGAGGGAGGGAGGGCTTTGTTGTGTCAAGTTGTGTCGAGTGCTGTGCGAGGGATGTTACCCGTGAGAATGTCTCCCATAATAGGTACATTTATAGCCATATATGGCAAGAATTAGCTTCAGGATCCGTCCGTCGGCTCAGATCTTCATAATTATCACAAATTTTGTCAATCACTACAGACTCAAAATGCCGCCACAGGTGGCGGTGAATCCCTTGCTCGCACAATGCACATTTGCATTGAGTGGTGTCAATGTTGGGCAGCGCATGTGGACTCTGGATCAATGAGACAAAACGAAGAGTAGCCTTGCCATTGCTACCATCGAGTGGGATGTCAGTAGCGCGCTCCGACAGTGAACCATGCAAGACAGCCTGGGCTCCTCGTGAATCGTCCTTCTTCATTGTACTGAAGCGATGGCTTTCAGGTGGCCTCGCGACGCTGAAGCTGAAGACCCGGGCCAGCTGGGAGCAGTGAGCCAGGGAAGATGCAGAGCGAAATTGAGCGAGCGCGCCCTGCTGCTTTGAGTGGGTGTTTCAATGCAATACCCCATTAGGTAACTTGCAATGCTTTGCTTGATGTGCTGCCCAAGCGCCGCCTTCCGAATTCCAGCTTTGATGCTAATAGAAAGAACGTAACTCGAGCGGGAGATTCGGATGTGAAGCTGCGGCCTTCTGCCCATGGGCACTGACTGGAACTGTGGAACGTCCCAGGTCACAATGGCAGGAGCCCAGAGGTGCAGGCAGTGGAGCGTGTGACAGCAAGCAAACAAAGCAAAACAAGTGTGAAAAGGGGCTGAATTTCAACCTCTGAGAGCCTTGCTCTTATGAGCAAGGGACACTTTGAAAGGTAAATTTGTGCAATATAGCCTGTTCATTCACCCATTCAACATATATTTCCTGTGTTGGTGTGGAAGCCCAAGACGCCTGGGCGGCGAAGCCACCGCGGGTGTGAGGGCCTCCATTGAGTCTCAATACTGTTTGAATGGTAAAATATTACAGTACATGATATGTACTATAATGCAATTGCGGTAGACTGAGCCACTATGTTCCATTCAGGAGTCGGGGGATGGTGCTTGCACCGCTACGATAGGTAACTGCAAGTGCACTTGCACATTGTTGATCTTTGCAATTTATAGCTGAACAACACATCCTCCAGATAATCATCACATGAATGGTCAAGAACTGAGTATACCATTGTCATACATTGTGGTTGTCCCTGTTGAAGATGCACATTATAGGATCCACCAGCAAGACTACCTCATGGGCAGCATGCCAATGCAGCACCCTGCTGGACAATCTGTCCAGTAGTGCATACTGACTTGAGCAACAACTACATTGTGTTAGCACCCAGTCAAACACCTGGCCTCGCACATTCTGACAAGGTAGACGACAACCAATCATGATCACTCACAATCAGTTCACTCTGGGGCAGTTACTATACACAGGCAGTTGCCAACTGTGGAGAAATGTGCCTTTACACAGCCCCGTACCTCTTCAGGAAACCCATATGGAACTTCTCCAGCATCCCCACATACTCCTCCACACCTGGACACAAGCACGTCAGCCGGTAATGGTGCTCACCCTCCTTCTGACCGAAGCCCGAGCCGGGCACGACGCAGATCCCCGTCTCCTCCAGTAGCTCCAGCGCGTACAGCGTATCCGCCTCCTTCCCGACGTTTTGCGCGGCCTCAATGGCCTTCTTCGGGAGCTCGAGCTTCGGGTAGAGGTACAGCGCGCCTGGCGAGTTCACGCAGGACACGCCCGGGAGCGCGTTCAGCCGCTCGGCCATGAGCTTCGTGCGCTGCGCGAGGGCCGCGTGGATGCTGTCCGTCTCCTGCTTCCACAGCGAGTGACTCGGCTCGCCCTCCTTCGGCGGGCGCACGAGGCAGTCAACACCGACTTGGCCCGAGAGCGGCGGACAGAGCCCGACGGAGACCATCTTGTAGAGCAGCGCGCGGATGTCTGCGGGGATGTTGCAGCACTCGAAGTAGCCTCCTCTCCGTCCGCACTCGCCGAAGACGCCCTTCGAGATGGAGTGGAACGACACGAGGGGGATGGGCGAGTTGAGCTGGCGGACGACCTGCTTGAACGAGTGGAACGGGTGCTCCGCGGGGCGGTGCAGGTTCGCCTGGTAGACCTCGTCCGCGAGCAGCACGAGCGAGTGCTCCTCGCAGAGCCGCACAAGCTCCTCCATCGTCTTCCGGTCGAGCAGCGCGCCGGTCGGGTTCCCCGGGTTGATCACGACCAGCGCACGCGGCGTCACGCCCTTCCCGTCCGTCTCTGGCCGCTTGAGCGCCGTGCGGATCTCTTCGAGCGACGTCGACCAGCCGTCCGACTCGGAGAGGTGGTACGGGAGCGCGACACCGTTACACTGCGCGAGCGTCGCCGTGTAGAGCGGGTACTGCGGGATCGGGATGAGGATACCGGTCTCGTGCGGCGTGATGAGCGTGTTGAGCAACAGCGCGACGCCCGCAGACGCACCGCCGGTGAGAAAGATGTCTTCTGGGTCACTCGGGTACCCGTCACGCTCTATGCGGCGGTTAATGGACGTACTTTGAATGAAAATGATACGAACCTGCGATGAACTGCGAGACATGTTTCCGGATGAGCGGGATGCCCTTGCTATGCGAGTACGCGCCGACGCTGCCGATCTCAGCCTGGAGCTCCTGCGCGCGTGCGATCACATCTGCTGGCCACTTGTCTTTCACGATGTCGACCAAGGGCGGGTACTCCATGAGAGCGGCTACCTGTCATGACAGACATCGTCAACTGCTGAACGGAATTGACAAGTACGGCCGAAACCGAAGGGATATGGAAATGCTTGCGGCCAGTTACAGCTCGTGGACAAGACCTGTATACAGCGCGATAGGACACGAACAGACGTGCGCACGTCAGCAGAGACCGAGGGCAGGAAAGCCGCCAACATTGTTTGTCGTACCCACGAGGGTCACTGCACCGTCATACCAATGAGACTAAGACTAGTCTGCGCATCCATGTGAGTGCCTCGAACGGGCCGTCACGGTGGAAGGCATAACGCGATCACGATAAAAGTCTTCGTCCGACCACGAAGGTCAGAGTCACAAACACGGCAAGCCTCACCGAATGAACAGTGTCCGATCTACGCGCTGGCACGATTCATAGCAACTCCATCGTCTCAAATCCCCATTCCTCGAGGAATGTGGTCGTCCCCGAGGCATAACTCGCTCGACGGACTCGAAACGTCTCGCACAGAGCGAGGTCGGACGCCCGTTTAGAGTCGTCGCCTTCATGCTCGTACGACATTTGAGATGTCGCGGCGGACGAACTGGGACTCGGGCTGCGCCGGTCTGTGTTCGGATGGAATGGCGAGGCATCCGCGCTCGATAATGAGGCCTGTGGCGATTCGGCTTCTGTTGCTTTGCCTACGGCCGCTCGGATGCCCTCTCGATGCATCAGTCAACCTCTGAAGGCGCTGCCGCAGGTTGACGGGTAGCTGCAGAACCACCGCCAAACGACGCGATGTTGACAACCTCTCGGCGATTCGAGGGACCAATTCAAAGCACGAAAACTCGATCCGTCGAGCGGGCCTGGAGCGACCATGGACAGGTCGAGAGTGTACATGGCCATACAAGCGCACTCTGCCCCGCATTGCGGTGATGCGGGCATACCCCGCACACGGGGCTCGAAGATTCACGTGTGACATGTCATGTACCGTACTTCTCCTTCGCCCAGACGTCCTCAACGCACGCAACGACCCCAGCCACAAGAAAAACAGTATCCAGACAAAATGGTAGCACATACCTGCCGCGTGAAGGTTATTGGGGGCTGGTCGAGACCCTTCTGCTGGGGGTTACCGATGTTGCTGCTGATGACCCTCTTGAACGGGAGCTTGTCTTGGTGCTCCAGCGAGCGGAGCTTTTCGTTGAGCTCGTCAGCCTTGATGGCGAGCTCGCCCCGGACGGCATACTGCACGTTGAGGATGGCCGGGTTGAGGTCGGCGGGAGTCAGGGGCCGCATTTTGCGCGAATGCTGGTGAAGTCGGCGAGAGGAAGATGCAGGACAGGAGCAAGCAGCGCGGGAAATCCTGAGCATCTGAGAACACGACTTTTGATCACGGCGAGGAAGGAGGACAGACGGCGAGGCGCGAGGCGAGGGGAGTCAGGCGGTGAGCGTATTTACACACTCGATCACGGAACACCGCCGACGCGAGCCGCGAGCGAGCGTCCCTCCTGCTTTCCTCGTCAACCTGCGGGACATTCGCGGCAGTCGTTGATCATTGGCGGCGATGCATTGGGCAATGGGCAGCCAGGAAGATCGGCCAGGGATGGAGGTGGTCAGGAGCAAGGTGCGCGCGTCCTGATCGAAGCAGCGACTCGCAGAATACGCTCGAACATCGCCTCTGCCCGCTCCATTCTCCTCCTCCTCTCGCCTTTCTCCCTCTCATCTTCACTTCCGCTTTCCAAATTGCCCGGAAATTATTAGCGACTATGTTCGGGTGCTGTGTGGCCGGCCGCCTTCTCCAAACGAACCTTCAACAAATAGACGAGACACACGCGATGTTCGAGCTGCCTAACGCGAGCACAATCAACCACATCTGTGTATTCTTGCTGGGTACAGGTGCGTATGACTCCCAAATCCCGTAGTACATGTGTTCTTACGCGTAGGACATGGTCTTCGTTGACCAGTACCTTTCCCGGACGGCTACGGCGCGACCGTCCACCTCCACTGGCCCGGCAAGGGCTTTCAACTCCTAGGCATGTAAGTTCACCTATCCTCCGGTTCTCCTCTATCCCTTCATAAGGCGAACGTCCTCAGGCTCTCCAATGACAAGCCTTCCGCCATCTTCCGCCTCCGCGGCACCTTCTCCTCGCAATCCACAAAGTCCGCTCTCTTCACGAACGGTGCACCAGGCACGTTCGACGCGGCCACACCAGCGGATGTCACAGCCATCCTCGGGATCGCCATCGAGCCCCTCTCGACGATCGAGGCCGAGATGGCTGCGCTCCCCAACGCCGTCGCGCGCCCGGCGAACACGCAGCCCGACGCGACCCTCCTCGCCGAGCGGATAGTCAAACACTTGTTCAATTACGTGTCCGGGTTCATGGGCGGCGGGCGAGTTACGCCCGAGAGCATCATGCCGATGGCGATGATCGCGAAGTGGTACGAGACTTTCGTGGGGAAGGTGCGGAATACGGGTATCGGGTTTCTGGAGAATCAGGAGTAGAGGCAATATGGGAACGGGGGCGAACAGGAAACTGTTGCGTACGCTTGGATACGAGCGGCATACGAGGGTCGCAGGGCTGTGGCCGGTGAAACTATCTCTGTTGTTCACTTGAAGTAGGTGAAGCACTCGGACAATGTGACCGAACATTCGTATAGGCTCGTCATGTGTTTGGATGACATGCGTATCTACGCCCGACGCCTGCTGCGCGTCCATTCATGTTCGTTCAATAACCGTGCGTGCTCATCTAATTCGTGTCGTCGTGGTGACTGACAGGCTCTCAAACTATGGTCAGTCATATGACGATCCGTCTGCGCTCCACATTCAAAATGCTCATCCACTCCAAAAACAGACAGACAGCCGTAATCATCACAATGTGCATTCAGCAGTCGACAGAAGAGTGGGAAGTTCATGCTTATCTCGCCATGCTCTCCTCAAATCTTATGCCTATTCCCCAGGCAGGTCACGCCCGCGCATACTGTATCGCGTCTCGAATGCGACGAACTCCCTGATAAGAATCACTTCGTTGTGAATATCACTCCAAGCCTGGTTTCCGCCCTCGGTGTGCTTGACCTTCCACAAGCTACTTTCACGTCTGTCATTGGCTCGCCCTCGAGAGCGATTGACTTCATTAAGCCTCCGTGATCTGGGGGTTGTAAGATCCCGATGTGGTCTGATTCTTGGCGACCTGTTTACAGCCACATCCTGCAAGGTGTCTGCTCACTGTGCCTGCGTGGCGCGATGCATCCGGAAGGGTGAGGAGATGGTGAGTGCGCCGGTGTGCACCTAGTGGATCCGTCTGATTTCTCCATGTCCCAGGCGCTCGATCTCATGGCCAGGTGATGTCCATTACGAGCACCTTGGTTCGAGATGTGCAGAAAACAACAGAGATATGCAAGAGATATGCCATGTGTTCTCCTCGAGGCCTACGATATAAATATCCACCTCCTCTCAGGTAAGTCCAGTTCCTCTTTGTATCGATCCTCTAGCGCTTGCTCACACGTCTTGCCCCACGCTTATCCTGGAATTGATCTCCCTCTCTCGCTCGCGTCTTCGCTTCCTCACGACTTCTGATATCGTGCTTCCACCGTCGCCTTCGCCGTCACCTCTCATCCTCGACCACTCAACCCGACATCGAGGCTCGTCCTTGCCCCCTCACATCCCTTCGTCCTCGCTCCTGGCACTATCGTTCCCATTCCACCGTCTCATTTTCGCCTCTATGTCATCCGAATCCATGGCGGAAGCCACAGAATTGAAAACCGAGCCCGGGACGATCCCCACCACCGCCTCGCCGCCTTTCGATGCCCTTGACGCGGACTTGATCATCCGCACATCGGATAAGGTAGACTTCCACGTCTACAAGCTCATTCTGCGGGAGGCGTCACCTGTCTTCCGCGACATGTTAGCCTTCTCGGGTCCCTCAGGCGACGAAGCGAGCCAACGTGTCGTGGATGTCACCGAGGATAGGGATGTGTGGAATCACATACTGCGGATCTTGTATCCCATCGCTGGGCGGAACGACCTCGCCACGACGCTCACCCATGAGGCTTATTCGCCGCTCTTGAGGGCGGCAAATAAGTACGACATGGCAGCCGTGCGCGAGTTCGTAGCGCGTGCTGTGAAAGACTCGATTGAGTCACAATCGAAAGCGTTGCAGTGCTATGCACTCGCTTGCGGCTACGCCTTTCCCCGTGATGTCGCTGAGGCTGCTGCCAGAGCAAGTTTCCGGTCATGGCCTGGCGACCGACCTCCACCACGATTCGTTCCGGACGTGCCCTGCATGACCTTATCTGCTTATAACCGACTTCTGCGGTACCGCATGGCCTGTATCCAAGCTGCCATTGATGTAAATTACTTCAAACCTTTTCCGAGTTGGGACAAAAAGCCAAAACTTAGGCGTCTGGATGTGTTCCAACTGCCGCATTCGCAGGAAGAAGACAAGACGTGCCCTCAGAGCCAGATGCACTCCGCGATCCGACTTCGCTACTACTTCGACGACTATTTCAAACGCTCTCAAGATGCACTGCGTATTGAACCAAGTGGCGTGGTGGTTGCTACAGCGTCCATGCTAGCACCCATGCTTCGAGCGGCCGAACGCTGTACACAGTGCCGGAAGATTGACTCCGAGGCCTTCATCCTATTGGCAAATGACTACTCCAGCAAAATAGAGAATGCGGTACGCGCGGTAAGTCAGCTGTCCTTCACCTCGAGTTAGCACTGACTGTCAGATGAAGATTCGTCTCGAAGAGTAGGAGAACATACTGCATCTACTAGTGTAGTGCATCGTGCGTTTACTGCGCAATTGTGCGACTTCGGCCATGGCCCTGATCCGTATTGTAGGTGTCCAGTGATCACGGACCCCATGATGGGCTCAGCCCTGGGGCGAGAAGCGAAAGCGGAAATGCAACGCAACTGGTGGTCGAGATACTTCGGATTGTTCATATCTAATGGGTGTTTTGTCATGTGCATTGGGACATGAGTTATGTGTTACCGAAACCTTGCGCGTAACAGACACAGTAGCAAGGCTGCGTTCAGCTCAATCGTACACCGCTCTGCATATGATGCGGAACTGATATCTCGTACACGGATAGGTGCAGCAACTGGTCAAACTGAATCTTTTGAATATCTTATGGTACTCGATCAGCAGCAGTACTCCAATGTGTCGAACTGAAACTGACCCTCCGCCTTCGTGGTCCATGACCGTCACGCATGCCTTGGACTGTGCAAATCGTGCAGGACACTCTACACCTCGTACTCACCTACAACAACACCCGGGACGCAGACTACCTCAATGGTTCGTCCCTCACTTGTCTCCCGCTTGACGATACGTCCCCCACGTTACCGTCACGCCTTCTGCGCTTCTGCTGCCCTTACTGGACTGTGCTGACCTTGTTCACAACGACGTAGGACTCTGACTCTACGACAGGGGCCTGACCTCACGCCGACATCGTTCTCCGCACCTCGGATGGTGCCGCTTTTCACGTTGACTACGGTGTCAGGAGGCTCGCATCACCTATCCTCTGCGATATGTTCAGCGCTCCCCGCACCGGTTCCCCAATCACGGCCGTCGTGGGACTAAGAGCTGTAGGTTGTGGGACTGCGTACTGTGGAGCGTCAGTCTCTCATCTTCCCATCCCTCGAATGCTGGTGTACCCGAGCTTTTGGGGCAGGCCACGACTTACCAATGTTGTGCACGGAGACACTCATGGTCTATGCTTTTTCTGGCTGCTATGGTTTCCCGATATTTTCATAATTCCCGTCGCTCATGTAGTGCCATGCATGCCCCGCGCATCGAACCAGGCCATGCCGTGGTCACAACGGTATCTGTACTAGTACTGGAGCTCACACTCAGAGTGGACGAACGTTGCAAATAGTGTCAGCAGGTCAAGACTGGGGTGTTCGCCAACTTCTATGCACGAAGCTCAGGTGCCGCCGTCACGGCAAGCGTGAGTCTGTTTATATCATGACCGAGGGAAGTACTGGCTCATCAACATCTATCTTATCAAGGTTCAATGCGAGATCGAAAGACGTAGTTCTGTCTGTGAACGGTCCTGCTCAGAATGGTACAGTACTTATCTATGCTCGCATGCGCTATTCGTCTGACCATTCAACCGATGGTCTTGTGGTTCAATGGTGCCCATTGTGGTCACCTTCTCTGTTTAACATTCATTGATAGAGCAGGTTGAGCCTACCGTAGGGTATCCTCGATCCCTGAGCATAAATGCGCCTCAGCTCAGCGGACTCGGGTCCCCAGCGTGCATCGACTCAGTCTTGTCGGCCCTCACCCACCCACTGGCGTCTCATCCCTTCACGCTCGCGCTCTTCATTCGCACATATCTCCACTCTACATCGCATCCCGACGTCCCTCAGCGGTCGCAATCGCCTTTCCCTCGGGTCGATACCGTCCTCACCATCCTATCCCGTCTTCGCCTCGTCCGCGCTAGCCCCGGCGCTGTCAACGTCGTGTCGTGACATCGCCTTGCTTTCCTCACACATCCCTACTCTCTCACCTCTTTCTTGCATCGGGGTCCATCTATCTCCACCCCATACCTCATCCTATCCTCCACCGTAAAACCACATGGCAGACTCGTGCTCGGATTCTACTCCGGAATCGGGCCCAAAAACAGCATCGCCACCCTTCGACGACCCTGACGCAGACCTGATCATCCGCACGTCAGATGGGGTGGATTTCCGTGTCTACAGGGTCATCATGAAGCAAGCATCACCCGTCTTCCGCTCGCTATTCACCCTCCCCCTAGACGATCCAGCGAACGGCTCTGTCGTCGAAGTCACCGAGAAAAGCGGGGTGTGGGATCAAATACTGCGAATTCTATATCCCATCACGCAGAAGGCTGTACCCGCACCTAACGATTTCCTGCCGCTTCTTGAGGCTGCCAGGAAGTTTGACATGGCGAGCGTGACCGAATACGTCGAACAGGTCATGATAACCCCAGTGGTCTTGGAGACGGAAGCATTTCGGGTCTTCGCGCTTTCCTGTGTTTATGTGCTGCCAGACGCTGCTCTCGCTGCTGCGCAAGCCAGCTTCCAGTCGTGGCCCGGTGACCAACCTCCGCCTCCATGCATTCCTGAAATGCATGGTATGACCATCACTCAATATAACCGGCTCTTACAGTACCGCTCGGACTGTCTTAATGCCGCTACAGTCGCCGCGCGCAGGCACGACCTTTCGTGCGAGCTTCGATATGTCATGCAAAAGCTCGGGAGATCTCACACCGTGGATGATACTGCTTGGTGCCCTGAAAGTCAAGTCTACCACAACTACGGTATACGTTTCGTCACGCAGGTGCGCTCCTACCTCGACGACTACATGCACCGCTCTGTAGATGCACTGCGCATCAACCCAAGTGGTGTGGCGGTCACCACAACCTCTGTACTAGGTCCCATGCTCGTCGCGGTTGGGTCCTGTGCGAAGTGCCAAACCATTGAAATGGAAAGCTTCGTCGAAATGGTAGATCGCTATGCAAATGTGATTGATGCCGCAGTAGCAAAGGTAAGCAATCTGAACAAGTCGATTGCTCCCAAGTGAATACACTTACCGACAATTTTCTGGCACAAGGTCGAATTAAAGACGTGAAGACGATGATTTATGTGCTCCGTGCGCTTGCACACTGCAACTTCGGACCTCGTGCCATACATGCCTGGCTAGATGTAATCTTTTTGTGCTGAATGACGGATGCGGACTTGACCGGTAGATGTGGCCGGGGCATGATGGTAACGGAAGACAAAATGGGCAATAGGACGTGCCCAAAATCTGCTATCATGGGTTCTCATCGGTGTAGCGACTACTGTAGGCCACTCAGCGGCAGCCAATGCATGAGTACCCGGGACGGAATTTGTGTGCTTACGCACCATGTTGTCGGCATTTACTTTCAAATGAGACACGATGTCACTCCCTGTCACACCGAGTTGACGGATATAGGGGAGAAGATCTCCAGATTGGCAATTGTCATCATTGTAGCCCTTGAGTACAAAGTACCCTGGCGAGCATCACGTGCAGGGAGTGGTACCGGTGGACCCGCCGCTGCTTACAGATATCGTTCATGCTCATATCTTCAAGTCGGGTAGTTCAACCCAGTCCGACCGCCGCACGCTCATGATGAGTTCCACAGGGAACACGAACCGAGTGTATTCTGCCCTCCCGATCAAAGAACGATGTGTCTCCGTTCAATCTAATGCAAGCGGTTGTCTGCTAAACGTACGAATCAGCATAACGTCTCCGTGCAGTCCCCATATGATAAGACCGCACCCGTTACACTGCCTCGGACAAGACCGTGCAATATCCACGTGTGACATGCCATGTACCGTACTTCTCCTTCACCCAGACGTCTTCAACGCACGCGCAACGACCCCAGCCACAAGAAAAACAGGATCCAGACAAAATGGTAGTACATACCTGCCGTGTGAAGGTTATTGGGGGCTGATCGAGACCCTTCTGCTGGGGGTTACATACCGATGTTGCTGTCGATGACCCTTTTGAACGGGTGCGTGTCTTGATGCTCCTGTGAGCGGAGCTTTTCGTTGAGCTCGTCAGCCTTGATGGCGAGCTCACCCCGGACGGCGTATTGTACGTTGAGGATGGCCGGGTTGAGGTCGGCGGGAGTCAGGGACCGCATTTTGCGCGAATGCTGGTGAAGTCGGCGAGAGGAAGATGCAGGACGGGAGCAAGCAGCGCGGGAAATCCTGAGCATCTGAGAACACGACTTTTGATCACGGCGAGGAAGGAGGACAGACAGCGAGGCGCGAGGCGAGGGGAGGAGGGCGGTGAGCGTATTTTACTACATACTAATTACACACTCGATCACGGTGTCACGGAAAGGAGATTCGTCGCACGTCGGGCTCGGCGCGTCATCGCGTCAGTGACTATAAGTACGGCACGACCGTCCACCTCCACTGGCCCGGCAAGGGCTTTCAAGGCCTTATCTTCCTGCTCTTTCCTCCGAAGCAAAAGCCAATCCTTTTGTCTTGTCATGCCACAGCACTGGCTGGAACGACCGCAGACCGTCAGACGATGGTGCGTGTGAAATTTCTCTGTAGCCGCCCACTTCATATCTCGGAACGGAGTCTTCGTAAATAGGAAATGAGGAGCGCACCTGTGATCCATGTTCTTCGCGACGCAATTCGCGCGCTTAGAGGCCAAACTCGACGATGTTACAGACTGAGCAAGTTCACTCTCAAATGACAGACTAAAAACTCCCTTGCAGGACCATTGCCGACGAGTACCAATTCGCCCGCATTCCAGGTGTCAGCACAACACAAGGTGATGAAAAAGGCTCGAGCCAAACCTCATTCGGATCGCATGCTCTCGCGGCGTCGCGCAGAGAAACCCAGAATGCCGCGCTATATGGTGTGAGTCTTCTTCATGCTGTTCAGGAAGCCTGAGGTGCGCAGCACTGCTCAAACGAGCATAATGGCTCAAGAGGTTGGCCACAGTTATATAAAGCATAGACAAGTCCCGACAGGGCTAGTCACGACCAGATGGGGCTGCGATTCAAGAGGATGAGAATTCGAAGTAAATTCGAAGCGAGAGGCGGTGCTGTGCCACGGTCACGTGGGCATGTCGTCCGTCGACGCGATACAGGCTGTTTGCTGAGCTGCTCCGTTCCGCAGAGTTCTGGGACTAGTGGCACTGCCGGGAAGTGGGCACGTTTGCTACCAAAATGGGCTGCTCGCCGGCACTCTCTGCATCTTCTTCACTCCATCTGTACTAACGTCTTTGGGACGGTGGCTTATGCTCCTTTACACGAGGCAGTCGACGCGGCTACTACCAACCGCGCATTCACCTCCCACAGGTCACTATCCCACTGCTTTTCCTGTCGTGTCAGCTTTTCCAGCGGTATCAGAGCTGTTCTCGCGATGCTCCGTGCAATGTGGCCACACATCTCCGGTACTATCGGGGCACTGCCCTCGGTCGCTCGACGCGTTAAATTCGCCACTTGGGCGGCGATGCGTAGCGGCCCGCGATCCGTATCTAGGCGTGCTGTGTCCGGGTGGCGGTAACATCGAGTATATGAGGAGGAGGCAAGTGGTTAGAGGCCCTTCATTCCTCCCGCCATCTTCGTTGTTACCCATGGTGTTGTACACAAGCACAGCGAGACCATTGACCGCCCTCGTGTCGCAATAACATACGCTTGAGCGTCACGGACGCACGAGAGTGCCCGCACTCTCCGTCTGGGACGACTCGCTTCTCTGACCTTACTCATTTACCTGCTCAACCCATCGAGTCACCTACCTTTTGCCCGTACTTCTTCCTGAAAACTTCGAAGACATGGTTTGCATCGACATCTGATACGTTTACGAGTGGACTTGCTCATTACCTCTTAGGTCTTCGTCGGTAACAAGAAATACGCATGGTGCGACAGCCAATGATCACTCGTGCGCATACGAATCTAACCCCTGCTGCGATGTAGCGAGACGTGCATCAAAGGCCACCGCTCGTCCACATGTAAGCACACAGACCGCCCGCTGTACGAGATCAAGAAAAAGGGCCGCCCGGCGACGCAATGCGAGCACTGCCGTGAGCTCCGCAAAACCAAGCAGCTGCACGTCAAATGCATGTGCGCGTCCAAAATCGACAACGCGCCCGACGCCGCGGGGCCATCGACTATGAGAAAAGGTGATTTCCCGTAACATAGCAGGCGCCTTGACGCGAGACTGACCGTCAAGGTCCATCGCTCTTTGTACGGTTTAGGTGCCTCGAAGGTGCCGGCGAGCGCCGCGTTTCCCAGCGGGCTATCCCCGAAGCGCTGGAAATGTCGGTCGCACTGTCGGACGGCTCAGATTCAGAGCTCAGTATGTGCCGTCGTCGTACGGTGTCATTGATCGCACAGTACAACTGATACGCTGCAGGCCATGTTCCCTGCGAATGCGATCACAGCGGACCGTGCAACTGCACGACTCCCCGCGCACCACGCAACAAGGGCAAAACCCGGGCGCGACCTCTCCACGGAAACGCGGAACAGGACCCGTGCCTGAAAAGTTCAAGGGAGCCACCAGTGGCTGGGCCCGCCGGGATCGTCGCGTCGGCGCACGCAGCAGGACATCGCCCAGTGCTACCTCGGCCGCCCCCGCCAGAGCACCCAGTAGCGTTGCGGACTGCGCATGTCCCCTCCGCGACTCCTTCCCATCTGCCCGGCGGGCGCCGGACGTCCCACGACCAGCACTACAGCCCCTACGGCAAGGCGTACGAAGAGGTATACACAAGCGATCAATACCGCGGCCAATCCATGACTTACCAGAGCACAATCTCGCCTACCAACGAACCCTCCGACCCCACTGCGGCCCTCCCGGACTTCCAACCGTGGCCGGCGTTCAGCTCACCGTCGCCGAGTGCGTCCCCGTTCGCAAACATTTCCCTCTGCGGCTGCGGTCCCACTTGCGCATGCCTTGGCTGCTTCGAGCACCGCGGGCGCGACGTGCTCCCGGGCGCGACATGCGCCAACCCAAACACTTGTATCGCCTGTCTTGAATGCGCAATGCTCGCGATCCCGCCTGAAGTACCTGGCATGACATACGAGGACACCCAGGCGCAGAATGTAGACGAGTGGTTGCGCCAGATGACCGTTGCTGAGCCGCAGATGCAGCCCCAGTCCGAGGCGGCGATGCCAACTCAGCCCGTGCTGCCATCCACGCCGTCGTCCATGCTAGGTATGCGACGACAAACTGCGAATCCATCATTCTCACCACAACCCTCTGGCCCCGTGCACCGGGCTGAAGCCGTTGTGCCCTATGACCCGACGCTCCTGCAAACGTACGCGCTTTGGAACGACTTGCACGACGCCCGCACGCGCTCGCGGCCTGTGCAGGGCGAGTGGGACGAGCTTGCCCAGGCGGAGACGGGATGCTGCGGCGGTCGGTGCCAGTGCCCGCCAGGTTTGTGCTCGTGTCCAAGGGAGTGCTGTGGGTGTTGTCAGGGGTGCGCATGCGAGGGCCACTTGTGCCAGCATGGCGCAGGGGTCGGAGAGGGCGGAAGACTCACGTTCGCGGTGAGTGGAGAGCGTGGCGGCTGTTGCGTCCCGCCATCGCGAGCCACCGCTTCCTCGTCTGTGCTGGGTCGTAGACAGGGTGGGACCATAGCGCAGCCGCAGCCTGTCACGGAAGCGTGGATGATGCAACTTGAAGGCGCGAACGTACCTGGTACGAGCGGTGTTGTTGATTGGAATGCGCAGGCGCAGACACTCACTGTATCCAGGGTAACCCCCAGCCGCGCGTCCTCGCATTCGTCGCAGTCGTCTGCAGGCCTCTCTCACTCGTCGACATCGTCATCCCTCGGATCCGTGCTTGGAATGCCGAGTCCTCTGAGCGCGTCCGGGAGTTGCTGCTCGAGTCGGTGATTCAGCAGTGAATGGTATGTGTGTAGTTGTGAAACAAAAGTGCTACCACCTCGGTAGAGATCCGCAGTGGACAATGCGGTTGGCGTGGGATGTGTAGGTCTTGTGATCTTGCAATTGTCGTTACTCCGTGGCTTGACCTCGATGGTGTGACGCCAGTCGTGCTCGTTGTCACCGTTTGCTATTTGGGACTGTCAGACTAGTGAGCCGATCTCAAGACATCCACACCTTCAACCTGAAGCCGGTCTAGCATCTTGCCTCATTGATTCCAAATCAAGACGTTGCCAGATTGACGAGACACGATGTCACTCCCTGTCACACCGAGTTGACGGATATAGGGGAGAAGATCTCCAGATTGGCAATCATCATCATTCTAGTCCTTCGAGTGCGAAGTACTCGGGCGAGCATCGCGCACATGGAGCGGTGGACCCGCGGCCGCTCGCAGGCGTCGTCTATGCTCGTATCTTCCAGTCGAGTAGTCCCCAGTCTGACCGCCGTACACTCGTGGTGAGTTCCATCGGGAACACAAACCAAGTCTATTCTGCCCTCCTGTTCAAAGAACGACGCGTCGCCGTTCAGTCTAATGCAACCCGTTGTCTGCTAAACGTATGAATTAGCATGAAGTCTCCTTGCAGTGTCCATATGATAAGACTGCACCCATTACACTGCCTGCCGGACAAGACCGTTTGCCCTCAGAAAGCTCCCAACTCTAAGCTGTACAAGTCAAGTGTCTTCCGTCTGCCTCTGTTCCAACGTACTGATCGCGTCCTCCCAGACCCTACCAATGTCGTTACCATATATCCAAGACATGTCGCTCCCGCCGTCCTTGATGATCTTGACCCTGACGCGATCGTCATAAGACGGCGAGTCCCCAAGCTCCTCCAACTTCGCGGCGCGCTGCGCAGCCTGGCCCTGGAGATGCGCGTACATGCGTGCGTAGTACGGGAGGCGGATGCGGTCGAACAGGGGGAGCGCGCGGTGGACGTCGTTGCGGTAGTGCCGCAGCGCCTGCGCGAGCACCCAACCGTCCTCCATGGCGAAGCCCGCGCCCGAGCCGAAGGCCCCGGACAGCGCGTGCGACGAGTCGCCGACGAGGACGACCTTGTCGTCCCACGCGGTGAGCTTCGACAGCTCCGGGCCCGCGAAGGCCGCGAACTCCCTCCAGTCGCCCTCCTTCACCCAGCTGATCACCTCGCGGATCTGCGGGAGGTACTCCTATCGCCAGATCAGCGTGAGACGGACAAGCTCTGACAGAGGAAGCGTACCTCGAAGTGAGACTCGACGTATGCGTTGCCAACTGGGACGCCCCAGCTGACCTTGTCGGCGCTGTGTACAGCAGGGTCTTGCCAGCTCCGCGCGGCGATCTCACCGAGGCCTTCCCCAACGGGAGAGAACCAGACGTGGGATGTTGGGCCGTGCCACCATGCGGTCGTGGCGAAGCGAGGGTCCTGCTTCACGACGTCGTCCCATGGCAAAAGCGCTCTCCAGATGGTGGTACCGGTGAACTTGATCTCGTAGTCAGGCCACGCGGCATCCCGGACCACCTGCAGTCGTTATGTCAAGACGGATGGCGGGGATTACAGATAATGGCAAAAGGCGACTCACCGAGCGAATGCCGTCTGCACCAACGACCAGATCGGCTGTGGCCACTGTACCGTCTTTGAAGTGCAGTTCCACACCGTCGTTGCCTATGTCCACGATGCGAGTGAGCTTCTTCGAGAGCTCGATGACACCAGGCGGGACATGTGCGAGAAGGGCCGACTGCAGCTTCGTCCGCTGGGTGCGAATTTGCGGGCGTTTCACAGGGGCGGTCTTCACCTGCCGGTGTATTTCTTCCCCAGTCTTGCCATTTCTTGCGGCATACATGCGTCAGCAATCAGCTGCGTTAAAAGTAGCAGCGTAGCTCACAGGTTCCCGACGACATCAGTGACATGGCCACTGGTGAGCGTGTCGGCCACTCCGAGCAGCTCGAGGACGTTCCAGGTATTCTGCCCAATGCTGATACCAGCCCCGACCTCTCGTAGGAGAGTCGCCTGCTCGTAGATCTTCACTTCCACATTTGGTATATTCGACAAGGCGATAGCCGTCGCGAGTCCGCCGGGGCCTCCACCGACAACAGCGACTTTGAGGGGTCTGACCGAAGTCTCAATGGTCATCTTGGAGCACAAACAGTACGTCTCCTATATGGATATGCTTGTTAGTGTACTGGTCAGTCGACGTCTCATGATCGTCGTAGGAGGACTGCTGATATGTACTGTATTTCAAGAGCGGCTACGCGTCAGATCTCGACTGGATGGCGTGCGAGGACCCTCTTTGTCGAGCCAGCAGTACCTTGTGGTTCTCTATCACGCAACGTCACTATTAGTATTATTCTGTTGCTGATAGCGGGAGTGGTACATATGCTCCAGTCATGATTCAAGTACTTACCGATAAAGCGTCGCGCGAGTGAACAACCTGAGAGTAGTGATTGACGAATCGAGGCCGCTGGAGAGACGTACACCTTCCACCTCTCAGTATTGCCAATGTTCGTAATATGGCACATACTGTAACTTGGCTCTTGGACATTTGGACGCAGATCGGATATCATTCAGTGAGCATAGGAGCGGAGTGTTGGTAGCAAGTTACTCTGTCAGCAGGATGACTGCGAGGATTGAGATGCGCGTGAGAGCCAGCAGTCGAGCGTCTCCCTATTATGTAACTTGGTCAGGTTCAAGAGGACATCCACGCTTTGCGCATCTCATCTCCGCCCGCATATTGTTGCCCGGCGACCGTCCAATACGTGCTGCGGCGTACGCATATCACTGGGACTTTCTGTACCCCAAACGACATGGCGGATTCAACTCCACCGGATACACCCACTTTCCTGACCGCCTCGCCGCCCTTTGACAATCCTGGTGCAGACATCATCATCCGGACGTCCGACCGCGTCGAGTTCCACGTGTACAAGCTCATCCTCAGAGAGGTCTCCTCCGTCTTTGCAGACATGGTGTCCTTACCGCCGACGCGCGAGTCGGACGCCGATGTGGTCGATGTCACCGAAGACAGCGTCGTCTGGGAGCATATCCTCCGTATGTGCTACCCCTTCGCCCGATCAGCTGTGATTGCGCCAGATCACTTCTGGCCGTTGCTCGAGGCCGCCAAGAAGTACGACATGAATGGTGTCCGCGAGGCGGTGGGGCGAGAGATGTTGACTGCCCCGATACTAGAGCGAAGGTCTCTACGAGTGTATTTGCTCGCCTGTGGTCATGGGCTCCAGGATGTCGCCATCGAAGCGGCCAGGGCCAGCCTGCGTCAACCACTTGACGAGGATACCTTGGTTCCGGAGCTGCGCTGCGTGACCTCGGCCGCGTACTTCAGGTTGCTCCGGTACCGTCGCGACTGTGTCAAGGCAGCCACAGCCTTCGTGGACGACTTCAAGGTTTATGTGTTCGGGCGTGATGGTTGGAGAAAGTACACAGAGACATGGGTGAAACCGCGTGGTGGCACCTCCAACAATACAGATCCAAAACATGACCCACAGTGTTTTGACTCTAATGAGAACCGCAAGAGGTACATTTTACACCCACCTTCCTGAGCTGTTCATGGTGTAGACAATGCCGACTTCAGCGATCGTACAACTCGTCGCCGCGTCTTCGAAGACTACATAAAGCGTTCCGCGGAGGCACTCAAGGTCACCCCTCATGGCGCTGTCGTGCTCGATCCACACATAATCGCCGCTACTGTACAGCAAGCTTCAATCTGCGCCGCCTGCAGAACGGACGAGCAGGCGGACCAGATCGTTCGGTTCATCAGGTTTCACGCATCCGACATCGATGCCGCCGTAGCCAAGGTGAGTGGGCGTCGGACATCATGAATATGTCCACCTATGTAGGCTAACTGTTCTCTGTAACGCAGGTGGTACTTATGATAGAGGCGTGAAAAAAGGGCGCACTCTGACTCCACGATAGGTCGCAGGTTGAGTTGAACCCAGACCGCGCTCGGCCTCTTTCAGTTTCGAGATTGCTACTATATGCTTGGGCACGGTCAGTCTGTTTGAATGGTTGTACGAGTATGTACGAGTACCCGTTTGACTTGTGTATAAGTGAGTGGTATTTCAGAAACTCGATCCAGTGCCTCCATGTATGCTACGACAGTACTTAGGACCGTACAGATTCGGCTAGGTCGCGATACAGACCACATTACCAGTCTTATTGATATCATCCTGACTATGTACCTCTAGTTCTACCTAGCGCATCAGCTCTGGCGGTACTACAGTCGCATAGAAGTGCAAGCTCTTGTCCGTATACGCTATTGCGCCTGCAGAGCTTAACATTCATTGTCACGTTGTAGGTTGCCGTGAAGCCGACTGTAATCATCTTTCGTCCGGACTCCGGAGGTTCTGCTCTTCTCGCAGACCATTACTTAGGAGTGTCGTTTCATCTTAAAAAGATCCCCTGTGTTCGTGCACTGTCAGTTCGCAACAGTGATTGTTCGCCACGGAATGTGATCCTGTAAGCAACACGACCCACAAAACTACGTCATGTCCTTGGGTGCAACGCCACAACGAGTGCGCCGTTCAGAACGCCCTCACCCTTCCTCTGCATCCACCGCCCGAATCGCATCTCATGCCCCACCCCCGCTACGAGCAACACCGTCTTTGCCTGCGCTTGGCCACGGGCCTTATTTGACCGCTCCTCCGTATCTTCCGCAGAGCGCGTCCAAGTGGCACCGGCCTGGAAGTCTGGCGCGGGCGTGCAGAACTGGATAGAATTTACGACGCCGGGGGCGGGAATCGTGCCCAAGAGGGCGAACGACTTGAGCTTCGCGTCGAGCTTCCAGAGGCGGACAGAGCCGTCCCACGAACCTGCACGTCGTTCGTGAGTACTTCATGAACAGAGCAACGGGAAGTGGAAGTGAACGAACCGGAGGCGAAGAGATCCGAGTACCGCAGGGCACCGATCGCAGTCACCCAGCGCGGCTTGCGGACCGTGGGCATGTCCTCCGTGTCGACGTGTGCCTCGTCAATCCCATGCGCGAGCGCCTGCGTGAAGACAGGCTTCTTCTTTTGCGTGGTCCATAGGGATAAAGACCTGTAGATCGAGGGGTGCACTGGTCAGGTCGGTCAGTTGCACAGAGGACACGGATTCGCGCACCCGCTATCACCGCCGCTCACGAAGGTGACCTCGTCAATCATAGCGACGCACTCGATGCTCCCCTCGACGAACTTCGTCTGCTGCCCCTTCACCTCGCGCCGTTTCCTCCGCCCTTCCCCCTCCTCGTCCTCACCATCGACGTCCATCCCATCCAGGTCGTCCCTCCATTTGCTCCCACCCCCGCCGCGGAAGACGAGCTGCGTCTCCTCCGGGATCTTCCAGAACCGCACCGTCTTGTCGCGCCCGCCCGCGCTGACCGCGGTCTCGCTCCGGAGCGCGTCGAGCGCGAGCACCGGGGCCTGGTGCCCGAAGAGCGTCTCCACGTAGCCCATCGAGGTGAGGTCGAACAACTTAAGCGTCCTGTCGAACGAGCCGGAATAGAGTTGTGTGGATGTGGTAGCGTTCGGCTGTACTTTCCGGAAGGCGAGTGCCTGTGGGAAGGGTTAGGAGAGAGCGCAGAGCAGAAAAGGCAGACGTACAGAGATGTGATCTCGGTGCCCTGTGAAGCCCTTCACCCACTCGTTCTTCTCAACGTCCCATACACCGACCCGTCGGTCCTTCCCACCGCTTGCGAGGTATCGTCCGTCTGGACTCACGGCGAGAGCCCATACCTCGTCTGTGTGTCCCGACACGTCCTTGCCCTTGCCCTTGCCCTTGTCGGGTCTGCACTTAAGGAATGTGTGTACTTTGCGCCCGGTGTGCAGGTCCCACTTGATGATAGCGCCCTCCTTGCCCGAAGTAAACAACCACCGTGCGGACGGAGACGCAACAGCCCCTGTGACGGAGAAGCGGTGACCGCGCGTTCGTATTGACGGAGCGTCCTCAATCTGGTACTGCGAGGCCGTTAGTGGCAAGAACCATATGATAGGGTAGTGTATGGCGCACGCTATCTGCTACGAACAGATGGACCTTTCCCGAGTGCTCTAGGACGTCCTGCTTGAGTCGCGTCGAGATGAGTTCGCGGTCGATCTCCGCCGCATCGAACTCTCCCTCCGCTGAAAGTGTTGCATGAGATTCCTGGAGGAAGGGACGAACATTGTACACGCACCTAGCCCAAGACCCTGTTTCACTCCGTCGAGATACATCTTCGCAAGCCGCAGCCGCTTCTCCGCGGGAGTCTCCTCTTCGTCTTCCTCACCGCTCTCGTACGCGTCCGGGTCGACGTCCGGTGCGCGCAGGTCCATCTCGTCAATCCCACCAATGTCGTCCGAGTCATGGGTCTCGTCCGACAGCTCTTCATCCCTCCGCTTCTTGGGTGTGGGGGCGGCGCCGGGCTTTTGTTTGCTTCGCTTGTTGGGAACGCTGCGTCCGGGTTGTCGGGAGGAAGAGGCGGTGGCATCTTGCGACCGTTTGCGTTTGCGCGTCTTGGGTGCTGCAAAGAAGGAGTCTGGCATTTTTGTCGGGTGTTACCCCGAGGGCGAGGGTCGCAAGGATTAGCGAAGGGCGTGGTGGATGCGCGAGCGTACAATACGAAGCTGCGCTGGTGGCGGAGCCTCAGCAACTTTTTCGCTCAGGCGCCCATGATCGGACCACGTGGAGTAGGTATCGCTGACTTGTACGAGTTTGTCAGCACTCAAGAGCTCTGTTGAAACGCACATTCATGCACTCAAGAGCTCCTACTTCGTCCATAAAACAGTCAAATACAAATCTACACTTTATATGGTACATGAACCACGCTACCGTAGACATACAAAACTAGCATCTCGTATTCTGTGTCGTGAACAAGACATTTCCTAGCAACGTATAGTAGTACAAGTAAATTGTAATCTTGAACACTCCGAAGCTGCGATTCATGCATAGTAGCCTTCAGTTATGATATGCCGTCTCGAGCTTCTCCTTTGCCTCAGCATATTGATATTCGTCGACGAGCATCTCGTCATTGAGAGTCTCGAGGGACTCCATGACCCAGTCCTGGCAGGTCCAAGTGACGATGTCGTTCCTCATAGGTTGCCGCCTCAGGCACTCCTTTTTTTTTTTTTTTTTTTTTTTTTTTTTTTGAATCCCTTTATTGTCCGCGAGGGCCGGGCCCTATGTAGACAAAGCACTAGCACTAGGAGTAGGTACGGAAGTGTTCACGTAGGTTCAAGCTGAGCATAGGCTCACGCCGGGGCGAGAGCTGGAGATGGTACAGTAAGAGAGCAAAAGGAAAATATGGTGCCGAGACAGTGACATGTATGTACAGTAATGGGAGTGCGAATGCAACGAGGTAATCTATTTATGGGAAAGTGGACTCCCGCCCGGGAGACGACACACGTTCGATAGAGCTATCGGACTGGACGAGCGGTCTGGCTCAGAGCGCAGGCACTCCTTGACCTCGGCGATGGCACGCTCACCATCGATTTCGCAGACGAGAATTTCTTCGCGGAAACGCTGCGACTGCATCGGGTTCGCCTCTACGACGTCAAGGGCGAGCGCGCCAGGCTCGCCGTTGGCTTGATAGATGAAGTGCTGCTTCGACTCATTACCGCCGAGAATATGCAGATGGAGGGCCCAATGGGCCTTCGAGCGGGCCAGTGGCCTGTAGCTGACGACCGAAAGCTCTGCGTGGACCATCTGCGCAGTGAGAAAACCTAGTTAGTCGGGCCGAACGGAGGCATGCACAAGAACGACTCACAGCTGTAGCAAACTCGAGAGGGGCTCTGCGATTTTTCGTTGTGGCGTCGCGGGTTACTGAGTGCCAGTGGGCTGTTTGGTATCGCCCTTTTAAATGTCCTGCTCCTGCGACCGCACGCCTTCCCAGACAAGCTATGGTCTCGCCACGCTCTTTCGAGTCATGGATCACGACTATACTTGGAAGGAACGCAAACCCTTTGAGGAATAGCTCCACGGCAATTGTATAAACCAAGTACAGGTTCATACCACTCACTTGAGTTTGTCATCTGCCGGGGACAGCGGCAGGAGTCACTTCGTGTCAAGACGTTCTCAGGACTCGCCGAGGAGGACGAGCTGATGAACGGCGCTGATCTCTAGTTGAAACTTCGTAGTCTAGACATGTATAGCAAATAGATAGACTTGTCGTACCAGTACGCCACTGCAACATGTTGCCTTCGCATTGGCACCGTCCTTGTTTTCCATGCCGTCGAGCGGTCTGCAGTGATGCCGCTCATCAGAAGCCAAATACAAGCCCATACTTCTTGTTCATCGATGACTTCGACTATTATATGCGCTGACAAGAAAAAGGTATAGCGCGAGATGCTAGTACACCACAGTGGACTCGATGACACGGTCCAAAACGACCTCGCGATCGTAACCCAAAATCGACGGAGGTAAAAAGTCCCACCAATCGCTCTCGTCCTGGATGGAACGCGTGTTTAACGCCTTGAGGTGCTCCCAATACTCCGGGTAAAAGCCACTAGACTCCCAGTCGATGATCCCAGATAGCTCGACGCCACCGTCCGGTCCATCGACCACCATCACATTCCCCTGATGCAGATCCGCGTGGGTGAACACGATGCGATGTTCATCGCGTAGCATCGAGCGGAGCCATCTCTTGTAGTTGGGCGCCGCTCGGCAGGACCGTGACTCTAGGAGGAAGTCGTTGAACTGCGCTTCGGAATACAGAGACGACGCGCTGACTCGATCGTCTCTGCGGACATCCTTGCAGAGCCGGCGACCGACAGGAGAGCCGAGTGGGGCGCCACACGGAGATTCCAGTTGGCGGAAAGTGGCGACGGTCTCATCTAGAAGATCACGAATGCGCAGCTTTGTCTCCGCAGACAGCGAGGGCCAACGCTTCTCCAGTGTGGTGCCGGGTACGAGGGTCATGAACATGAAGGACGTTGACCCCACGGTTACCAATCCGAGAGCACGCGGTGCTGCGATGCTCGGGAAATGTTCTTCCACGAACTGTAGAACCCCGTGCTCGTCGTGATTGAAGTACTGTGACTGGGCAACCTTCACAACCACGTTCTCGCCAATCTGGATTACGGCGCGAACAGAATGTTCCCAGAGGAGTGTGCCAGACAGTGCATGCCCAACAATAGTCGCTGAGAGATCAGATACAGACGCATCCCAAATCTCGAGAAGTTGGCAGACTACGGGGGAGAGCGGGTAGATTATGGAGTGTGGCAGGGGGCACGGGAAAGGGAAAGGGATTGAAGGCAGCGGCGCTAGGCAGCCGGCTGAAATCTGTCGAGATGCAGCTGGTCTGGGCTTCGAAGTTGATGCAAGGTATTCAAGCACACGAGGAGGAGCTTTGTCTGGCTCCCCCGCTTGCAAAGGCACCAGTGGCTCACTGCTTTCTGCCGTGCGAGAGTGAATGTTAGGATTGGGCGGAGTGAACAGTATACTCACCTGTCCGTCGCTTTGCTTCTCGCGCCTCGATTGAACGGCGTATTTTAGCGTATGAGGTACATAGCTTGCTCAATGTAGCTTCTAGATCAGCTGCGGGGTCGTCCTCTAGGGCCCTGTTGATGTGTGCCAGCACAGTGACATTGAGATGACTGTAGCGACGCTCGGCCATGGGAAGACTGATTGAGAACGATGTCAAAAGACCGAAGGGAGCTGATAAGCCGTAGAAAATACGTGCCGGTACACTGTGCCACGGTACTACTGCATACGTTCGCGGTACAAAGCCAAGTTTGCGTGACCGTGTTCAGGGAACCTCGGTGTCAGTGGCGGTCACAACACGTATACGTAAGCTGTCGTCCGGATTCAGGTCAGCACGTGCGCACAAGTTGAATATGGCAACCGGCGTCGTCGTTCTAACTTTCCTTCATGATCATTTGCACTGGCAGGCTGCTCTTTGCAAATCATAACATTTGCTTATGGCCCCCGATAAGCGCAAATGCGTTCTCTCGAGTGAAGTCGTACGCTCAGGCTCGCTGCAGCCGGGTGCCAGGGCGTACGCGGAGCATGACGGACCACACCTCGACGGAGAAATTGGACGATCCGAGTACCATCCAGACTACGATGACGCCAAGTCGGTAGATCAGTCTAATAAGAGAATGAAAGTGCAAAATTGTCTATCCGTGGAACGAGACAAAACGCCCCCGCCACAAGTGCCTCCTAGCATTTCTCGTTCGTCCGAAACCTATCTCATACGGACGCTACTCACGCGGCCACCTATGGCAGGATATGTCCCAATAGTGTGCGCGGGCTCTCACTGGTGTGATCGATCGGCTCTCGAGAACGTCGTCGTCTTGTGAGTCCTACTAGTCATCCTTCATTCAAGCTAGTGTGCCGAGCTGTCACACGCAGTAGTACTAGAGCTCACCCTAACTTGCACTCCAGCGGCGACTCGTACAGTAAATCGGATGATGGAAGAACATGGGTATGGTGTTAGCCAGTGGTCCTCTGCTGCTGCTGATACTATACCAGGTCGGCCATCTGGGGAAGCGACTTCAGAGACGAGACACACCGATCAGGATACACAACTTCGCTTTTCCTAGCGCGACCGCTGAGTATGACCTCTCAACCCAATTTTCAAGCTTCTTCGACCTCTGTCCACCGAAGACAGATATTTACAGTGGGATACCTACACTTGATCCGGAGAAGACCGTATATTGTTCGCATTCTCATGCCCTTTTCATGGCCAGCACACTGATGCGCATGTAAAGTCTTGTTCTTAGGTATCAATGACTGCGGAAATCCCGATTCCGATGATCTGGCGTCCATTCTGGAGACGATATTCGATGGCGTTCACGATCTATACATCAAAGCCGGGGCCCGGAACTTCGTTCTCATCGACGTCCCACCTACTGATCGTTCGCCGCAAGGTGCAGTCATTCGAGTTGCCCTTCCTATTCCATTCACATCTGACTCGCAGCGAATGACTGCGAGACCTCAGACGAGATAGAAGAACGTGTCAGGACGTGGAATGATGCGCTGCTGGCACAGACAACCGAGTTTGGGGCTAGCACCGAGCAGGCGACAACACTCCTGTTCTCGTCACATCGAGTGCTGACTGAGGTGCTGGACGACCCGTGCGAGTTCGACTTCACCGAAGACGACGCGACGGCCGAGGGTGGTGGGATCTGGACGGACGGATTGCACCTCTCAACGCATGTACATGATATTCTTGCGGAGCGACTGATGGCATCCGTATTCCCGCCATAGTGTGCAATTGCAGGGAGCTTCTTCGATGCTCGGCGTGGTGTCCTGAATGCCATATCAATGGAAAGAATGGCGGTTGCATCGTGCACTCACGTCCTGGTAACAAAACCAAGGTCGAGCACCGTTGTACAAGTACTCAGTACTCACTTGAAACGAGCTTGTCATGGTACATAATTTTTTCCAAGAGTCATACAGATACCACTCCGAGAAATTGTATTCCTGTGATACCGCTCCTTCAGGACTCCACAACGAGTACTACCTGTGGAAGAAACCCCGTCAGGGAGCAAGTACTTTCAAAACCTTGCTGACTTACCTTCGCGATGGCCGCATCTATCTGGGCTGCATGGAATTTAATGAAATGACTGATTTCACTGGCATCACTATCTTTTCTACATATGCTGCATAATGCAGCTGCTTGCGCCGTAGTGGCGATGAGGACTGGGTCCAAGACTGCGTCGCCGTGAGGGTGAGCTTTGAGTCTTTCAGTAGACTGAGCCATGTAGTCGTCAAACGTGCTGCGGTATGATGTGTAATTCGTGACATATGCGGTTCCTTGGGCACAATCTGCGTGATGGTGCTGTTCAGGTACTCCCGGGCCGGGTCCGGATCGGCGCACGATCCAATCTGGCACTTCCTCCGATACCATCCCGTCCCATCTATGGTTACGGAGGAACCGTTCGTCCTCCGCAATGGATATGGCCGCCTTCACGCACTCCTGACGGTATTGCAGCAGGTTGAAGTAGGCGGCTGATGTCGCAGAGCGCAGCTCGGGTACAGATGACCTCGCCTCGGGTGTCTGGCGAAGACTAACCCTGGCCGCTGCAGCAGCGACGTCATTGAATCCGTAGCTGCATGCGAGCATGTAGACGCGCAGCGTCTCTTGCTCTAGCATGCGGGGTGTAGACATTTCCTTCACCACGGTGTTGCGCACACAGGCCATATCGTACTTCTTGGCAGCCTCGAGTAACGGCCAGAGCTGATCCGAGACGATCGCAGGTAGTACGGTGGGATAGCAGATGCGAAGGATGCAATCCCACACAACACTGCTTTCTGTGACCTCAACTACCCTTGAGTCAGTGTCGGGAGCCGTCGGCAAGGCTGCCATGTCGGCGAAGACCGAGGAGGCATGTGTGAGTATTATCTTGTAGACGTGGAAATCGACATGGTCCAGCGTGCGGATGATCAGATCAGCGTCGGGATTGTCGAACGGCGGTGAAGCGACCGTGACTTGAGCAGCGGATGAAGTGCCGTCTTCTGCTGCGTCAGTCATGTTGTCAATATCGTCGAAGTGCTATCGTTTGAGGCGTGGTGCGCAAGCGATGTGGCTCTTTTGTCACTGTATATACGCAATGACAGTTGAGCCAAGAATGAAAGTAGACAAGCACCGAGACTACCTTAGACGGACTCAGGGGAGGACTCGGACGCTCGAGTCGTCTTGCTAGTACGTCAATCGGCCCGTAGATGGTCAGCTATATTTTGTGTGTCAATGCGATGCATATGGAGTCTATAACTGAAGTATACGGCAAAGGCGACGGGGCATCCTCACCTTACTCAGGCTACTCTGATAGTAGTCTCGTAAGAAACCACTTCCGAATTCGAAGGAATTCAGCCGCATGTCACGTGCGTAGTGTTGACAGATCGAGATCGTATTGTGGCGCCCGCGGCCCAGCCGTTCGAACTTGAACGCGGTTTGGTTGAGTTGCTCAAGCCTTCCTCGAGCTTACGACTCGGACGTTCTCGTACTGCCTCAAAATTGAGTGAACGCTATCTGATGCTGGAACAAAACACAATGCGGGGTCTTCCAGTGTCAGCTCAGGTGCTGTTGACTTCGCCGACTTCCCTATAAGCACCATGCACTTCGCCTGAAGAACGTGGCGTACAGTAGGCTCGCTGGGTCCGTCAAATCTTATGCATCCCAGTCAGGTGCAGCGGTATGTAACGACTAAGCCCCGAGTAATCTACAACGCTAGTTGACCCTTTGGACTCGCAGGCGTTGCTCGCTATCGACGTCTGACACACAGGGGTCGCAGGAACACTGGTAGACGCTCTCGGGTGGTCAGTGCGGCCGTATTGGCACGACGAGACTGAAGCTATCAAGCGAGAACTCAAGTAATTCATGGCTGTACGCGTTCAACGTGCGAAGCTAGGACGAGCGCGATGGATGGCGCAGATCGCCTTCAATGAGCGTATGTATCGAGGACTCGGCCCACAATGAATGTCCGATGTGGTCATGAGACCACGCAAGCATGTATACTTGGAACAGAGATAACTCACACAGTACAGCAATCTACCGCCTGTCGTACGTCACTCTGCCGCTCCGGATACGGCTGCTCATCGATTGCACACTGACAAAATGGAAGTGCGCGGTTAGGACGCCCACTGTATTGCCGCACCCATATCTACTGCTGCAGTGACTCCTTGGCTCGACTTGCGCATCGACTCCGTCATGGATACGCAGTCCCCTGTGCGTCGATCTGCCTCATCGCCTTTCGATAATGAGAGCGCAGACCTGATCATTCGGACGTCCGATCACGTCGAGTTCCGCGTCTTCAAGTTGATTCTCAGGGAGGCCTCGCCAATCTTCGCAGACATGTTCACACTACCCGTGGCAGCGACACCCGAGGCCGACACGGGTGTAGTTGATGTCGTCGAGAAGAGTACCATCTGGGACTACATTCTCCGTGTCTGCTACCCCGGACCCGTCCCGTCGTCGACTACCATCACCCCCGATCAGCTCTGGCCGCTGCTCGAAGTGGCCTCGAAGTACAACATGAAATGCGTCCACGATGCCGTCTGCCAGGTTATGTCGACTCCCCACATGCTGGAGGACGAGGCTCTGCGAGTCTACCTACTCGCATGCGGGTACGGATTCCGCGACGTCGCCATCGCCGCAGCGAGAGCCTGTCTCCGCCGGCCAGCCGACGAAAGAACGTTCATACCGGAGATGCGTTGCGCGACAGCCGCCGCATACGTCAGACTGCTCCAGTACCGTGGCGACTGCGTCGATACGGCCACTGCTTTTTCACAGGATCCCAAGTTGTTCCTACGCTCTAGCTGGAAGGAGCACATAGGGGGCTGGGCTACAGTTCAGTCGATATCTACCTCTCGCAATCATCCCGACCCGGCACACAACGAGGCATGTGCAGGCCGCTCGGTGTTTTACAAGATGGAGCCGCGTTCTTCCGCAGCTGGGAAGGACAAACACGTCACGCTTTGTCGCCGCGTACTCGAGAATTTCATGAAGCGCTCTGCGGAGGCACTGAAGGCTTCCCCGCACGGTAGCACTGTACTCAACTCGAAAAACATCGCTGCCATCGCGCAGGAAGCCTCTATCTGCGGTGCGTGCAGAAAGGATAGTCAGCCGGACAACATCGTTCGATTCCTCGAATTCTACGCATCGGAGATAGATGCAGCTATTGCAAAGGTAAGTGTGAATGCCATTGCGTACGTTACTCTGACCGCTGAACTGGCCCGCGTTGTTCCTCTGGGACTATGACGGTTCCTGCTTGTAGGTCCAACTCGTTGTGGAGCCTTGATTGCGGCGGCGCATCGCAGTGCTTCCGATGTGGCATGTCCCCCAGACTGTGTACTGAGTTGTATTTGACTGCCAGTGAGAGTTGGGCAACGAATCTTATTGTAGTGGTTGTTTGAAGTGTTGAGTTCGAAACCACAGAGTTGCTCAGTGACTAGTCGCGACCTTTGTGAAGGAATGACCGGTTGGGACATTGTAGTCGAAGACGGCTGGTCTTTTATGTAATCAACCTTACTGTATTCATTTGCCGCTGGATCTGAAAAGCTCTCAAGCTTTCTCACTCGCGAGCATCATCCGCTTATAACTACCTTTCCATCTCTATGGCGTTTCCAAACATCGTGACGGATCCTACTTCGGTTGATCCTACTTCGGTTGAGGGCTCCACTATCCATATAGCCTCTCCGCCGTTCGACGACCCCCAGGCGGATGTGATCATCCGAACGTCTGACCGCGTCGAGTTCCGCGTCGTCAAGCTCATTCTCAGGGTGGTCTGTACAGTCTTCGCCGACATCTTGTCATTGCCTGTCGCACCTGATGCAGACCCGAATGCAGTCGACGTCACCGAGGACAGCGTTGTAAGGAGTGACTAGTTGTTACTAGTCCTCGATAGAACGATATTGAATCATTTAGTATGTTCACGACCTCTATGGTATGTTATCGAAGGCTATGGAATATTCGAGAGTACTCGTGAAGATACAGAGTAGCTTACCAATGCGAGGATCGCTGCGAGTATATAGGAAGGGCCGAAACACTCGCAGACGACACGCTTTGCTGGTCAAACGTCTACCCCCTCTCGTCTCGCCTCTTGCCTCTCTCTTGTACCATCTACTGTACACCTGTACCCGTAGATAGTACAATCCAACTCCTTTCTCCCCTTTCTCCCTTCTCTCGCCCTCCTCGTCGGCCTGATCACCCGTCGAGCCCCTTACCTAAGCAAACCGCGTGAGGACTGAACCCTTTCGTACAAGGCGTAAACTCGTCTTGTTACAAGCGTCGTGTGGGACCACATCTTGCGTATATGCCACCCCGACACTGCTCCACTGGCACCAGCTACGATCGCTGCCGATCAGCTCTGGCCGATGCTCGAAGCGGCCAAGAAATATGATATGCGGGCTGTGCGGGAAGCAGTGGTGAGGGAGATGTCGACGCCCCGCATGCTCGAGCAGGAGACTGCGAGTCTACGCACTCGCATGTGGCTATGGAGTCGAAGATGTCGCTGTCGCAGCGACGAGAGCCAGCCTTCCCCAGTCATACGAGGATGGCCCGTATGTACCCGAGCTGCGATGCGCAACGCCCGCTGCGTACTTTAGACTGGTCCAATACCGTCGGGAATGCGTGAAGGCAGCCGTGTCCTTTGCGGAGGACCCGCAGCTCTTCTTCCGAGATGGGTGGAAAGACTACGTCAAAGATTGGCTCCTGCGGTTGGAATATGTCAGCGAGCAACATGATTTTGTGTGTAGCAGCGGGAGAAACTTTGCGTTGGAAACTTGGACATGGAACAATCGGTCGTTCCGTGACGTACTCGATGAGTACATGGCACGTTCGACAGAGGCCCTCAAGGTGTTCCCTCATAGCAGCACGGTCCTAAACCCCATCTTCATTGCGACCACAGTACATGCCGCCTCAAAATGTATCGCTTGCAGGGGCCGTACGGAGCCCAGTGATATTGTGGCTTTCTCCAAGTTTCATGCATCTGAGATAGATGCAGCCATTGCGAGGGTAAGCCGCCGATGCTCAGGGAGTACTTGACCAACAAGAGACCATTTATTGACTCGGTGGATGCCTTTTTCTGTAGGTGAAACTCGTCATGGAGTCCTGACAACTGTGGGATATCCTGGGTGCTCTCGACTTTGTCCGTGGAATCGGACCTTACTCTCGCTCGGAATCCAGTGTCGGACCTTCACTGTGTTCGATTCGAACCTGATGGGTTGATATCGTCCGAAAGAACCTTAATTTTGGTACAGTGTAGGCGTATTTAGTATAATCTCCATGGTGGGGACCAAACGTACCACAAGAAATCGGCTCTGAAAGGCTTGACTACGGCGGCAAGACCTCATTTCACGATGATACCGTGTGTATCCGCGATGAAGTGCTATCCGTCTCTCCATATCCAAACGCCCTCGGTGGTGCGTCCTTTTCGGTGAAGCCGAACTCGTACAGGAGCCCGGGGTTGCATCCAGCACCTCAGTCGGTACTTGGCGTGCCGACCGTGACGGTAGTAGCATTGTCGCGTCGGGCTGCTTGGCAGCCGAGTCTTGTTCGACACTGGTCGCCTGTGCGCCGAGCGGCTTGTTCCACTCCGAGCAGCGGCCTCGGCCAAAGTTGGTCGGGGAGGCTCTTGACAGCCCGTGCTATGGGATAATAGATGCGCAGGATAATATCGCTGTGATCCGCTACCTGAACAGTCTTCGTGTCCGTCCCGGCGGTCGTCGCCGGCAATGTCTACTTGTCGGCCAAGACCGAAGAGGCCACTCTGGGAATGTATTTGTAGAGGTGGAACTCGACGCGACCGGACGCGACCGGACGCTCGGATGATCGCGTCTGCTTCAGGATTGTCGAATGGTTTTGAGGCCGTCTCCATGGGGGACGCGGCATCCGTCTTTGTGCCCGACGTAAGTACGGTCCTCTGAGGTGTGACAGTATAAGGACGTGGCACAATAATTACCAAAGATAATAGCACTCGTACCTGTGGATACTCGATGCAGAATTGAACAATCTAGTCACCAGATAAGTAGTCGAAGTCTGGGCAGCAATCGCGGCAAGTTGAACTTCAAGCAGTCGGTGGAAGCAACGCGCCCACACGTGACCGCGTATATGCGCGAGACGGCCTGAGGCCTTCTTCTCTCCTCAGGTCCTCCTTCTCCTTCTCCTCGCCCCTGTCTGCTCTCCTCTCTCGCTTTCGGACATGCTTGAATCATGCACTCCAGTAGGCTTTCAATGCATTGGCACCTACTTGTCTGATATCTGCCCAAGCACCACGACTATGCTGCCAACGTGCTCACCGCGCTGCTCTGCGTCGGGCTCGCCATCTCCTACCTTCCTCAGGTCTGCTAAAAGCTACCTATCCCGTCGTTATGATTGACGCTTATGTGCGACGCCAGCATCTACGGATAATCAAGGCAGGTTCCTCAGAGGGCTTTAGCCCGTGGTTCCTCCTACTCGGGAGTACATCGTCTGCATCGGGAATGCTGAACATGTGCGTCCCAGTCGCTCTCTTCATGGCCTAGTCTCATTGCATTGTGACCAACGTACAGTATTGTCATGCAATGGAGCATAGTCAGGTGCTGTAGGGTCGTCGTGAGTGTTTCCCTATCCCGCCATCTCCCCCTGGCATGCTGAACTCGGCGTCTGCCTCCTAGACATTCGGGAGCTGCATCGAGTCCGTAGCTGGGGTAATTCAGCTTATGCTGCAATGGTTCTTCTTCACTGTCATGTAAGTTATATCTCCTGCCCCTCTGCGTCACCGACGATGGAACGTCGCCCCAGCCTCGTGTTGTACATGATCTACTACCCGCCCCATCTCAAGTTCACCGAGGTCGACGTGGACCTACACGACAACCGGCCTCCACAGCACGTCAAGACCTCCGTCAAGACAGACGCATGGCGTCTCTCCATCACCCTCTCCTGGGTCGTCTTCATCCACATGTGCGTCGCGCTCCGCTGCCCCACACGTGGTGCACACGCTCACGTCCGACCGCGTTCAGCGCCTTCATCACCTTCGTAACCTTCCTGCTACTCTCTGCGGAGACTCCCGATCTTCCAGGACGTTCCCCGCAGATATCGCTGTGGGCGACATTCCTAGGCGTCGCCTCCGCGCTGCTCGCCGCGCTTCAGTATGCCCCGCAGCTCATCCATACCTACCGCCTCAAGCTAGTCGGCGCGCTAAGCATCCCCATGATGCTGATCCAGAGTCCCGGTGCCGTCTTCATGGTGCTCAGTATCGCTCTCCGGTGCGTCTTGAGGGTCATTATATCTCTGGCGGTCACTGACCATCCTCGATAGGCCCGATACGAACTGGACAAGTCCGTCGTTCACTCTCTAACCACGATCTAAATCTGACTGACTCGCGCGCGACCCAGCATGGCTCCCTTACGCCGTCGCCGGCGTGATGCAAGGGTCCCTCCTCATTATGTGCATCCTGTGGCGCGCACGCCAACACCGCCTGAACATCAACGACTTCGGCCAGCCACTGGACGCCTCGTCCGCTCTCCTCGCCTCGTCCGACGGCCCAAGCGAAGTCGCACGCGTCCCAGAGGACGGTCTTCCGTTGCAGACAGCGGTGGAGGACGCCGTCGAGCACCACGTTCGCGCCGAGATCGAGGACGAATCAGAGGACGCGAACGAAGAAGCGCCATTACTGAAAGGTAGGAAGGAGAAGAGGGGTCACGCGTTGCGTAGATGGTTTGGGTGGTGACGACGATGCGCGTTTGCTGCGTCGAGTTTGGAACCTTATTATCTCGGTTATCTTACGTTTTGGCTATTGCAGGGTATGCTTGCTCTATCATGCTTCCTGCTGCGATGCTGCACCTCGTCGTATAGTACTTGCAAGGTACTTGTTCGACGTACCGTTAGTAGTCCGTGGTGTCGAGCCCGAAGAATCGTCATAACCTATTATGTTACAAACCAAATGGCCCAATGGTCTAGAGGTAAGATACTTGCTTTGGGTTTGCTAAGCGCTTAATCGCGTCACGTGCAAGGGATCCCGGGTTCGAATCCCGGTTGGGGCCTGTTTTTGCTTTTGTTCCCCATCGCCATCCCACGAGTTCAACTCAAATGGTGCATCCGCCTTAGGAGGTCCTGCAAGCCAGGACGGTACGTACAGATGCCCTTGCATACAGCTGAGCGCGAGGAGAAATTGTATGCATTGCGTGCATGTGTCGATCGCTATACCATCCATATCGCCGGCCCCACGACTAAATCACACCAAGTATGTACCACTGGCATCGTCAACGTCAACCACGAAAACACATTTCTGACTACCGTCATGCATTGGCTTATAACTCAGGCGGACGATTGAGGATGTGTGATCACACAGGTGTCCAAGTAACCGCCAAACGGCAGTGTCCCGGCTGATCACGAACCAGAGGTGTGGGAAGGATCCTCTTTGTTCAATACGGTCACTCATTGTACATTTGCTCTTTTACCCCAGTCAACCATCGTAAGATGTAGGTGATTTCTATTTCGCAAATGGTCCTGAGCATCTAATATCATCGGACAGCCCGAGCCGCAATAGTATGTCCGGTCGGATGCTCGTCGGGCCAATCTCTTTCTCTCCGCCTCGTTACACAACGCCCGGAGACCAAGCACCGCAGCTTCCTGCCGACGTCTTCACGGATATAGCCAGCTTTCTCTGGCATGACCCACTCACGCTCTCGCGCTGCTGCTTCGTCTGTCGAGCCTGGTATCACGCCGCAAAGCGCCATCTGTTATGGTCACCTACGCCGACCATCAGCACGAAGGCGGCACTCTATCGCATGTCCCGCGTGCTTATGTCCGCGCCAGGTCGGAGGCTTCTCAAGCTCAAGTATATATCTATCGAAGATGACCCGTCTCAGCCCTTCGCGCACACATTTCCTTTGTGTCTGTCCGGGACACACCTCCCAGAGCTACATATCATTCGCCTGCAGGACGTGGACTGGGACAGACACAGGCTGCATACCGACTTCTTCATCTACCTGGCACACTTCACTTCTGTCCGCTGCCTCACGCTCTCGCACTGCATGCTCCGCAGTGCAGACGACCTGCGCAGGCTCGTCAACTCCTTGCCGAGGCTCGCGTACGCGCTCAAAGGAGTCGATGTGAAGCAGTCGACTTTCGCCGTAGAACGTGGAACTGTCGATCGAGCTCGTGTCCGAGAGCTCAATATTGGTTTTCATCCCTCTTGTACCCCCTTGCTCAGCCTGTGCACAGCGTACACCTCCGTTACCTTAGTCATCATCGACCTATCTTATTTCCCGTCATTGGCCCAAGTCCAGCGCGTCGTCTCTGCATTCTCCTCCTTGAACCACCTGCGTCTAGAGTATGTGCACAAAAGTAGCATGAACACTAACAGTGCAGACGACGACATGTGGCCGCCGGCGTCCAGCATAACTCTCGCCGCAGATGCATACTGGCACTCAAAGACACTCGTGCTCTCGCTTGCAACTTTCCAGATCGATGGGCTGCCATCCGTCCAGATCGAAGCCGTCCTCCGGTGGCTCGTGGCAACTCGTAGCAGCTCCACCATCGAGGAGCTAGAAATCGGCTTCCGGGATGCACCTACGGAAAGCGTACAGTCAACCGTTGCAGACCTTCCGCAGCGGCTGGGGAGAAAGCTTGTACGTTTTAGGTGCGGGAGACTCGGTGTCTCTAAGGCTGATGGTGAGTATTTTGCTGCTCGTCCCCGCCGGCATAAAATGGCTAACGCACAACCGTCCCATCGCAGTTGCCTTCGCAGAGTACCTGCCTCCTCTGGAGTACAGCATAGGCTTGCGCACTCTCCAGCTGCACACTCGTGTTAGTGATGACAGCAAGACGCTGCGCAAGACTCGCACCACTATACTCACGGTCCTCTCCCGCATCCAGACCCCGTACCTGGAGAAGCTCGTCCTCGGGTTCACGCTAGACTTTGGATTGTCTGCGACCTCCACTGCATGTGACGAGCCCAATGCTGCGGAAATCGACCCCGCTGCTCTCGAGATCACCCACAGCATCCTCGCACGTCGTGTCTTTGCCAATCTCTCACCGCAAGGCGTATACATCAGGTTCTACGCCCCGGACGAGGCTATGAGGGTCATTTCCGAGGTCATAACGACCATTATGCCGAAACTCTTCGCCCCATGGTTCGCGAGGAGACTCGTGGTGATGAAGACCCCTGACGAAATTTCAATCCCTTATACAGAGTGACTAGCCGATGCACAGCCGCGTAGTTTCCGATTTTGGTCTCAACGATGCTGATGGCATACCCATTGTAGTCCCGATTGCGCGAATGGCTAGACGTGGACCCGCTTACAGTACTTCCTTGGGTGCATGACGGAATCGATGCTGTCCGCATAGCAGCGAAGCTAGACAGGACAGAGGCGAATAATTTATGTAGACGGGTATGAGCCGGTGAACTTGGCTGCAGAGCCAGTGTGCTCGCGACAACGCCCAGAATGAAGGGTTCAGCTTCGAGGCGCACTGCTCTGCGCACCTTGGGTAACGACCATCTCCCGCCCGCCAGCGAGTCCAAGGAAGTGGGTTCCAGAGATACACACAACACAGCATGTCTAATGACAACATCGACAACAAGGCTCTCACATCGGCACGATGGGCGCGCTTCCCTTCTCCAGCGCTGTCCGTAAACTGTCCCCGCAACGAAGTCGTCAGACATCCATCCACTCGGTCGACCACTCGAGTGAGGGCCAAAGTCTGAGGCACGCACCTATAATCATCTCCATTTTGCGTTATGTACCGCACCCACGGCAGTGCCTGGTATCCGCTCTTCTCGACGATCTTGAGATAGCGCACCTGTATACCAGACACGGTGAAGTACGGGATCTCGAACTTGACCGTGATCGGGGCGCGCTTGTCCATCGAGTCGTGCTCTGCTTGAAGATGAGTAAGACACATGCAGCGAGGAGCGAGTAGCGTTAAGAGATGAGAGACAAGACACACCTCCACGTACGCTCGGTAGGCCGAAGTGTGCTCGCATGAGGAACTCGCGCCCGCCGCCGAGTTGCTTGATCTTCCACACGAACGCGCTCTTGTCAGGGGCGTACTGTACAGAGCCTGTGCTTGCCTGTGGTCACACGTCAGTATACCGGATTATGCGCAGTCCACTGCCGCTCGTCTCCCTCCCTCACATAGCCCAGAAAAGACACAAGCCTACTCACCCTGAACTTCGGCGTATCTGCGTCGTCCGGCACCGGCACGTAGATCTCAACGTTGTTCGCCGTGCTCCGCCGCTTGAACTGCGCCTTTACCTTCACCATGTACTCTACGCGGGAGCCCTTATGGTGCTCGACCTGCGCAATCCTGGGTCAGCAAACGGCCCATGCGACACGGGAGACAACGGGCGTACGGCGGCCTCAACCCAAACAAGCGGCTTAACTGGCGTGCTTAGCCGGTAACTCATCAGCTCGAACTCGCCGTCGGGTGGGATGAAGGATATCTGCAGGGCGCACGGTTCAGCGTGGTCAGTTGCGTATGGGGAGCATGGCCTGCGTCGGCTACAACGCAGAACACGCTCTCCTAAATTTGAGACCGCCACTCACTGTCCGATCATTCTCGAACCGTGATAATCGCACGCATTGGTGGAACTTGACGTCTTCCATCTCGATTGCCTTTCCCCGCGCGGCTGCAAAGCGTATCAGCACATGCGCACTATTCACGGTTGAGGTGCAGAGTGTGACGGGGCGCGGTGTGTACGTGATCCGAGCGGTATGGGGCCTTGCTCAACGGAGAGGATTAGACACACCATCTCCCCCGTCATCATTGCGTCTACTGCTCCGCCAATGTCCTCCGCCCAGATGCATAGGTCAAAGCTGAAGTACTCACTTCGGCCCGTCGTCTCGAACATGACCTTGTCGTTGAGCCCAAGCCTGAGCTCCGGCATCCCAGACAGATAACACTTCATCTTGACCGCGCCCAGAATCTCCGAGCGCACGACGTTTCCTGTCGCGTTGACCTGCATGGCCACGGAGTAGTCGTCAGAGGCTGAACGCAGAAGCATGGCTGGCGAGGACGCACAAGCAGGTTGACACTCTCGATGACGTCCAGGAAGACCTCGTTCTTCCGGTACCGGATGCCCTCCGAACGCCACGAGACGGCGTTTGTGACTGCGATCGGTGGGCGTACTTGGACTTCGAGTTTGTATGATTCTTGGGTGATGTATCTAGCACGGCATGTGAGTCACGAACCGGGGACATGCACACCCAAGGTACGAGCTTGTAAACCCTCGAGTATACGTGAGGAAACCTGGATGGAATCCAAGCAAATTTTGGTTGTCGCAGCCGAGATATGTCGATGGCCCCGCTGCTGCGACCCTGAGGGTATAGTGGGACACAGCGCGGTCGCTCAAGGTAAAGGACCACCCCAAATGTCCATGCAAGACCAGACGCCAAGAACCTCCGTGCTGCCCTGGGAGCGGCGCTCATCGTGAGAGGCCCCAGGGAACGTCTAACCATTGAGGTGGTGTGTATGGCGATAACGTTGTCCAGACATGAACGCCAGTTTCTGGCGGGGGGCGGTCCTGGCCTTCACCGAGGGCCGTAGCTCGTACCGAACCCGGGAAGTAGAGAAAGGAGGACGCACTCTTGTAAGATCTTACTCTCCGTCGTCTGCGGGTAACCAAAGTCCATCATCTCGTCGAGCAGCTCGTATATGATGACGAAGTTGTCGCGGATACTCTCCTCCTCGAGCTCCTTGAAGTATTCGATGAGCACCGAGACGAGCCGGTGGAGGAAGAGGATGATCTCCGCTGCATTGCTGTTCCGTTTGCTCAGCGCGAGCACTACCCGTCAATCAACATGAATGGTCGACGACTGACAATAGGTGAGCAACGCGTCGGACGTACGATAGAGGTTGCTATGTCTGATGTGGAGGTAGTTCACGCCCTCCCTTGTGAAGCATGGTGTGACCTGGGCGCCCTCCTCCTCCAAATCCAGTACGATGGGCAGAAAACGCTCGATATATGCGGAGGGCACGTCGTCCCTGTATGATCGCTGGATGAGAGGCTTGCCCTTGAGGTCGAGAATGGCAATCAGGGAGGCCATAGTTCGCGCAAGGAAGGAACAGCGCCGCGTAGACCAGTGTTATCCAAGGGAGCGAATGATCAGTACGCGCCTCTTGTGAGCACACCCGACAGAGATTCCAAGGAGCGAGCAAGTGCAGCGAGCGCGAAGTCTCCGAGAGCAGCGAGATAGCAGTGCAGTATTGATGAGACGCTCTCTAACGGTCATTACAATTTGATTACGATGGCTTTCAAGTAGAGTAAGCAGTGCTCGGACTCCGCTTATCTAACATTAGTAGGTCGCACTATGGGTCGCTACAGGAATATTGAAGCCACTACTTACTGAGGCTGTCAGGCGCCACTGACGTCTCCTCGCCGACTCCCTCCACTCCCCGCAGCACTGACGGCCTCATGGTCCCCTGAGTATATAAAGTTGCACACCCCTAAGTTGCCTTCTGCACCTCGCTTACATCTGCCCTCTCCATCCGCGCAAACCACTATCAGCTCGTAGCCAACGCTCAACTTATATTGCAATCATGTCCGCACCCGGAGACTCGGTTGCCTATCCTCCTGCCGCACATGTGCCCCTCGCGCACGCCGCGCGCACGTCTAGCGAAGTAGTCAGCACACAGCCGGCACCGGCACCGACGATGAGCACTACTGCCTCTCCGAAGGGCGGAGAGAAACCCGAGAGACTGAGGGGTGGATGTATCCCGCTTCCGGTACGTCTCCCCCTTACGCGGTCTTGTCATAACATTCGTATACTGACTGAAATATTCCTCAGGGTGGAGGAACGTGCTTCATCATTCCTTGCTGCTGCTGAGCACCAACACCGCTATCAGCGACGATCCCAACCATTGGGGAGCCACGACTTACGAAGGACATCCCCGATTTCTCCATCCCGATATCTTCACGCAGTATAGGTCTCTGTAATCGGACGGACTGTAAACTTAGCCGTGGACTTATTTGCATGTTGCCACTCTCCCGCTCTACCGTGTTCGTACCAACCTTTCGCGATCCTCGTCATATCATCGGCGGTGGTGTTCCATGGCTGTAATGTTACCTTGCAGATGCCTACGCCTAATATTAGTCTAGATCCTGTCGGATTATAGAAAGAAACATTGGTCTTCAAGCTTCACATACGCGACGTCCACGCCATGCTTGATGCCATTTGCAGACGTACAACGATGCCGGTCGACCTGAACGTACTCTGAGCTCCCGCACGGACGGGCTTACCCCAAGACACCGATGTACCCCCTCCGGCGTGCGATGCATCGCGTACGTACGATTCAAGCATGCTACTGAGGTAACTCGAGCCTGAGGATAACTCGCTACCTCTTGCAACCAGAGAGCTCCTGTCGTTCGTGCGTCGCAAGCGCAACATTCTGCTCGAGCTCATCTTCGGGTCAGATCGTCTCATCCTTCAATTCCTGGTTCTCAGAAAAGATCGCGAAGAACGACAAAGAGAACGGTCGACTCAACAGTCTGACCTCCGTCGCACAAGCCTGATAGTGGTGATTGGCCGATAGATCCTCCGCCTCCGCGAGGCGGCCTCATACGAGTGAAGTGCACCTAATATATATGATCATTCGTACAGCAGCACACGGCGAATCCTCCGCATCCATAATTGTCCTTGCAAACCTCGCGTCCCTCTCCCCGCATGTCGTGTCCGTCACCCCGAAACCTGCACATACGTCCTCCGTCATTCCTAGTGTTTCGTTGTCCGTGACAAGTTGTCCGCGTAAGTTCCAAGCCTACGGCGAGGCGTATCGAGTTATGAATCTGAACGGCGATGAGTCCAGCACCGTCTGATAGCGCCAGGGATTGAGGAGACGCAAGACACGATGGTCTGCGGTCATGAGGCCTGCAAATACAAGCAAGCGCGTTGTCTATGCCGCAGACAGCCTCGCCTCTTCTGCTCCATCGTTACATGGGCATCACGGCGCGCGCCTCCCTCGCATTCATGTTTCTCCGAGTTGTGTCCTTCAGTCGTGTATGTAGAGAACTGTCTGTTATATCAGGGATTGAGAAGACGCACCGCTGCACTGTGAGCTGCGGTCATGCCGACAAATCCAAGTGCCCTGTCTATGCTGCAGGCAGAATCACCTCTTCTGTCTCCGTATCTCCACGGGCATCGCACGCGCGGCCTTCGCGTTCATCGATATCCGAGTTCTGGATCTCTGTGATGCTGGCAGGCGTCCCTAGTCGAGTAGATGAGCATATTGAGTAGGTTGCGACTGCGTCCGACTTATGGACGACGAAGTCGTGACACTCACCAAGGCCTGAGAGTACTGATGATAAGAGATTACGAGGGACGGACTGTTCACCAACAGGATTGGGGATGGGCCCCTCGCCAAAAATGCATACACAGGCGGAGGGCATCGGATCTTTCCTTCAAGTGATCCACACCGTATGCCGTTCGACCTCAGCCACCCGCCGTAGTCTGGTTCGCCCTCGACAGTGGCGGTCATGGTCCGATCTTGATGGGAACGGCGAGACCGACACACTCCGCCTGAGTGCGATTTTTTGACTGTGAGGCCTATCGTGTTCAGAACAGCTGGAAGTCGAGCCATAAAACTCTGCGATCCAGCCACGGGGCGAACAGAGTGGTTATGTGTGGCTTGATCGCAGACATCGTGGCGGTTTGAGCATTCATCCCAACCAATACAACGAGTACAGCGGCCTCGTACAACTGTTGGGAGGCTCGGAGTGCTGGAAGACGGTCAAAGACACTGCGAGAGAGGATAGTGTGGAAAGTGGAGGTGGAGCCGGGAGGGTATGTCTCGCTGACCGAGGCCTCATCGCCATCTTCAGATGTCTCGGAGTCAGACATCATAATCCAAATTTCGAGTCGCTCCAGATGCGGACTTTGGATGTCAGATAGCAAGGCACCCAGGTACCCTTGAATCCTCGGGAGTGATGGATCGACCGAGTCGAAATAGATAACCAGGTTTGTCAGTGATGTATTTGCTGTAATCCGCGGTACGACATCGTGAATCAAGTCTACGATAGTTTCAATGAGCAACGACAAGCACAATGACAAGCAACTCGAACTAGGACACTCACCATGAGCAAGATCACATCTCCACTGAAACTTCTTGAGCCCAGCTCCGGCGAGGTGCAGGATCTCTGTAACACGTGGTACAAGCTCTGTACATGGGCCATCCCTGTGTGTAGAGTAGAGCTGCAGGCCTTCCAGTTGGCTACATGCTTGCGGGGTTAACATCAAATTCAGAAGCTGTAACTGCCACGACGCGTGTACGAATGAGAGCTCGAATTCTGACAGTGAGGAATTGGGTGCATGTGCTGTGTACAGGGCCACGTCTGCCGCTGATGCAGGCTCGACATGTGAGCGAAATGGATTCTGTAGTGACAAGTTGGACAAATGGGGGAAACGGCATAAGAACTGATGAAGATGTGAAAATGAAGAGTAGGAGCCCAGGTCTAAACTTAGCTCTGTTACGTATGAGTACATGGCACATACAATCAACAAGAATTGATGGTGAGCGCCCAACTCGGAGGTTGAGCAATCAGTCCGAAGTGCGACTTTCTTGAGCTTGTTGCGCGACGAGGGACCGTAGCGGGACGCCGAAACTGGAACGAGTGGGTGCTGTAGTGTGACGTCCATGAGAAACAGATCTTCGAGACTCGGTAGTGCTTTGGAAATCCTGTGGAGTTCCGCTATACTACGAAAGCGGCACTGCCTGATGTTCAGGCTTGTGACGCTGGTATAGGCGGAGAGGAAGTCGAAGAATAAAACATGTGGTCTGGTAATCACCCAATCGCAGTTGCATAGACCCACCTCCACAAGTGATAGAAGACTCGCGGGGATGAGCATGGGCCAGATGTGTGTGAATGGCTTTTGAGGGTCCTCCCAGATGTTCAGGTAAATAAAACGCTTGCCATATGATCGGATGCTTTCTGACATAAGCATGCGTGCTGTATCGTTCAAGGCTTCTCGGGTCCGCAATTGGAGGGAATTGTGCCGGGAGACGCGCCGTGCGGCGTGGTACCAAGCGTGGCAAACGAGGCTGCACCTCGTCAGTGCGAAAGGCTCGTACACAAGGAACTCGCAGATACGATCGATCAGTTCCTGTGGAAATGGCGGATAGGTATCACTGCGTCGACGCAGAACGTTGATATGTTAAACGAGCAACGGGCTCCATGGTAATTGGAAGGCATACCTTGAGTACGTGGGTGGTCTGAAGCAATATTCCAAGAGGGGATGATGGTCGTTCAGCGGCCTGTCTTCACTGTCGACCACATCCGTCATCTGGTAATCATATCATCGGGTCGTTCCGTGAATCGCTTATATATGCTGTTGAAGAACTACCTTGCACGACTACTTTATATTTGCAGAATTCAGAGTAATATCCGAATGGCAGGTCGATGTATGCCCTATACAGAGTGTAGAAGTTTCAGATGATGTCGTACAGACGGTATTGCCTTGAAACCTTGCCTAAGACAGTCGTAAATTTGAGCTTCTTGGCAGTATTGGACGCACTCGCTCAGGGTGGTAACAGAGGATATATGGGAGGTTCGGAGCCTCGCAGATCGAAATCAGCGGTAGGCGTTGATACGCGTAACGTAGACCAGCCGCAGAATGTGGGAGACGACAGATGGCCTGCGGACTCGAGCCTGAGATAGAGAGTGTTGTCATATTAGTATGAGGCCGACCCGAGGCGATGCACAGACTCACCTGAGCCGCTGGGCCGCATTCTCTTCTAGAAGACGGATATCGTCGAACTTTGCGTCGACAGGAAGCGCGCGTGTGGTACAAGCCAGTGCATGGAAGACCGGGCTGTGTACTATTGCCTCCTATCGATGCAGGGTTCCTTCTATAGCCAATTGTGCACGAGGCCTGGCGCCGAGCGTGATGCGGGTGGAAAAACGGTCAACGATCGCAATGAAGTGCGAGGTTCAATAACCGCATCTTGCTTATTGCCCCACAGCGTCCCATCCGACCTTCTAATTAGAACGGACGGTCTCAACTGACTCGAGACATTTCAGTGCGCCATCTGAGCGCCCTTGATTGGCTGAGGCCAAGACCATACCTTTGTTTTCATTTCCCAGAATAACCCCGCCCGGCGACTGGTACGTCCGAGGCACGCAGATGGTAGACACGGCTAGATCCATAGATAGGTTGTCTTCTCCGCACGTTCAACCGAATTCTATGCATCATGTCGCTGGCGCAAACTGCTCCCGCTCGCCGCTGGGGGTTATGAACGCCTGCGTCGAAACGGAGTTCAGGCGGACATGCACATACCATGCGCGAGAAAGGGGGAGCTAATCGACTAGCCCATCCCTATGATTTACTCAATGGCTGTATCGTAGTTCTCGTATTCGGGACACTGCCAATCAAGCACGCGTGTGGACCTTGAGAACGCAAGCCACATCAGACCCGAACCGTGACGTAAAGCTGAGCAGTGCTACCTACCAGAGCGGTAGTCTGACCTGCGCACCCATGTACTTATGATAGATCCCACGAACAGATCTAGAACTACGCACGGGGAAATCCACGGGGCACGGCGACCTCTGCGTGAGCCGTGCACAGTTGGACTGCACCTGTGCATGCCGACGTAGTCCGAGTACATGACCTCGAGCGCGGCTGGTAGGACTATATGCGTGGACGCTCCCACCTCTACGGTCCGGGAGCTCGCTCTTTCGGATACTCGCCACGACGACCGGTGGTCGGAGAACATTTGCGAGCCGGAGCAGACGGACGAACACTTGAATTACCCGCGTGTCGAGTGCGTGGACTCGGGACGTGGATTGGCAGCGCTATAGACAAATGCCCGCATCTCCAGCCCAGGAGCACGTTCGGTCGGATATCCGCCACGACGCTCAGTGGTCGAAACAACCATGGGCACGCCAGGCTGTCCGGTGAGCGGGAGTTGTCATTCGTAAGTGTATACCCGTGCCATGTGGTGGAACAAAGTGGCACAAACCTATGCATCCGGTGTCATCCTCGAGCGAGCGTCGAGTTCCGTCCGTCTACGTATCATCTTCGCTGTTATGGAAGTATGACGAATCCTCGCTATCGCGCGCATCTCACTCGTTGTCGGTCAACGCCTGATCCAAGTGGATTGAACGTGTGCAGAGATACCATCATCGTTGACGTTGAACGTTGAGCCTCAGCTGGCGGTTCATCGCACACGAAGGGTTTCGTTGTGTTCAGTGCATTGGTTTTCTACGCCCTTCGTCGGCGATGTCGCCGAACAGCACCAATCGAGCATCCAAACCGTCCAGTCTTAGTAGGCATCCTGAACACCGCCTCCGAGTGAGAGATGATCTGTAAGACGGTGCCACAAAACTCACCAGGCTGCGTAGACCATAAACCGTTACGACCTCACCCGCTCTGCACGAGGGATGGTCAGCTGATGACGTAGGACAGTGGTACTTCTGATCGGAGCACGAGCGATGTATGGGAAGTGCGGTCCTCCACTAGATGGCATCCGTTCGAGAGTACGCCGACACGCTTGCGTCCTGATCAGCTGGCGACAACAGACCTCGAGGGTGCGATCCCGCAGTCGCGCGGGAGATGATGTCCTGTTCGTGGTGCATCTGTAGAGTACAGCCCTACTCCAGAAGAGCCAGCGCAATACGCACGTTGCGTCGCCGGTAGATCGTACTCATGTCCGTCCGTCTTCTCAGCATTGGCGAGCCGCAGGTTCGTACTGCGCTTGTACCGAGTTTGAAAGGCTAATATATACGGATGGCCGACGAGTGAGTGAGAGCGCGCTACTTGCTTGAAATGCAACGAGCGTTAGGAGGTTGCGTGCGGATCTTGGGACAGGCGGACGTACCACTGCCAGTGCCAACGTCGTTTCCATGCCCCTTGCGTGGACCGGAGGACCTAACAGTGAGAAGAGCGGCGACGAACGAGTGTTATCCCTGCAAAGACCGAACCATTTTCTTTTACGAGCGAACTGAGTAAGCTGAATTAACTCATCAATGAACAACTTACCTCCGGTATATCTGATAGGACACGTACCCTGTTCCCGCAATCCTCCTTCAGCTTCTGTCCAGCGGGTACGAGCCTGCAGCTCGTACCGCGCTCTCAGCTCAGGCAGAGATTGTACGTGATTCATCTGACCGGTAAGCCTTGACTGAGAAACACGAGTGTAACAGGGTACGGACAGCAGGGTTCGAACATTTCACAGCCAGTGTCGGTACTGTACATCGTCCCAAAAGGAGTGCACTGCGTAGCTGAGCCTGCGACGAAGTAGGGTAGCAGCCGGAGAGCAAAGGACATGTACACTCGACAGGCCGGCTGGGGAGGAGGCAGTCCAGCAATTCGCGGCCAGCGGCGGAGGGAGGCGTCGTTGTCGTCACGGTGACATCTAGCAAGAGGAAGAGTGATAGTCAGAGTGTATGCGGAACGTACGGATTTGGACACACCAGAGTCAGCACCAACCTTGTCGGCCTTACATGCGTATGCTCACATAGTGGCAGCCTACGAGCTCGGAGGAGGGCAGAGTATGCGTGGGACACTGGGAGGACATTACAGAAGCGCTTAGCGCGCCTGTGGCGGCGGCGCGACGAGGGTCACCGCCGCCTCCTCCTCCTCGCTCGCGTCCGCTCCCAAACAGATCTAGCCTGTGCTTGTAATCTCTTGCTCACTGGCCCGCCACCCGCCCGCGGCGCCGACGATGACATCGGCCACTTCTCATTACATGCATTCCCGCCCTTTCACCATTCCCGTTCCCCTGACTCGGTCGGTCATACCCTGCAGTCTGAAGATCTGACCAACATGCAAGGGCCGAAAAGCTCCATGGTCAGTTCTTCCCTATGTACTTATACAGTGTGCAGACTCTTACACACGCCTTCCAGTCGTTGCACCTCGGACCCCGTCCTCCGTTCCGGTGCTGGCCGCTGTCGAATTGCGTGTGCTCGACTCCCGCCTATCCTATCCTCTCCACGCTGCTCATACGACCTGCGATCCCGTAACAGTGATTGAACATAGTCGCAAACTGTATTTGGGAGCCCACTTGCGCTGGATGGAGGGCAACTAGGGGCGTTCCCGTGAGTCTCGTTCGTTCTGCTGCGCCTCCCTTCGATCCTGATGAGGTAAAGACATGCTCGTCAAATTCTTACTGCGAGCAAGCCTAGCATGCGTCGCAAGGCTGACATCGCACCCACCGCCACAACATCAGAAGGTGCGAGGGCGTCCGTCATCCCCGGCCACTGGAGGCGTAATCCCGACGTACACAGTTGCTAGGTGAAACGTACACACGCCCCTTCTCCATCCAGTCAAACTCACACTCAAAGGTTTCCCGTATTGTGCACGCAACATGACTGCGTGTTCTCGGGATCAGCTACGCCCCTTCGAAGACTATGCTAGGTACTTCCGGCTGATGGGCGAGTGCTCGTCTTCTCGCTCCCGCCACTCCCCCGTTCCGGGTGACGAGCCTACCGTGCTTCCGTCGCTTTCCCAGACCTCACGGTCCCGTCATCTATTCGACCCTTCCACCGTCAAGCATTGCATCCATGCATCTCACGCGTCTCACAATCCACGAACACGCCCAGAGCGTCAGCGGCCTGCGGCTCTCCCGCAGTAGGAGGTGCGTGCGGTCGGAAGCCTCCGCGCTGCATCCTCGGAGCCTCGGCAGGCCGCACGTCGCGGGCTTCACGTCTCTGGCACGTCTTGCGTGCCGCTACACCATCTCTGGGCGACCTTAGTACGTCCCTGGATCGTACGGACAAGGACGTCCGTTTGCTGTCCTCGTTGGGTGTAGCACGTCGGGGTCCTTCGCGGTTCGAACGTCCATCCATCATTCTAACCATCAGCACGAAGACAAACGGGCAAGGAATCTCTTCGCTCTCACCTGGCTGTACCGATCGCGACGCTGAAACGTGGACCTTACCCCCTACCCCTCTCACGCACATACCGGACTCGTACGGCACCCGGACGTGTCGCTATGCATTTACGGCCAGTCTCTGCCCCCCGAGTCTCGCCGCGGACGCGACGCCTGGCGGGAATCTCTCCTGGCTGAGCAGTGGACGTATCGCGATCCCTGTTTGCCCCTCCCTCTACTACGGCCATCATCCGACCCATGCACCAGTCCCGTGGAGGGGACGCGCGGTTCGTCGACCAGCAACGTTCACCCATCGCTAGGGATCCGTCACTTGCGAGCGATGTCCCCGCCGTGGGCCGCCATTCCGCGGCTCTTGTCGCCCAGCATAGAGCTTGGCCCTCGCTATCGGACGTGTATCTACTAGTAGACCGCGGACTCGTGTCCTTATTGAAGTCTTTTGGTCTACCGTGTGCGTACCAGTGGTTTGCGTTCCTCGTCTAACCATCAATGTTATTAATTGTGATGCCCCATGCTCGCCTCCTTGCCTCGCAGACTCGAGGCTTGGCTGATGTCTTGATGTCGTCGGATCGTATGCAAGGTCTGCGGTCCTTTATGATACAACTGGCCTTTGCGCATGCTCGGGCCTTCAAAGCTTCAGGTCTCGATGCCTCTAAAGGGCGTCGGTTTTCAGGTAACTCTCAGCTCGAAGAGACGCGACGCGCATGAAGTACAAGATCTCGACTGTATTATAGCCCCGCGCGCTACGTTGTTCGTGTCTCTCGACATAAGCAGCGATGCGCGTCGCAGCACCTGGAGGGTTCTCGCATTGCGTCGCAGTCGCGAGAATCACGCCGCTTAGGTCCATCCCATTCATCTCTAGCTCACGGGTCTTCGTGTCCCTCGTTAGGACGACTAGACCGATTAGAACATAGGATGAAAGGGCTCAGCTCCCTGAAAGTAGCTATTGGGCGACAAATCCTAAGTACACGCCGCTGCGCACTACGAATGCAGCGCATCCAATAGATAATAACTTATTGGGGGTTCAAACGTCACTACAACAGTACACAGATTCTTGCAAACTTCCCTTTCCTCCCCTCCGTACGTCGTATCCGTCTATGACACGTACTCCCGCGAATCAATTGTGTAAGTGCGACACAGCGAGTCGGATGGATTGCCGCTCCAGATGTGGTGCACTATCAAGACGCGGTGTCTCTGGCAGTCTGGCAGGCTCGTCGAGTTCGGCCTTCGATCTGAGCGATATATGAGTAAAGTGCCGTCAGATATATCAGAGATTGAGAGGACGTACGATGTTATGATCCGCAGTCAGTTCTACAAATTCACCCCCTTCTCGTTGCTAGAGGTAACTTTTCTTCTTCTCCTTCAAGGTTTTCTACCTCCGTATCTCCACTCGCATTGCTCGCGTCTCCTTCGCGTACACCGTCCTCCGAGTCATGTATCTCCACGATGCTGGCATGCGGCCCTAATCGAGCGGATGAGCATACTGAACAGATCGCGGCTACGCCCTTACGGACAATGGAGTTGTGGCACTCACCAAGGACACGGAGTACTGATGAGGAATTACGAGTGACAGCCCATTCATCGTCGGGATCGTGAGTAAATTCGAGCTGTACGACTCCGCGATCCAGCCACGGCGCGAACAGAGTGATCATGTTTGACTTGATCGCAGACATTGCGGTGGTTCGAGCTTCCTTCTGAGGCTCAGACTCCTCCAGTGAGTCGATCCATCTGATTACAATGAATACACCGGCACCCGACTCGGAGTACCAGGCCCCAGAAACTGCTGGAAGTTGGTCAAAGACGCTACGAGAGAGTATAGCATGGAAAGTGGAGGTGGAGTCGGGAGGGTCTGCCTCGCTGACTGAGGTCTCGTCCCTATCTTCAGACGTGTCGTAGCGGGTCCGAGTCAGGTAGATGTAGATCGTGAGTCGCTCCAGATGCGGGCTTCGTATGTCAGATAACAAGGTATCCAAGGCCCTCTGGATGCTCGCGGGTGATGGATCGACACGGTCGAGAGTGATCTCCAGGCGTGTCAGTGATGTGTTTGCTGTAAGTCGTGGTACGTCATCGTGGATCGAGTATCCTATAGTTTCCATGAGTAAAGGCAATCGCAATGACAAGCAACTAAGACATTTACCATCAATGGGATTATGTTCCCACTCAAACGTCTTCAGCCCAGCTCCGGCGAGACGTAGAACCTCTGTAACACGTAGTACAAACTCTGCACATTGTCGATCATGCGGCTGGAAGCACTGAAAGGAAAACCGCAGGGCTTCCAGTCTGCTACAAGCTTGCGGGGATAATACCAGTAGAATCTGTAGCGCCAACGACACAGGCATATGTTCGAATCGCAAATCCGACAGAGGGGGGTTGAGTGCATGTGCTGTGTATAGGGCCAGGTCTGCTGCTGATGCAGGCTCGACATGGGAGCCGAGCTCTGAATCGTGTAGCAACTGTAGCAACAAGCGAGACAGATGTGGGAAATGGTGTAGAAAGCGATGAAGACTCGAGAGCGAAGAGTAGTAGCACAGGTCCAACTGTAGCTCTGTCACGTAGGAGTACGTGACACATACATCCCATAGGAATTGATGGTATACAGATGGGATGTGAGCGTCCCTCGCCGGCGCAAAGCCATGAGAAATGGCAAGGCTGACACTCCCAATAATCATTTTCTTGAGCTTGTTGCGAGACAAATTGGGAACATAGCGCGACACCAAACCTGGCACGAGTTGGTGCTGCAGTGTGATCTCCGCGAGAAACAGGTTTTCGAGGCTCGGGTGTGCGGTGGAGATCCTACGGAGGTCTGCTATACTGCGAAACTGGCACCGTGTGATTGCCAGAGTTTTGATGCTGGTGTAATAGGAAAGGAAGTGGAAGAAAAGATCATGTGGTCTGGTTGCTGTCCAGTCGAAGTTGATTAGTTCCAGCTGCTCCAATCGCGGTAGGAAATACCCGGGAATGCGCATTGGCCAGATGTGGGCGAGTGGCTTTCGAGGGTCGTCTCGAATCAGCAAGGAACGAAAATTTTTGCCGTATGATCGATTGTTTTTCAACATGAGCATGTATGCGCAGTCATCCAAGGCTTCTCGGGTCTGCAACCTGAGGCTGGAGTACCAGGACACGCGCAGTGCAGCATGATACCAAGCGTGGCAAACAAGGCGGCACCTGGTCAGTGTGAAAGGATCCAACCGGAGGAGCTCGCATATGTAGTCGATCAGCTCCTGCGGAAATCGCGGATAGGTATCACTGCGTCGACGAAGCAAGTCAATATGTCATTCGAGCAACGGACGCCAGAGCAAACGGAAGGCATACCTCGAGTAGGTGGGTGCTCTGTAGTCAATTGGCACCCACGGAACATGACCTTCCGGTGGCCTTTCTTCAGAGTCGACTGCGTCCGCCATCTGGTAATCTCGCCATCGGGTCATTATTCTTCAATGAATCGCTGGTACGTCAGAAACATACCTTGCCTGACTATGTTATCTTTGCAGAACTTCGAGCGATATCTGATTTGACAATTGGCACCCTGTATAGAGCGCGGAAGTATCAGGTTATGTCGTGCAGACACCACTCCGCCGAGATCTCACCCGTGAAAACCGTGAACTTGGCAGCCGCGAGTCGGGCGAGGCAACAACGGTAAACGTGAGGATGGATGGTAAGTTCTGAGCGTCGTGGATCGCCAGCAGCGGTAGCAGCCGGGTGGAAAGCGCAGAGCAGGCGCAGAACGACAGCAGCGGAAGCGGCGGACTACCTGCGGACACGAGCGCGAGAGACAGCGTCTTTATATTGGTACGAGACCGGACCCTAGTCGAGGGAACGCACAGGCTTGCCGCGTGTTATGAGCCGCCCTGTCATTGGGGGCATATAAGGTTAACTAGAACTTCTGACCTCGAACTATTCAGTTACACAGCGCTCGGTGTTCGTGCCACACTGCCTTCTCTGCGAATATGGTTATTGTAACACCATGCATCCGTATAAAGCGTGCACATAGTAGAACACGGGACATGGAAGACCTGACTGCGGTCACGGAGTTTTGACGGACTTGCACATACCAGTAAGCATGCCAGTAAAGGGATGCTTTATCTGGACCGAGTAGTCCTGTTGCTCAAGCGCTCATGGACGAGGGACAGCGCCAACAAAACTAGGACACGCGTTGGCACAGGCTTGAGAACACAAGCCACACGCTCCGGCGGTCGCGAAGCCCGGGACACAGTCGCTTTATTGGCAGAGGATCGGTTCTAGTATCTGCGCGCCACTGGGGTCCCAGGCGCCGAGGATGCGCTGAGCCAACACGCATGAGCCCTTCGAAGCGAATGACATACGAAGGAAGGTGAATCGTGCGCGTGAATACTCAATGAGTACTTGCGACGACCTGGCTGGCAAGCCTGAGCGCAGCGGATGGTGTCAGACGCGATGACGGCTTGAATCCGCGCGTCTGCACGTGATGCACGCGTCGGGCACTTCACGAATCGCCTCCAGGCTCGGATCCTCGTCAAGCCACCGCCATGTCTCGAGCCTGCGTTCTACCCTGCTGGACCGGTAATTAGAGCCTTTGTCCAGCGTTGCTTCCCTCGGAGACTATCCTACGCTCCAATCAGCCTGTCTCGCTGCATATGCCAGCACTGCGCGGCCCACTCGTCCATGGCCTGGGCACACTGTACAGGGCTGCGACGTTCTGAGGTCTGCGGACTACCGAAGCCTCATATCCCTCGAAAATCTCCCTTGGGTACATTCCACAGCTCGCTTCTTGGCGCTCCGTTCTAGACATCAGCACTCCTCTGCGACGCGTCCTCTTCCCAGTACACGAACCTTCGTGTCCGCCTCTTCATGGCTTCGACGCTGTCCCGGTCCTCCTGGTTTTGACCCATGACAGTCGGTGCCGTCCACCGTGTCTGTATGTCTTCGGGGCCTCATGCAACTCGGAAGCTGTTGTAGGAAGCTGGTGTAGGAAGCGCGTTGCCGGCGGAGCTCATGGACAACTCGGTACACAGTGAGTTTTGATTTTGCGCATATGCTTCATTTATGGTGCGGCCGTTCGACGTTGCCCGCCTTTCCGCACCCGGCACAGGCTGTATCTTTTGGCACCGGAAGGCTTGCTATACATGACTGTATTCTTCTCGGTCTTGCGCCAGAACACGACGCGGCAGGAAACGTGTAGACGACTGGTTTAAAGCTACCGTTTGTTTAGACAGTGGACGTCGGCGGGCTACCATACATTGGCTTTCTGTTGTAGACTGCCGTCGTCATTACGGACAATGGAAGCCCCTGCGTTATAGCCGACAAGCTACGCCGCTACCAGTCACAGTGATCCTTCGCAGTATTGAAGTCGGGGCACAGTTCCCAGCCTGCATCAATTCGAACTCCCCACGGAAACCTCAGGCTCACATTAATACCTTCGTAGTGCATGTCTTTTGTCTTGGTCCCATCCATCTATCGCTCTACAAACTCAGCGGTGCTTGATCATTGTCCATTCTCGTCAACGACGCACGAAGATCTGCGCATACATCCTCCGAGGAGTACGTCTGTACGTCTTACTGTCCCGCTCAACGGCATACACTAATCCGTGTTCCGCGTGATAGACTGTTTGTCATCCCTCGCCTCCGAAGTCCGTCCGGAGCCAACGCTGTCGATCACCGGCTTCGACACGCGTTCGATATATCCGTGCGGGGTCTGCGCGCGCTACAGGTTGCGTGCGGACAGCCACGAACACGACCAACGCAGGCTCTTGCAGACGCTCACAGCCAGGCTCCTCAGTCCCATCACCGGAAGGTGCGTTTCAGTCACACATTGTGCGGGTACTACGAAGTCGTCCAATCCTCGCAGCCCAGGATCGTCGCTCGGCATTCGAGATGACACTCGGTGCCACGCACGAATCTCCTATCGTCTCGCTCGTCAATTTTTGCGTGTCACGAAACCGGCACAGGACGTGTAGAGCTCGCTTAGGGTACTGGAACGCCTCGCTGCCAAATAGTATGTCCGCTCAGATGACGTCGAACCAGTCACTCATCGCTGAAAGCCTATCTCAGTCCCGAAACGCGTATTTTATCTTGATTTGCGAGGAGGCCCGCGCCATCGCCACCTATTCAGATAGAATTGACCGACAGACGGTCGTCCGCAACCCCGTTGTCGTTTTTGACGGAGGTGCGATCGTAGACGATGACGTTCTAGAGGTACGTTGCATCCGCGCCTGTCCTGTACTTGCAAATCGCTGTAGCAGACGTCGTAACTTCGTATATTACTCGCAATACATTGTGACTACATTGCGGACGAGACCATCTTCGACCATACGGACCACTCATCTCGCAAAGTGGGCTCTGATGCTACACCAAGCCTTCATGCGCCTAGCATGCTTCAAGTTACAATGGTCGCCGGCTCGCAAAGCCCCTCACGCCATGGTATTGCCAAGCCACAGAACGCTGTGCGAGGCAGGTCGACGGACAGACCTCCAGACGGGGAGATCTACGAAGTCCCAGAGCGTGGACTCGGACGCGCATACACAGATGCTTACATCTCCACGATTTTGCAAGCGAGCTCGAGCTCGATTCCCCCGCGTCAGATGTGACCTCCACCGGTTCGCTCGAATGCTCTGAGACGCAGGTCTCGCCGTCTCCACCCGCCATCCCGGTATCCGCCCAAGATCCCCATCTGCTTTCTGCTTTGACGATGTTGACTGTGTTCGGTCATCGTACGTCGCGGGCTTTAGAACACTTCCTGAGCATCCCCGTGCGTACCGGCAGCCTTGCTTATAGCTCTCCTCCTGAATTGCGTAGCTGCGAGGAACGACGCGTCCTCGCTGCAGGGACGGGCCACTGAAGGAGATATCGTGCAATACTGGGCTTATATGCGGACGTCCCGTCCCGAATGCGCGTCTGGAAACGGGAACTTCAGTGAATGTCACACGAAATGGTTGTAGAACCATGCAGGCAGGCCACTGCTCCCGCCAAGGCGATTTCCTGCCGTTCCGGATCCGGAGTGCTGGTCGCGAGGGCAGCCGATATGAATGAACAGCGCGAGCGCACCGGGGACCGTGAATGCATGATGTGCTGCTGAACGACGGGACTTGACACGCAGGCGGAGGTCGACGCGGTCGGCGGAAGTTGGCAAGTCCAAGGCGAGGGCGTCCGATACTAGCGTGGTGACGTGCGTGAGCGTACTACGGGGCGAAGACGAGTCTTTGTCGTGTATAGCGTGTTGGACGAGCGCGCGTGCTACACAATGAACAAGAGTAAGTCGGGGGAAAGGATGGCGCGGAGGAGGGCATGCGGAGCAGGACGGGTACGCGTTCGTTGGCTGCTTACCGAGGCGGCATGCGCGTCGGTTGCAGCCCAGCGTGTTCAGAGCAGTCCGGACTGCCTGGCGAGTTCGGGCATGCGCTGAAGAGGCCGGGGATAAGAGGCGAGTTGTTGACACAGAGAGCGTGAGGACGCAGAGACCAGACAGACTTCCTGTGGTGGGGAGGAGCGGGGCGAGTACCGCGTCAGTGACATCATCCGGGGCGCGACGCGGTCCGCACGTGGACGCGTCTCGGGCGACGCAGTCTCTCGCTTCCATCTCTCCTCCTGCGTCCTCCTCCTCCTACTCTGCAGACAGCTCTCGTCGACACGGCCCATCTCTTTTAGCTCCGCTTGTCTTGAATAACAAGTAGCAACCTCCGTATGCGTGTATGTGGCCTCTCAAGGACGCCGACGACTCGGCAGGCCGTACGGGTTTCCCGGGACCAGGTACGTCGAGGTGTCGGTCGTCCGCTCTACTACGGCTCACTCTGATCTCGGCAATGCTCAGTCACGCTTTGACAACAACTATCGCTAGCGGGATCCATGCGATTCCCAACATCCTCGAGCTCATCCACTGCCATGAGAGATGGCAAGGTGGTGCGTCGTCCCCGTATATGTCGAAGGTGCTCAGTATGTGGGTTAGTTCTGCTACTGCTACTTCTATCTCGTGCTCAGTAGTACATTGCAGACGTCCCTTGATGCGTACGGCACACTGTGCTCGATTATGTTCGCCTGCGGAGTAAAACTACGCAACTCGGCCGTCATGGTGAGCGCCCGCGTTTCCGCCCCAGCTTCCGTCCGCCCTGCGCTCTACTCGCACCTTTAGTCACCATCTACCGTGTCCGTCCACCCGCCCGACTTCATACCGTCGCTGGATGTGATATCGACACTGTTCATGCGTACGTCACTGCCCACCGCACGGAGCACGTCTTTGTATTTGAATCAGTACCTGTGATACGTGTGCGACGTAATTGACGACAGTCGTATCGCACCTCCAGGCATTCCGAGTCGGCACCTCGTCGTGCGTCCAGCCACTTCCAGACGGTAGTCCCGAATCCTGCTTCGCTCTGGATCGATGCACGATGGACAGCGAGGGAACGGACCAGACACCTGTCTTCCGCACCTCAATCACCGTGACGTCCGAGGATGCGGTCGCCGCGTGCAAGATGCCACTTCTGGGTTCGAACGGTCAGGTCACTTTTCGACTGCATCGCAAGAACTAGTGTATGTACGTTGTCCCTAATGACCCATCGTGGCTCACCGTCCTTTAGCATCACGTTCTCACGAGGACCACAGAGTCGTTGTCAAGAACGGGTGCGGATACGGTCAGAGCAACTGCATGTCCATCGCGTATGCGAACCTCGCGCTAGGCCGATCTCCTGCGTCGAGTATCCCAGCAGATCGAACTGCGAACGCGTACCAGGCCGGCGAGAAATTTGAGTTGAAGAAGAAGTAGAGCGGCAGACGTAGCGTGTTCGCGCGGTGAGTATCTTTGTATATGATCTCCACGACGATCGTCTGGGGCTTCGACGTGGGATGCGCGCGGGGACATGGGGCTGGGTACGATAGGCAATTATTGCACCAGACACAGAGTACACTCGTACCCGTGCTTACTCGGCGAGCCTTATATGCTGAGCCATGAGTAGGTCCGTGTCCTCGCCATCTATGACGAGCTGTGGTTGTGTACAAGCTCGTCGTCGCTTAGGTCCGGTGCATGCATTCGTTTTGCAGACCCGTGCTGTTGTGACGGGTCTCGTCGCTGTGATACAGATGGAGCTTACTGATTGTGCCATCATGTCAATGAAGAATCTCGTCGTATTATATCCAGTGTCTAGCTATAACGACCGCGATAAGCACCAATATTACACACCATCCTTGGGCTGACATAGCTGGCATGTAAGTAGCCGTGACGTTCTATAGCAAATGAGGTCAGCTAGATCATTGGCCCTCCGATCGTGGATTTTGACGCCTTGAGGACCTACGTCGTTGTCTAAACCGTGACTAGAACGGGTCCTGACTGACTGATTTGACCAGTAGATTGATTGGGCTTGTGGCATCATTGGAGCACACTGTACGTTGCCTACTTCATCTTCGTCTTCGTCACAACCGTTAGTGTTGAGCAGGAATTCAGAGGAGCATGGGCCTCTGTCTCAAGCAGACTCACTCGGCGGGACGACAAGAGATACTAGCCCCGGTGGATGTGGACGACGGCACACAGACTGGCCATGGGAGTCAAGCAACCTTAGACACATAATGCGTGCGTGGGCCATACAACGTCGGTCCGATAGCCCTCAACACTCGCTACCATTGTCCTTTTCACGTGTGATTCTTCGTCGTCCGCCTCCGTACCCTCGTGGTCACTGGCATTGGTTACGCCTTCTTCGCGTTCACTACTCGAGAGTCCGATATTTTCACGTGCGGCATGTATACCTACTCGAGCTGATGAGCAAACCGAGCAGATTGCAGGTCCGCCTTTATGAACGACGTGGTTGCGAAACTCACCGGGGTGTGCGGACTGGGGAACCTGAGTGACAAAAACTTCACCATCAGGATCGGGGTAGAATGCGAGTTCCAGAACTCCGCGGAACAACCACGGTGCAAACAGTATGATCATATGAGATTTGATCGCTGACATCATGGCAATGGTTCCCCAGGACTGCTTGAATCGAATCTGTACGCCTTCGATCCAGGCGAACCTCGGAAGTCGGTCAAAGGTTTTGCGAAAGAGGATGTTGTGGAAAGCGGGAGCATGGTCAGGAGATTCTGTCCATCCAATCCCATGACAACGTATCCCGGAATGGGCTAGGGAAATGCAGATTTCGAGTCGCACCAGATGCGGGCATTGAACGTCAGATAACAAGGTACCCAGGATCCTTTGGATCCTTGGCAATGAGGGATTGATCAGGCGAAATGACACGTCTAGTCTAATCAGCGAGGTGTTCGTTGCGACTCGGGGAAAAACATCGTGGACCGAGTCTGCCATAATCCCAATGAGCAATCTATTCACAGCAGGCGGCGAGCACAGTAGACTCACCATCAGCTATGCCAGATTCCCAGTAGAGCACCTTGAGACCAGCTCCGACGAGATGCAGTACCTCCGTAACACACAACAACAGCTCTGGAGTTGGTGCATCGGTGAGACCAACCCCCAGCGTCTCCAATTTGCTGCATGTTTGCGAGGTGAACACTAACCTCAGGAGCTGCAATGCGCATGTCGTGGACATATTGGCGAGTTGGAGCTTCGACAATGAGTGAGTGAATGTACGAGCCTCCGAATGCAGGGCCATAGTTGCTGATGTGGATTTGGGGCCTGGGTCAAACACCCCGCATACCCACAAACTATCGAGACCGTAGAAATGATACAGGAATTGATCGAGGTGTTGCAGCGAAGAGAAGTTCTTCAGATCCAGAGATAGACCAGCCACGGACGAGTATGCGGCGCATGCGCCCAACAAGCCTGGACGTGCGATGGCACCGTAATGTCTATGACCGCCCGACGGCTCCGCGCTAGCCAAAATTTTGATCCTCTTGAGGTTGTGCTGAAACGAAGGAAAGCAGCGGGCCACCGAATCGACTGGATCCTGCAGCGTAATGCCACAAAGACTCAGATCCTCGAGGCCCACCAGCGCGTTGAGCATCCTGCGGAGTTCCGTTGCACGGCGAAAGCGACACTTGGTGATGGACAGGGTTCTAATGCTGGTATAGTAAGAGAGGCGGCGGAAGAAAAGATGATGAGGACTGGCAGCTGCCCAGTCAAGGCCTGCCAGATTCAGCGAAGACAATTGTGGTAGAATACACCCGGGGATGAGCATCGGCCAGATGCGCACAAATGGTGTTGTAAGGTCCTCCGAGATATATAGGCGATGGAACGTCCTGCCATATGGTCGATTGGGTTTGGAACAGAACATGCGCGCGCAGTTATCAAAGACTTCTCGGGTCTTCAGCGTGAGCGTTGCGCCCTCGAAAAAGCGCTGTGCAGCGTGATACCAAGCATGGCAAACGAGGCAGCAGTTTGTAAGTGCACGGGGTTCGTATCGGAGGAACTCGTAGATGCACTCGATGAGTTCCTGCGGAAAACGCGGATATGTGTCACTGTATTGACAAAGCAAGTCAATATGACATGCGAGAAACTGGCACCATGGCAGACAGAAGCATACCTCATGTATGCGGGTGATCTGAAGCAGTTGCGCAGTTTAGAATGATGGCCTGTCAGGGGCATATTTTCACTGATGACTGTACGTGTCATCTGGCAGCTCGCTGTGTCGTTGGATCATTATGTAAAATTGCCAGTGCACTCTGACGAAAAACATACCTGGCGCAGCTAGCATTCGATCTGCAGAACGTCAAACAATGTTCCCAAGTGGCGTTGGGAAAGGGTACACTGCACAGCGTACCAGATCATCGAAGTATGTCGCGCAGACACCACTCCGCTGAAAGCTCACCTTATAAAATTGTGAACTTGAGCTTTCTGGCAACGCGTCTGGAGCACGAACTACACACAGATGAACAGACTGTTATAGAGAAAGTGATCGGCTTGGAACCCCGCTGATGGGCAGCAAAGGTAGATGCTAAGAATGCGTAGACGGTAAGAAGAATGGAGGAAGCGACAGAAGACTTGCGGATTCGTGCTTGCAGGAGACAAGGTCAGTTTATCAGTACGCGGTTGAACGGAGGCAATGCGTGTGCTCGCCGCATGCCCTGAGCCGCACTCGTGCCAGGACAGTGCAGCGTCATGTCGCGCCGCTAAGTGACGCAGTGCGCGTGCTTGGTATCACTGCCCATGTTCATGTCACAGCCTTTTGTTCGAGAGAACATAACCTTGCGTCGATAAGCTCGCGGGTAGCGCAAAGCAGGACATGGAAGCACTGCTTCCCCCTATTGATGTACGGTACCGTCCGTGTCCTCTCGCCCCTGAATGCACGACACACGAGGCACACGAGGCCTGGGACGCATCCGCAGTCGATGTACCATTGCGAAACGAGTGCTTGAGACACATTCATCGAATGAAGACCCTCGCCGTGCACCTTCATCTCACCTTGCGAGTAGGTTCCAACGCCGGCGCGCTTTCTCAGCGGACGCTTCTTTTCCTCAGAGTCGCGCGCCATCGCAGCCCGCATAACGCGCGACGAGTAGTGCTGCCACGAGGGAAGCACGCCTAGAAAGTCGCGCGGGGGCTCGGCACACCTACAGGCATGTGTAAGACACTCGACAGCAGGAGATACTGAGGCCACTGACACGCGTCGCCGATCCAAGATTCCTTCGAGTACCCAAAATTTCCGCCAATCGTCTCTGTGGCCGGCCGCGTAGTATGGCCTCGGTTACGGTGGCCTCCGGTGCGATGTACAGGATGTGTGGAGCTGTATGCACTGAACTCGAGTGTAAACGGTCGCAAGCCAGTTCGGACCCGTAGAGGCCGCTATATGCATGCGAAACGCGAATGAGCGAACCGTGGACGCGGCATCGTTGCTCGTACCTTCGCATTCCAGGCCGCTGGCGGCGCGGGTGTTGCGGAAGGACCGTTGATCTTAGCAGCAGCGAATGCGAATGGGTATACTCGCGGTGCTTTACCAAGTATCACTCACTTATAGGCGCGACGTGCTGAGCACATGACCATGCGTTACCATGCACGTGGATTGTTCATGAATCTCACTACGTACCACATTGCAGCTATGGCTAACGATTGAGGACGTATTGCCATGCCCCGCTTATGCAGAGGGCGGAAAGACGATGGCTCTGCGGGCGGGACAGTAGGTCAAAGATGCTGCAAGCGAGTAATTTAGGCGCAGATACGCACCCGTCTGCGCATACGACGTCGTTCCCGGTACCCACAGTGTCTCGGAATGTGTCTCCAGTACCCTACCGAGCGCGTGCTGGCACGTCGACTTGGAAGTACGATGTCGTGGAGATGCCCCGACAGCGCGTTACTGGCGGAGTGGACCGGTGCTTTGCTTCGATAACAGTGGCACGATAGTGAGTCCCAGCTTCTATTCACAGACAATAACATCAACTCACTTCTTGCAGTAAGCTCGCATCGCCGCAGGTCTTGCACGTTCCGGTGAATCATTCGACCACAGTGCAACCGCCGTCCAGAGGGCGGGTAGATATACATACCAGGCGGACGTACCAGAGACCCGCGGGAAGGTCTCCGAGGGTCCAATATTGTGTGTCGCACTCGTGGTAGATCTTCCTTAGGTTTGAGCTTGTACAGTGGTTGCATCATAGGGCCAAGTCGAGGACGCGCCCGGATTGGGTCACAGGGAGAGTTATGCAACGTGCGGTATCAGGTGTATTCATGAGCTCGAAGAAGTTAACTTAGAACAAATGAATACGTCGATCGACGACTGCCACTTCAAGGTGAGTATGACAACAGACAAAAGCAGACAAATCGAGGCAATGTGTCTGACCGAAGAAGACGCGTCGCGCGACGCGGCACGTGATGAGCGCGTCGACTGTCGGAATGTTGTGGTCTCGTAGAATGTTGCACATGCTGGGGTGCGCAATCCAAACGATACCTTGCTGAGGCTCGTCCGCCGCCCTCGCAGGACTAAGGCCCGGATCAGGTCAGGAGCCATGGCCTCCTCGGCGTATGCGGCTCGAATGTCATCCCCAAACACCTACCCCCCTCTTCCGTGACGGTACGGCTCGTTTTGACGACGCCCAGATCAACTTGTTGCACAAGTTCTTTGTCGACTTCGATTTGATAAACTATATGGACAAGCCACCCAGGACGACACGGCCCATCACCCGGCGATCCTCCTGAGAGCATGCGGGGGCGACCGTCTGGTCCGCGGACCCGTTCCGACAAGCTTTCGAGGGCTTCTCCTGGGCTATCATGGTGCGGCACTGCTGCGCACCAGAGCGAGACGTTCGCCGCCGCCAGCCGGAAGTTTGCCCGATGCGCAGGTTGTGGCGTCGTGCGCTATGCTCATGCGGGTGCCAGAGGGGCACCTGGGAGCATCCGCAGCTGTCGCACGAAGACATCCAAGTACGATTAGCAGATGGGCATGGTTCAGCGTCGGCCCGGGTTGAAATCGACCTGGGTTCAAGGTGTTCAAAGAATGTACTGTACTTGTCCAATACAATACTTTCCGCACATTCACAGAATTATCGTCCTCGGAGTCCGATAGTTCCAAAGTACCCTTGAATGGGGGCTGTCTGTGAGGCCGATGAGCATACGGAGATACGGCTGTGGCCTGATAGACAAGGATTATGACACTCACAGATTACAGTCGGTAATTCAGCTCCGACAGCCTCTGAATCGGGGCCGGAGTAGAATGTGAGTCTCAGGACTACGCGACCTAACCACTCCCCAGGCCGAGTATACGGCGACGGTCTCACTCAATCACGGAGCGTCCACCTGCCGTCGTTCCAGAGAAACGACGGCATACGGCTCTGATCCAGACGGCCAACTGACGGGGCGGGGCCGTCGTATCTTGAAGTGCAGCGTGAACGATGTACGATAGTTGCATTTAACATGTTCCGATTGATGTTATCCCTTCGAATCGAGAGAGCATCGCCGTTGTCGAGCATGCAGGGAGCTACCTCATCCGACGCACGCACCCTAATCCGCTGACGACCACACGGAAATCGAGGACGCGGAACCTCCGGTCGCATGGAAGGTTCAACCACTTCTTGGTTGCGGTTCATCTGCAGAGCGACAGCTCGACGTCAGTAAAGGCCGGCGCAAGACTGGGGATGGAGTGACGTGCTTTCTCGCGCTTTGCATCGCGGGTGGTTCACCCCCATGTCCCCGCCGCGCAGATCTGTTTGTCTAGCGTTGGCGAGCTGCAGGCTCGCGCTGTGCTCGATGTATGCGGGAGACGGTCGAACGAGCGAACGAGCCCTGCGAGGCTCAGATATGAGAGGGCTCGGAAACGTCAGTATTCCACGATGTATGGATGATGAGACGGGACGTAGTGGCGTTAGCTCGGATTTCGCTTCCATGTCCTTCCTGATCCAGAGATCGGCGAAACGACGACAGTGTTGAGTGCTGATTCCGCAGCGTCCACCGCAAGGTTCCATTTACGATCAGTTCAGTTTATCAATCGACAGATGACTCACCGTTACCCGTTCTGTGTCCAGGTGTGCCCGACGGGAAGCTCGAGTCTACCATCTTGCTTCAGCTTTCTTCAGCAGGTACACTCGTACCGTAGTCTTAGTCCGAAGAGATGTACGTGACATCCATTGAGCGAAGGAACCTGGATGATGAGAAACGTGAGTGTCACAGAGTACGGTCGTGCGGACATACCACACAGGTGAGCATGACACACCTTCTCAGAGAGCTCGGAAGAGAGCGTCCTACGACGCCAAGACAGGATGGTTTGACGCACGTTCAGCAACAAGCTGGTCGGGAAGGACGCGAGGACGCGGATCGCTATGTACCAGTTGGCGGAAGGAGGTGTCGTCGTGGTTATCTAGTAATGAGAAGCGATGTTCAGAGAGTGCGTGCAGAGACGGGGACGCGCGAATGTAAACATACATCCTGTACTAGTGCCAGCACCGATCCTACGCCCCTCGTCCCAAACGGAAGCCCAAGAGCAGAGAGAACGGAGCAGAGGGGAGACCGCTGACGCGTGAACTTGACCGGTCGGACGGATGCGGTAGACTGCCAGCATAAGAGGGAGGAGGAGGTCACTGCTGCCAATATAAGGCCCACGCCCTCCCGCGCACGCCGTGGCGGGTGTCGACAGGCAGTGTGGTGAGGAGTGGTGGCGACGTCGAGTGCAGAAGCGCGCGTGTGGCGGGGACGGCGGCGCGACGAGGACCGCATCAGTCACATCCTCCGTCCCGCCGTCGTCCGCTCCCAACTGTCGCTCAACTGGCCCGCCACCCGCCTGCGAAGCCGACGGTGACGTCGACCACTTACCGCGTCTCACGCATACCCGCCCTCTACAGGCCGTGAACACTTCCAGTCCGAGTCATTGCCTCTCGGGCCCTGCTGTTGCGTCCGCCCGACTCCCGCCTTTCCTCTCCACTTCCAGGCAGCTCTCACGACCTGCGATCCCGTATCTGCGCCTGAATACACTCGCAGAATGTATCTGTGAAGGCCACTGACAGTGTAGAGGGAGGGCAGCCAGGGTCATTCCAGTGAGTCCCGAGGCAGTTCTGCTGCGTCTTCTTTCAATCTTAATGGCATACAAGCTTGCTCGACAGTATTCGGATTCTGACTGTGAGCAAGCCTAGCATACATCCCAAGGCTGCAATCGCCTCCTCCGCCACAACATCAGAAGGCGCGAGGTCGTCCGTCATCCCCGGCGGCCACTGGAGGCGGAAATGATCCCGACAGACACGAACTGTACGCATGCTCCTTCTCCGTTCAGCCAAACTCACTTTCGAAGGCTCCCCGTAGGCCTCACCCTGTGTACGTATGACTGCGTATCCTCGGGATTAGCTACGCCCATTCGAAGACTACGCTAGGTACCTCCGGCTAATGTGTGAGTGCTCGTCTTCTCGCTCCCGCCATTCCCTCGTTGCAGAAGACGTGCCTACCGTTGTTGCGCCGCTTCTTCAGACCTCTCGGTCTCGTCATTTACTCAACCCCTCTTTTTTACACCAGCGTCTCCCGGGTCATCAACGCGTTGTCGATTCATTTTCCCTCCTGCTACCGTCAAACATCGTATCCGCGCGTCTCACGCTGATCACGACCCACGAACACGCCCAAAGCGTCTGCGTCTTCCGGCTCCTCCCCAGTTGGGGCTGCGTGCGGTCGGGACCTTCCTACTGCATCTTCAGAGCCTCGGCAGGGCCGCACGTCGCGCGCGGAACGGGCTTCACGTCTCTGGCACGTCCTGCGTGCCACTACACCATCTCTGAGCGAGCTTAGTACGGCGTTCCTGGATCGTACGGACAAGGACATACGTTTGCTGTCTCCGTTTGGTGCAGCCCGTCGGGCTTCTTGGCGGTTCACCCTTCATCTACACGAACGCAAACGTGCGAGGAATCTCTTCGTTCTCACCTGGCTGAACAGCGAACTATCGCGACGCGGCAACACAGACCTTGCACCCTACCCCCTTATCGTGCATATACCGGACTCGCACGGCACCCGGAGGTGTCGCGATGCATTCGCGATCAGTCTCTGCCCGACTAGTCTCACCGCGTACACGACGCCTGGCGAGAATGTCTCCTAGCTGAGCAGTGGACTTATCGTGCTCCGCGTTCGCCCCATCCTCTATGACCTGTGGCCGTCATCCGACTCATACACGTGGAGGGAACACGCGGCTCGTCGAGCAACGTTCGTCGGTCGCTGGGGATCCGTCACATGCGAAGGACGTCCCTGGCGTGGGCCGCCATTCCGCGGCTCTTGTCGCATAACATTGAACTTCGCCCTTGCGATCGGACGTGTATCTAGAACCGCGGACTCGTGTGCGTACTGCCCTTCTGCCGTGCGCGTACCGACCTGTACTGACCATCTCTGTTCTTTGTCGTAGTAGGAGATCCTCTATGAATGTAAAGTGGTTACGTTGCACGTCTAGAAACCGCCGGATGGCACCGATACCCTCCCCCACGTCGTACTCATCATGATGTCTCATACGCTTTACGGTCAATACAAAAATTCTTCCGCAGATAGTGCGGCGAAGTACGACGCGACGCGCCTATACGATGTCTTTGCTCCACTGACACAGTCGCGACTCGACATGCCTGGTAGTATGTGATGAACCGGTCAACTGCGTGGGCGGTTCTAGAGGGCTTCAGCCTCGAGTCGTCACGCTGCTCTCTGCTTTCGTATGCGTCCGTTCCACCTTCACACTGTACTTGGCGGGGACTGATGCCCGCGCCTAGAACGACCGTGACAACGGACGAATAGTACTTATCATCTCTCCGATGCACGGGCCTGAGAGTGCTAGCTAGGAGTCGGCGCCATACGAATGAAGCACATTCAAACGATATGATGATTCCTATAGCAGTACGCGGCGAGTCCTGCATGTCCACAAACGATCTCTCACACTTTTATGTGCCCGTATTTCCTATCCGTATACCTGAATCCTAATCCTGCATGTTTTTTCGACTCCAAGGAAGCTTGCGCATGAGTCCCGCAATTCGATTGCGAAAGCCTGAGCGTGTACCAGCGAGATGTCCGATGGATTGCCGCTCCGAACGTCGTTCACCAAGACGCGGTGTCTTGGTCTGGTACACTCCCCGAGTTCGGTCGTTAACCTGGGTGGTCTATGAGTAAAATGCTTTCCGGTATATCAAGGATCGAGCAACAAACGACGTGATGGTCCAAGGTCAGTCCTGCAGATCCAAGTGTGGCACTGCCTTTTGACCCCAGAGAAATCGTGATTACATCTTCTGTCTCCGTATCTCCCCTAACATCGCGTGCACCTCCTTCGCGTCCATCGTCCTCCGAGTCCTCTGTATCCACGATGCTGGCATGCGCCCCTAGTCGAGCGGATGAGCGCACTGAGCGGATCGCGGCTGTGCCCTTACGGACGATGGTGTCGTGACACTCACCAAGGCATGAGAGTACTGGTGAGGACTTACGAGTGACGAATTCTTCGCCATCAGGGTCGGGACCGAATTGGAGCTGTACGATTCCGCGATCCAGCCACGGCGCGAACAGAGTGATCATGTGTGACTTGATCGCAGACAACATCGTGGCGTCCTGATTTCTCGCCTGGGCCATGAACCCGACTTGAATGAGAACAGATCGTGCTTGAAGCTGGTCAAAGACATTACGAGAGAGTATAGCGTGGAAATTGGAGGTGGAGGGGCCAGGAAAGTCTGTCTCGCTGATTGAGGCCTCGTTTTCATCTTTAGACATCTCGGTGCGTGACAGGCGAATCTGAATGTCGAGATCCAACAGATGTGCGCTTCGGACTTGGATGTCAGATAGCAAGAGACCCAGGCCCCTTTGAATCCTTGGGAGCGATGGATCGACCTGCCAGATGAACTCCAATTGCAGGTCTGTCAGTGATGTGTTTGCCGTAATTCGCGGTACGACATCGTGGATCGAGTCTCCTGTAGTTTCAATGAGCAACTATAAGCGCAATGACAAGGCACCAAGACTTTTACCATCAGCAAGCTCACACGCAAAGTCGAATCTTTTGAGCGCCGTTCCGGCGAGACGCAGAACCTCTGTAACGTGTCGTCCAAGATCTGTACATGGGCTGTCCCGTTTGATGCGGAGAGTCAGGGTTTCTAGTTGGCTATATGCTTGCGGGGTGACGGTGAATGCCAGCAGAGCCTGGGATGCCCACGGCTCTAGCACGCCCGTGAGATCGAGATCCAATTTGGATGGATTGAGTCCATGCACTGTGTATAGAGCTGAGTTTGCGGCGGCATACCCGATGCCGAGGCCGAATGCAGATAGCGACAACATGGATAGACGGGAGAAGCGAGATATCAACTGGTGAAGATGTGAAAACGAAGACCAGCACCTCAGATCCAACCACAGCGACGTTGCGTATGGGTATGTGGCACATACGTCCAACAAGAATGGATGGAGTTCGTGAATGTGAGCGCCCAACTCGGTTGAAGCTGAGTAATCAGTCCACCGATGGAGTCTCAACTCGAACTTCAACTTGTTGCGGGAAGGGCCGTAGCGGGACACCAAGTTTGGCACGAGCCTGAGTGGGTGCTGTAGTGTGATGTACCTGAGAGATAGGTCTTCGAGCATCGGTAGCGCGTTGGAAATCCTACGGAGTTCCGCCATACTGCGAAAGCGGCACCCCACAATGTTGAGACGTGTGATGCTGGTATAGCAGGAGAGGGAGCGGAAAAAGCGATCATGTGGCCTGGTGACTGCGCAATCGAAGCCCTGTATCCATAGGGTCGTCACCTGTGGTAGGACATACCCGGGGATGCGTATCGGAAAGACACGTATGAAAGGCCTTCGAGGGTCCTCCGTAATCAACAGGCTGTCAAATGTCTTGCCATACGGTCGATTGCCATGGGACCAGAGCATGTGTGCGTAGTCATCCAAGATCTCTCGGGTGGTCAATGTGAGCTGCTGAGTGCCACGCAGCCTGAGGGAGACACGCCGTGCAGCGTGATACCAAGCATGGCAAACGAGGCTCCACCTCGTCAGTGTGAAAGGATCCAGCCGGAGAAGCTCGCAGATGTAGTCGATCAGTTCCTGCGGAAATTGCGGAGAGGTATCACTGCGTCTCGGACGAAGCAACCTGCAAGTTGATATGTCATTCGAGCAACGGGCGCCAGAACGAACGGAAGGCATACATCGAGTAGGTGGGTGCTCTGTAGCAATCCTCCACTTTCCGAGCATGGTGTTCCATTATTGTGTTTTCGTTTTATCGACAGCATCCGCCATCTACCTGCCATCGGGTCCTTACGTGAGATCACCTATATATGCGGTTGAAAAGCATACCTCTCACAACCACGTAGGATGTGCACACCTTCAAGTGGTACTTGAACGGCAGATTGACGATCGGTTCCCTGTATAGAATGCAGGTGTATTAGGTTATGTTTTGCAGACGCAACTCCGCTGACATCTCACCCTTGAAAGTCGTGAACTTGACAGCCACGAGTCGGGCGCGATCACCCGAGGTAGAAACGGCCGGTGAGGTTAGATGTAAGTTCTGAGTGTCTCAGACCTGCGGCGGTGATTGCAGTCGGTGGCAAGCGTAGCGCAGAATGCGGGAGGCGACAGATGACCTGCGGACCAGAGCACGGAAGAGGCAGCGTCTGGCATTACTTATATAAGTGCGTGGCCGGCTCGAGCAAATGCACAGGCTCGCCGCATGTCTTGAGTAGGAACGTACAAGGTTACGTCGAACTGCTCAAGTACGCAGCGCTCGACCTCCACAATGCCCGTGTTCGCGTCACACTGTTAGTGCCTTCTCTGCGAGGATATGGTTACCGGAACACCTTGCATCCATAGGAAGTGCACCCAAGAAATGGAAGACCTGGCTGTGTAAATACATTGCCTCCTATCGAAGCAGGGTTCCGTTTGTGTTCTGATGCATGAAGTCCAGGCTACAGTCAATGTTCGCAATAAGGTGTGAGAGGCATCCACGTCTCGCTCACCGAAGGGGCTGCGTACCATCTGACCATCTGACTGGATCCCACGTATAATTATCTTGAGCGAATGAGAACACTTAGATGCACTTACGGAGTGCCCCACGATGAGAGGCCAGAATAACTGTGTTTTGATTCATCGGAATAGCCCCGGATGGCGACTGCCACTGGCACCAAGGCTGTGTGTTGACAGGACGAGCTGACTGCTTCGTCGGCGCACAGATGGCCGAGACGTCCATATGAATAGGTAGGTTGCCGTTTCGCACAGGACTGTCTGTCTGTTGCTTAACATGAACTGCTCCAGTAGGGATGCTGCAGAAGATCGTTAACGCTGGCCCGAAAAGAGGTTTGACAGACCTGCACATACCCGTGAGCATGAGGAGCACATGCGCTTGAGCTGAGTAGTCATGTCACTCGCAGATGAGGGGCAATGCTACCGCAACTAATGATTGGCACTCTTGAGAACTTGAAGCCTAGACAAGCCACACACGCCCGGACGCGAAGCCCGGGACACAGCCGCCTACTAGAGGAGGCTCATCTGCGCGCCCAATTAGGTCCAGGGCGCTGAAAATGCGCTGAGCCAACACGCATGAGCCCTCCCAAGCAAAACAAAACAAAAACGAAGGAAGGTCAGTTGTGAGCGCAATGACAGACGGCAACTTGCAAGCCTGGTCGCAGCGGATGATGTCAGACGCGATGACAAGCCGCGCGTCTCCACGGGACAGGGCGGTCGGGGAGGACGTACTACTACTAGTAGTAGTTCGTGGCCAGTTGGCGGAGCGAGATGTCGTCATCGTCATCTACATAGTGCGAGCAAGCAAGCGATGTTCAGGGAATACGCGGAGACGGGGACGTGCGGATGCAAACGTACCAATGACGGTAGTGCCTGAACCGATCCTACACCCCTCGTCCAGTACGAGAACCTAGGACCTCCAAGTCTTGCAGAGCACTGGGATGGACAGACGGATCCGAGCAGGGGGAGACCGCTGGGCGACACGTACGCCCGAGTGGGCGGCCGAGGTTGATACGGTAGACTGCCAGCATATATATATTTAAGCTGGGAGGTGTCCAAGGCCGACACTGGGCTCAGCGCTCAGCGCTCAACGCTCAACACCGGGGCCCTTACGCACATGCCGTGGTGGATGTCGACAGGCAGTCTGGCGACCCGAGTGACTTACAGAAGCGCGCCTGTGGCGGTGGCTGCGACGAGGACCGCCGACTCGGATCTGTCACGTCATCCATCCTGACATCCTACCCTCTTGTCCTTGCCTCCTCTCGCTCAAGTCCGCAACGCGCCTGCAACGCCGACGATGACATGGGCTACCTATTGCGTCTCACGCATACCCGCCCTCTGCAGGTCGTGCACGGCCATTCCGCGATACCCGTCCCCCTGAAGGTCGTACGCGTCACCGTCCCGCGTTCCTGCAGTCTGAAGATCTGACCAACATGCAGAGCCTCCTCGGCGCGACTCGAGCAAAAGCTCCGTGGTCAGTTCTTCCCCATGTCTGATATATACCGTATGCAGATTCTTTCCGCTTCCGGTCGTTTGCATATCGGGCCCCGTCGCTGTCCTAAATAATTCGATTTGCGTGTGCTCGACTCCCGCCTATCCTCTCCTATCCACCTCCAGACTACTCATAAGCCTTGCGGTCTCGTGATGGTGCTTGATTGTAGTCGCAAACTGCACCTGGAGAGGTCACTAATGGTGGAGGGAGGGCAACCGGGGTCGTTTTGGTGAGTCTCATTCGTTCTATCGCGTCTTCTTTCGAGCCTGAAGAGATACGAGCATGCTCGTCTGATTCTCACTGCGAGAAAGCGTGTATATTATGTATCCCAAGATTGCAATCGCATTCACCACCACGACATCGGAGGGCGCGAGGTCGTCCGTCATCGATTCATCCCCGGCCACTGGAGGCGTTGTCCTGACGGACCCGGTTGCTTGGTGAGTCGTACGCACGCTTCTTCTCCATCCCGTCAACCTCACACCCAAGGGTTCCCCGGACGTCATTCTTCGTGCACGCAGCATCACTGCGTATTTCAAGATTAGCTACGTACGGAGGACTTGCTGCGTACCTCGGGTGAGTGCTCGATTCTCGTCCTAACCACTCCCACGCCTCGGGCGACGCGCTGTTCCTGGCACATCGCAATGCCGCCACTTCTCTGCAACCTCGCGGTCTACTCGAGCTCTCGTCCCCGCCTCCCCGGTCATCCATACCGACCGATCCATCTGCCGTCCTGCTACCGTTGACCACCACGTCTCCACGTCTCGTGCTAAATCACAACCATGGATACGCCCAGCCTTCGCAATGTCCGCGTTCTCCGGCGCAGGAAGAGCAGCGCGCGGTTGGAAGGTTCTCTCCGGAGCATCGACAGTCCGCACGTCGTGCGCGGAGCGGGATACGCATCCCTTGTGTGTCACGACTCACAATACTGTCTGTGGGTGAACGCGGCGCGTCTGGGATCGAACGATCAAGGACGCGCACGAGTTTTCTCCCTTGGTTGGGCGCAGCGTGGGTGTCTCATGGGACGCCTTCGTGGTTCGTTCCTCAGGCGTAACTATCAGCGACTGGGCGAAGTATGTCTTCGCTGAACCTATCGCGACGCTGCAGTCGAAGACCTCCGGCCCTACTCCTTACCGCGAGCTCGTACCCTACCCGCCGAACGTCTCGCGAGGTCGTCTCCGCGAAACGGGTCTCACCACGAACGTCACGCCTGGCGAGAATCTCTTGCGGTTGAGCAGCGGACGTATCGCGCTCCCTATTTTTCGGGTTCACCCACAGTTCGTCCACGATCTACGGCCATCATCCGACCCTTACGCAGGCTCAGTAGAGGGAACGTGTAGTCCGTCGATTCCTGCTTTCGCCAGCATCGATCGCCGACTCGCCGGGGAGTCACCGCATGCGAAGGACAGCTCCGGCCTCGCCATCGCGACCGGAGTGCACCTATACTCATATAACCGTGGACTCGTATCCGTGCTGTCGCCTTCCCACTCTACCGTGTACGTACTGGTGGGTTGTGTCCCCCGTCTAAATTTGAATGCTGTTCGTTGTAACGCCCCATGGTCAGAACATTACCTCGCAGAGGCTTGCCTGATGTCTTGGTGACATCGGAACGATCGGGTTGTATGCAGGATCTGATCCTAACTGAGGTGACTCGTTCGCCGTGCTCACGTCTTTAGGCCTTGTTGCCAGCGCTTCCGAAGGGAGCTGGTTTCAGGCTGAATTCTTAGCGAAGTGCGACGCATCAGAGCGAGATGTCTGCCGCATCCGCTTTACTGACATACTCGCTACGTGGCTCATGAATCGATGTACGGCACTACGACTCGCGCCGCAAACCAAACGCGAGAGCAACTCTGGTTATGGCCGTCATGTACGTCCATCTCACCCTGTCTAGTTTACGAGAACTTATGCTCATTTTAGATGACAGAGCGACCAGGACATTGAATGAAAGGTCTCAGCTCTGTGATGTGCGAGCCTCTGACGCACGAGCCTAAGAGTGGCTATGACCCAGGGTTCTCCGCACAGCGGCGACAAACAAGTGAAGCGTTTTCGATAAATACGGGACTCCGACTCGCCATACAACGATACGCTGTGAGTTCTGCGTGTTTATGAACTACCCTCGTCTCGCGAAGCTCTCGAGCTCGTTACCACTCTCTCCGCATGTTTCTTCATTCACCCCGCCCTATCCAGTACCATTCTTCTTCGGCTACAATGATACATGATCCGTGATTCGACCCCGCGCGATTGCGGAACAGGTGTGACGGGTTGCCGCTCCAGTCACCGCTCACCGAGACACGGTGTCTCGGTCTCGTACGCTCTTCGAGGTCGGTCGTTGAACTGGGTGGTATATGAGTAAAGGGCATTCCAGTTTATCAGGGATCGAGCGACGTACAAAATGATGATACCCGGCCAGTCTTGCAAATTCTAGTGCACTGTCTATTGCGGGGGAATTGGATCTTCTGTCTCCATATCTCCACTGGCATCGCGCGCATGGTCTTCGTGTCCATCGTCAGGCTCCGAATCTGCTATCTCCTTTATACTGGCATGCGTCGGAGTCCCTGCTCGAGCGGATAAGCGCACTGAACAGATCGCGGCTATGCCCTTACGGACAACGGAGTTTTGGCACTCACCAAGGACACGGAGTACTGATGAGGAATCACGAGTGACGTCCATTTCACCGTCGGGATCGAGGTTGAATGAGAGCTGCATGACTCCGCGATCCAGCCACGGCGCGAACAGAGTGATCATGTTTGACTTGATCGCAGACAATGCGGTGGTTCGAGCCGCCTCCTCCTGAGGCTCAGACACCGGTGAGCCATAGTAGGCCCATCTGACTGCAATGAATACACCGGCACTCTCGTGATAGGGCTCAGAAACTGCTGGAAGTTGGTCAAAGATGCTACGAGAGAGTATAGCATGGAAAGTGGAGGTGGAGCCGGGAGGGTCTGCCTCGCTGACTGAGGTCTTGTCCCTATCTTCAGACGTGTCGTCGTGTTGGGTCCGAATCAGGTTGATCATGACCGTGAGTCGCTCCAGATGCGGGCTTCGTATGTCAGACAACAAGGTATCCAGGGCCCTCTGGATGCTCGGGAGTGATGGATCGACACAGAGAGTGATCGTCAGGTTTGTCAGTGATGTGTTTGCCGTAAGTCGCGGTACGTCATCGTGGATCAAGTCTCCTATAGTTTCCATGAGTAATGACAATTGCAATGACAAGCAACCAAGACACTTACCATCAACTGGGTTATGTTCCCACTGAAACTTCTTCAGCCCAGCTCCGGCAAGACATAGAACCTCTGTAACACGTAGTACAAACTCTGCACGCTGTCGATCATGCAGCTGGCAATGCCAGCATAGAAAGAAAACCCGCAGGGCTTCCAGTCTGCTACAAGCTTGCGGGGATAATACCAGTAGAATCTGTCGCGCCAACGACACAGGCACGTATTTGAATCGTAAATCCGACAGAGAGGGGTTGAGTGCATGTGCTGTGTATAGGGCCAGGTCTGCTGCTGATGCAGGCTCGACATGGGAGCCGTGCTCTGAATCGTGTAGCAACAAGCGAGACAGATGTGGGAAATGGTGTAGAAACCGATGAAGACTCGAGAGCGAAGAGTAGTAGCGCAGGTCCAACTCTAGCTCTGTGACGTAGGAGTACGTGACACATACGTCCCATAGGAATTGATGGTATACAGATGGGATGTGAGTGTCTATCGCCGGCGCAACACTATCCAGATGCCAGTTGTAGACGTCGTGGAGACTCCCAATCACCATCTTCTTGAGCTTGTTGCGAGACAAATTGGGAACATAGCGCGACACCAAACCTGGCACGAGTTGGTGCTGCAGTGTGATCTCCGCGAGAGACAGGGTTTCGAGGCTCGGGAGTGCGGTGGAGATCCTACGGAGTTCCGCTATACTGCGAAACTGGCACCGCCCGATTGCCAGAGTTTTGATGCTGGTGTAATAGGAAAGGAAGTGGAAGAAAAGATCATGTGGTCTGGTTGCTGTCCAGTCGAAGTTGATTAGTTCCAGGTACATCAATTTTGGTAGGAAATACCCTGGAATGCGCATTGGCCAGATGTGGGCGTGTGGCTTTCGAGGGTCGTCTTGAATCTCCAAGCCAACAAAATTCTTGCCATATGATCGATTATTCTTCGACATGAGCATGTATGTGCAGTCATCCAAGGCTTCTCGGGTCTGCAACTTGAGGCTGGAGTCCCAGTAGACGCGCCGTGCAGCACAATACCAAGCGTGGCAAACAAGGCGGCACCTGGTCAGTGTGAAAGGATCCAACCGGAGGAGCTCGCAGGTGCGGTCAATCAGCTCCTGCGGAAATCGCGGATAGGTATGACTGTGTCGAGCAGCAAGTCGATATGTCATTCGAGCAACAGCTGCCAGAGTAAACAGAAGGCATACCTTGAGTACGTGGGCGGTATGAAGCAATACAACAGATCCAAAGTATGGCCTTCCAATAGCCTGTCTTCATCATCGACCGCAACCGCCATCTGGTTTACCCGCCAACGGGTGGTTATGCGGGATCACCTATATACGTGGTGTAACAATACCTCGTGCGACCACGTTCGATCTGCAGAACTTTGGCAGCTCGACGATCAGCACCTTGTATGGATGCCGAAGTGTTAGATTATGTTGCACAGACAGAATTCCCGTGAGGCCTCACCTAAGAAAGTTGGGGAACTGAGCCCTCTCGCAGCGTCGGGCGCGCTCACTCGTGGTGGAAACAGAGGATATATGGGAGGTTCGGAGCCTCGAGGATCGGAAGCAGCGGTAGGCGTTGAGTGACACGCGTAGGCCAGCTGCGGTATGTGAGAGGCGACAGATGGCCCGCGGACTCGAGCCTGAGAGAGCGTCGTTATATTAGTACGAGGCCAGCCCGAGGCGATGTACAGACTCACCGCATGTCATCGGCCACTCTCGTACCACGAGCAAATGGGGTTGACACTCACACTCCGACTCACGGCCTGCGTTCAGGCAGTGCTGCGTTCCCTTACAGAACACCGATATCTTAGAACCTTGCATCGATAGGACGCGCGCGTGTGGTACAAGGCAGGACATAGAAGACCAGGCTGTGTACTACTGCCTCCTATCGATGCGGTGTTCCTTTCGTGTACTATATCCAGTTATGCACGAGGCCCGGCGGGCGTCACGACGCAGGTAACAGAATAGTCGGCGTACATACGCAATGAAGCTGCACCTTGAATGAAGTGCAAGGTACACGCGCGTCTCGCTCTCCACATGGGACTTTATACCGCGGCTGCGTGTCACTTGCCCTTCCCATCAGACTCCACGCAGACATCTCAGTGCACTTACCGCGCGCCCTTGTTGAGCCGCCGAAATTAACCCTTTGACAGTTGTTTGCGAGAACAGCCCTGTACGGCGGCCGGTACTAAGGGATGATAACAGACGCGCTGACAGCTCCGTTGGTGCTAACTGGCAGACGGCAGAGCCGTCCAGAGCTATATATTGACTGTCTTATGCGAACCTTAATGTTCTCCTAGGCTGTTCCTGAGGATTGTTAATACTTGCGCGAGCGGAGTCGGGGTATACTTGCACATACCCGTCAACGTGAAGGAAGCGAGTCAACCAGAATGTATATTGACTCACCAGGTATCCGTGACGCTATTATCGGATGAGGGACGTGGCAGGAGACATGGGCCCTTCCAAGCATGAGAACGAAGGAACATGAGTCGTGAGTGCGACGACAGACGGCAAGCCTGACGCCGTCTGTGTACGTACGTAAATGAGGACAGAGTGATGCGCTTTTTCGCGCATCGCATTGCGGATGGATCACCCTCGTGTCCCACCGCGCAGGTCCGTTTGTCCAGTGTTGGCGAGCTGCAGGCTAGTGATGCGCGCGATGTATGTCGGAGGCCGATGAGCGAGCGAGGAGGCTCGCTAGGCTGAGATAAAAGAAGGCACGGGACGTCAGTAATATGCCAAGAAGGACACATTCGGACGTACCAATGGCCAGTTCGTATTTAGCTTCCACGCCCTTTCCTGACCAGGAGATTCCGACGATGAGAGGAGAACCAGGCGGCGAGTGCTGATCCTGCAACACCCGTCACAATATGCAGTTCACCATTGAAATCGGCAGACGACTCACCCGCTCTTGGTCCCAGTATGCCCGACGGGCAGCCCAAATCCGTCCTGACTTCAGCTTTCGTCCGGCGGGTACGACACGCAGGTTCGTATCGCTGTCTCGGTGGGAGAATTGAGGCTGTACGAGGCGTTCATCGAGTGAAGGAACTCGGGTCCTAAGAATTATGGACGTCTCAGAGTATGGACACAAGGACGTGCGGACATACCACAGGGAATACCGTGACCCTCCAAGAAAGCTCGCAAGAGAGCATCCTGTGACGCCGAGACAAACAGACAGACTCGCGATTGATGTATACGCTCGACAGACTGGTCGGCGAGGGCGCAGATCGCTGCCAGTTGGCGGAGAGAGGTGTCATCTGGTAATTTGAGAAAGACATAGTCAGAGAGTACGCGGAAACGGGGACGTGCAGGTGCAAACATACGACTGGTGCTAGAGCCCTTGCCAATCCTATGCCCTTCGTCCGATATGGGAGCCCAAGAGCGCCAAGTCCTGCAGAGCACTGTTGACAGTGAGATGGACGAACGAAGCAGAGGGGAAATCACTGAGCGACGCGTGCACTTGGCTGGCTGGCCGGGATTGATGCGGTAGCAGGCTGCCAGCAGACGAGGGAGGTGTCCACGACCGGCGCTGGTCTCAAGGCCGGCGCCCTCACGCGCCCGCCGTGACGGAGGAGGAGAGGAAGTGTGGCGGCACCGAGTGCAGAAGCGCGCGTGTTGACGGGACGGCGGCGCGACGAGGACCGCATCAGTCACGTCATCCGTCGCGCGTCCCCGCGGCCCGCTTGCAACACCGACGATGGCATCGACCACCTACCGTGTCTCACGCATACCCGCCCTCTGGCAAGTCGTGCACGGCGTTCCCGCGAGGCCCGTTCCCGTGAAGGCCATACGCGTCACCGTCCCATGTTCTGAAGATCTGACCACCATGCAGAGGCCTCCTCGGCGCGACTCGAGAAAAAGCTTCACGGTTAGTTCTTGTCCATCTTTAATATGTAGTGCTCGCTGTCCTAATTCGATTTCCGTGTACCCGACTCCCACCTGTCCTCTCTTGTCCACCTCCAGGCTGCCCACACGACCTGCGATCCCGTAACAGTGCTTGAATATACTCGCGCACTGCATCTGGGGAGGCCACTGACGGTGAAGGGAGGGTGTGTAGCTAGGGTCGTTCCGGTGAGTCTCGTTCGTTCTGTTGTCTTCTTTCAGGCTTGATCGGAGACAAGCATACTCGTCAGATTCCTACCAGTGTGACCAAGCGTATCATGTATTCAAAGGTTGCAATCGCATCCGTCGCCACAACATCAGAAGGCGGGGTCGTCCGTCATCCCCAGCCACTGGAGGCGTGATCCTGACGAACCGGTTGCTTGGTGGATTGTACGTACGTTTCTTCTCCATCCCGTCAATTTCACACTCAAAGGCTCCCCGAAGTAAGTCGACCATCACTGTGCACGCAGCACTGACATCACTGCGTATTTTGAGACTAGTTACGCACCTCCGGAGGGTCTGCTACGTACCCCGGGCTGATGGTGAGTGCTCGATTACCGCCTCCACCACTCCCCCGTCTCAGGCGACGCGCTGGTGCAGAAGCGCGCCCAGGCCCTGTGGCGGGCCGCCGCCGGTACCGCATCAGTGGCATCATTCGTCCCACCGTCGTCCTCTCTCAAACAGACCGTGTGCCTTCCACCTCTCGCTCACTGACCAGCCACCCGCCTGCGACGCCGACGATGGCATGGACCACCTATCGCGTCTCACGCATCCTCGCCCTCTGCGGGTCGTGCACGGCCGTTCCGCGATACCCGTTCCCCCGAAGGTCGTACGCGCCGCCGTCCCGCGTTCCTGCAGTCTGAAGATCTGACTGACACGCAGAGCCTTCTCGGTGCGACTCAAGCATAATCTCCGTCAGTTCGTACCTATGTCTGATACGGTATGCACACTCTTACCGCTTCCAGTCGCTGCATATCGGGCCTCGTCCTCCCTTTCGGCGCTCGCAGCTGTCCCAGTTCGATTTGCGGGTGCACAACTCCTGCCAATCCTCTCCTCGCCACTTACACGCCGCTCATACGACCCGCGATCCCGTAACAGTGCTTGACAATTGTCGCAAACTGCATCTGGGGAGGCCCCTGGCAGTGGAGGCTTGTAGGGCAACCAAGGTCGTTCCGGTGAGTCTCTGTTCTAGTCTGTTGCGTCCCCGTTCGAGCTTGATGAGATACAAGCGTGCTCGTCAGATTCTCACTGCGAGCAAGCCTATCACGTATCCCACCGCCATGACATTAGAAGGTAGGCTCGTCCGCCATTCCCAGCCGTTGGAGGCGTCGTCCTGACGGACACAGTTGCTTGGTAGATTCGGTACGCACGCTCCTTCTCCGTCCAGTCAACCTCACACCCAAAGGCTCCCCGTAGGTCATCCGTCGTGCGCGCAGCATTACTGCGTATGTCAGGACGAGCTACGCACGGAAAATCTGCTATGTATCTTGGGTGAGTACTCGATCCTCGCCCAGACCACTACCCCGTCTCGACGACGCTGGCGCTGGCATACCGTAATGCCACCGCTTCTCTGCAACTTGCGGTCTCTTCGGGCTCTCGTGCTTGCCTTCCCGGTCATCGATTCCGACCAACCCATCTGGCCTTCTGCTGCCGCTGACCTCGCATCTACACGTCTCGCGTAGATCACGACTACGAATAAGCATTCACAGCCTTCAGAACATCCAGTGCTCTCGCAGGAAGAGCAGCATGCGGTCGTCACATTGCGTACTGCGTCTTCGGAGCCTCGGCTGTCCGCACGTCGCTCGCGGAACGGGATACGCATCTCCTGTGGGGCACGATACCATCTTTCGTTGGTCCGGGATCGAAGGATCAAGGGCGTGTGTTTGCTCCCTTAGTTGGACGCAACACGGGGTATCTCATCGGGCGCCTTCGTGGTACGCAGCTCAGGTCCAACCATCAACACGAACACGGATGGGCGAAGTATCTCTTCGCTGAAATGATCGCGACGCTGCGGCCGAAGACCTCCGGCCCTACCCCTTACCACGCATACCGAACTCGTACAGCACCCGCCGAATGTCTCGCGAGGTCGTCTCCGCCCAACGAGTCTCGCCACGAACGTCACTCCTGGCGAGAATCTCTTGCGGCTGAGCAGCGGGCGCATCGTGCACCCTGTCTTCCCTCTCGTACCCGACCCATACACGAGCCCCGTAGAGGGAACGCGCGGCTCGTCAACCAGCAACGTTCGCCGATCGTTGGGGATATATACGGGAGCGCGACAACTGGCGGCTCGCACCATGCGTGCTCCATCGGACTGACGACTCGGCGGGACTCCTCCACGGGCTCCAGGATCGCTGTCACGTCGCAACTGCTCTCGGCGCTGTCCCGTCAACTACGTGGAGAATCCCTTTTCATAATTAGGTGTGCCGCCCCATCTCCAATAGTTGCTGATGTGTCCAATGTCTCAACTCGACGCTGTTTTATGTTATACCTCTACTGGTTCTCATCGACCGAGACCTCCCGCCGCGCAGTACACACCGCGTGCGTCCCTCCAGTACTCCGCACTCGACGCCGACTCTACTCCACTTCCGGCCATCCCGGGCGCGCTACCCCGCCATCCCGAACTAGTCCATCTCTCGTCGAGCGGAGGTTTTCGCAGCACTGCCGTTATGTATCTTGTACCCTCGCCAACTTGCCCTGCGAGCCGCTGCTCCTGTAAATGCGAATGTGGCTTGGTCATCGCCGCCCTGGATACCACGACGCTCGAGTTGAGTACACCTCGTCCTCCGGCGCGCCTGACTGATGCTGTTTAGTAACCTCCGAGTCGGGGACATCTTCGTAGATATCCAGCGCCGTGCTCGGGGGCGATTCACAAGGCCTGACGCGTCCGGGCTGCGGGTACAGCATGTGCGCTCGGCGACCCGCTCCTTGTGCAAGGTCAATCAAAATCCGTCCAAGGTGTGCACGCACGACTCAAGAGAGATCCTTTCAGGGATCCCCTCACCATGCTATTCCTTACACTACTTACACTGGGCGGTGCTCTGGCCCGGACACGAACTCAGGACACCCGATGCGCCCTCCTGTCTCGACCAAGCCTCACTCGGGCCGTGGTACAGAACCTCCTACGCTACTCGACTTGAACTTGGTCCGCGCGTCAGGACCCACGGCCCGTGCTCACGCGTTGAACCACGCGTCCCATGAGACAGGCTCGACGCACACTCTATTATGCAGGCGCATCTCAGCGGGAGTTTATGTCGGCGACCGCAAGCCCTTTCCGCGGTGCGACGCAAGCCTCGTCTACAAACTGAAGAGCCGCGAAGACTTCTTCTGCAGATTCGACTGTAGCGTTGTCGGTTTCAGCGTCGGTTGACTCACACGGTCTCCGCCGCGGGCTGCTTCAAAGTCCCGCGGCTCAGGAGCAGTACGCGCTACTCACATACGGTACTTCGGCAACTGGCTACCTGCATCGAGGAGACGAGGACGCAAGGGAGAGTGATCCCAATCAATACGGTGACCGATCTTTTCTCGATTTCATCGTGGTGGTCTGTTGCGTATGCCGGGGTGCGTGATCCATCCGACGCCTTGCTGAGGCTCGTGCTCCCGTGTGCGCAGGTCGAAGGCCCAGATCAGGTCAGGAGCTATGGCCTCCACCTCTGATGTGACTCGGATGTCATCCTCGAACACCTACTCCTCTTCCGTGACGGTACAACTCATTTCGACGATGCACAGATCAGCCAAGTTGTTGCACAAGTTCTTTTCTGACTTTGGTTCGATATACTATACGTACATGTCACCAGCGGCCCATCACCGGGTGATCCTCCGAACATATGCGAGGGCAACCGTCTGGTCCGCGGACCCGTTCCGCTTTGGAGGATTTCTCCTGGGCTATCATGGTGCGGCGATGCTGCGCACCAGAGTGCGACGTTTGCCGTCCGCCTGATGCGTAGGTTGCGGCGTCCTGCGCTATCCTCACGCGAGTGCCAGAGGAGCGCCTGGGGGCATCCGCGGCTGCTGCACAAGGACGTCCGGGTACGATGCAGCAAATGGGATGGTTCAGCGTCGGCTTGAGTTCAAAGAACACGGAGTTTACGTTGATCTAGAATGCAATGTTGATTAGACAAAATGAACTTCAATGTTGATGCTTTCCGCGCCTTCACAGATACATCGTCCTCGGAGTCTGATAGTTCCAAGGTGTCCTTGAATGGGGGCCTGTCTGTTGGGGCCGATAGGCATACGGAGACGCAGCTGCGGCCGACCTGATGGAAAAGGAGTCTGTGACACGCACATATAAGTTTGTAAGTCAGTTTCGACAATCTCTGAATCAAAGCCGGAGTGAAATATGAGTTCCGAGACCCGAGACCCCGCGATCCAACTACTCGCTAGGCCGAGTAAACGGTGACGGTCTCAATAATGGAGCGTCCACCCGCCGTCGTTGCAGAGAAGCGAAAGTATACCGTGCTGCCCAGAAATGGTCAACTGACGAGCCGAACCGTTGTACTTTGGATCGCAGGACGAACAGCGTACAATAGACGCGTTCAAGATCCTCCATTGATAGCATCCACCCGAATCCAGAGAGCACCGCCGCTCTCAACCATGCAGTGAGCCAGCTCATTCGACGCACGCGCCCTAATCCGTAGGCGATGACACAGATATCGAGGACGCGGAACCTCCGGTCGCGTGGATGGTTCGACCACTTCTTGGTTGCGGTTCATCTGCAGAGCGAAAGCTCGACGTCAGTAGGGGCCGGCGCAAGACTGGGCATGGAGTTATGTGCTTTCTCACGCTTCGCATCGCGGGTGGTTCGCCCGGGCCCCATCTCCCTGCCGCGCAGATCCGTTTGTCTGGCGTTAGTGAACTGCAGGCTCGCGCTGTGCTTGATGTATGCGGGGGTGGACGAGCGAGCGAACGAGCCGAGCGAGGCTGAGACACAAGAAGAGTCGGAAACGTCGGTATGCCACAAAGGACGGATGATGAGACGGGACGTACGTAACGTTGGTTCGGATTTCGTTTCCCTTGTCCTTGCCTGACCTAGATATTCTGAAGATGAGAGCGGCGAGACGACGTGTCGAGTGCTGATTCCGCAGCGCCCACCACAATGTTCCGTTTACGATCAGTTCAGATTATCAATCGACAGACGACTCACCGTTGCCCGTTCTGTGTCCGAGTGTGCCTGACGGAAAACTCGAGTCTGCCATCTCACTTCAGTTGATCTTCAGCAGGTACACTCACTCGTATTCATCCGAACAGAGATGCTGTACGGGACATCCATCGAGCGAAGGAACCTGGATCATAAGAAACGTGAGTGTCACAGAGTACGGTCGTGCGGACATACCACTCAGATAATCATGATACTGTACACCTTCCCAGAGAGCTCGGAAGGGAGCGTGCTGCGACGCCGAGACAGGCGATTAGGATAGGTTGACGCGCGCGCTCGGCGACAAGTTGGTCGGGGAGGACACAGATCGCTACCAGTTGGCGGAAGGTGTCGTCGTGGTAATCTAGTGACGGGAAGTGGTGTTCAGTGAGTACGCGGAGACGGGGACGTGCGATCCAGTACTAGTGCCAGCACTGATCCTGTGCCCCTCGTCCGAAATGGAAGCCCAAGAGTACAGAGACGGACAGACGGACTCAGCAGAGGGAGGCCGCTGCCAGCGACCTTGACTGGCGTTCGCGGTCGATGAGGTAGGCTGCCAGTAAGTATAAGAGGGAGGAGTGCACGACCGACGCCGGCCCCATGCCCTCACCCGCACGCCGTGGCGGGTGTCGACGGGCAGTACTTAGTGTGGCGAGGAGGAGAAGCGCGCGTGTGGCGGGGGCGGCGGCGCAACGAGGACCGCATCAGTCACGTCATCCGTCGCACCGTCGTCCGCTCCCAAACAGAGCCAGTGCTTGTAACTCTCGCTCACTGGCCGGCCACCCGCCTGCGCCGCCGGCGATGACGTCGACCACCTATCGCGTCTCACGCATACCCGCCCTCTGCAGGCCGTGCACGGCCGTTCCGCGATACGCGTTCCCCTGCAGATCGGACGCGTCACCGTCCCGTGTTCCTGCAGTCTGAAGATCTGGCCAACATGCAGAGGCCTCCTCGGCGCGACTCGAGACAAAGCTCCATGGTGCCGGTGAGTTCTTCCCCATGTCTGATAAGCTTACGGTGTGCAGACTCTTACCACTTCCAGTCGTTACATGTCGGGCCCCGTCCGCCGTCGCTCTCCTAATCCGATTTGCGTGTGCTCGACTCCCGTCCTCTCCACCTCCAGGCCGCCTTTAAGACCCGCGATCCCGTGGCAGCGCTTGAAAATTATCGCAAACTGCATTCGCGGAGGCCACTGACAGTGGAGGCTTGTAGGGCAACCAAGGTCGTCCCGGTGAGTCTCGAGTAACTTCCGTTGCGGCTTCTTTCGAGCTTGATGAGACCCAAACACGCTCGGAATATCCTTGCTGTGAGTGAGTCTCATGTACCTCGATGCTTCCAATCCACTCACCATCACGAGGTCAGAGGACGCGAGGACGGACGTCTTCCGCGGTCACTGCAGGCGCGCGGACACGATTGCTTGGTGAGTTCTGAAACACGCCCCTTCTCCATCCACTTCGCCTCACGCTTCAACGGCGCTCCGTAGGCCGTCCTCTTTGTATGCGGCATGTCTGCGTATTGCAGGACTGGCCGCACCCCCTTCGGAGAATATACTAGGTACCTCCGGCTGATGGGTGCGTGCTCGCTCATATTCTCGCCCCCTCACTGCCTCGTCTCTGACGATGTGCTTGTGTTGACTTGCCCTGCTGCCGCGTCTCTACCCGCTCGCAGTTTCTCTGTCTACTCGAGCCCTCGTCCTCGCCTGCGTCTCCCGCGAACAATCCGTCTGCCCCCTGCTACCAGTAATCCTCGCATCCACGCGTCTCACGCTGATCACGGTTACACCCAGCATCCGTCCTTCAGTACCTTCGCGGTATGAGCAGCGTGGGTCAAAAGCTTTCGCGGTGCATCCTCGGAGCCTCAACAGCCTGCACGTCGCGCGCGGAACGGCAGACGCGTCTCTGGCACGTCTTGTGCGACACGACACCGTCTGGGTAAATTGTGCACGTCCCTGGATCAAACGATCAAGGACGCGTGTTTGGGCGCAGCGTGGTTGTCGCATGGGGCACCTTCGTGGACCATGGCTCAGATCCAACCATCAACACGAACACGGATGGGCGAAGTGTCTCTTGGCTGAACTGTTTGCGACGCTGCAGCCGAAGACCTCCGGCCCTACGCCCTTACCGCGCATATATACCGAACTTGTACGCCACCCCCCGAACGTCTCGCGAGGTCGTCTCCGCTCAACGAATCCCACCGTTTACGTCACGCCCAGCGAGAGTCTCTTGCGGCTGAGCAGCGGGGGCACCGCGCTCCCTGTTTGTCGGTTCGGTACACGACTTACGGGCGTCCTCCGACCCCTACACAAATCGAGTAGAGGGAACGTCTGGTCCATCGATTCTTATTTCTGCCAGCATCGATCGCCGCCCACCGGGGAAGTCACCACTTGCGAAGGACAGTCCTGGCCTCACCATCGCGATGGGACGTGCACCTATATGCAACCGCGGACTCGTATCTGTGCTGTCGCTTTCCCGCTCTGCCGTATACATATCAGTGGATTGTGTCCCCCGTCTCAATGTTGATGCTGTTTGTTGTAACGCCCCATGGTCGGGACGATACCTCGCGGAGGCTTGTCTGATGTTTCGATGACATTGGATTGTTTGCAAGGTCTCCGGGCCTAACAGAGATGACTCGTTCGCCGTGCTCATGTCTTTAGGGCGCATTGCCAGCACTACCGAAGGGAACTGTGCCACAGAAGAACCCTCAGCGAGGCGAGATGTCCGCTCTACTGACACACTCGCTACGTGGCTCATGCGTCGATGTACGGCACTGCGACTCGCGTCGCAAACCAAACGCAAGAGCAACTCTGCTCTTCGCCGTCGTGTACGTCCGTCCCACCCTCTCTTTTGTTTATGGGTTCATGGGAACTCATGTGCATCCTAATCACCAGAGCGACCAGGACAATGAATTAACGGTCTCAGCCCTGACGCGCGAGCCTAAGAGTGGCTATGACCGAGGGTTATCCGCACCGCGGCGACAAACAAGTGAAGCATTTTCGATAAATACGGGAATCCGAGTCGCCATACAACGGTACCCTGTGAGTTCTGCGTGTTTATGAACCATCCTCGTCTCGCGAAGCTCTCATTACCGCTCTCTCCGCATGTTTCTTCCTTCACCCCACAATGTCCAATGCCGTTCTTCTTCGGCTATGATATATGATGATACATGATCCACGATTCGACCGCACGCGATTGCGGTAGAGAGAGGTGCGACGGGTTGCCGCTCCCGTCCCCGCTCACCGAGACACGGTGTCTCAGTCTAGTAAGCTCTCCGAGTTCGGTCGTCAAACTGGGCGGTATATGAGTAAAGGGCATTCCAGTTTATCAGGGATCGAGCGACGTACAAAATGATGATCACCGGCCAGTCCTGCATATTCTAGCGCACTGTCTATTGCGGGGGAATTGGATCTTCTGTCTCCATATCTCCACTGGCATCACGCGCATGGTCTTCGTGTCCATCGTCAGGCTCCGAGTCTGCTATCTCCTTTATACTGGCATGCGTCCGAGTCCCTGCTCGAGCGGATAAGCGCACTGAACAGATCGCGGTTGCGCCCTTACGGACAACGGAGTTTTGGCACTCACCAAGGACACGGAGTACTGATGAGGAATCACGAGTGACGGACATTTCACCGTCGGGATCGGGATCGAAATAGAGCTGCATGACTCCGCGATCCAGCCACGGCGCGAACAGAGTGATCATGTTTGACTTGATCGCAGACAATGCGGTGGTTCGAGCCGCCTCCTCCTGAGGCTCAGACACCGGTGAGCCATAGTAGGCCCATCCGACTTCAATGAATACACTGGTACCCTGGGCGGAGTCCCCAGAAAGTGCTGGAAGTTGGTCAAAGATGCTACGAGAGAGTATAGCATGGAAAGTGGAGGTGGAGCCGGGAGGGTCTGCGCTGACTGAGGTCTCGTCCCTATCTTCAGACGTGTCGTAGCGGGTCCGACTCGGAGTCAGGTGGATGTAGATCGTGAGTCGCTCCAGATGCGGGCTTCGTATGTCAGATAACAAGGTATCCAGGGCCCTCTGGATGCTCGTGGGTGATGGATCGACACAGAGAGCGATCGTCAGGTTTGTCAGTGATGTGTTTGCTGTAAGTCGCGGTACGTCATCGCGGATCGAGTGTTCTATAGTTTCCATGAGTAATGGCAATTGCAACGACAAGCAACTAAGACATTTACCATCAACAGGAGCATGTTCCCACTCAAACGTCTTCAGCCCAGCTCCGGCGAGACGTAGAACCTCTGTAACACGTAGTACAAACTCTGCACATTGTCGATCATGCGGCTGGAAGCACTGAAAGGAAAACCGCAGGGCTTCCAGTCTGCTACAAGCTTGCGGGGATAATACCAGTAGAATCTGTAGCGCCAACGACGAAGGCACATGTTTGAATCGTAAGACCGACAGAGGGGGGTTGAGTGCATGTGCTGTGTATAGGGCCAGGTCTGCTGCTGATGCAGGCTCGACATGGGAGCCGAGCTCTGAATCGTGTAGCAACTGTAGCAACAAGCGAGACAGATGTGGGAAATGGTGTAGAAAGCGATGAAGACTCGAGAGCGAAGAGTAGTAGCACAGGTCCAACTGTAGCTCTGTCACGTAGGAGTACGTGACACATACATCCCATAGGAATTGATGGTATACAGATGGAATGTGAGCGTCCCTCGCCGGCGCAAAGCCATGAGAAATGGCAAGGCTGACACTCCCAATAATCATTTTCTTGAGCTTGTTGCGAGACAAATTGGGAACATAGCGCGACACCGAACCTGGCACGAGTTGGTGCTGCAGTGTGATCTCCGCGAGAAACAGGTTTTCGAGGCTCGGGAGTGCGGTGGAGATCCTACGGAGTTCCGCTATACTGCGAAACTGGCACCGCCCGATTGCCAGAGTTTTGATGCTGGTGTAATAGGAAAGGAAGCGGAAGAAGAGATCATGTGGTCTGGTTGCTGTCCAGTCGAAGTTGTTTAGTCTCAGCTGCTCCAATCGCGGTACGAAATACCCGGGAATGCGCATTGGCCAGATGTGGGCGTGTGGCTTTTGAGGGTCGTCTTGAATCTGCAAGATATCAAATTTTTTGCCATATGATCGATTGTTTCTCAGCGTGAGCATGTATGCGCAGTCATCCAAGGCTTCTCGGGTCCGCAATATGAGCGCGGAGTCCCAGGAGACGCGCCGTGCAGCACAATACCAAGCGTGGCAAACAAGGCAGCACCTGGTCAGTGTGAAAGGATCCAACCGGAGGAATTCGCAGATGCGGTCGATCAGTTCCTGCGGAAATCGCGGATAGGTATCACTGCGTCGACGAAGCAAGTCGATATGTCATTCGAGCAACGGGCGCCAGAGCAAACGGAAGGCATACCTCGAGTAGGTGGGTGCTCTGTAGTCAATCTCCAGTTCCGGAACATGACCTTCCGGTGGCCCTTCTTCAGAGTCGACTGCGTCCGCCATCTGGTAATCTCGCCATCGGGTCATTATTCTTCAATGAATCACTGGTACGTCAGAAACATACCTTGCCTGACTATGTTATCTTTGCAGAACTTCGAGTGATATCTGATTTGACGATCGGCACCCTGTATAGAATGCGAAAGTATCAGGTTATGTCGTGCAGACACCACTCCGCCGAGATCGCACCCGTGAAACCCGTGAACTTGGCAGCCACGAGTCGGGCAAGGCAACAACGGCAAACGTTAGGATAGATGGTAGACTCTGAGCGTCGTAGATCGCCAGCAGCGGTGGCAGTCGGGTGGGAAGCGCAGAGCAGGCGCAGAACGACAGGAGCGGAAGTGGCGGACGACCTGCGGACTCGAGGGCGAGAGACTGCGTCTTTGAATTAGTACGAGGGCGGACCCGAGTCGAGGGAACGCACAGGCTTGCCGCGTGTTATGAGCCGCCCTGTCATTAGGAGCGTATAAGGTTACTTACATCGACGGTCGAACTGTTCAGTTGCGCAGCGCTCGGTGTTCGCGCCACACTGCCTTCTCTGCGAGATATGGTTATTGTAACACCATGCATCGGTAGAAAGCGCGCACGTAGTAGAACACGGGACATGGACGACCTAAATGCAGAAGTACATTTCCTACTCTCGAGGCAGGGTTTCGTTCGTGTTCTGATGCATGAGGTCTGGGCCACAGTCGATGTTCGCAATGCGGTGTGAGGCGCATCCGGCGAGTCTCGCTCACCGAAGAGGGCTGTGTACCATCTGCCCTTCTGACTAGATTGCACGTAAGTACGGCTGTCTTGGGCAATTGAACGCGCTTTAGTGGGCTTACCGAGCGCCCACAATGTCGATGAGAGGCCAAGAATGCCCGCATGGCGACTGACACCAAGGCTGTCCATTGACAGACGAGTTGACCGTCTCGTCGGCGCACAGACGGTCGAGTCGTCCAGACCCACAGGTAAATTATATTTTCGCACAAGACTCTGTGCGTCGTGCCTTGGTCGTGCCACTCAACATGAACCGCTCTATTATTAGGATCCTGCAGAAGATCGTCAACGGTAGCACGAATGGAGTTTTGACGGACTTGCATATACCCGTGAGCATGAAGGGAGCACGCTCTTTAGCTAAATCGAGTAATCATGTCGCTCATGGACGAGGGACGGCGCCGACTCAACTAGGACGTGCGTTGGCACTCTTTGGAACGCAAGCCACACGCCCTGGCAGGTGTCAGACGCGATGACGGCTCTCCTCCGCGCGTCTGCACGTGATGCACGCGTCGGGCACTTCACGAATCCCCTCCTCGTCAAGCCACCGCCATGGCTTGAGCCTGCGTTCACCGCTGTTGGACCGTCAATCGGAGTCCTTGTTCGTGCTTGCTTCCCTCGAAGGCTATCCTACGCTCCAACCAGCGCCAGCACTGCGCGGCCCACTCGTCTATGGCCTGAGGCACACTGTACACGACTGCGCCGTTCTGAAGCCTACGGACTACTGTAGTCTCACGCACCCCCCGAACTCCTGCTCCGGGTATATTCCTCAGATCGTGCTCCGTTCTTGACATCAGCACTCCTCTGCGACTCGCCAGCGCGTGCTCTTCCCTGCACACGAACTTTCGTGTCCGTCTCTGAATGGCCTCGCCGCTGTCCCTGTCGTCCTGGTTCTGATCCGTGACAGTCTGCGCCATCCACCGCGTCCGTATGTCTCCCGGGCCTCGTGCTTCTCGGAAGCTGGTGTAGGAAATGCGTTACGGGCGGAGAGATTCATGCTCACGGAGATCTGAGTACACCGTGAGTTTTGATTTTGCGCATATGCTTCATTTTGGTGCGGCCGGTCGATGTTGCTCGCGTTCTTGCACCCGACACAAGCTGGGTCTTTCGGCGCCGGAAGGCTTGGTATACATGACCGTTTTCTACTGGGTCTTGCGCTGGGACGCGACGTGACAGGGGACGTGTAGACGACGGGTTGGAACCTATCGTTTGTGTAGACATTGGACGTCGCCGGGCGACCATCCATCGGCTTTTTGTTGTAGGCTGCCGTTGTCCCACAGCAATTGCCCCTGCTCTATATAGCCGACAGGCTATCGCAGAGATCCTCCGCAGTATTGTAGTCGGAGGCACAGTTCCCAGCCTGCATCAATTCAAACTCCCTACGGAAACCTCGGGCTAACATTGGTATCTTCGTAGTGCATGTCTTTTGTCTTGGTGACATCCTTCCATCACTCTACAAACTCAACGGTGCTTGATCAGTGTCCATTCTCTTCGACGACGCACGAACATATGCGCATACATCCTCCGAGGAGTACGTTTGTACGTCTTACTGTCCTGTTCAACCGCACACACCAATCTCATCCGTGATTCGCTTAAAGACTGTTCGTCATCCCTCGCCTCCAAAATCCATCCGAAGCCAACGCTGTCGATCCCCGGCTTCGACACGCGTTCGATACGTCCGTGCGGGATCTTCGCTCGCTTGAGGTAGCGTGCGGACGGCCATGAACACGATCAACGCGATCTCGCAGACGCTCACGGCTAGGCTCTCCAGTCCAGGAAGGTGCGCTTCAGTTCTACGTTTTGCGAGCACTACGAAGTTGACCAATCCTCGCAGCAAAGCATCGTCGCTCGGCGATCGAGCTGAAACTCGGTGACACGCACAAATCTCCTATCGTCTCGCTCGTCATTCGTCACGTCAACCAGCACAGGACGCATAGAGCTTGCCTAGGGTGTGAGAGCGTCCCAGTGCCATAACCGGTAAGTCGTCCATTAATGTATCTATCAAACTTGGTTCCGTTCGTCGTCGGTGAGGGAACAACGTGGCGGGCGTTGCAGAACCATCACTCGTTCGTCGCCGCTTCTCTCCCCATCAAGTTCTCTGGTCCAAGGAAGGGGCGTGAAAACGATGTCGGCACTAGCGTTCGTGCGTCTGCTCGTCTCGGTATCCGTACGTGGCATCCTAACGTTTCCGGAGCTTGTTTACCTCAACGAACAGTGCTCTGTGATTCGCCCGTCCGCCGCCCGCATACAGCCTTCAAATCCGATTTGAGCGCGGTACGAACCTGCGGCTCGCCAACGCTGATCGGACGGACGGACATGAGTGCGATCCACCGGCGATGCGACGCGCGTCTTGTGCTGGCCTTTCTGGAGTAGGGCTGTATTCTGCAGATGCACTGCAACCAAGACATCATCTCCTGCGCGACCGCGGGCTCGCACCCTCGATGTCTGTTGTCGCGGCTGATCTCGATCAGGGCGCAGGCGTGGATGAGGTGGCTCTCAGCGTACTATGGAACGGATGCCATTTTGTGGAGGACCGCACTTGGCACACATCGCTCGTGCTACGATCCACGGGTACAATGATCCCCCGTCAGCTGTCCATCTCTGGGGGTGAGATCGTGACGGTCTATGGCCTACTCAGCTCGGTGAGCTTTGTGGCACCGTTTTCTAGATCTCTCATTCGGAGATGGTGTCCGGGATAACTGCTAAGACTGGACGGCTTGGATGCTCGATCGGTGCTGTTCGTCGGGATCGCCGACGACGGGCGTAGAAACCCAATGTAGCTCTGCTCAAGCCAAAGGGAATGTCGAGCAAGTCATGCAGTACAGCATGTTTTTGCACGACCTGCCTGATAGTGGTGCTGATTGCGACGAAATCGTTCGTGTGCGATGAACCGCCAGCTGAGGCTCGCGCTCAACGATGGCGATGTCTCTGCACACGCTCAGTCCGCTTGGATCAGACGTTGGACGGCAGTGAATGAGACGTGCGCGATAGAGAGGATTTGTCCTGCATCCATAACAACGAAGATGATACGTAGGCGGACAGAACTCGACGCTCGCTCGAGGAAGGCGCCGGATGCATAGGTTCGTGTCACTTTGTTCACATGTCATGATGATGCACTTATGAACATCAATTCCCGCTCACTGGACAGCTCGGCGTGCCCGTGATCGCTTTCAACCACTGAGCTTCGTGGCGAATACCCGAACGGGGCGCGCAGATAGGACCGCTCCTCTGCCGGTGGTAAGCGGCTGCGTCCCAGGCTTCGAGCTGCGCGTCCGGGGCGCGTGTGGCTTGTGTTCTCAAGAGTGCCAATGCACGTCTAAGTTGTCTTAGCATCGTCCCTCGTCTATGAGCAACTCGATACCTCGATATATCTACAGCGCGTGCTCCCTTCATGCTCACGGGTACGTGCAAGTTCGTCAAACCTCTCTTCGTGCCAACGTTGACGATCTTGATTCTGCAGAATCCTACTGGAGCAATTCATGTAGAGCGACACGACGCACAGATTATTGTGCAGAAAGACAATATATTTATGGATCTAGGCGTCTTGACTGTCTGTGCGCCGACGACACGATCAACTTGTCCTGTCAACGCACAGCCTTTGTGCTAGTCGCCATGCGGGGCTATTCCCAAAATGAAAACACCGGTTTATTCTGGGCCTCTCATCGATCCATCGTGGGCGCTCGGTGAGTGTGCTTAAAGGTTCTCAGTTGCTCAAGACAGTTGTACCTAGAATCCAGTCAGACAGGGATAGTGAACAGCCCTTCGGCGAGCTGCGTCTCGCGCCTCATTACGAACATCGATGGTGTCCTGGACGTCATGCATCAGAGCACGAAAGGAACCCTGCATCGATAGGAGGCGATGTACTGACTTACGCAGTCAGGTCTTCCGTATCATGGGTTCTGCCAGGTGCGTGCTTCCTACCGATGCAAGGTGCTACGATAACCATATGCTCGCAGAGATGGCACTTGCAGTGTGGCGCGACCCGGGCAGTACATGCTGAGTAGACGGAGGCGGCGGACGTCCAATAGGTTCAAGCTGACGAGATGCAAGGTCATTCTGTTTGTATGAACCGGAGTGGACTCGGCAGTGCATGAGCTCGCCGCATGTGCTGAGCCGCCTTCGTACCAGGGCCTACAAGGTTACGTCGAGTGGTTCAACTGCACATGCACATGGCCACCGACTGCCCGCGTCCACGCCGCACCGGCGCGTGAGTCGAGAATGCATGGATATCAAGCAAGTAGCCTTCCATCGACAGGAAATGCACGCGTGGTGCAAAGCCAGGACGCAGAAGACCAGGTTAGTGTGTACTATTGCCTCCTATCAATGCAGGGCCCCGTACGTGTTCTGTCGCCAATGTTGCACAAGGTCCGGGCGTTGGGCACATAGCGACTGACTGTTGCCTGAAGCAGTCGGCGATGGTCAAAAACGAGGTGGGAGATATGATGCTCACTGAATGGTGTCATACCGCGCTGCATACTTACTGCATCCGAGCTTCCGGCTGAGTTCAGGATGTTCTAGTACGCTTCACGAGCATCGATCAAACTTTCAAGGGCCATAACCGTTCGAACCTCTAGTTTCAATTCTCGGACTCAGCCTGGCTATTACTGGAACGAGGGGCCCTGTGACAACAGCACGCTGCACGAGTCGTCAAGTCCGCTGGCGGACAGACGACCAAACGCCTAGAGCCACAGAAAGATTGTCTTCTCTCATCTTCGAGGCTCTTCGGTACATCGTGTCGCTTAACATAGCACACCGGTAGATGCGGCATGGTTATAGTACGTCGGATCAGGGGATTCCAGTCAGTCGGGACACTGGAGTCAATCACGTTGAGTGGTCTAGGGCAATGCATGTCGCGGCATTCAATTCAACTCAAAAATTCTGAACTTCGTTGCACAGCGCCGCTGTGCTAGCGGTTTTCGGTAGGCTATCTCACTTGCACGTCTCCCAGTCCCAGGACTCACACCCGGGACAATGATGGCTCAAGAGCTCCGTATTTGCGTATACTACTGGTATCCGATCATGGGCCATCTGGTATGCTTCGTCTCGTTCTGCGAAACCTGGTACATATTTAGCTGCTCGTCCATCCACAACGTGAGGCTTGCATCTAGCGCCTTCGCGCGTTGTTTGATGAACTCCGTCAGTCCCCTTCGTTCATCCGGTGAACATTGGGGTTAGGCTTCAGTGTTCAGATATGCGTTACAGCCACTTCCGTCTAAGCTGTCGTCGTCGCCAGGGCTGGCAGCTCCCATTTGCACACAGAACCATCAGCTGATGCAGACACGATATGCCTATTGTCGTGGGAGAAGGAGAGGTATTTCACGTTGTCGGTGTGCCCGAGAAACCGAGCGACCTCCTTCTTCGTCGCCATGTCGCAGACCGTGATGATGTGGTCCTCACCACCCGCGGCGAGGAGGGAGGAGAGGAGCATGAACAGCTTTTCCGTGGCTCGGGCCTTGCAGGTTGACAACTGAGCGCGAGACGAGAGCAGTAGCGCTGTTACGAGGGAAGCACGTCCATAAGATCTTGCGGAGGCTCGTCACATCGACAGGTTCGAGCGGCTCGACAGAGAGGATGTGTCGAGGACAATCGACGCGCGTCCGAGTTGCCGATCGAAGGTCCGTTCGCATACCTTGTAATTCCTGCCAGCCGTCTGCGTGAAGGTACCGCTGTGCATGAAAGATCCACAAGCTAGTTCGGGTCCCGCAGAGGCCGCCGCGCTCGAGCGAGCGCATCGTGTACGTGGCATCACTGCGCGTATCTTCGCTTTCCAGAGGCACTTCATGGAGTATCGCCCGTGTCAGCGCTCGCGCTCGCGTGGATCCCATTTGGTCCTATACGCATGGATCGCCTCAAGATGTCGATACACGCTGTAGCGTGGCTTTTACATAGCTCGAGGAATTTCCATGCATTGTCGATGCTGACATCGGAAAGATGATACTTCTGGGGTACATTACGTTGAAGGTGCTGCGAGAGAGGGAAAATCAGATGCAAAGACGTACCCATCTGCGCGTACAACGCGTGGTCTTCGAGCACGCGCTGACGCGTCGACTTGGGGAATTCGACGATGGAGGTGTCCAGAGAGCGCATTACGCACGGTGTGATGCGGATATGTGGTTTTCTTCTATCGTCGGGACACCGTGACAGAAGTAAGCCCCAGACGCCATCTAGAACCAATTTCATGAATTTCCTTCATGCAACACGCTCTAATCGAAGCGGGAATCGATGATTGAGAACGAATACGGACTGGGATGTGAGGTCGAAGCAAGAACCGAGGTCGAAGCGGATGTGAGGTCGAAGCAGAGGTTGAAGCAACAACCATGTCAGACTCGATGACGGGACGCGTCGCGCGACATGGCACGTGATGAACGTGTCGCGGCGTGCCCGCTCACTGACCCGCCACCTGGCACCTGCCTGCGACGCCGACGACAACATGGACCACATGTCGCGCCTCTCGCATAGCTGCCCTTTTGCATCCGCGATGCCGTCCTCTGAAGGCCATACACCTCGCCGTCCAACACTCAAAGATCTTCTCGGCGCGACCCCACAGTTCCGTGGCCAATTCTGACCCACGTCTAGTATGCAGTGTGCAGACTCTTGCTGCTTCGAGTCATTGCATTCTGCTCACCCTCCGTGCCCGTGCTGGCTGCTGTCCCAAATTTATTCGGCTTGACCCCCGTCCGACCAAGCTGTGCTCTCCGTTCCACCTACAGGCCGCTCCTTCGATCCCGTACCGCGTTTGTCCTTGCAAAATGCATATCTGGAGGCCGCTGACAGTGGAGGGAGGGCGACCAGGGACAATCCGGTGAGTCTCGAGTCAATCCTTTCGAGCTTGGAGAGTAACCGTCAGATTCTTGTTCAGGCGATTGTGAGCAAGCTTCACATGCATGTCAAGGTTGCAGCTGCATCTACCGGCACAAGATCAGAGAGCGCGAGGATGTCCGCCCTCCCCAATTGCTGGAGGCATAACCTTGGCAGACACAGACACTGGGTCGGTTGTAAGCACCCTCCTCCTCCTCCACCACCCTGCGTGAGCTCACACGCAAAGGCGTCCTGTAGTCTCTCGTGCACGCAGAAGCAGCTACGCTCCTCTGGAGAGTCTGCTACGCCCCTCGGGCGGATGGGTAAGTGGTCATAACCTCGCCCCCACCACTCCCTCATTTCAGGCGACGTACTCGTGGTGATGCAGCTGCTTCTCTGCAAGCTCGCGGGCTCTCACTATACCTCGAAGAGTCGAACTGTCGCGTTCGTCCGTGTCCCGCGGACGTGCACCTATCCGTTCGTCCTTCTGCTGACATCGATTGTCGTATCCGTGCGTCCCACGCTGACCCAGATATTTACAGCCTGCAGAGGATCCGCGTCTTCCGGTGCTGTTGCAGTAAGAACAGCGTGCGGTAATATTGCATCTTTGGAGCTTCGGCAGGCTGTTGCGCGCCCTGTGCATCAAGATCCCATCCGTGAGTGAACCTTTGTACGTCCCAAGACTCAACGGTCAGGGACGTACGTTCATCTGGTTAGGCGCGGTACGAGCATCTCGTCAGGCTCCTTCGCGGTTCGGCCCTCAGGTTTACCTATCAACACGAGTCCGAATGGATGAAGCATCTCTTCGTTCTCATCTGGTTGAATACACCGCGACGCTGCAGCGCGGATTACGAGTCGTTCATCAGGTTGTGCTGGCCGTCAAACCTCTGGGCCGACAATCGGGATTGTACGCCACAAGTCTCGTAATCTCGCTCTGATGTCGTCTAGTCTCCCGCCAACGCCCACGATCGCGGTTCCTTCGCCTTTTATCATCCCCGCACCTGGTAATCTACCCCCACCACGCATATACCTGGCTCGCACGCCAGCCGACGGTGTTGCTAGGCATCGACGGTCAGCCTCTCCCCAACGAGCCTTACCACGTACGCGACGCCCGGCGACAATCTGCCGCGGATGGGCAGCGGATGCATTGCGCTCCCCGTTTGCCGGTTCCGTCGACAACCTACGGCCGTCATCCGACCCATGCGTGGGCCGAGTGGAGAGAACGCGCAGTTCGTCGGCCAGCAATGCTCGGGGACCGACCACTTGCGAAGGATGTCCTCGCCACGGGCCGCCGATCCGCGGATCTTATTGCACAGCGGACTTGTGCGTCCGTACTGCCTTAGTTACGACGATGCTCCGTGAATGTACAATAGCCATGTTTAAGGTGTGAAACCACTGGATCTTATATAAGAATTGCGATCCTAATGCAGATGGTATCGCTACTCTCCGCCGTCGTACTTAGGTCCAGTCCGGTGCGACGCAAAACGCGTATACGAGATCTTCGTTCCGCTGAGACAGTCACTCGACATGCCTGGCAGCAAGTGGACAACTGGATAGGCGAGCCTAGAGGGCTTCAGCGTCGCGTCGCCACGCTGCTCTCCGCCTTCGTGTGCGTCCGTATCAGCTTCAAGTTGTACATTTGCGGGAACTGATGCCCGCGCCCAGAACGACCGTGACAACGGACGAATGGTATCATATCTCCGACGCACGGGCCTGAGAGTGCTAGCTAGCTCGGAGTCGGCGGTGTCATACGAAGGGAGCGCATACAATAGACAACATGATTCTTACAGCAGTACGCGCGGTGAGTCCTGCCCGTCCCCTAACGACCTCGCAAACCTATGATCCATCCTGTCCTGTGTGTATCACGCCCATGTTCCCGAATCCTAACCCTGCACGTCCGTTCTTCAGCTCCAATTCCAAGGATTCTCGTCATGAGTCTCGCAAATCGACTGCAAAAGCCTGCTAAGCGTGTAGCGGCGAGATGTCCGGTGGATTACCGCGCCGAACGCCGTTCACAAAGACGCTCTCCGAGTTCGGTTGTTGACCTGGGTTGTTTGTGAGTAAAGTGGTTTCCAGTATAGCAAGAATCGAGTGGCATACAACTTGATAGTCCGAGGTCAGTCCTGCAACTCCAAGCGCACCGTCTATCGGCCCCGGAGAAATCACATCTGTATCTCCACTAGCATCGCACACGTTTCCTCCGCTTTCGTCATCTCCCGCGTCCTGGATTTTCGTAATGCTGGTATGCGTCCCTAGTCGAGCGGATGAGCGCACTGAGCAGATCACGGCTGCGCCTTTACGGACAACGGAGTCGTGACACTCACCAAGTACTGATGAGGGATTACGAGTGACGGACAATTCACCGTCAGGATCGGGAATGAAGTGGAGCCGTAAGACTTCGCGATCCAGCCACGGCGCGAACAGGTTGATCATATACGACTTGATCGCAGACATTGTGGCGATTTGGATCTCTTCCGAGTCCGTCTGGACTTGAATGACAACACCCGCCTCGTCCTGCTCAGAGTGTGCTGGAAGCCGGTGAAAGACGCCACGAGAGAGTACACTCTGGAAATCGAAGGTGAAGCTGGGAGAGTCTGTCTCGCTGACCAACACCTCGTCCCCATATTCAGACGTCTCGGAGTGGGACAGATTAATGGTGATTCTGAGCCGCCCCAAATGCGAGCTTCGGATGTCAGATAGCAAGATACATAGGGCCCTCTGGATCCTCGGAAGTGACGGATCGACAGCGCGAAAGTGCACTGTCAGCATTGTCAGTGCTGTATTTGCTGTAAGTCGCGGTACGACATCGTCTCCTATGGTTTCAATTGAGCGTCTTAAATTGCAATGACGAGACACCGAAATCTTTACCATTAGCGAGATAACACTCAAGCTCGAGCGTCTTGAGCGCAGTTCCGGCGAGACGCAGGACCTCTGTAACGTGTGGTCCAAGATCTGCACATGGGGCATCCTCGATGGCAGTGAAGTCAAGCCATATGACCTCCAGTTGGCTACACACTTGTGGTGTTGACCACAGCTTCAGAAGCTGGGATGCCCACAATTGGGGTACGTAAACGAGTCCGAAAGTCGACAGCGAGGGATTTGGTGCATGTGCTGTGTACAGGGTCATGTCCGCCATTGACGCAGGCTCGACATGGAGGCCGAATGCATGACGTAGCGACAAGTTGGACAGATGGGAGAAATGGGATAAAAACCGATGAAGATGTGAGAACGAGGAGTAGCAGCGGAGGTCCAACTCTAGTTCTGTTACGTATGGGTACATCGCACATACGTCCAACAACAATCGACCGTGTTCATACATGTGAGCAGCCGACTCGGAAGTTGGGTGATAAGTCCCAAGTCCGATTCTCTTGAGCTTGTTGCGGTACGAGGGAACGTAGCGGGTCACTGGATCAGGTACCAGCGGGTGCTGCAGTGTGACGTCCCAGAGAGACAAGTGTTCGAGGCTCGGTAGTGCATTGGAAATCCTACGGAGTTCTGCCATACTGCGAAAGCAGCACTGTGTGATACCTAGTCTTGTGATGCCAGTGTAGTAGGAGAGGGAGTGGAAGAAGCGATCATGTGGCCTTGCGACTGCGCAGTCGAAGTCCTCTATCCCTAGGCTCGTCAATCGTGGTAGAATGTACCCGGGGATGCACATTGGAAAGACGCGTATGAAGGGCCTTTGAGGATCCTCCACAATCTTCAGGCTGGTAAATGTCTTGCCATACGGTCGATTGCCATTTGACAAGAACATATGTGCGCAGTCGTCCAAGGCCTCTCGGGTTCCCAACTCGAGCCAGCTGCCCCAGAAGAGGCGTTTTGCAGCATGGTACCAAGCGTGACAAATGAAGCGACACCTCGTCAGTGTAAAAGGATCGTACCGGAGGATCTCGAAAATGTGGTCGATCAGTTCCGGCGGAAATCGCGGATAGGTATCACTGCGTCGACGAGACAAGTGGATATGTCATTCGAGCAATGGGCGCCAGAGTAAACAGAAGGCATACTTTGAGTACGTGGGTGGTCTGAAGCAAGAGTCCAGGTATTGATCATGACCTTCCAGCAGCCTGTCTGCACCATCGACCACACCCGTCATCTGGTAACCCGGCATCGGGTCATTATGATACAGTGACCCGGTACATGTTGGAAAGTATACCTCACCTGACTACGTCTGCAGAATTTCGAGTAGTATCTGAGTTGACGATTGATGCCCTGCATAGAGTGCAGAAGTATCAGGTTATATCGTGCAGACACCACTCCACTTGGATCTCACCCGTGAAAGTCTTTTTGAGCTTCAATGCGGCGCTCGGGCGCGATCACCCGAGGCAGAAGCGGCCGGCGAGAGAGATGGTAGGTTCTGAGCGTAGTGTCGGACCAGTAGCAGTGGTAGGAGTCGTTGGCAAGCGTAGAGCACGCGCAGAACGCGGGAGGCAACATATAATTTGTACTACGGACTTCAAGAGACACAGTATCGTTATATTACCAGCACGCGCTCTTATCGCGCGGCATCAGACCTCACAAGGCCTCACGCACATGATCGAACGGACTGTGTCCATGGACGGCGGACGCAGCATTGCGTTATAGTCTTGCCGCTCTAACATTCTATTGATATTCATCGCATGGGTACAGATGAGAAGCGAGGTGAGGCGCATCAGTGTCTCGCTCACTAAATCCGCCCAAGTTCCTGTACTGCGTACCATCCGAGTCGCTCAAGAAGAACGAGCGAACGTTGTCCATGATCAGCGTATCCAGCAGGATGAGAGCGAGAAAACGAGTGGTATGCTGCTCGGGAGCGGACGTAGCCAGCGGAGCCTGACATGGTTAAACATGTGAATGCATTCATAGCAAGATTATGGATAGGGGGCATGAGTTGGCGCGCGCGAAGGGAAACTGACATCAGCAGAGCGGATCGGAGGCTAAGGGCTGGCCCTCACCGCAGCATCTCGAGACAACAGGGCGAGCTCCGGCACACCAGCTACCCAGCGAGTGAATCTTCAAGAGCGATGCCACAAACACCACGGCGTTGTCGAGATGGAGCAATTCCTCACGAGAGTGAGCAGATAGGCAGCCGGAATACTGACATAATGACGCACCATACATTCGCGCTTCATCCATGTACATGGGCAAGAACACATCAATATGCGTCCACGTTCGTCCGTCGTCGTGGTATGCATGGCTTGTCGTCTGCTGTGGCTTCATGTCTGTTGCTCGTGATTGCAAAGGATACAGTGGACCCACTCTGTGTTGCCCAAATGACTGTAAGATCGTGGGGGCTCCGAGCGGCAAAGACCACCCACTCTTCGTCAAAGGGGTCGTTCGGGTCGGCCTAGGAAGACTAGATCAAAGCAGCAAGTATGATCAAGTCGTACTGCATGGAGCAATCACAGGATCGTGCGATCGCGCAGAAACCACCGCTGTCCTGTCAGGCGCAGTCAATTCCAACCGCCAGAATGTCCTCGGGGCGCCTCATGCCGCATTCCGAATGCAAAGATCTTTCTCGACGAGTCGTCTAAACCACACTTACAAAACACGAACAGTGGCGATACTAGTATTACATGAAAATCCTACGCCCTTCCCTTGAAAGGGACGCGCGTTGCGGCCTCGCTCGCGTTCAGCGTGAGCGGGATGTCGTACAGCCACCTTGTCACGAGGTCCTGCATCGTTCATCAGAAAAGGAGCAGTGAAGGGGGACGAATGACTCACCAAGCCAGCCTCGGGCTGGTCGTACGGGACCATGTGCCTGTATTGAGAGTTAGACTCGCACCAGGACGACGAACGGGAAACGTACCCAGCCTCGTGGACAGTGACGAAGGTGATGTTGCCAGCGGTCTCGTCGTTACCGCCTGCGCTGCGGACCGTACCTGCGAGCGTACCCGTCTCGGTGGTCACCCAAGGCGCTGCCTTCTTCGCCGCAAACTCCTTCTGGAAGCGCGTGTCGAGCTGCTCGACCCAGCGTTCGTTACCCTGCGCACAGTGGTCAGTACGCCTCGCGCGGACAATACGAGAGCAGACGCACGATGAAGTTGCACATCATGTCCGCGTTGCCGGCGTACACGAGCAGCCTGACGCCGTCTTCGACGAGGTCGGGGAGGAGCACGGCGCTGTTGTGCGAGCCGTCGCCCTGCATCGCGAATGCCTGGTTGACCTGCATGTTGCAGCTCTCAAAGTTGCGAGTCGGGTTCACACCGAGCGCACGCTTCACCGAGGGCTGATTCATCCATGTCTCGATCCAGGACATCTGCTTGTAGCACAGATCGCCGTCCTTCTCACGGTCGCACTTCTTGCGTACGTCGTACGGGTTGTAGCCAAGCTCTGCGCCTCGTCAGTGGATTCGCAAGCAAGTGCAACGGCTACTCACGCATCAACGGGCCCATGATCTGGCTGTTGCAGTAGAGGATCGCTGGCACGCACGTGAGGCGCGAGTTGAAGTCGTAACAGCTCTTGACGAGCCGCTGGCATGTCGGCACCTTTGCGCGCAGAGCCTGGCACTCCGGACCATTGGGGTCGTCATAGACGGCATATGGGCCCTCGCACGCCCAGTCGGGGACGCTCGCGTGCTGGATGTAGGGGTCCGTGAGCCCGTTGCCGAGCATCACAGACGCGAGGTTGATAGGTAGCAGCCCCGGCACGGCGACGTCGAGCGCACGCGCGGCTGCGAGAGCCTTGTTCTCCGTGTGGATGACGGACGCGATGTTCGGTGCGTACGTCCCGCCGTAGCTCTCGGCAGCGATGTGGAATGGCGCATCAGCGTACTTGGAGAAGCGCCCGAGGAACAGCTCCAGGAAGGCGTAGACGTCCTTGCCCGCGACGGGGCTCGTGTTCACGGACGTGCCCTCCTCGGCGTATGAGAAGCCGACGTCGACAGGCTGGTCCAGGAAGATAACGTTGGCATTCGCGTTCCAGGAGTGTTCGTTGTAGGTCACGTTCGCCCCGTCCTGGGCCACAGCACACGGACCAAGCTCGAAGAGAAGGCCAGTAGACGACGAGCAGCCTGGGCCGCCGTTGAGCCAGAGAAGCAGAGGCGCGTTGTCAGGGTTGTGGCGAGCCTCAAAGAACCTGGTTGCGAATTAGGGGTGCCAACCAGAGGTGTCTAGGTGACTCGGACTCACCAAAAGAACAGATGCTTGTCCTGTGCAATGTCGAGGTATCCTGAGTATTGCTTGACTTTCGGATCACACAGTTCGGGCTCTGTCACTCGCAACTGGTGTTCACTAAAGGCAGGGTGCTGGACGAGCTCGTCTGTCGCCTTGTAAGCGGTATTCATGCGTCACGAAGCGTGCATCTTACAGGTGATCCCGTTCTGCAGAACTCGCGTCCTTCCGAAGAGGTCTACCCACTTCGTGGCCGTCTCCTTCGTATGCTTGATAGTGTGGTGGGCAACGTGCTTCACACCTTCAAAGGCATCGTGAATCGTATTTGCCACGGCCGAGAAGTCGTCTCCGATGACCACTTGCTCAGCTGGAACAGCATAGACGGCCGCGGCGAGCAGAACAGAAAGATACAGCGGCCTCATGGTGGTCGGGACAGAGTAGTGCACCCCGCGCCCGGCGCTCGCGTCGCTTCTCCTCCTATTCGGTCACGTTCCCGCGCCGTGGTTGGGCGGAGCGTTCCGTCCGAGCCCTCCTGTTTGGTAACTTGTAACTAAGTACTGGACCGTATTCGACAGTCCTAGTCTCCGTTGCAGATCTTACAAGTCGACAAGCGTATCACTTTCGCACAGCGTCGACGACGAATTCGAGTGTACAATGAGGTCCCCAGGATTGAACAATAGTATACCGTCAGCATCGCAAGCCAGTCCGCCCTCGAAGTGAATACATTCACCAGTCGCTGTCGAGCAATGTCCTCTACATAATAATACACGGACGAACCACTAGTACTAGCTTCAACCAGCGACTGTAGCCATTACCAACGATGGCATCCTACGCACGAAACCTATAATATATCGAACGAATATAAGTAGCGTCGATGTAAACGGCTTGGCTTGAAACATTCAAGGCTTCCGTGCGTCGTCTCCCATCCCTCGATGCTTACACGTGTTATCTTCGGGGTCTACTGTTTCGACCACGTCGAGCCCCTTGCCGAGCGAGTGGCAGTACGCATGGGCCCAGTCCGTATGGATTTGCGTCATCGAGGTCTTGGATGAAGGGCACGCCGGAGGTAGCGGTGAGGAGCTTGTCGGTGAGGATTTTGACAATACAGATGGTGTGTAGCGCGTCTGGACAATACACGACACTCGAGGTCGAGACCCCACAATGCCGCGACAGGTATTCGAAGACTGGTGACATGCTACGGGAGGCACGTTGACTGAACAGGACGAGTCTGCAATTCCGCGGTTCCTTGAAATTTGAGCCACGCCCTTCTGTTGATCGCTCCGCTGGACACAACGATGTCGGTCAACGCGTTGGTCAACTCACGAAATGTGTTCACTCACCAGCTCATACAGTGCTAAGGCCTAAAGCAATGTCTTGAACGATTACCGCTGCCAACCTTCGTTTCTTCTCCAATTTGGCCGCCCACATCGCCGATCCCACCGAAGTTGTGAGCAGAAACAACATACTTAGCCCTGGGATAAGTTGCAGAGCCAAATGCACCGTGCCGAACCTACAAAACACAAACGTAAACGCTCTCGACACAACCAAGACAATGGACGAACTACTCACCATGTATATTTTCTCTGTCTGCGCTTGATCGCCTGCTTCTTGTCTTTCTCGGTGAGACCGAGAAGCTTGAAGTACCGCCAATGCTGCAAGGGGCCCGCACGGTAACCCGTCAAGACCAGGAATATTGGCGTGCCCACGACAGGCGCAAATGTTAGAGGCAGGAGTATAACGAACTCGCAAATTTGGCGGAAAGAAAACGGGCTGTAGACATGCGATATTCGGGACTTGCCCAGCTTCTTGACTGGATCCGCGCCATCTGGAACGAGATCACGGCCTTGAGCCACTAGGTCATCCAGCCCTTCGTGGATAAGCACCTGTACCAGAGACAATGCGCAATCAGCATGACGATGACAACGAATAGGGAATGTATGAGAGATACTCACAGCGTCGAAGATGTCAGCCAAGCCTTCGTCCACGAAGAATGCCTCGAATAGAATCGCGACTATTGCAGCGCCTTCACCGAGGACGAGAAATGCGGCATTGACCCATGCAAGCGAACGTCCATAGAATATCGCAAAGAACGCGACTTGTGGGAGGTAGGCAACGAGGAAAAGGAAGGTGTATACAATGAGCGACAAGATGAAACATGGCAGTAACCTCGCTCGCAGAACAGGCCACAGAAACGAGTGGCCCATGAAGAAGTACATGCCCTAGTATAATGTCAGTCTACAAACCTTGTGGAGCAGTATGGAGCGGAACCTTGAACGGGTACAACCAAGGCGAACTGGTGGCTACATGGAGAGGCGTCGCCAATAGCGGTCGACGCTCTGGATGTTCTGAGCCGACCGAATTCATAGAGGCTACTACAGAGCTTGTGAGGGAGACGTTGGGAGGTAAGAGAAAGAGACAGCGAGATCGATGTACCAGGGCTAAAGGAGGTCAACGTTTGTCGGCGACGTCGACCAGGACTTGGAGGAGGACGCGCTGCGCCACGGCGCGATGTACGCCAAATGTACGCTGTCCCACGCCACCGCGTGAGGCGCTCGCGTCCTCCTCCTCCTCCTCGTCGCCGACAACCTTGACCTCCTTTAGCCCTGGTACATCGATTTCGCTGTCTCTTTCTCTTACCTCCCTCACAAGCTCTGTAGTAGTCTCTATGGATCTGGTCGGCTCAGAACATCCAGAGCGTCGACCGCTTTTGGCGACGCCTCTCCATGCAGCCACCAGTTCGCCTTGGTTGTACCCGACGTAAGTCGTCGCGCTGCTTGAATGAACAGTGTACGACTAACGTGATTACATATCTGTGATGGCCACTCTGAAGGACTGAAACGACGGTGAAGATTGATATTGTCGCGCAGCTTTTCACATTCTGCATGGAGGACCCGGCACATCCAAAGGGCTGCGCAAGAGCTCTCTGCGGCTGCCTTCACCTATTGGACGGGGGAGGCAAAGACGACCGCTTTGCGCTATTCGAACGCTACTTCAGGCCCAACGACGAGCACTACGAGCATCTCCGCAAGACATGCCCCGAGTATCTGAGTGCGTGCGCTGCCTTTGTGAGCCGCCCACGCTCGACTCAGGATGAAGAGGAACTCGAGGCCACCTTGCAGAATTGCTCGTGCTCAGCTCTGGGTACATCGGGTCGCAACCAGAGGGCGATGCTGGGCTGGCTGCATACCTTTGAGGTCGCTCATAAGTTCACCCTTGACAATTTCACTCAAGCACTCGTCCGCCACTTGGCCGGCATACTCAATAATGCAGTCGAAACAAAGACCGTTGGCTGTATCTCTGCGAAGAGCGGCCTCAAACGGCACCGCAAAAAGCACACCGGAAGGCCTCTGTGGCCCGGCGATCCTAGCCAGCTTATTCCCCATGGCCTGGAGCAGTCGATGAAAGGCTACACCGATTCCTTCCGCCGGTGTACAATCGACAGATTTCAAGACGGCCTTTCGCTCGTCGGCGATCTTCTTGCTATCTGCGGTCGATCCATATTTCCTCACCTGCTCCATTATCTCCCTGAGATGCCGATTAAAGTCACTGGCCTCATCACTGGTGTGTGTCATGAGCGCAAGGCAACACTGGGAGCACCTGTTGCCTTTGAAGTAGAACGCAGCTGGGCGTGTACTCTCCTCATTGTCATGGACTTTTGCAGAACCATCATGGACCTTGGGGAATGGAACCCAGCCGAGATCGAGCTGTTCGTTCGCGTGGCTGCACCGTACAAGGGCTCGATGAAGAGCCTCGGCCTCCTCTTCATGTGCGACACCATTCTCAAGCACCTGGCGCTCTTCCGAGAGGGTACCACTCTCTTTCCCGAAGACCAATTCACCGACCTTGCTGTCTTCTTCGCTCGCTTCGGCGCGATGTTCTACCCTCACAGATCACCTGACGACACCACCGTCTTCCACAAATCCATCCTCTACCTACGCGCGAAAGTCACCGACAGCTCCTCGGACCCTGTCGAATCCGTTTGGCAGGGCCTTTCCTGGCTTTCCAAGATACGTCGCTGCTGCGCGCCGGGATGCCTCGAGACGTTTGCCTCCGCACAGCGAACGTTCGCTCGATGCGCCGGCTGCGGCGTCCCGCGCTACTGCTCGCGCGAGTGCCAGAAACGCGCCTGGAAGCACACAGCGTTCCCGCACAAGGACGTGTGTGCAAAGCTGCGCGCTTTCAGGGAGAGGACGAACCTAGGGCTGAAAGACCGCGTTCTGACTGAAAGCGACCACCAGCCATTCGTCGACGCATGCAGGGCAGACGAAGAGCTCCCTGCGCTGGCTGAGGAGTGCGAGAAGCATTTGTGGGATATGACGAAGGCGCGTGATGACTCTGTACCGGAGGGGTTTGGGGTGTTCCAGGCAGAGCTAGCAGCCGCAGGCGATTCACTCACTACGTAGTAGCGACTCGTTCTCCCAATCAAGCTAGCATTCGTGCGTGTACGATGCCAACGAGGATTTACCGGTTACCGCTGGACTCCTGTAACAGTCGGAGTCGGAGTCCTGTTCTTTTCTCGTGCTTCGAATTTACCAGATGGTACAGTATCATGATCGTGGGGAACGTCGCACGTAGCGTACAGTCACGGGCGCCGACGGGCAATTGTATCAAACCCAGAGATATATTTATTATCGGGAATGAAACGCTACCAGTCACGCTACTGTACGACATCCCACTCACGCTGAACACGAGCGAGGCCGCGACGCGCGTGCCTTTCAGGAAGGTGTAGGTCGTCCATGTTATCTGATACAGAGACTGTTTGTATGTGTATAGAACGTCTTCTACAAGAACACCGACTGCGACGTACAGTCGTGCTTGCCACGTTCACCCGTCGACGCTTCTGTTGCTGCGCGTGAACACTTGGCTGGCAGGACGCAGCGACCGGCGATACACCCCGTCTCGTCGTCCATCCATCTCAAACCCCTGTGCTACATCACAAAGTATCCGCCCAGCACATGTCCCCCGAAGCGAACCCACCAGCGTTCCGGAGGTAGTCCGGGTTGTACGGGATGAGTCACTGTCTTCCCGCCAGATGACGTGTTCGCAACCACCGCAGTGTGTTGTCTTGCGCGCATGGTCTTTGAGGGATCTCGATGCTGACCGGCAGCTGAATGAACTCCCTACCAAGTACAGCTAACTTCTCACCGCAGCAGGCTTGACTCGAGAACGCAAGCTCACGGATTACACACCGTCTTGCCTTCGTCGGCTTTGCACGAGAGCGTCATCGCGTTCGTGGCACAGTGGTCGCGGCGGAAGGCAGACGGAGGCATAGAGTAGATACATACTGACTACTTCCTGAGTGTCGCTTCGAGGGGCATGCTGCATGTACCGAGGTTGTTACGCATGCTCTCCGCGCGCGGACATCAGGCTACGTAAGTTAGTACAGGGTCAGTGAAGCGCAAGACATGTTCATAAGGAGTCGCCGTACCAGCATGTCATACAGTCTGCGGGCGTCGCGGTCAGTTTACCGTCGCACTGGAACCGGACGAGCATGCGATCGGCTGCATACGCATACTCAGGGACGGACACTCGCCCTCATTGCGCATCTACAAAGCTGTCGCACCGATGATGCCCAGGCACGTCGAAGCGATGGTACGGCGCACCACAGCTTCGACGGGCGTGGGCAGGGCCGAGACGCCGCGTAGTGCTATGGTGGACCGAAGGACGTCGTCGTCAGCAGCGCTGCACGCGCTACAGTGGTCAAAGGCGGGGTATGACACGTCGCGTCGGCAGATGTCATAGTTGATGGGATGTCCGGGAGTTGGGTCGTCCGCGTCAGCATTCAAGACTGACAATAGAGGGGGCATCCCTTAGTGACCGGGTGGTATTGGATTCGCTGGCGTCGGCGCGAGTCGGACCTAGTGATCTCACCGCAGGTCGTCAAGTTCGCGGTACACTATGAAGCAGAAAATGTCAGCGAAAGACCGGCTGATGTGTGGTGGATTACCAGTGTTGCGAGGAGCCGTGCTCGCACGGACACTTTGTCAATGCTAGGTTGAAGGCCCGATCACCGTCGGTGATGTTCCTCGGCACACTGCGTGGCCGTGCTTGGCGGAACACTCCTGGGACACGGCAGGCTAGGGTTCGCAGAGGTCGATAGAGGAGATGTTAGGCTGCGCGGGGAGCCAACCGTCCCCGGTCTGACGTGTCGGATCGTGTCACGTCGGGGCCTTGCAAGCGGGTGTCCGGGGAGGCATATTCGAGTGCGAGTAAGCATCTGTGAGTATACGTACCTCGCCAACCCATCTCCCGTCCCGGCTTGCCCCTCATACGTACAGCTTCGCTGTGATACGCAGTCTTGAGCTCAAGTTCTCGAGACGTTGTCCCAGCTTGAATGTTTGAACCTTCGTGCAGACTGGGACAGAGTGGCTATGAGTCGCTTTACTGGAGTGGAGCACGGGAGAACATCGACGTACCAAGTCAAACCCGACGCGCCGGCATCGCTGAGGTTGCTGAAAGCAACAAAGGACGGTATACGCTGGGAAAGAAGTAGGTTCATAGACCCTCCTTGTTCTATAAGACTTGGAAACTGACCTAGATTCGCGACAAGACTGATCGACTCAGTGGGAGGAAGACCAGCAACACGGAGGAGATGGAGGCACGAGGAGACTAGAGGAGGCGCCTAATTCGGGGCCCAGCTTGCAGTTGCACCGTCACGCTGTAGGTCGCCCGCTCAACATCCCCGTCTTCTTGCTGACCGACCACTCCGGACGTCCTTCTCATGATACTTAGAGGAGGTCAAGGTTGTCGGCGACGTCGACCAGGACGCGCTGCGCCACCGCCCCGCGAAGCGCTTAGCGGTCGCTGAGTTTCGAACAATCGATCCTTTCACCTCCCTCTCCTCCTCCTCCTCCTCCTCCTCCTCCTCCCTTGTTCGAACGTAAGTCGTCTTCGCGCTGCTTGAATGGACAATGTGCGACTAACATGATGATATATCTTTGACGGCTGGTCTGAAGGATTGAAGTGATGGTGAACATCGACATTGTCGCCCAGCTTTTCGCATCTTGCATGAAGGACCCGGCGCGTCCAAAGGGCTGCGCAAGAGCTCTCTGCGGCTGCCTTCACCTATTGGATGGGGAAGGCAAAGACGACCGCTTCGCGCTATTCGAACGCTACTTCAGGCCCAACGACGAACACTACGAGCATCTCCGCAAGACATACCCTGAGTACTTGAGCGCATGTGCTGCCTTCCTGAGCCAGCCACGCTCGACTCAGGATGAAGAGGAACTTGAAGTCTCTTTGCAGAGGTGCTCATGCTCAGCCATAGGCACATTGGGCCGCGATCAGAGGGTGATGCTGGGTTGGCTGCATACTTTTGAGGTCGCTCACAAGTTTGCCCTCGACGATTTCATTCAAGCGCTCGTTCGTCACTTAGCCGGCATACTCCACAATGCAGTCAAAACAAAGACTGTTGGCGGTGTCTCTGCCAAGAGCGGCCTCAAACGGAACCGCAAAAAGCACGCCGGAAGTCCTCTGTGGCCCGTGGATGCTAGCCAGCTTCTTCCTCACGGCCTGGAGCAGTCAATGAAAGGCTACGCCGATTCCTTCCGCTGGTGCCCACCTGACAGGTTTCATGACGGCCTTTCGCTCGTCGGCAATCTTCTTTCCATCTGCGGCCGATCCATGATTCCCCATCTGCTCCAGTTCCTCCCCGATATGCCGTTAAGAGTCACCGGCCTAACTACTTCTCTTTGCCAAGAGCGCATGGCGACACTTGGGGCACCTGTCGATTTTGAAGTGGAACGCAGCTGGGCGTGCACCTTCCTCGTTCTCATGGACTTTTGCAGAACCATCATGAACCTCGGGGAATGGAATCCAGCCGACATCTCGCTGTTCGTTCGCGTGGCTGCACCGTACAAGGGCTCGATGAAGAGCCTCGGCCTCCTCTTCGTGTGCGACACCATTCTCAATCACCTGCCGCCTTTCCGAGAGGGTACCACTCTCTTTGACGACAAGCCTTTTGGCGAGCTCGCCGTCTTCTTCGCTCGCTTCGGCGCAATGTTTTATTCTCACAGACCACCCGACGACACTACCGTCTACCACGAGGCAATCCTCCACCTACACGCGCAACTAACCGACAGCTTTTCGGACCCTGTCCAAGTCGCATGGGAGGGGTTTGCCTGGCTTTCCACGATACGTCGCTGCTGCGCGCCGGGATGCCCCAAGACGTTTGCCTCTGCCCAGCGGACGTTCGCTCGATGTGCAGGCTGCGGCGTCCCACGCTACTGCTCGCGCGAATGCCAGAAACATGCCTGGAAAGACGCGGCGTTTCCGCACAAGGACGTTTGCGCGAAGCTGCGCGCTTTCAAGGAGAGGACGAACCTCGGGATGAAAGACCATGCCCTGACTGAAAGCGAGCGCCAGCTATTCATCGACGCGTGCAGAGCGGATGAAGAGCTCACGACGCTCGCTCAGGAGTGTGGGGCACATTTGTGGGACATGAGGAAGGCGCGTGGGGACGAATCTGTACCAGAGGCATTTGGGGCATTTCAAGCACGTCTAGCGACCAGAGGTGATTCAACCACCACGACGAAATGACCCCTTTACCCACTGTCTCGTAACTGATGTATGTATCTTGGCGATTCTCGTCTTCGACTTGAGCCAATGCTCGCCATTGCACTAGACACTTGGACCGCATAGTAGTAGACGGATCCTTCTCCGACTCCAGTGGTCCAACATTGCACCTAGTACTGTTCATAGGACTAACGTGTAACGATCTTAAGTATCTGTAAGCCATGCCATCAGCATTTTACTGACTCGTTAAGTTTGCTGTGCTCGCCAATTACTCGCGCCCGCCTTCTACTTACCGACTCTATGTCACGGTGGCGTGACCGCGTCCAGGCGTGTCGCAACGACCATGACTTCCACACAACCACCATTGTACCTCTCTGTTCCCTCCACAAATGTCAGCAACTCACCTCTCATGAAATGCCATTGTGTTGCTAACGTCTCGGTAGATTGTCCGCCGGTGCAACGTGATGGCCGACGAGGAGGAGGTAGCTCTGTTTTTCGCATCCTGCATGAAGGATCCGGCGCGTCCAACTCACTGCGCCAGGGTTCTCTGCAGCTGCCTCCAGATATTGGATGGTTCGGAACCATATGAACCCTCCGCGCTGTACCGACCCTACCTCGTGCCTCAAAACAAAGACTACGAGGACATTCGTAGGATATACTCCGAAGGCCTGAACACGTCCGTCGCATTCCTGACCTTGCCTCGCTCAAACAAGGAGACCGAGGACCTCGACGCCTTCCTCAGTACGTGTTCATGCTCATTCTCGCCGGCCAAGAATGCGACAGAGGCGAGACTGTTGCTGTGGCTGCATGCATTCGAGGCTGCTCGTCGGCTCACCCTCCGGGACTTAACTGAAGCGCTCATCCGCCATCTCGGTGGTGTACTCAACCATGCAGTTGAATCAAGGACTGTTGGGGGTACTACTGTGATGGGTGGCCTCGCCAAGCACCGCAAAAAGCATGCCGGAAAGCCTCTTTGGCCGACGGACCCCAGCCAACTCATCCCTTACTCGGCCTTACCATAACCGTGACGCCGGGTTAGATCTTTTCTCACCACCAGACGCACGCGAGTTCTTCCATCCGAGTCAGCTGTCAGCGCCGTAAGACGATGCTTCGAGGAGTCGAAGGACTCACAGGAGAGCGTTAGTATGAGCGATGGGCTCGTCATGACGCTTGGACATTCGGTGAGCCGCTCCTTGTATGATGTCGTAATGATAATGGTTCATGCATACGAGACGGTCAGGAATTTTCTTCCTCCTTTGCATGGGCGTGCGATTGAAGGGTGTTGATATGTGAACGTACGCGGTGAGCTCAACTCGCCATCTCGTCTCGATAGGAAACATGCTTCAATGGCACATAGCGCAGGACCTTGGCGTGCGTCGATGTGGCCGGCCCAGCTTCTACAGCTCTGGTATTCTATGCTTCGCGAACACACAGTGAAGCACGCACAATGCCGCTGGCCCCGCGTACGGCGCTGTGCATATGCTTTTGAGCGTGCCAGCGGCCATCCTCCATTCACATCGGTATTCGGATTCTTCAAGTTCCATGTCTAACAGGTCTCTGGACTTGATGCGAGAACAGCTTCGAGTCGTCTGACGGCTCCAGTCTCTCAGGATCCCACTCCGGTTCGATGCTCTCCGGTTCAATGTGATGTTGACGACTATAGGGTGTGCGTGAAGAGTCGGAGAGATCACAATTGCGGGTCTTCGTTCCATTACTCGTTCGGCAACTGGCTCCGCAAAACGTGTGCGTTTATTTTTGGTTGTTCTGAAGCTTAAGCTTGATTCTTCTTTATGCCGCGAGGCTTGCCTTATGGCCTCGTAGCACGCATACACTGGCAATCACCGCCCACTCAGTAATTGCATACCGGAGGTTGCTCCTTTCCGTTGCGCAGTCGAGTCACTCGTTCGCTCACCGTCCCCGCAGATATCCACTGTCAATGAAGTACAACTAGGCCGGTGCATGCTGCTCTGCACAGGATGTCCACTCGGTGCCAGCTACGAATGGAACCCCAAATTCATGCGCCGTGAAAGAAGCGAGTACGTCACTGCAAATTTCCATGTGTGAGTTACGTTGACTGAACCTATTACTATCGCTGCTCGATGGACAATCTGGGTGAGATTCGTGCTACGGTACCTGAGGAGGCACTGCTCCACGTGTTGCGAGTTGTTGGCCTTATGTACCGGGTCGCAGCTAGCTGGGTCTTCTTCGTATCCGCCATCTCCGAGCCTGCGGTGGGTACCTTTCGGCGGTGCACTCCGTACTGCTTGCTATTGTCTGCTTCACTATAGTGACTACTCAATGATGTCCAGGAACACTCACCGTAGATTTGCATTCAAGGCACCAACCTACACAAGGTCTCATTCTACTATTTCTAAACAATTGTGTTCTGACTATGTCAACTCTCTACAGTGACTCAGCTATTGTTCTACCCCAAGAACTGATTGAGTACATTGCTGGCCTACTCTGGAATGAACCTGTTCAACTTGCCAGGTGTTGCCTTGTCTGTCATGCCTGGAGACATGCTGCAGACTGCTATATCCACAATGAAGTGGTCATTCCAGACAAAAAGACACTTGTTGCCTTGATGCAGATCCTGATGTCTAAGCAGAACAAGTGTTGTAGCAAGACCATACAGAGTCTGTGTATTGTGGACCAGCATGAGAAGCCCTATGCACATACATTCCCTATGTATATCCAAGGCTGCCTTTTGCCTGAGATAGATTTCCTTGGCATGAAGCACCTCAATTGGGCAATGGCTAGGTCCCATGCTAGCTTCTTCAGCTATCTCAACTCCTTCACATCTGTGCTGAAGTTGGAGCTTTCTGAGTGCTGCTTTGTGAATGCTCAGCAAGTCATGAAGTTAGTTGGTGCATTGCCAAATTTACATATTCTACACCTGTGGAATGTTAGGTTGGAAAAACCCCAGATAGTGAATATGCATCATGGCCCTAAGCCTCTTGTCAAAAAGAATGTGAATGAGCTTGAAGTTGGCATTGTGACCACAGAGCTACCTTCCCAAGGGCTATGGCTATTTGTTTTATACATTTTGAGCACATGCATGTTAACAAGACAGACTCTAGTCTGGGAGTGTAAAGCAAATGAAGGTCAGTTGTTCTGTAGGCATGAACTATTCTGGTACTGATTCAACTATTGACAGATTGCTTTCCAACTTTCCTAAAAGTTGTTCACAATCATCAGCAATCATCCATGAACCTTGTCTTCTCACAGTTTCCATCATCCAGACATTCCCTTGAGAAGGGACTCATTCCAGTGTTGTCCAGTATCAGGGGCATATGGGTGAAACAAATCACAATCCAAATCAACATGGACCACATCCATTGCAATACTGATATTACACAAGTGGCTGAGGAAGAATCTATCAGTTCAATTGCTGCTCTGCATGCCATGTTATGCCAGGATGCCTTCAGTTTACTCCTACCTGGATCTGTAAAATTCAGAGTCAGCTTTGACAGGGCAACAGAGCATCCCATTGAAGATGCCATTTTATCTCTTGTGGCATTATTGTTCACACCATGGCTCAAGAGAGGTATCCTCACACTTGAGTTTCCTGATGAGTTAGATGGTACACCAATGGACATTATTTCTGCAGGGAAATGCCAGTCTCAGTCTGTGATTTCTAGATGAGACAGCTGATAGCCAATGCTAGTCTTAGTTCTGAAGAATATTTTTAAAAAAACCATGCCCCGCTTCCTTTTCTTATTATGTGATTGAGCAATATGCCTACCCAGCTGTACCACTGGCAAGGGTCTGTATTACTATGGTACACAAAGGACTGCTTGTAGTTTTCTTGATTTCTTTTGTTTACTATGTTGCATGTCTATGTTCTGTCTGTCTGTCTGTCTCAGTGGTCACAATGTACATATACACTCCTAGAACATCAAATTATTCCATTACAGCAAACATGCATCAATAATGAAGTGGATCACAGCTTTCTCCTTTAGTTGCTAACCCTTGCTAATGGTCAAGTAACCAACCATAACAGTGCAAGTAACACCCCCCCCCCCTGCTTCCCCTCGAAGGCACCACTCATAAATGGCAGACCCACAAACCGAATCCGAGAACACCAACCAACTACCCACCATCCAGAGCACCCGCCGCGTTCCGAGAGGTTCCAAGCGCTCATTCCAACCCAGTCATATGTAACACGTCCGGATGCCGGACGCAGCCTCGACCAAAACGCAGGTTATGACGATGCCGCGATTCCCGCCCTCGCGGGCCGTCTAACGTGCGGCCCCGCACCCGCCCACATGCGGATTGTCGCACGCTTCAGTGCGCCCGGGTCAGCCAGGCGGGCGCGGAACGGTCATTGTTCGGGCGTCATCGTGGTCGGGCTCCGGGCGACGGTGAAGAGGAGCATCCGTACGGACCAGCGGGACAGGGCGGCCAGACCCCCGGGACCCGGATGCGTGTCGGCGGCCCCGTCCCGCGGCGGACGTGAGCCTCGCCGACGCTGGTGTGAGAATGTCCCAGGAAGGCCGCGCCGACGACGGCGCCCCGGCGCGTCTTGCTGGCGAGCAGCGTTGTGTGTCTGCGGAGATGTCCGCTCGAGCGCACTGGACGGTGTGAGACGGTGCAGGTGCATCGAAGGGGCGTGTTCGACTTGAGCGTCGTGGCACCGAAGGCGATCCAGGAGTCGGGACACAGCGACGATCGTGTGCATGCGGAACAGCGCGACGTACTAGCTGGCGGGAGAGAGTCCGGGATGCACGAGTGCGGCACGGCGGGAGGCGGGCTCGTGCAGGCGGGCGGGGTAGCGCGGTCCGATGGGCGGAAGCGGAGAAGTCTCAGCGTCGAGCGTCGAGCGCTGGGCGGGCGGTGTACTGCGGAGCGGGTATACTGCGGGGCGGGAGCTGTTGGTGGATGGGAACCGGTACATGTGCACCGCATGAGACGGCGTGGGGTCGAGATCGGACACGTCTGCCGCTACAAGAGACACGAACGACGCACCTGATCGCGAGGGATCCTTGTACACAATGACGTGCGGATGGTGTTGATGAAATGCCCGTTAGGACCGCCCCGAGAGCTGTCACGGCATGGCTGAGATATTGACTCCGAGGAGTCCCGCCGATTTGGCAGCCCGATGGAGTAGGCGCGGTGCGGGCTGCAGGTTATCACACCAAAGGACCATATAAGTGATAGAGGGCCACATGTGTGGCCCTCCGTCGCGTATGTGGTCCTCTGGGATGTTCCAGGAGCCCTCGTACGTGCACTCACCGCTCGCTGGTAGAATATCAGAGGCATCGACACCACCTTGATCCATCGGCTGGCCGGTAGCTCGCATACACCCCACGGAGCATCCGCCGCTTCATTGGCAGGCGCCGAAGGGGCTCACTGGGCTCGCGGAGTACGTGTGAGACCAGAGGAGCACTATGAAAGGGGCTGGAGCATGAGCAAGATAAAACGTACGTAGGGAGACAGGTGCACATGGGAAATATCACATACGATGGATTAGTCTGGACACATTCTTGTCACCGTCAGTATTGAAAGTTGACACGACGGGCCTGAAAGCGTGAAGAGGGCAATGGCGCCGGGACGAGCAAAGGATAGACCGCAGGGACTCGGGTGGAGATGTGGGCAGGCTCATCGCGAGTTGTACTCGTGGTCGTCGTCCGCGTCGTCGAAGGTTCACCGCTCAGCGCTTAGCTGCCTCTTCTTAGCCGCCCTTCGAGAAGCGCCTTTGTGGCGTGACCGTGTCGCGCCACCGGAAATGAACGCGCCGCAATAATTCGAAGCTGCCATTTCGCCAGCATTCCGCCGTGACACTGACAGCCTCTGAGCCTGGGAGACCGCCATGTCCGCCGTCCAACAAAGGCCCCGCGCGTGTCCTTCCCAGCACGCCCCCTGGCAGGCTGCAGCCCACCCCCGATCATGGCCCTCCTCCGCGCCACCGACTCGCCTGAGTACACCGCCCGCACCCGCACGCCCTTCGCCCCGCCCCCGCCCTCACTCTCGATCAAGGCCGTCCACGCAGCCGTACCCAAGCATCTATTTGCTCGATCGACGCCAAGATGTCTATTCTATGTCGGTCGCCACGTCCTCCTCACCTACTGCTTCTATCTGTTCGCAACGCGCATCGATGTCCTCGTGGAGGTGTTGCTCGATCGGTCTGGCATGACGAGGGGAGGGCGCGTCGAGGATGCGCTGCGATGGCTTATGTGGTGGACGTACTGGTTCTGGCAGAGCATCGCGTTCATGGGGATCTGGACCCTCGGTGAGTGTTCCGCTCTTGTATGTAGTTCGCGCCTGTTTCGATGGCGGGTCCGGATGCTTTGTATGCTATGTTGCTCCGTCCTTCGGACGCAGCCGCTCCAGAGTTTCCGACCTGGTGCTTGCGCATCTACGAGACACTCCAGATCTCACTGACCTCCCGCACTTGCCACAGGACACGAGGTGCGCGGATCCCGCTGTCCTGCACCGTTGAAGCACTCCCAGGCTGACAATCACCTTGCTGCCTCGCCCACTCCACCCCGGCTGCGCACAGTGCGGCCACGACGCGCTCTCGCCGAAGCCATGGGTGAACGCGCTCCTCGGAATGGGACTCCACACGTTCGTCCTCACGCCGTACTGGGCATGGCGGGCGACCCACCGGTCTCACCATGTGAGTCCTCTCCCGCTATGTCGTTCAGCACTCCGGACTGTTGCGCGCCGCTGCATATCCGCTCTGCTTGCCGCGCTGCGTCTGTGCGTCGGACGGGGATGTCTGACTTGTCTCCGCGTCCTCCGCGATGGCTCGCGCTGTCTGCGACGTGTCGCCTGTATGTGACCCAGACAGCGGGTTTCGTGTGCGATCGCGGCGATTGATACGGTGAGGCCAGCGCTGATCAGACTTTCGTCCGGTAGAAAGGCACGAACAACCTCCACCGCGACGAGACGTACCACCCGCAGACGCGCGAGGAGTTCAACCTGCCGCCGGAAGGTGCGTCGCGTCTCCGTCGTTGGCGTCGCGCGGTTCTGAGGACGGGGGAGCAGAGAAGGCGAGTGCGATCGACTACCACGAGATGATTGAGGAGACGCCGCTATACACGCTTCGGAAGATGGTCCTCCGGCAATTCCTGTGCGTGACCTCGACGTTGCGTTGCCTCTCTCGGGTCCAAGTTGATTGTGGGTGCGGCTCGTAGGGGCTTCCAGCTCTACTTGATGTATGCCTCTCGTCTTCCTCACATCCCCGGTCAACTGAGCACTGAGGTCCGCGCCTCATCTCGCACAGACATAATCGCAAGGGAAACCCGAAGTATCCGCCTGGAACGAGTGTAGGTCATGTTTCGTCGACGCGCAACACGCCGTTGGATTACCACGCGCGGTGTAGCACTACAAGCCGAGCTCGAAGCTCTTCCGGCCAGAGGAACGTAAGCCGTCCTGTTCTATCCGCACACATCCTGTCTCTGCTCGGACGGTTGCCCTAGCTCGGCTGTTGTGACAATTGTGGGGGCTGAACGATATCCCATGACTAGGACACCTTATCGTCGTCTCGGATATCCTGATCGCGGGGATGCTCGCGCTCCTCGGTGTCTGGGGGTGGAACTCGGGGTGGGGCACGGTGTGGAGGATGTACCTCGTGCCGTGGCTGGTACGTCCCTCCGCTTCATTCGTCTGCCCGGCGCGTCTCATCTACATCGTCAACAGTGGGCCCATAACTGGTGAATCTATCCCGTTCAACGAGACAGGGAGATGCTGATGGCGTTGTCTGCGGGTGACTCAGGATCGTGACGGTGACGTACCTGCAGCACTCGGACCCTACTGTGCCGTATTACAGAGTACGTTGCCATAGTGCTGACGTGGACGTATGCTGACTTTCATGCGTAAAGGGCCAGTGGACGTTCCTCCGGGGCGCACTCGCGACGGTCGACCGGCCGATCTTCGGCTGGGTCGGGCGGTTCTTCTGGCACGGCGTACGTCTCCGCTCTTCAGTCAACGCGTGTGGCTAACTATTTGCTCAGATCGCGCACGACCACGTCGCCCACCACTTCTTCGTCGGGGTGCCGTTCTGTGAGCGCCCTTCCGTTCACCTTGGCCCTCTGCTGACTCTCCCGGCAGATAACCTCCCTGACGTGACGGAGGCGATCAAGCCCGTGCTCGGGGACTACTACTACTACGACTCGACGGTGAGTCGCCTCGTCCGAGCCCGTTCGTTCGCCGTCTGATGCGGACGCCGCCAGCCGACGCTCTACGCGCTCTGGCGGAGCTTCACGCAGTGCAAGTTCGTCGAGAGCACGGGCGACGTCGTGTTCTTCAAGAACATGCGCGGCGAGGCCGTGCGGGGGTGCTCCGTCGCGGATGTGTGTCCCGCGAAGGAAGCGGGTGTTGTTGATGGTGCGAAGGAAGCGGCCGAGGCTGGATTTGAAGGGGTGCAGGACGAGGAGGATGTGATGGGTGAATGACAGAGGTGATTCCAGGAAGTTGTTCTGTATGTTGCTGATCTATGCTTGAAATGCGAGTTTTGTCGGGCTGTACTACCATTTGTTACATATGTCGGGTTCTCTAAGTGAAACTCCGTGGCAACGACAACTCGCGAAGATCGGACCCATCTGTACTTAGGAATTCGCCCCCGCACGGCCGTTGTGCACATTGGACAGGCACCATGCACAGTACAGCGGGGACCTACTCAGGTTTTCACTTCTGGACTCCATGAAACGACCCTGCCCGACGATGCAAGCATCCTCAGGCTCGCTTGAAGCTCTCCCAGGATCGGCGAGCGCATCTGCGAGTAGAATGTATTCCAAAAAATCAACACCAATGAACGTACGAGTTCTGCTATGTACTTCGTAGATACACGCAGCCTGAGGCCATCAGAGACAGCATCAATCACAAGAGTCATTTCGTGGCCAGTCGCCAGTGAGCCGAGAAAGATCACTCCCCAGTGGCAGCTTCTGGGACGGGCTTCCAGAACGCCCGATACGCCTCTGGTACAAAAAACTTGCTCTTGTCACCCCTTCGCGTGGTGAGCATCTCGTACATATGCATCCCGCAGTCCTCCGCCAGTGCCACGAGACCCTCGTCCGCCTTGCACGCCTCGACGAATGGCTGGCGATCGCGGCGGGGATCTAGCTCCTGATCCCGTGGGAGGCGTGCCCGCTCTCTCAGCACGCGCAGCTTCGTGCAGACCCCCTTGTGTGGGAGCGTCGCGTGCTTCCAGGCGCGCTTCTGGCACGGGCGGGAGCAGTATCGCAGGACGCCGCAGCCTGCACAGCGGGCGAACGTCCTGCCAGCGGTGACAAACGTCTCGTAGCACTCTGGTGCACAGCAGTGCCGCACCGTCGACGCCCAGGCGAAGGCCTCGAAGGCGCGCTGCAGGGGATCATCCAAGCAGGCAAGCGTTGCCGCGTACTGGAGGAGGATCGATTCGTGGTAGACTGTTGCGTCGTCTGGGCGCTTGTGAAAATAGAACGCTGTCCCGAGGCGGGCAAACAAGTCGGAAACTTTGTTGATGAAGAGGTCGGAGAATATGATTGTATTAGTACCCTCGCGGAAGAGCGGTAGGTATCTGAGGATCAAATCGCAGACGATGAGAAGGCCACAATGCACGTCCGAGCCTTCGTGCCGTACGGCAATGCGGACAAAGAGTGATATATCTGATGGATCGGCTTGCTCGGCGTGCGTGATGTTTCGACAGAGCTCCGATATATGTAAGAGAGTGTACATCCAGTTCACCTGGACGTCAAGCTCGACAGGCTGGCCGAGTGTTTCATCGCGCTCTACGCAGAGACGGATCGCGAGGTTGGTAATGAGCCATGGCCATTCAGGCTGGAACTGAAGGAGATGCGGGGTAATAGTTCGACCACAGATGGCAAGGAGTTTGTTGACGAGCAGAAGGGTCTCCTCGTACCTATCTTGACGGCACAAGCGGAAGGACGTGGCGTATCCTTTCATCGACTGCTCGAGGCCAAAGGGGAGAAGTTGGCTGGTGTCCGTGGGCCAAAGAGGTCTTCCAGCACGTTTTTTGCGATGCGTTGTGAGGCCATGCATTGCGACAGTACCGCCAACGGTCCGTGATACAAAAGCATCATTTAGTACACCGCTGAGGTGACGAATGAGCGCTTCAGTCAAGTCTCGGAGGGTGAACTGACGAGCGGCCTCGAATGTGTGCAGCCATCCCAGCGACTCCATCGTATTCTCGTCCTCAGCGCGTGGGCAGGAGCACATACTGAGGAACGCATCGAGATCTTCGGTTTCCTGATCCGAGCGCGGCATGCTCAGAAAAGCGACGCATGCATTCAGGTAATCGGGGAACATCCTGCGGATGTTTTCGTAGGTTTTGTTCCGAGACATGTAGTAGCGCCGGTACAACGCGTACGGCGCATCTTTGCTCTCCCCGTCCAATAGGTGGAGGCAGCCGCAGAGAACTTTGGCGCAGTGTGTCGGACGCGCCGGGTCCTTCATGTAAGAGGTGAAGAGCGGGCCGATGTCAGCTATATCCAACATCCCACTCGAAGTCCCAGCAGACTAGGAGGCTACTATCGAACAATTTCGTCAGCCATATATTGTGAAGTCTATTAGACACGAGTTACTTACACCCTGGGAGGAGAGAGGTAGGTCTTCGGAAGGGTCGCGGCAGTGGATTCAGTGCAATTTACGCGCGCAACGCGCGTCTGAAGCGTGAAGAATGGAACGTGGTCACGCCACGCAACTTGAAGCGCTCCACTGGCAGGAAAGGTAAGTAGTCTGACTTGGAAAGTCCCTCATCACGTCTTTGATGGGAAGGACCCAGAGAGAGACCTAATAAGGGACCCGGAACGACTCGAAGAGATTCAGGCTAAGTATGGAGAATGCAGAAACATACCTCGAGGTGCCCATGTTCATCATGGACACGATGATAGGGCGGCCCAGTGCAGCCGGGGGGATCCTGGGGCGTGCCATTCTGGGATGTGGAAGCGGCGATCCGAGACCACAGTGATGCGTGCATGGATAGTTGTCGACTAGTATGTAGGTTCAAGTCGAGTTTCAACTAGTAAATTGAGCTGTGCGAACTGCGTCGCTGCGAAGCCTCTGCTGCTCTACGCGATCACGTGGCGACGCGCTACGCGTCGGCGTCAACTTTCAACTTGAACGGCCTGATGTTGCCTCCATTCTGTCTACACGCTGGCTTGACTATATTCAGATCTGTGAACCGCTAAAATCTCTTCTCAGACCAATGCGCGACAAAGACGCCCTGCATTCCGTGCGGTGTGCCGCGATCTCGCTCGAAGTCGCTTGTAATGTCCGCCTTTTCATGATTCTCCCGGTAACGTTCTCAACGTCTTCGATAGAGTCACGGTCCTGTGCGGCGATCCAACACTCGGACCCTACTGTGCCATATCACAGAGTACGTTGCCGTAGTGCCGACGTGGGCATATGCTGACTTTGATGCATGTAGGCCAATGGACGTTCCTCCGGAGCGCACTCGCGACGGTCGACCGACCGATCTTCGGCTGGGTCGGGCGGTTCTTCTGGCACGGTGTAAGTCTACGCTCTCGTCTGTCAACCTGTGTGGCTAATTGGCGGGCTCCCGCTCAGATCGCGCACGATCACGTCGCCCACCACTCTTCGTCGGTGTACCATTCTGTAAGTACCCTTCCGTTCACCTCGAACCTCTGCTGACCCTCCCGGCAGATAACCTCTCTGACGTGACGGAGGCAATCAAGCCCTGCTCGGAGACTAATCCTATTACGACTCGACGGCGAGTCGCCTCGTCCGAGTCGTGCACCCGTTCGTCCGTCGTCTGATGCGGACGCTGGCAGCCGACGCTCTACGCGCTTTGGCGGAGCTTCACGCAGTGCAAGTTCGTCGAGAGCACGGGCGACACCGTGTTCTTCAAGAACATGCACGGCAAGGTCGTGCGGGAGTGCTCCGTCGCGGACGCGCGTCCCGCGAAGGAAGCGGATGTTGCTGGTCATGCTAAGTCTGCAGCCGAGGCTGGATTTGAAGGGGAACAAGATGAGAAGGAGGACGTGATGGCTGATTGAGAGAGGTGATTTCATGCTGGTCTGTGTGCTGCTGATCTATGGTTGACATAGGTGCTTTGTTGGGTTGTAACCACCATTCGTTACATGCATTGACGCTCTGTCTCTGCATTGCAGGTTCATCGGGACCAGTCATGGCACGTTTAGGCTTGCACCAGGTTTGTGACTTGGTGATGACGTTGATGTGCCGCCTTCAGAGAATTGAGCTCGTCTGAGCTGCCTACTGTCACCGGAGACATGGGGTGCTATGGAGGAGGCGCGATTTGGGATAACGTATGAGACCTAACTCGGGCCTGGCCCATATCCTAGCGCATAAAACCAAGATGTGCACAGATCTGAGCAAAATGACTTTTGAATAGGCTGCCTCGAAGCGCTTGTCTTCCTTTGCGTGATCGGGTTAACGGCGTCCGTAACTTCCCCGATAACCTGTACAGCGATACACTACTCAGTGTCATCAACTTGAAGCGCTTCTCAGTAGCCTCGTCCTAAGCTGCTGGCTGCTGGCGAAAGGCTCCATCTCCTGTCAATTTGGCCATCTTGACGAGCACTACGGCGCTCGAGCGTGGCGACGAAATGGAATCCCCTCCTCCTCCTCCTCCCCCCCCCCCCCTACTCCTCCCCTACTGTCAACTTTTTGGCAAGTGTCTATCTTCCGCGTTTCCCCGGGCTGTGACGAAATCATGTTTAGTCAATGTCACGTGACTTTGCATGTTCATTGTCCAAAACAGGTCCAACTAAGTAAGTTGAGGAGCCTGAGGAACTTCCGAGCTCGAATGCCCTCCCCTTCCTCCGCGGGCGACTCGACACAGCTCGGGGCTCTTGCGGTACCATTTACGTGCTCCGACGCCACTCGTCCAGTGTTGCGAACTTGCGACGTTGAACTAGTGCTAATTAAACCGACAGTGCCACTCATGCCGCCACTCTCTGGTTTCGAGTCCATGCCCGCTGAACTGCTCCTCAAGCTGACGCGCTATTTGCCTCTGCAATCTCTGCGAAACCTTCGAGTGACATCGCGCTACCTGAACGACGTCATCTCAAGCAACGAATGGACGGTTTACCGCAATGCGGCTCTATACCACGCCTATGCCTCGTCCGAGAGCGTATCTCTTGCTGACGCGAAGGTTTCAAACAAACGGTATCCGATTCAGGATGATGCCTGCGACGAATGGAAAGAATACTGTGAGTGGCTGTGCAAACTCATCCTTACTTGAGTGGACGGTACAATCCCGTGCTGATCGACTGTTAGGTCGACGATGTTTTGTCCTGGACAAGAACTGGATGGGCGTCACTCGTGTGGAGCCTGATACGAGAGCGTACTGCGAAAGTAGCCGGGACGTTCATCGGTTCAAGATCGACGAAGAGCTCGGGCTGCTGTTCACATCAAACCGAACCGACGCCAAAGCAGCCATATCCGTTACAGACCTCAGAACAGGCTGGCTTCTGTGGCGGACACCCTCGGTAAGTGCACGAGGCAGTGGTCATATAAAAGTTTCGCTCACCGTCGATAAGCATTACGCTCGCCGTTACACACACGTCGAATATGGGCATGGCTACCTCGTATTTGATCGAGCAGCCGGCCAGAAGGAGGTATGGCGCCTGGCGGATCATGTAGACGATTCCGTGTGCGTCTCTGCACCTGACGCAAGTCAGATCAACGCATCACGCATTGCCGAACGTGCATACGGCCGTAGCGGACGAGGTTGTCTTCGCCCATGGACCGTCCTGACGACACCCGACGTCACTCGGTTTTATCGCGTGGTCTATCCAACTCTCTTGGCTGCCTCACAGAATACCGCCTACTTATGGGACTTGCCTTCCGCCACGCTGGTTCAGACGATTCATGGTCTCCAGGCGAGCCACGCTGGCATGGAGCCACTCGGTGAGATATGCTACGTGGATGTAAATACACGGCATGTCGTGCTCTGCGGTGAGAACGGGGTCCGCGTGGTCGGCCGTGAAGACAACACGGTCGTGCTCCACCTTTCTGGCCAAAGGGGCTTCGCGCGAACAGTGCTGAAGCCGGAGCCGACTCTGGGATCCGACCGAATCCCTTTGACGATGTCCCTCAGACTGAGGTCACGCGCTCAGCAGGCGGACACCGCTGGGGACAGTTTCGAGCAGGTGTGTTTGACCACGCACTACAGCAATGGTTGCGTGTTACTGAGCCGCTGGCGCGCCTTCCATTGATCAGCGCACTTGTCCGGGAGCGGCCGCGACCTTGCGTGCATGCTAGCGGACGGGCGCCTTGTGCTGATCCGCGACTTCGAGTCTATTGCCGACGGGAACCTTTCCGTCCCAGAAGCTGTACTCGAAGTCGATCTTACGCACGTGAATAGTGCGGATTCAGACGAGGCAAACCTACGTAACCGCAGTAGGGCCGGATACTACCTTGCCTTCGAGCAGGGCCGCGTGGCTGTCGCAACGGCACGTAGCATTCCATCCTTCGCGTCGCCCTGCAGGCCTGATACCTTGCGCAGTCACACGGGTTATACGTGCTAACGCTTGATGCGCGCGAGCGTGGCTTGGCCGAATCCCTCAGGCCAGCCACGTCCGACTCTAAGAACATATCCGACAACCTTGCGGCGCTAAGTCTGCAACACGTCGAAAACGGCGTGCCCTCAACCTCCGGACCCCCATTGCTCAATGCCGCAGACATAGCCGTGTCATGGCTCCCGCGCCTGAGCGACCCCACAGTACTCAGGGAGCTCGGCTGCGTGCAACTTTCCTCGACATGTCTCTACGTCACTGGAGGGCCAACAGGGTGTATGTCTCGCCAGATAGAAAGTCTAGCGTATCCGCGAACGTCTACCGGGACGACCCAGACTATTACGAGCCTGACGTCAAGAATTATTGGACTGGCGGGCCGATGTTCCCTCCGAGGTCGCCTCCGAGAGGTAAGTTGTAGTACATCTCTGTCGTTCCTCGCTTCGGACTATGTATTGATGACGACGCTTCCTTAGATATCGGATTTGTTGTGTGTTGCGTTGATTTCAGTGCTCCCGAATCCCCTGAGAATAGTTCATGAACATATGAACGACTCAACATTGTATTCTCAATCAGCCATTGTCCTGTATCTACACGGTTATGTTGAGCAGTGAGCACAAAGCTCAGATGAATCGGTGACGGTACGAGGGTGAGGCAGGCGGGCCAAACTGGACGCAAAGTGAAGTATTGGAGGCCCTCGAGATGTCAGCGACTCGAATGTGCTAAGGTGCAATGTTACGTCCATTCGACGCTCCCCTTAACATCCTCAGCACGAATGATGTGCTTACTGACCTAGTCTTTGATCGAGCCCCGACCTGGGAAACGAAGGGATGGATCAGTGTCCCGCTGGCAACGCATATGAAGCCCCTGTTGAATCGTCTCAGACAGAGATGCGCCGCCACTACTTTCGGTAGAATAGCCGGAGACGGAGCTTGGCAAACTCTAGAACGCGCTCGCCAGGATGCATCGATGACCCCTCCAAGAGACTTTACAATGGCGGTGATGCCATCGCAGGATCCTGACACCCGTTTTGAACTTACGGGGGCGAGGCTGAACGCCCTCACACAAGCCCTGGCGTATCGAGGGATCCTGGAGCACCGCCAGGTCGAGACCAGGCGCCGGACGAAAGATAACCTGGCGGCAGTCTATCAACACCTGCAGGCGAACAATTCGCTCACCTTTGGTCAAATCTGGATGAGTACACGGCATAAAGACTTTAGCAGGATTTTTGCGGTTTTCCTGTGGAAAATTATGCATGATGGCCTGAAATGCGGCCCGTACTGGAGTAAGATACAGGGATATGAGGATCGAGCACAGTGTAGCCACTGTGGATCCCTAGAGACTGTCCAACATATTATCTTCGAGTGTGAAGCCACGGGCCAAGCCCTAATTTGGTCGCTGATACGGAAGGTGTGGGAGAAGAAGTTAGTGGACGTGCCTTGGCCCCGCCTTTCTTTAGTAGACGTACTTTCACTAGGCCTGACGGAATGGAAGACCAGCAAGGGCCGAGTGCGTCCAGGAGCCACGAGGCTATGGCGGATATTAATATCCGAAGCTGTTCATCTGACTTGGAAACTGCGCTGCGAGAGAGTCATAGGTCACGCAGCGGAGGACGGATGGGAACACCAGAAGACGACGGTGGCGAGCAAGCTGCGATATGCTTTGAATCATAGATTGGCGCTCGACGTCGAATCAGTACAGAAGAAATACGGGCAGTTTGCCATTAAGAGGGAGCTGGTCCTGGCCACGTGGAACAAGGTCCTGTGGGACGAACATGCGCTCCCGGAAGACTGGACAAAGTACAAGGGTTTTTTAGTGGGTAGGATGCCGGCGTTACGAGTAGACCTCGAACCGGATTAGTGAGTCCCACACTGGTTGTTAAACCGTGCGTAAGCAGCATTTTTCACCCTGGATCGGCGACTATGGGGAAACCCATACGCAGGCTGGATAACCTGGGATGACCCATTGTCATTTGCAGGCATCCGTGATGGCCCTCCAAAAAAAAAAAATAAAAAAATGTTACGTCCATTGAATCCAAAGAAACGGTAACTCCGCATAGCAGTGATGGTTATGTTCCTATCGAACGCAAAGATGCCACTGGCAGTTACGAGAGCATCGCCGTATCGAGCGCGTCCTGACTGATCGCAAAAGAGCGCAGCGAAGCAGGGATGGGCCCTGTAGTGCCCGTGAAACGGTGTCAGTGAGACGTACATCACTGTATGATGGACTGCACGGTGAGGGCGAAGAACGGTGTAATGGTTCAAGCTCAAGGTTGGGAAGAGCACAGAGCCTTCTGCTTACGAGTCGGCGGATAGTACAGAGAAGAAAGACGTATTGATACGGCAGACGACATGACGAGGAGGCAGTCAACCGTAGATCAGCAGGTCGCGAGTCTGTTTACCTAGTACCTCATTACCAAGGATACTACCGTCGCCTTTGGCAACAGGGATTTCCGCTGTATGATCTATGTTAGTAGCTGACACGGATGATTGAGTATCTTTGAGTTCTTGGAGCTACATCTGCGATGCGTGCTCCCTCGAACTGATATGAGGAACATTTGTCCTCAATTCTACCCTTACGCATCCGTCGTGCCGGCCTTGCGGTGAGGTGGCTTCGAGCTTCAAGACGATCAGATAAGTAGTGAATTTTTCATTAGTATCTGCCGTAGTACTCTGCTATCTAGAGAGATCATACCACACAGGCTTGGCGCCGCCATGTGCTCGAGTCTTCTTTTCGCGACGAAAATACAAGGCCCGAACAAGGGAACTTCCAAATCGGGAGGACAATGGTTGTGGGGCCTGCGAATAATCGCCAAGAAGGGCAGGTGAACGAACACGTGCATCGCACGCCTGTGGCCAGCGAGCGCCTAGTGTGGCTTCACCTTCTCCCCCTCACCCAGACGACGCGATAGACAGCCACTGCGCGTCCCTCGTGCAATTTGGTAAGCTCTGTTACACGAGAGAACAATTTAACACGAAAATACACCGCTTTGGGGCAGAATAAGCCGTGAGTTTTGCCGGCCTGGGCCGAATTTGAGATACTGACGATCCGAACCTCCGTGGACCGCGTCCTATTTTGGCAGTTGGCCATCAACTCCGAATCAAACATGCCTCGCGGACGCGTAAACATGCCCACCTCGCACTCTGCTCCTTCCTCCTCCCACTCTCATCCCGACTACATTGACATCGACGTCGACATCGACATTTCCGAACACCCCCAACACAACGCTCCGATGTCTGACAAAGTAACCCCCCTCGTGACCAAGGCCGCATGCAATACGCAGGCGATGCTGCCGACGCGAAGCGAGACAACAAGGAGAACATGGCGTCCTGGCAGCGGGAGATCCACGACAGGATCAAGGAGTACCCGGACAACATCAACAGGTACCTCTCTACGATGGTTCCGTCGGATACACCTGTACCACCCTGCCCTAATATGGGCAGGTCGCTCCAGCTGATTCAAGTGGGAAATCTTGAGAACGCGATGTATGGGCCACTGGTCAGTGTGCAATAGACGGTACCGTATCACGCGATAGCTGATGTGACGGTTGTGTTCAGATGAAAGCACTGGAGCGAATGGTAAGGCCGTTCCCGCACAGAAAGCGGCCCAAGTTCCACAACTACGAGCACAAGGTCATGAAGTTTCCGTTCGAGCCGTACGAACACGACCAGCACCCCACGAAGCCCGACGTCATTGCGACGTTCCCGACACTACCTTTCATCTCTCCGCTGCATCGCTGGAGACATGTCGCTCTCGTCTTCGAACTCAAGTCGCTGGCGTCGGCCGACCCGATGATAATGAACATGCAGACGCACTGGGAGACGCTCGTGCAGCTTGCGAAGAGCGCGCGGAACATCATGCTCTCGCAGGGGAGACTGTTCGCGTTTGTCGTCGGTATATATGGCGATCAGGCTCGTATCTTTCGCTTTGACCGCGCCGGTGCGATATGCTCGCCCAAGTTTGCGTACAAGAATCATCCGGAGATCTTGCACGCGTTCATGTGGCGCTTGTTCCACCCGCGAGACAGGCGTTGCGCCATCGTCGGGGAGGATCCGACGATGAAGCTGGGAACGAGCATGGACCGGAAGCTGGCAGACAAGCTTGCATCGAGGTACGACGATGAATGGAAACGGACCGCGGAGACGCGGAAGGCAGTGCGACGGATTACCATGCAGGACGAGAAGGAAAGCCGACGACGTACCTCGCATACAAGCTGATCTTCGTGAACTCTGGACTGTTTTCCCGCGCACACTGATCTGGGAAGCGTTCATCGTCGACAAGAGGAATCGGAGCACAGGCGAACGTTACATTCTGAAGGAGACGTGGCGGCAGCTTGGTCGCCTCGACGAGGTCGGCTTCTACGAGAGGCTACAGTACGCGAAGCTCGAAGAAACAAGGAGAATCAGACGAAGGATCGTGGCGTGGTCGAGGCAGAGACCAACGACGACGTCGAGGTCGAAGGGAAACTTGCGGCGGAGGTACAGGCCTAGGCGAGGCCAGATTCACGTACGGTGTCGCGAGGTACATATGCGGCGAGGACTACGGCGAGAGGGATGAAGCACATCGGAAGCTTGTGAGCAGGCAGAGACCTCTGGAGCTCCTGTGCCCGAGGACACGAAGGCGGGTCACCGGACGATCTCTGGGGTGCATAATGCGCCTGAGAAGGTGCGGATGAATGAACGGAGTCACATGCGGATGGTTCTCCAGACGGTTGGGACGCCGCTGGCGGACTTCAGGTGCACGCGGGAGGTCGTATTAGCGCTGCGCGATGCTGTGGAAGGTACGTCGCAATGCAGGTATATATTCACTTGTAGACTGACAATTCTGGTTGCAGGACACAGAAGGGCGTATGAAGCTGGGATTATACACCGCGACGTCAGCGAAGGGAACGTGATGATCTCGCGCCTTCATTCTGCGTTCGCGGCTTCATCCAGACTTCGACTTCAGCTTCAGTTGGCGACGGTTCTTGCAAAGCGTGGCTGGGATGTGGATCTGACAACATGGAGAAGTACTGCGTCGAACATGGGCACGAACCGCGCCGACCGATGGAAGTCTGACCTGCGAACGACAGCAAAGAGCGTACGGTGAGTATATGATATCTCCGATCGATACGTTCCTCACGAATGTCAGGAACGTTGCTCTTCATGGCTGTTCAAGTGTGGAAGGCGAGATCACACATGAAGCACGGCACGATTTGGAGTCATTCTATTGGCTCCTTGTGTTCATCGTCCTCGGCATACAACATGGCCATCACAAGAAAGTGGGCCTTCGGAAGCTTGTTCTGCCTCGACGACTAGATCAACGTGCCAGTACAAGATGGTTGCTGACACCGCAAGCTCCTCTTCCAGTCCTGGTAACGAGCCTTGACGATCTTTGGAAGTTCCGCAATCTGCTGAGGAATTCCTTGTCGCTGGATCCATCGTCGGTCACATGAAGAAGTTCTTCAGTATTTGACGCGCATGGCCAAGAGTGGCCCGTTGATGCGGCCATTCCGTGGGTTGCCCCTGCAACCGAGGACATACCCAACCGATGACAGATCGAGGGGCAAGCCCGTGACGATGGGTACGAAGGATCACACCACTGCTGCCGACTTTCCGTTCCCCACCCACGAAATCCCCCGCCGCAGGCCGCGCCTGAGTACGAGCAGTCGGACAACGAGCAAGACGGCTCGAAGACTCCCGATCATAGCGACGACGAGGATGCCAGTGTGATGCTAGCCCAAGAGCCAAGCGACGAGGAGGTCGTCACAGATATTGACGAGCGTCCGAATGCTCCGGACGCGCCTCATGGACTTGCTCTTTTGGACGAGGAACCGCAACAACCAGAGGCCAATGCGTCCGAGTCGCCGGAGCAAACGGATCCTCAAACGCGCGCGAGCAGTCGCCGCCGCGCTCAATCGCCTCAAGGCAAAGCCTCCGGTCACTAGGAACGCGGGCTCCCGTCGCAATGTCGCTGAGACGTGGCCAGCGAGCAACGTTGACGCAGCCGGCGCGAGGCCGGGCCACCGCTACAACCTTCGCTCGTCGGGCCGTCGTGACTTCGGTGCGCCGAGCACCTCTGACGCAGCGGACTTGCCCCAGTTGCTCCGCGGAGGTCGACTCGTGTTCGCGCGAAGGCAGCGTCGAAGCTACGGGATACTGGTCGAGGGACAGTAGCATTGGGAAGCGTAGTCGTGAGGGATCAGACCAGGACGAGGTCGAGGAAAGCCTGGCCGCGCAGTCGTCGAAGCGGCCGAGGACGGTCAGCCAACCCCGCGGCAGGAAGGCATCGAAGAAGTCGGAGAAGAAGAAGTTGTAATGTGCGTAGGCACCCCTGAGTATAGTAAACGAGGGACTTTGGAATGTATTATAGAGTACCGGTTTCCTTCATCCATCTATCTCGTTCCACCGCGCGGCGAAACGTTGACTGTTCATGTCGTCTGCCACACCTGCCAGTAACTTGCAATGTCAACTGGCAATACGTTTGCGAACCAAACATTCTGCTATGTCGTACGTTGGTCGACGCTAAGCGCTAAGCATGAAGCATGCGCGATGTATGTAGTAGTCGCGAGGGTACTAGCATCGCCTTCAATAGTGATGTACGTTGTGTGATCTAGATCGTCAGTGGTCGACATGGATGGTACTACGTACGAGTGTCTTTGCTTTCTGGAGCTGCATCTGCTACTCCTATAACTGACATGAAGATAGTTTTGCCTTGATTCAAGTTCAACCTCTATCCATCTGTCGGCGCCGCCTGAAAATGAGGTCAACTCTTTCGCATTTGGCGTCGCGAGGCCGGCCCGTGTAGTATACAACATACTACAGGTACCTCTCATGAGTCGAGTCATGACGCATCGCGAAACGTTCGAAAAATGAACGGTTGTATTGATCGAACATGTTCGTCGTGCCTCTCAGCTATATGTGATATGTGTCATCATGAGGGATGCTGCTTGTGGGACCTGTTCTATTGAATTCACCGCTCGGCCGTTCGTTTTGTTCCAACATTTTTTCTTGTCAGGACCAGTGATGTCGAGCTCCAGGCGATCAGATAATAGTCTACTTTTCCTTAGTTCCTACATTGCGCTCTATGTATGATATGTAGATCAAACCACAACATTGGCGCCATGGGCTCGAGGCCCCTTTTCATGACGAAAATACAAAGCCTGAACCGGCCTGAACAAGGAACCTCCAAATCGGGACGAAAATGGTTGTGGGCGCTTGTGGCGAACGGGCGTCTCTGTGGCTCCGTCCACTTTCTCCCCATCACCCAGATGACGCGAAAGGCAGCCACTGCGTGTTCCTCGTGCAATTTGACAAGTACTGCTACACGGGAACACATCTTAACACGCACTGCTTTAGGGCAGAATGAGAGTTGCAATAGCCTGGGCCGGATTCTGCGGCGAACATGCTGAGATACTGACTCGGATTCGAAACTCCGTGGACCCTCCTAGTTTGGCAGCTGGTCATCAATATTCAATCCCTCGCGCACGCGTAAACATGCCGCCCTCGCACTCTGCTCCCCATTCCCACCATCCTCATTTTGACTACATCGACATCCGACATTGGCATCTCCGAGCACTCCCACCACGACACACATATCTGACAAAGCTCCGCCCTGCTAGCGACGGTCCGAGCAGTACCACAGCGATCTCGACCACATTAAAAACAGCAACGTAGAGGAGATGGCTGCCTGGGACGAACGGATCAGGGAGTACCCCCGATCCGTCGACGACTATCTGTCTAGCATGGTGCCATCGCATACGACTGTCCCCAGATGTCCACCGACCGGTGGACTGTTCAAGGTGGTCCCGATCGACAACGCCGAAGTGAAGATGCATGACCCACTGGTAAGTGTACGCGTGTCGTCATGGCTACACAGTTTTGCTGACTTTGTCTGTAGGTGAAGGCACTGAGTCAGCTGGTCAGCTCATTTCCGCCCGACACGCGGCCTCAGTTCTACAACTACGGCATAACATCATGAAATTCCCGTTTGGGACATACGAGTCCGAGCAACATCCAACCAAGCCGGACGTAATCGCGACGATGCCAGCGCTATCCGTTGTAGAACCAGCTTACCAGTGGAGAGACGTCACATTGGTGTTCGTACTCCATTCAGAGTTACCCGATGACCCGGTGAAGAATCGCGCGACCACGCATGAGGCGACACTGGCGCAGCTTGCGCAGAGCGCGCGGAACATCATGCTCTCGCAGGGGAGGCTATTCGCGTTTGTCGTTGGCATATACGGGGACCAGGCTCGAATCTTCCGCTTCGACCGCGTGGGAGCGATATGTTCGCCTCGATTCGAATACAAGAAGCGTCCAGAGATATTCCACGAGTTCTTGTGGCGACTGCTCCATCCCAGGCTATCCGGGTGCACAGTCGTTGGAGAGGACCCTACGATGAAGCCAGGTACCAGGGCGGATCTAGATCTGGTGCACTCGCTGGAGAAGAACCGCGATCCCGACTGGGTCAGCACGGACGAGACACCGAAGGCGGTGCGGCGAATCACAGTGACGGACAAGCAGAAGCACGAGACGACGTATCTGACGTACAAGCTGCTCTTCGTAAACCCGGAGTTGTTCTCACGAGCGACGCTCGTATGGGAGGCGTACAAAGTCGGCGAAGAAAGGAGAACAAGGGTAGGAGGTACGTCGTGAAGGAGTCATGGCGGCAGTCGGGTCGTTTCCGCGAAAGCGACTTCTATGAGGCGCTACGAGACGCCACGGGGGCGAACCGATCTTCGGCGTGGCTTCTTTCATTCACGCCGAGGAACTCGGTGATCGCGATGAGGAAGAGCGGAAACGAGAGGCAAATGCGCGGCGCCTGAGATCGCAGAGCCGTGCACCTCCGGGCATGAATTAGTCGGTTACCGGACCATTGCAGGGGCGCACAACGCACCGGAGATGGGGCGGCTGAACGAACGGAGCCATACACGGCTCGTCTTGGAGACGGTCGGTACGCCGCTCGCGATTCAAGCGTACGAAGCAGCTGGCCATGGCGCTGCGAGACGCCATAGAGGGTAAGCTACGACAATGCTGCTCAGGATTTGGCTGACGAGCGACTACGACAGGACATCGGCGGGCGTACGAGGCGGGGTCATCCACCGCGATATCAGTGAAGGGAATGTGATGATCGCTCCAGAGGGTGCCGCCTTCTCAGGCTTCATCCAGGACCTCGACTACAGTTTCAACTGGAAGTGGTTCCTATATAGGCGCAAAATGCAAGTGGATCTCGCCAAGTGGGAGGAGTACTGTGTTCAACACGGTTACGAGCCGCGCAGCAAGGAGGATCCAGACAACGACTCCAAGGAGCGCACAGTAAGTAACCCTTATTCCGCATCGTTGCCTTGTCTGAGATGTTCGCCAGGGCACGGTCTACTTTATGGCCATTGAGATCTTGCGGAGCGAGATTACCCACGAAGCGCGCCATGACTTAGAGTCGTTCTACTAGCTCCTTGTCTTCATCATGCTCCGACACACAAATCATGACCACAAAAGGGGGGATGGCGCTTTTGCGTACCTGTTTTGCTCCCCTGATTGGGACACCGTCGCAGACACCAAACAATCTTGGCTATCGAGGGAGTGCCTCCTTTAAAAGTACCTGGGAACGAACCATTGACGTCGTTACTCGAAAACCTTCGTGTTGCGTTTACCGGCAACTTTCGCCTGCGCCGCGTAGGCGTAGAGCACAGAACGCATCGCGAAATACTCGATATCTTCGATAAGGTGCTAGCTTCAAACGTGGTCTGGCCGGAGAACGACGCTGCCCTGGAGTGGAAACTTCCACAGACTGCGACATTACCGCCAGAGATGGCGAAGTCTGTGTGCCAGTCAGTGCAGCCGGGCTCTCTGGATCCAAGGACGGGTGCCAACAGAGAATTCCCCTGCCCGCCCGTCACCCCGCTCCAAGGTGCATCCGATCGTCCACAGCGAGATGACGATCAACAAGGCGCAATTGCAGGTGTCTCACGCGGGGATGGCGCTGGTGGGCAGGTCCAACAAGGGCAGGCGAAAAGGACAGTGCGGTCACACAAGTAGCTGTCGACGAGCCGACAATGAAGAAACTGCGTTCTGGCAGCATAGATGGCTTCCGTTCAGCCGGCGTGCAACCCAAGCCAGTACCTCACAACGCGCGCACGGAAGGAGACTCGAGCACAGGTCGGCAGAGGGCAAGAGCGTCGTCGTGCCGAATCGCCGCCAGCGGCGAAGCGTCCAGCAACCGCAAGAGAGCAGCTCCGATCGCAACGCCGAACGTGGCTGGCCAGCCATGTTAACGAACGGTGCACTGTCAGGTCATCGCTACAATCTCCGTTGCGTGTGCAGACGACGTCGAAGCAGCGGACACCGGCTTGAGCGTCAGCAATGTGGGAAGCGCAGCTCCGAGAGAGAGCCTGATAGATCCAGAGACCTAGCTCGCAGTCGTCGAACGGCAGAGGATCTCATTGGTCACCTCGAGGCAGGAGGACGTCGAAGAAGGAAGGAACGTGATTGGATTTAATCTGCAAGTCGTTGGCTGCAGTGGTCGCGAGCGAAGATGAGGTTTGATAGTGTATTGATAGTGTGGTTTCTTCATTGTCTTGAGCACTCGTTGTGCTGCGCTTGGCCGAGTACGGTACGTCGATGCAACAACCTAGTAGTCATGGCGATATGCAAGCGAACTAAGTATGAGACCAGTTCGTCACTCGAAGCAACGGTCGGCGTCGTTTGAACTTCTCATCGACATTGGTGAAGTTGAGTGACGCCCAAACAGTGTCGCCGTGACTCGTTATTCAATGATCCAGATTACTTTGGTATCAGTTCTGAACGTTTGATATCAGCTTACATTGAGTCTTGTTTCATTCATTGGCTTCTAAACTGTCATACATGTAGTTGGCAATTCGAGCCGTCCGTCTTACATGGCAAATAGAGCAAATATGGCTTGGAGATGTTGAGGTCCTATCGAGTCGCGTACTTACGCCCAAGCGTATCGCATGCTAATCTTTGGACTCAGCTTGTACATCCATCGCGGTGTCTCGCCAGACCCTGCTCTGACTGTACAAGCCTTGAGCGTCATGAGAACGTGAGCGAGTCGCTGTAGTGCCGACGACTACATCTATCAATCGCACGGTATGTGTCTGATGCTCCACACTAGGATATCAAGTGACTTACATTACTGTCTCCTTCAGCGGTTCTCCTTCGACCTAAGCGTAGCGCAATCTCCTGCAGGGGCATCGCGTAGTGCACAAGTTATACCGCGGAGTGCTGAGGACTTGGACGCGTCTCTTGAGCCCTCGGCGTCGCCACGTACGACACCGAATGGACGATGAACTCGCGGAGGTGCTGCGAGCGGTACTACTGCCCGCGCCGGCCGGCCGAGAACGTGGTATAATACTGCTGCCATACGGCAGGACCAGGACCGTCCTTGCTCGGCCGCATGTCAAGCAGGCGATTGTATACGACCAGGCGCAATGTGCGTCGTTCGCAGCGTCTGCCGGAGGTCCGAGACTGCGCTCAGCATGCGCTAGACTGGATCGATAGAGAGTCTTTACTACACGTTAACTGCCTCACTCACGGCGCGGCCTCCAGTTGCTCGAGCGCACTCTGCCTTGTCGAGCGTCTTGGCCGTATAGTGCTCGACCACTTCGCGAGCGCGACGATGGACTGTTGTACTTCCGCGCGAAAGTCGCGTCTGCACGGTGCGCAAACGCGCCCAGCTCGACGAGGTTGGATGCGAGGATGCCGTAGTCGCGATAAAGCTTTTCGCCATCGTCTGTGCCGTCCCTGTTAGCGACAGTCCACTGGACACTACAACAGGCTCACTCTTGATGTTTCACCATCTTCACGATATCGCGCGACTCGATGACCTCCTGAGACGTAGTCAGTCACAATGCCTGTCCGACGGTGGTACGTGACATACCTTGACTTTCTGCGGAATCCTAAGTTCTCTTTGAGAAATGACGCATGTGGAGAGGAAGAGTCATACGCTTCATCTGGCTAAGCTGAATGACAAGGATCATCCGCTTGTCACACAGCTGTACGACGGCAGTGCGACGCTCTGTGTAAGCCTTGTTCCTCCAGTTTACGACCATTCCATATCAAAGCCTAGCGGTCTGGGAACATCAAAGTCATGCAGACGCTTGGTGAGCACAAAGGACTACTAATCAAAGGTGGACATACCCGTGAGTGCTGTATGAGTTCGTCCGCCTCGTCTTCATGACGCACATACACCACAGCTGGAGCAGGATAGTAGTCTTTGTACGAGTAGAGGGGCAAGATAGGCGCAGCGTTCATCTCCGTGGTCTTCGTCCGCGAGCGTGTATAACTATTGACGTCCCTCGTTTTGAGGACCGTATGCTACACTGGACACCGCGGATGTCGACTGGAGGTCGACGAGCTGGCTTAGCCGTCGCCACTGGCGGTGGCTGCATCAGCGGTGGTGGATGCGAGGTGCCAGAATGCAGAAGAGAGGGTGGAGGCTAATGGAACCCAATAAGCATGACACAAACATCCGGATGCGTCAACCATTGTGCTTCGCACTACACCAAACTCAGAACGCACCTTTTGAGGATTCGAGCGCAGCATTGTTCTGCAAACCGGTTCGACAACTGGCGGTAGCGTCAGGGCAATAGCAGCGTCCAGCGCAGCCAGTATTTTCGAAGGCCCTCGTGAGCGTTGAGTGGCTCGCTTAGACGGAGAGCTTGGAGACTGATACGGCAAAAAGCTGCAGCAAGTTTGGTGTCCTTAATCATTGCAACGCCATCTTGCACTGGGCCTGCTGAAAGTAAGCTAAGACTTCAACATTCGTACTACACACGTACAGCACAGTACTTGCCACAGAACCACGGTTTCAGTGTATATGTAGAGTACTTGTGTATCGCAGCTCTGTTATGCCTGTGGGGTCTATCAATGTCCGAATAATGTGTATCGCAAGCGGTTCGACGGGGCTGCGACCCGCGTATGGTGAGTCGTTCGAAATGAACCAAGTCTGGGATCGGCGCTTGATCGACGCGACGCGTCGGAATGACATCACGTGAAAGCACGTCTGTGCAATACATTTGGGCGCTTAGAAGTCGGATCGGAATTGCCCGTGAGCGCCTGAAATCAGAAAAGTTGTGTCTCGCTGCTTTGCAGAAATCACCGTTCGGTGTTCTTTCAGGCCTACACTCTTTCCGTTTCACCCTCATTAGGCTGGTAACTCGATGGCGAACATAGAGAACCTCACGTTGTTCTCCACCACTTCCGCGTCGTGGACGGCCCCGGAGTCGTCCGGCAAATCGATATCTCGTACGCGGAATAGTTGCTGTTTTGACGGAATGCGGCTCATGTTTCTTAGCTTGTCGAACGCAGACTCTTACCTGTTGTCCGGCATATCTTGCCCACGTAAAGCGCGCCGTCCACAAGCTCACCTTCGAGGAGCATGACAAGCATGCGGAGGAAGAACGCAGGCGCTTGGAGGCGATGAACGGTACCGGTGTCGACGGCGAGGATGATCTCGGTGTCGGAGACGAACCTGAGGACGAGGAGCTGTCGTTGCTGGATCCGAAGGAGTGGAAGGTGCGTCATGAGGCTGCTCAGTCCCGGACACTCTGACTTGACGCGTTCCGTGTCGCTAGAAACAAGACCACTACCAGGTGCTCGGGCTTTCACATCTGCGCTACAGGCAACAAAAGATCAGATCAAAAATCGCACGTACGTACATTCTTGCGTTTGAAGAGACCTTCGCTCGTCCGTGTCTTGAGCTTTACCTCGACGGAGCCTTGGGCTCTGGGCGCTACGCAGTCCATCCCAAAGGACGACAACCCTGAGGGTACCGAGGGTAGAGCAGCCATGGTCCGGGACATCAAGTCGTCACGACTTGATACAGTGGTCATGGTACTCGTACTTGTGATCACTGTTATTGCCCAACTCCAGCAGGTGCTCGGATGTGGCCTTCACGGCCATAGATCGTACACGCTGGCCTTTCACAAGTCAAGTGGATCGGCAGCGAGTTATTTAGAAGTGGACGCGGACGCAGTGTACCTACGGTCGTCCTGAGTGACTAGGCAGCGAAAGACGTATTTCGTGTGGCCGCCACTCTTGCACGACTCGGTGCCAACTCGGGAGTACGTCGTGGGTTGCTTGCAGTGAGCCAGGGGTGAGGAGACTCAGACGCAACCTGGCGCCCATGCGAAGGACGAGAGGCCATCTCCGTCAAATCACGGGCTCCATTTCGCCAGTAGAACTGTTCCTACGGCTGAAAGGGACATTTCTACTAGAAGGATCAGAAGCTCAGTACATCCCGCCGGCCACAGAGCCGATGTTGCGGTGACTGTCCTGCACCACATTTGGGCACATTGCTGGATCCTGACTATACGATAAGTCGTCTAACCTTCTCACAGACAGGAAAAAGGTCCTCAAGCACCACCCTGACAAGAAGGCGGGGCTTGCCGGCGATTCGAACGACGATGCGTTCTTCAAGTGCATCTCAAAGGCGTTCGAGGTGCTACGAACCCGGAGCGGCGGCGCCAGTTCGACTCCGTCGACCCGTACTACGAGTTGCTCGAGGCGGACGTGCCGGTGGAGAAGCAGCTCAAGAGCGCGAGGAACCCGCAGAAGTTCTTCTTCGACGGTTTTGCGCCCGTGTTCGAGCGCGAGGCGCGCTTCAGCCGCAAGCAACCTGTGCCGATGCTCGGCGGCTACGAGGACCCCAAGGAGGTCGTCTCGGCGTTCTACGACTTCTGGTACAACTTTGACAGCTGGCGGAGCTTTGAAGTACCTCGACAAGGAGGTTAACGAGGGCAGCGATAAGTGCGTGACGGACGCGAGAGTTGCGCACTGGCTGACGAGTGATTTGCGTGCAGCCGGGGACGACAAACGTTACACGGAAAAGAAGAAACAAGTCCGAGCGCGCGCGGCGCAGAAAGAGGACACGGCGCGTCTGCGGAGCATCGTCGACCTCGCGCTTGCATACGACCCGCGGATAAAGCGGATCAAAGAGGAGGAGAAGGCCGCGCGCGAGGCCGAAGAAGAAGAACAAGGGTGGCGTCCCAGAACGGTGTAGATGCCAAGCAGAAGGAGGAAGAGGAGAAGAAGAAGGCAGAGGAGGAGGCGAAGCGGAAAGAGGAGGAGGAGAAGGTGTGTTTTTTGTCCTCCGGCTTTCATGCACCCGTAACTGACGTGCCTCAGGTTGCTCGCGCGGAATCTAAAAAGGCGAAGGCGGCGGCTGCGAACGCTGCGAAAAAGCCAGGCGAGCGGCGCGTGCTGGAGACACGATGCTCAATAGTTGTATCCTCGCTGCACTTGGAGACTACGAGTCCGCTCATTCATCGCACCATGCCGGTTCCATCGACATTCTGTATCGCTCTGTTGCATTAGAACTGTCTTCGCTATGTGCTATCTAGACAGGGTTACTTCTAATCCAGGCAAATCTTGGAGTCCTTGACCTCAGGATGCGCCTGTACTGTCTGTACGTTCTTTTCTATGGGACCGATCTCATTGCCTATGTGTGCTGCAATCATTTTGAGTTTGTGGCCTCGCACTTTCAAAGGTTGTCAATTACTACTTAGGTACTTATAACAACGCCGACTGCTATGCATACATTGTTTGACGGTGCGAACGGAGTGGAGGTCCCGCCGACTCTCAGGACATACGGCCCGGAGCGGATGTCCGTGCAGCCGTCTCCGTCATTCTACTAGTACTACCATAACGTGAACGCGGTTTCACACTGGCAAGCTAGGGAGCCTCCGAGTGCGCTCAGGCTTGGCTCAGGCTTTGGTTCACGACTGCACTGTGTTTGGCTAAGTACTTGAGCGCGGTACAATCTTCGCGGAGCTGATAGTAATCTGTGGTAATCAAGCGGTGCGCGATCTACTCTCAACGTTCACCGCAACATCCAGTGTCTCTAGCCTGCTATTTCATGCACGCTGCTATGGCTTCGCTGGACACGATCATCATTGGAGCAGGCTGGGCTGGTGCCGTAGCCGCACGCCATCTCGCGCAGAGCGGGTACAAGGTGCTTGTCCTTGAAGCACGAGAGCGCATCGGTGGACGGGCGCGGACCTATACCGAGGGTACGCACGTCCCCGTCGACCTCGGGTGCAGCTTTATTCACGGTACGTGCATTGCCTATAAAATTACGCAAGGCAAGCTGATCGCGGCTCGACATTGTGTAGGATACAAGGAGGGCAATCCTGCGAAAGTGATTGCGAAGGAGCTTGGCATTGTGAGTGTAGATCAATCAAAGACGCGTAATTGCCTCACCAATTCATCCAGGCAGTCGATGTAGCAAAACCGGCTGACAATGCCATATACGGCGCCAATGGTGAACATCGTACTCTGACGGAATCCAGAGTGTGATTTGATCTTAGTACATCCCATACAGGCCTTCTTGACGCATCAGCAGCCAACGACCTACGGGATCGTCTTGGTCAGACGCACGCAGCTGCCCGCAACACAGCTCTCAATAGCACGTCTCTATCACCCTCACCGACGACGCCCCTTTCGGCTGCATTCTTCGACCCCAATTCCAAACTCAGCACTTCATCCACGCCCAGCACCGCGGCCGCCTTCGCTCGTACGCTCGAGGTGCCCTTGAATGCCGTCCTCGAACAGGTGAGCCTGCGCTGGACCGGGTGGGAGGACAACTTCGCGGGATCCGATGGCGCGCCCCAGGGTGGTTTCCAGTCCTTCGTCGACCGCGTCTTCTCCGCCGCGACGAACACAGGCAACACTCGCATTCAGCTCGGAGAGACCGCCATACGGATCCAGGAAGAGCAGTCCGGCGTGAACGTCTCGACGGACAAGGGCATCTACCGTGCCGCGACGGTCTTGTGCACGATTCCCCTTGGTGTGCTGAAGCGCGACGCTGTCAAGCTGTTCGAGCCGAAGCTCCCGGTGCGCAGAACGGAGACTATCCAGGGCACGCACGTCGGCATACTCGAGAAGCTCGTCCTCACCTATTCGGAGGCCTGGTGGCCGAACGCGGGCTCGGTAGGGTCATTCACCTTACTAGCAACCAAGTTTTTGGGCGGTGACCCAGAGACAGTGGAGGACGTGCTATCGTCCACCACGCTCGTCGTCGCCTCCTTCGCGGGCCCATCCCTGCCGCATCAGCATCCGACCCTCCTCTTCTACCTCTCACCCACGCCCGCCCTCGGGCTTGCAAAGTTCTCGCTCGAGGAGGTGACTGACGCTGTGCATACGTTCCTCGTCTCGCGTTTCCAGCCCGCCGCGCAGCCGGCCAAACCGACGAGCTCCGTTATGACGGACTGGCACAAGGACCCGCTCGCACTTGGTTCGACCACGACGCCCAGCATCGCCGGCGAGGGACGCGGCCCGCTTGACTTCGCAGAGCTCGCGAAGCCACTTTGGGGAGGCCGCCTTGGGTTTGCCGGCGAGCATACGGAGATGAACCACAGAGGGAGCATCGCGGGGGCGATCATCAGCGGGAGGAGGGAGGCGGAGCGCGTCACTCTTCTGCTCACCAAGCTCGCCGAGGCATGACGATAATGCTTTGAGTACAGACACCAAGTAGCCAAACATACGACAAGAGAGTAGCATAACGGACGTAGAAGTGCGTGTGTGTATGCAGTCGAGATACGTGTACGTGTGCTTACCTTGAAGACCAACCAATACGAGTTGTAGATGTCCGTGAATCCTAGTACTATGTGGTTTAGCGGATGCTCAGAATCCCGCTGCTAGTGCTCCCCGTGCCCGACCTGCTCGCCTCCTTGTCCTTGCCCTTCTTCACCTTCGGCGCCTCCCACACACGCCAGAACTTCAAGTTCTCGTCACCTGCGCCGGTACACACGACGTCGCCGTTCGGGCTGATCGCGCTGTAGAGCACGCGCGAGTCATGCGCATCGCGGATCTCGATAACTTTCTCCATTGATGGGTATGCATGCACCATGACCGCGTTGGTCGGGTAGCCGTGCGTGCTGAGGAACTCCTTCTTGTGCGGAGACCACTGGATGGAAGTCACTTGCGACGGTGTTACTACCGAGTGCAGGCGCGCACCCGTCGTGGTGTTCCAGATGTGGATCGTCGCGTCCGACGTGCCTCCCCCGGACGCGAGGAGCGAAGGCTGCCAAGGACACCACGCGATCGCCTGTGGATATGGACAGAGAAGTGGTCAGCACGCGAATTCGGCGTCGACCGTGTTGCTTACCTTGACCGCGGCGGTGTGGTTCCTCTTCGTCCACGAGCACTGCCACGCGTCCCGGGAGCGACATCGCCGATGCGACCATCCCAGACATTCACGACATTGTCGTTCCCGCCGCTAGCGAGCAGCCCGCCATCGCTGCGCCACTGCAGGCCGCAGACTTCTCCCAGATGGCCAATCAGCTCGCCCACCTTATGCCGAGCCACGCGTACATCGTGATGCCAAATACTGCCATCCCCGCACCCGCTCGTCAGGATATGCTGGTTCCACGACAAGCAGCCGACCTGCGTCGAATGACCCGTCATCGTGCGCAGCTTCGTCTGCGTCTCGACGTCCCACAGTTCTACCGCGCCCGAGCCGTTCCCAACACCGAGGAACTGGCCATCCATCGAGAAGTCGAGCGCGCTTACGTACGTGCCTTCGGGCATCTCGCCCACGTGCACGACGTCGCCGCTGTCCGCGCGCCAGAAGTACGTGTTCTCCGCGAGCGCGACGGCCAGTGTATTCTGTGCGCTCCACGCGACGATGTTCAGGTAGAAGTCGTCCAGCATTCCGGGCGCGTCCAGCACGCGCTCTGGCGCGGTCGGGATCTTGCGGCCTTTGCTTGTAGAAGACGAGGTGGACGTCGGGAGGGCACCTGGACGCGCGTAGAGTGGACGCACGAGCTCGCGAGCTTGAGCGAGTAGCGGGTCGGAGGACGAAGGTGGCGGTGGCTCATGGTAGGCGAGTACGCGGCGGTTGATCGGGACTCCTGTGGCTGCTGCGAGACGTGCAGTGTGCCCCGGAGATGCCGATTGAGGGTTCAAGGACATCATGTCCAGTGTCGCAGTCACTTCTTCCGTCATGTCGCGCGCCGTAATGAATCTGTCACGAGTATCACGCTGCCGGACCAGTGTATCAGCGAGCATTCCACAGAGAAGTACAAAATACGGATGTATTCTACTGCATTTTCGCAAAGTGCACGTAGCTCAACGTGATGACTGCCCTCTCCTCAGATGAGCCGTGCTAGGTCGTACAGGGTAGAAGAACATATACTACCCTCCGGAGTGTAGTCCGTCGTCCCGCGTACAGAGCGGTACTGGGATTGGTGATCCAGCGCGAAGACAAATGCATGTCCTTCATCCAGCATAAACCAGTTGGAACATATCTTTGCATCGCTCATGCACAAGCCCATGCGTTCGAATGCGATAATCATATGGACAACCACTCACGTTCGGTTGAGATCTTGACCGCTTCTGTGTCTTTGGCGGCACGTAGTCGCGTGTAATCACGTCTATCCTGCTCTCCACGCCTCCTTTACGGATGACTCCAGCGCTTGCCTGGCGTTGCAAGGTGTCCGAGATCTGCAGGGAGCCACTGGTCGCGCGTTTAACAGGTGAGGCGGGTCTGCTGGTACTTTGGGCTCGTCGAACGGGAGACGCGGTCGACTCG